GACGAGGAGATCAGCGCAGATGAGAAGTGAAAAGGATGAAGAGAATCCAAATGGATCCAAAACCTCCATCCTAATCTTGTTGACGTCTTCAGATGATGCAGACAGCAGCCCTGGAGCGACTTAAGAGAACATATTAAACCCAAAATACAGACGTTTTCAACCATTTTTCCATGTCATTTAGAATCAGACATCAGCACAGATCAGTCGGATAAACAATCTTCTCCCCAAATCTCCTTATGATAGGATTTCATCAAGTTTAGATCTTCAGAAGCTCCTCAGAAGTTTGATTTGTGAGCTCAAATCTATGAAGGCCTCAAAAAGCTCCACAAACATCAGAAATACTCTACTGCCTCCCTGTGGTTAAATTAGGAAGCGCAGGCACAAAAAATAAAGTGATTCTAGCTCAGATACTTGAAGAAAAAATGAATGAGGTTCTGTTCTGGTTGTGTACCACATGTTTTGCCCACTTTACCCTCTTTAGTATAGCGTCTCTGTGAGTGCATATCAGCAAATCTCCACCATGCATCTCATCGGCAACTATTAATGATTGTAATTATGTCTTGAGTGACTTTGTTCATTGTTAGTAAGTTAATCAAAACACATGAATTCTGCTTTTTTACATTTCCACTTCTGGCTTTTATTTCCAAGCAGATGTACAGTTGTTTGCCATCGATAACTACAGAAAGGTTGGCAAAAATCCACAAGATATTTTTGATATGACTCTGTTAAAAACTGTATATAAAAAGACCCCAAAACTGTACAGGAATTAACATAACTACATTTATATAATGTGTGTATATATATCCTTTTCTTATATATATATATACTTAATCTGAGCGCAGAGAGACTTATAGATACTGTTGGTTATGTGAAATATTGAAGACTGTACAGAAATAATACATTCAGTTTGAAGGCTGTCAGTTTAGGTTCAGTTAGTTTGAAAGATGAGGACATTGAATGAACATGAAGACCTTAAATTCATGATTTATGGCCTTCACATTTCCATAGCAGAGTCTCCAACAGCAGAGCAGACAGTTCAGTGAAGCACTAAGAGACAAAAACATTGAAGTCTCTGCAAACAAACATCCAGGGTTGTTCTGTTACGACTCGGTGTTGTTGTTCCAGTACAAGAATAAGATCCAGATTCAGCTCCGTCTCCATGAAATTCTTAAGTCTCAATGAGGAATAAGGTCTGTGAGGGACCCAGTTAGTAAATGGCAGAGATACTTCCAATCTTTGACTTTAGTCCAGTTGGATTTGATCAAAACAAAACAAAACAAAAATAAATAAAAAAATCTGTCAATTTCAATCATATTTTTCGAACAAGTTAATGATCCCAATTTAATTTATAACAACCACTGGGCACATTTTTGGATAGTTGCACACGTTGCAGATTAAAAATAAACCATGTTCATGGATCTTAATGTGTTACAGACTAATAGTTTGATCATCCATAAATTTGGACTAATTAAAGGGCTACTTCACCTAAAAATCTGAAATAACATGAAATATTTTACGTTTTACGAGCAAAATGGAGAAATACAACTACAAGTTTTGAATGCAAATTAAGTATTTAAGTGAAAAGTCCGCAGGGTTACCTACCAGGCAAATCATTTGAATTTGCTCGTGTGGTGGTATTTGATCAGAAGTGGGAAACAGAGGCGTGTGTGCAGAATCACTCACAACTTAATTCTGCCTCCCACAACACTCTTAACATCACCGTCCTTCACCACTGGCCTCTGCTCCTTTTGGATCAGTCTCCGCCTTCCCCCTTCTACAACTTCTAAACACCCAATCAGTGCAGAGTCTCATTATTTTAGCCTCCCCGCTCACTTAGATCACCGCAGAGTTAGAAACTGAGTGGCTGCAGCTTTTGTCTTGTGGTTCAATTTCAACATTTATCCAGGTGAAGTGGCCCTTTCAGGTGCAAATTGGAGAATGACGTCAGGAGATAAAGTCTGTGGATATTAGACTTTCTGACTGTATATGAGGATTAAAGCAGATAACAGCTCTTGAGTCAATGATGCTGAACACAAAAAGAGCCAGAATACATAAAAAAGTCTTCGTTTGGAGGATCAATCTCCTCTTGAGCTTTTCTCTTTTCATAAATAACGATTAAAAACAACAGGCTGATATTTTTCCAGTGTGCTCAGACCTCTGCTCATTCATAAATGTGATAAACAGGGATTTTTTTTACATCATACACAATAGAAAACAGTAAAAATAACATTTCAGAGACAGATGCCCTCATGGACATGTATAAAACAATATAAAACAAATATCTAACATTACTTTGTTCATGATAATTCAGTGCTCTTTTTGTTTTAAAGAAGTTTTCCTGGTCAGTTCAACCTGCAAAAAACAACATTCACCTTTTACTCACTCTGTCAGCCTGCATCCATCAGATCTCCAAAAGTCTTTTATGAGACGTACATTTACAATAAATAAAGAAAAAAGCTTCAGAGCAGAGACAGAGAGACTACCACAAGGCACCTAATGTAAGCAGCTAAAAGTATCTCTAGCAGCGACAAGGCTTTGGTTCAGAGAAGTTCTATTAAAGTCGAGTAAAAAAGTGTTGTTTCTACTCCAGTGAATATTGATGCATGTAGAAACGGCAGAGAGGACGCAGGAGTGGACGGACAATGAGTGGATGGCGGTGGAGATGATGGTTAGACGTGTGGAGGCGGCTCTCACAGAGGTAGGAAAGACAGGAAAGAGAAAAAGCTAGAAAGAAAAGCAGACGGGAGAAGAAGTGATGGAGGAGAAAAACACCAGACAGGATTTAAAGAGTGAGCGGCTGTGAAGGCCGACTTCAGGGAGAAGAATCTCATCAGGCTCTTTAACACGAGCACAGAGGAACATCAGCTGATACTGAGGGTTATGAAGGTCAGGTTACACTTCGAACTGTTCATGAACTCTTCTTACTCATACCTGATCTGTGTGCATGAGTATTTTAATACTGCTATGAAGTGAGCTGCTGTAAAACTATTTCTGTGTGTGTGACACGCAGCAAGCAGTATTTATCCAGATTCATCTTTCAGTGGTAAATGTGCTTCGATTAAATTTTATTCTTCATATAAACCAACTTCTGGAGTAATGTAAAGTCTGTGATATTCAAACAAATTAAGGCCCTTTAATGCCTCAAAGTTTTTAAGGCATCCAGTTTTTCAGGGAAATTTATCGACTCTTTTTGTTGAGGTGGTTTTAAAAAAATGATATAAGATGAACGATAGCGTCCCAAAATACAGTGACAGATTGACACTACACTGGCCTTAGTTTCCATTCGCATCTCATTCATTTTCATACTCTGTATTTATATATATGTGTGTGTACATTCACTCGAACATCTCGAACTACAGCTGTACCTGCTGTCGCTGAAGGCTTTCTTCATGTCTGTCTGTTTCTTTGGTAAATCATCAAGCAGCATTTTTTTTTTAAATCTATCTCTAAAACAACAACAAGGCACAAAAACTCAAGAAGTTCCAGCATCAGATCAGAAACAAAACACTGACGACTACTTCACAGACAAATACTGCTATAAAAACCAGCTCACAAACAAATCTATCCTAGCGAACACTCAGAGCTTCCTACGGGGATGAATAAAGCACAAAGTGTTGGTTTTAGAGCTCAGCCGTACTTTGTATATTTTGGGATCTAAATGAATCATGGGAAGATGATTTGTAGACGCCAAAATACTTTTTATAACCATCTGTTTATGGGAGGTTGACTCATTCTTTAAAAACGGTTGTTTCTTTAAATAAAATCTGAGCCTGTCGGTGGAAAAAACAAGCAGTTTTTAGCTACTTGATTATGGTGACTTCTTATACATGCTTGCAGATCTCTCTTCTTTAAAAATGCTGGATTCAGTGGATCACACGGCATTAAGATTTTAACTGGCTTAGATTTTCGTACTCATCACTGCAGCTTATATGAGAGTGTTGGTCGGTCCTCTCTGTAGGTGACTTGCCCTCTTACCTATGTTCCTTCTTAACTCCCAAAATCACCAACAGGAGTAATCTCCGCTCTGATGGACAGATCATGTACGCTATTCCTCGGACAAGGACGTTTTTTTAGAGAAAGCACTTTCAAGGCTTTTGCCCCCTCCTCCTGGTGTAATTTACAGGGTTATTTTAAATCGGATTATCTGCCAAGTATGGAACATTTTTAAAGTAGAATTAATAAAGGTTACTAATGCTCCATGATCTGTCTCATTTTCCTCTCAGGCTGTTTCGCAGCGGCTTGTTAAAGCAGTAAGCGGTGCATTTGACAGCCTTTTGTACCTATTTGTAATCTAGAAACCAAAAATATGTCAAAATTAAGGCTCAAGTTTCAAAAATACAAAGTAAAATAGAGTAAAATAGGAATAAAATCGAGCGACTCAGCTCCATTTTCTCAACACTTTGGCTTTCTGCTCTACTTCACTCCTCCTTACAGTACGGTAGAAAGTGACGCAGACCTTAGGGAGTGTTTCTGGATAATAAGTTTGCACACAGGCAACACCAGTTATTCCTGAAGAGAGGCAGAACAGACAGAAACAGAGACAGAGAGATAGAGAAGGAGAAAGAGAGAGGGTTGGAGGGATGAAGCAGAGAAAATGTTAGCATCTTCATCATACTCAACATCAGCAGCCGCACATTCACATGTTTTAAACTGGTATAAATCCTGATAAACGGACTGAAGTACACTTCTGCAGCCTGCTGTCAAACACAGGCAGATTTAAAGGGCCAGTGCACAGATTTTTACAGTTTAGTTTTCGGTGTGACATCATTACACTGAGCCCTTAGCAGCGACGAGCGAGGCCGTGTGGATGGAGTCCTCTCTAAAGCCATCCCATAATGCTTTGCGCCACACCTGCAAGCAGTCTGAAGGTCACTTTGATTGCAACATTGCACAGTAGCTGCAGTGTTTACAATACTTGGTGTCAGGACCAAGATTCGACTCCAAACAGGCGTCTCTGATCCTGATAGAGTTTAACATTTGAATAAAACGACAGGAATAAATTAAACTGAAGTGTCAGGCCCCGCCCCGTTGTAGGCGTGTCCCTGCTTTGAGCCGTCAGCAAATCGGAGGAGGGGGCTGAAGGTGCTGTAGTTTGGCGTTTCCTGCCAACGTGTGAACATGGTTTTCTTGGTAAAGGATGCAGACCTGCGGGGGTTCTGGATGTTCCTCTGAGGGCCTGAGCCTCGCCGCTGACTGGACGCCTTGTTTGGAGCGTGGAGAGCTGCCAGGGGGGAGAACTCGGACAGCTGGCCTTTGTAGAGTTTATCAGCGTTCTGCGATAAGAAAGGAGAACAAACAGGTGTAGACAGGGGAGGAGTGACGAAGAAGAAACACAGAAAAACTGTTAAACTTGGAGTCTTGAAGATTGGAGGTGAAGGAGACGTTTTAATCCCAGCTGGACAGAATTTTAAATGTGTCAGAAAGCCTGGAAGCATGGGTATAAGAACCCCCGCTTTAATTTAACCTTACTGTACATTTTAACTAGGACCGATATGGATTTTTTGGGGCCGATGCCAATACTGTTAGGGATGGGGGGAAATCTGATTACCGATTAATCGGCCGATTTTTAAATGTTTTTATTAAGTTATAATATACATATACATATATATATACTGCAGATATCTGTCTAATGTCGATCTGTCGAGAAGTAGCTCGATCACTAATGTGTACTGTTGTTTATTCTACCGTTACTGGCTAACAGTGTAGCAAGGCTAATAGCAGGTGGCTAACTCTAACTTTAGCTTGCATATTACATGGTGCTTCACCGTTAACTCGGCGTGACCGAGACCAGCATAGCGGTGAACATGGTAAAGTGGGTTAAACTGAAACTTGTTGACTTATTGTGTATTTCACAAACTGGTTTATTTACCGTTGAGGCGGACCACTCTCCTGCCTGCTTCAGATCCGTCACTCTGCTGTGCTGTGAGGTAGTTAGTTGATTTCGAAGTGAAACTAAATCTTATTCTCTGCATTTTATTTCTGAAAATATCGGCGAAAATCGGCGAGTTTTGGCCGATTAGTCTTACATTTAATCTGCTCGCCGATAAATCGATCGGGCCCTAATTTTAACGTCATGATGAATAATCTTATTCTGCCAGCTGTGAAAATAACGTCTCATCCACTCTGTTCAGAAACAAGCAACGCAACCCAGGCAAACGTCAAGAAACGAAGAGACAAAATAGAAGCACAGTCTGATGAATAAAAACACCAAAGAGCTCAAACAAACCATGCAAAATGAAAACTGACTCAGAAACGTGCATAGAAGTTCAGCCCCACGTCGTCTGACTTTACAGTAATGCTGCATTTATCCACAGGGGGGCGCCACCGCTCCATGTAAGCAAATGAAATGAAATAAAACCCCTCAAAAACAAACTAAGAGACGTGTGTTAGAGTCCCAAACCTGTGACACCACACCACTGCAAAATATACTGATGTTAACACCACCCACCAGTCCAACCACTTCACTCACACACACACACCCACACCCACACACACTCAGGCAGGCAGGGTGTGTATTACCGTACGGCAGCTCTCTTAAGTTTCTGTGTCAGCTATGTCTTCCAGTAAAGAGTCAGAGCTGTGGTAGGCCAGCGCCCTCTCAAACTCTTTCTCATCACTCACATGCTGCAAACACACACACACACATCCAGGGACAAACACAATGAACACAATAAAACTAAACATGTGGGGAGGAAAATAACGTTTGATTCTTAATGATGCATGCAACGAAACAGCTCACTTCATGCAGAACATGACGGGGAAGGAGAAACTTGAAAGAGAAAAATGAAAATAAAAATGTGAAAACGTGTCAGTTAAGGGTCAGGAGGGGGGAGGCAGAGGGTCACCTGGAGGAGAGCAGGTTAGAAACTCATTCTGCTGGAAGTCTGAGACAGCATAAAGATGGTGGAGGGCTCAGAGGCGAGACACCGGCGCTTATTCTGCCGTGGGGGGAAATCCAGAAGAAGAGAGAGGAAGGAGTGGGATCAGGATTTAAAAGGAGCAGGAGAGAGTTAGAAGATGTCCTATTGTTTGATAATTAGAAGAGGAGTCTTTAGCAGAGGATCAAGACGAGTTATAACAGATTAGTTTTGAGCTTTTAAGACTTCAAAGGAAAGTTAAGGAAAAAGGAAAGTTCAAGGATGTACAGACAACCGAGGAGACAGAGACACAAACACATTTGAGAGGCTCCAAATATTCTTAAGTGGTTAATATTTTCACTGATACACAAAAGCAATTAAGAAGTACCACTGTGAATATTCCCATCGTGAAAAACTGTGTGCAAAAACATATTGAGTGTATCTGTGGGGAAGAAGATCTGCACCCCAAGTGACATACAGCTGTTTGACTGCCCCGCAGAGCTCTGTGTTTGGTTGGAAATAAAGGAACACTGCACACAGAGTCAGAGTTATTTACTGACTTACATCCAGCAGAGAAGGGACGTATCCAAAACCAACGCACACCTGATGACCCACAGTCATACATACAGAAGAATACAGGGATTTTAAGTGAAGGCTAAATGCATTTATGGAACACATCCAGCAGAGGGGGCTGTACATAAATCCACAATCTTCTGGGGTCCGTTTCACGTAGCAGGTTTAGTGGAAACTCCGAGTTTGTTAACCCTGAAATCAGGGAAACTCTGAGTTTTCCGTTTCACAAAGGAGGGTTAGTTAAATCAGGGAGAGAGGGGTAACTCTAACCTGTTTCACAAAGAGAGGTAACTCAACCTCGCGGTCAGTTACCACAGTAACAGACTCCGTGAACCTAACCTGCTCGGGAGCAGGTTTAACTCAGTAAACCCAGAGTTTCAGGTGAGACATCGGCATTTTCTCATTTTGATCATGTTTTACATTGTCAAGTAAGTATTAAGTGGCAGTTTGATCCCTTAGAAAATGCTCTTTTCACACTCAAAACTGAATTTTACTCTCTTATTATGTTCCGTTAAATGATTAAGAATATTAAACTAACACAAAAACGGGTGGTGGTCCAGCAGCCCCACCTTTAACGGAGGCAGAGGAGCTGCCCCCCACCCCGTTCGACGATCGCGGCCGGTCCGATCGCAAATCCCGACACACACACACGCACACCAGTCCGACGATCGCTGCTACGAGGTGGGGGTTTCGATCGTCGGGGGGGGGTGGCAGCTCCTCTGCCTCCGTTAAAGGTGGGGCTGCTGGGCCACCACCCGTTTTTCTGGCATCTGCCCTCTTTCTGTTTGCTGAGTGAAAGTCTAATATTGAGTGTAGTGTGTGTTAGTTTAATATATGTACATATACATACTGAGAGTTGGTTTAATATTCCTAATCATTTAACGGAACATCATAAGAGAGTAAAATTCATTTTTGAGTGTGAAAAGAGCATTTTCTAAGGGATCAAACTGCCACTTAATACTTACTTGACAATGTAAAACATGATCAAAATGATTCAAGCAGTTTCCCTGCAACAGTCTGTCATTGTGATTGCACGAGACTAGATTTAAAGTTACGCATTGACGCGAGCAGCGGTTTCCTCCCAAGCCCTCTCCCTCTCCTTTGCAGCTGCTGCTGTATTGCACTTTCTTTTACAAACGTGCTGTAATTCGCTGTTGGCTTGCTGCTGCCCCCTCCTTCTCCCTGTTTCCATTGGTTGATCATTGAATCTGCGCTCCACAGATGCTGGCTGTTTATGTCTGGCGTGCACGTGCTTAACTCCAGGTCAAACTACTCGGAGTTGTTAAAACCGTCTCAAATCAGGTATTGTGAAACCGGAAACTCAGAGTTTCCTAACTCAGAGTAGATCAACTCAGAGTTAAGGATTTAACTCAGAGTTTGTTGAACCACCTACGTGAAACGGACCCCTGGTCTCTAACTATTACAGACTTCTCTGTAGATATACCTATTCCACAATCCTAAAGAGAAATCTGTTGTTTGGCCTCATGAACTCATCAGTACTCTGTTTTTTTTTTAACCCACCTGTATGCGCTCAGTGGTGGTGGGCCATAGTGCCCTGCAGATCACTTTCTTCACCACGTCCGGCAGCAGACTGGCTGTTATCAGGAGGATGATGCTGAGCCAGGCCGGACCACTCGATAACATCTGCATGAAGACATAATACATCCTCTGGTAGTTCAGGAAGGGCCTGAGAAAGAGGAGAGGAGAGAAAAGAAGAGAGGGGCATCATGATAAAAAATTACATCAATCATAAATTAATTAAAATATAGTCATCCTAATCTAAATATTAATTGTTACAGATATATTAACCTTTGTCAAAGGGTTTGAAACGTATTCAATATATTAATTCTTATAAATAAAAAAAATCGTCTTTTTTAAAATTCTAATTTAATAACTTATTTATCCGTGCACCAAAATATATAATCAGTTGTGTTCTTGTCTCTTTGACCCTAAATTAACATCATGTTGTATTTAAAGTACACACTAAGACTACAAACACACTAGAGGTTCTCAAGTCCGGTCCTCGAGGCCCACTGTCCTGCATGTTTTGGATGTTTCCCTGCTCCAACACACCTGATTCAGATGATCAGCTCGTTATTAAGCTCTGTAATGGCTTAATAACGAGCTGATCATTTGAATCAGGTGTGTTGGAGCAGGGAAACATCCAAAACATGCAGGACATTGGATCTCGAGGACCAGACTTGAGAACCACTGCGCTCGAACCATGTTTGCTGAGGTAGTAAATCCTGGAGGAAGTTGGTCTATGCTCTCAGAGCTGCCCCCTGCTTGTTATAAATAAGAATGCAGGTAAAAGGCACCTGCATGTGCTTCAGTTTTCAAACTGATGAGTTATTTCTATCTTCAGTAAGGGATGAAAAGAGAGCTAAAGTTTTTCAATTCAGTTAGAGAACAGCTACTTTAATAAAATTTACTCAAGTAGAAGTATAACCACTGATGTTGTAACGAGTAAGTCGAAATTAGTCTAAATTATGTCAAGCCTGTTTTCCCTTTATTAAAATTAGCAAATTTACCCACAGCATTAATGTGAAAAACAATCACCTGTCTAGTGGGATTGTTTTGTTTTGTCTGTATCGCACTTTAAAGACGATCCCCGCACACACCAGGCTGTGTTTACAGGAAGGCACGTTTCCAAGCGCCTGACAGAAGGTCTTAGTTGACTGTAATGAGTTAAACTTTTTTACCAGATGATTCCTCCCCACAGCAGAGAGAAGATCACAAAGAAGATCAGCGAACCCCAGATGACAAAGTGGTTGATCCAGGTCCAGTAATGCGTGTCTAGAGCCAGCTACAGCAGAGAGGAGAGAGAAACTCTCAGCTGTCAGACCTCACTGCTGCAAACATTACACGTGTGCATCTGTATTTGTGTGTTTTTACCTTGAATGTTACAGTGAAAACAAGCACGGTGAACACCAGCGTCCCAAACGTCCAGTTTCCAAACATCTGCAGATGAAAAGAGATCAATTTAGCATTTTTAAATACACTGTTTCTGCTTAAATTAAATTCCTCTGGATACTTTTGTTCTGACAAAAACAACAAGTGTTTATTAACTGCTCTTTATAAAATGTAGTGTAATCAGATGAAGCTGCCGTTTTTGAAATAAAAGTATAAAATCCCTCAGTAAATATGGCACAGTGTTATTTTTATGATAGACGAAAATAAAGAATCAATCAATCCAGCAGATGGCAGGGAGCTCAGACTGTGAAGGTGAGATCATCGGGGGACTGATGGAGGAGGAGGAGCAGGGAGATGATGAGGCATTTTGTGTTGGTTTAAATGTACGTCAATGCCCGTCATTGTTTACCATTTATAAAAACCAACAAATCTAGAGGTGCAAATTTGAAGATTGGACAACATGAGAGAACAGCAGGTTCGAGTGAAAGTTAGGCTGCATGTAGTTTTTCTGAATTTGAAAGAAATATTTTGTGTTTCAGACAAAATTTGTGCTTTTTTAAAACCCCAAACTTGCTGGAAATCTGCATCACAGGTTTAACAGACAGCAAAGTAAAAGACTGATGAAGGAGTTTATTTCAACTGAGAGGAATCTCATTCAATATCAACAGAAACTGGAATAATAATAACAATAATAACAACAACAACAACAACACGACTACTACTACTAATAATAATAATAAAAACAATAACAATAACAACAACAATACGACTACTACTTCTACTACCACCACCAACAACAACAACAACAACAACAACAACAACAACAACAACAACAACAACAACAACAACAACAACAACTACTACTACTACTACTACTACTACTACTACTACTACTACTACTACTACTACTAATAATAATAATAATAATAATGATAATAATAATGATAACAAAAACAACAACAGCACTACTACTACTACTACTACTACCACCACCACCACCAACAACAACATCAACAACAACAACAACAACACTACTACTACTACTACTACTACTAATAATAATAATAATAATAATAATATCAACAGCAAAACTACTACTACTGCTATGACTTCTTCTACTAATAATAACAATAATAATAATAAAATAAATAATAATAATAATACCAACAAAAACAACAACAATTATAATGGTAATACTACTACTACTACTACTACTGATAATAATAATAATAATAATAATAATAATAGTAATAATAATAACAATAATAATACTAATAATAATGTTTAAATGATAATTTCGTCTTATTTCTCTGTCATTATCTGGACCTGCTGCACATTCTTCAAAGCTCCTGTGAGGATCTTTCTATTTGAGTTGATTTTCGCTTCATTGAGGACAAACTAAAGTCTTTTCTTCCTTTGCTTTGAAATCTTAGTTTGAACTCAGCATGCTCTCTCAGACCTGATATGATCCTGGTGGTGAGGATGTTTAATCATGTTAATCCATGAAAGCAGAGTTAAAGGATCAATAACATGGGAAAAGAGCATCAAGACAAGCATGAGAAGCTGAGGGTGGAGATTTTCAAAAGCTGCATGAATACAAGATTTAAACTGACTGATGAAACGATGACAGTAATGAAGTCAAAAAATTTTTTTGATCCAAGGTTGTGGATCTGTGATTGACATCATACTCTATCCTGACTGCAACAAAGTAGAATAATAGAGATGGTAATGAAGATGGCATCCTTCTGTTGGGGTACCAAGTGTACCCACCTGACCCCGAGGTACTCAGCCCTAAAATGTCCTTTTTAGAGCGGAGAGGAAATACATGTCATTGAAATTTTTAAAAATCCATAACTGAGGAGATATTTTAACTTTCAATAAACATTTAAGAGGCTTTCAGGAAACATCATTACCAACCTCTTTGGAAGAAAAAAGAATAATCTGAATGGCTCAGAGGAGAGCCACAAACTGAAGCAGGATTGGATTAAAAGGATGTTAAAAGTCTCAAATGTCGTGTAATGGAGGCAGGAGTGCAGCTACTTTTCTACGGTCAAAGTGAGGTGAGTATGGATCACGACACAGAGGCCTACAGACGGCGTGTCTACGGCAAGCAGGAAGGCTTGAACATGACATGAACAGATGACGTGTGGTTGGGTTTTAAACGGGGGGAGAGATGCCAGAGAGAGAGAGAGAGAGAGAGAGAGACAGGGACAGCTTACCATCTGTGTGTTGGTTGTCATTAGCTGGGAGGAGGAAAGAGAAGCCAAAAAGAAAAAGCAACACAAAGGTAAGAGGAGAGGAAGAACAGAGGAGACGGCCAGAAAAAGAAGAAGAAAATCATAATAAAACAATAATTCACAAAGAAAAATATCAGAAAATCAGCCTTTTTTGGCAGAATTTGAAAATAAATGACAGAAAACACAGAAGAGGACGGTCAAAACCTGCCGTGCTGTTAGAACTCGAGGGGAACTACAGAAAATAATCATCCGAAGATGAAAACTTCTAATCCCTGTTCTTCCACACTTCATTTTCTTATCCTTGTTGTTCTTAAAGAGTAAAAATAACTTCATTTTATTCTATTAAAGTTCATGTTTAAAATCCTTATAAGCTTATAAGCAATGCAGGAAGGTAACGTTACCCAACACTGGTGTTTTGGACCTGTAACATTAACCGAATACTGATCAGGAAAAGCAGGAAAATAGGGGAAAAAACTTCATTATTTTGACAGATTTTACAAATGTGATGTGATTCAAGATTTTTGGGCAAGATCATTTAAATGTGACCAGTTCATTTTTGCTGAAAAATAATAGATTAATTACTTGTCATGGTGATATTTTAGGAATTTTATCTAACTAGTTACTGCACTTAAGCATGCTGTGTTTTTATAACACCTCCATTCATTTTAAAGCCCCTTTTTAAGCAAACTAAGGGCCTGCATGGATTAAAAAAAAGTGTCAATAAAATAAAAAAAATGTTGTTGCAAAGTAAAAATGAGAATTTAATTTCCAAAGCAAATTCAATGAAGCAAAAGTAGAAAAAATGATGAGGTTTGACTTTAAAACTGGTTTATTATTCAATAAAATGGAGATAACTTGATCTAAAAAAAGTTAAAACAGGAAAATAAGTCATATCAAAAAATTATACATGTGTTTAAGAAGTTTGAGCTCGCTGTGAATGAAGAAAGTGAAATTAAAAAAACAGTGGAAACAGAGATCGACAGGAAAAATGTCACAGATGTCACAGTTTATAAAAGTTTGTGACTTTGAATCAGCCTGTAGAAACTTTTACAAAAGTTTTAAACTCTTCAAACAATCGTCTTGGGCTGACTTTAAGGGGGTTTTGAGGATGTGTGGGTGTTACCTGTCCGTTGCTGGTGAAGGTGGTGTTGTCGAACAGAAAATAAGCACCAAAGAACATCACAACGGCGTCATAAACACCCAGGATGGTCCAGTAGATGAAGATGGGCCACCGCAGCAGAGAGTTCTTGGCAATATCTCTGTGAGGAAAAACAAAATACATGATTAGAAATCAGAAATTAACCCCAGATAAAGAGGTCAAACCTTCAAACACTGACCTGTAGAGCGACGGGTCCTTCTTCAAGATGTCCATGTTGATGTGCTGCTCTATGAGGCTGTAGAGGAGGATGGGCAGCGAGGTGAAGCTGATGTTGTACAGAGTCAGGTAGGCTGTGTCGTACAGCGGCTGCACATAAAAAAAAGAAATAAAAACATTTACATGTCACCGTTTCATTTTGGTGATCTGTTTTTTGTGTATGTTTTTGTTCATACCTGTTGGGAGAAGCCGCAAAAGAACTGATAGAGGAACTGAGGGAAGATGAAACACACGTTCTGGGAAACAAATAAACAAGAGAAGAGTTAGAGTTCGATCTTTGACATTTATACGACAACATCAGGACAGAGGCCGTGTGCAGTTAGAGAGACACTTTAACTAACTTTAAACCTTTCACTGAAGACAATCATTATCCTCTGAATGAACCAGACGTGATAAAACTAGAATAAAGTCTATTAATAATACTTTGACATCATCACTAGAAGGAGTTAATCAAACTCTCCCACATAAAACCTGTGCCGTCTCACACTAACAGAGTTGTTGTTTCTTTGTTCCTGAACAGACTGCTTCTTTCTGGTTTGGAAGCAATTGTGAAATTTGTCACATTTTGGCATGAATTGACTCCACTATCAAATTGTTTCATCATCTATTCTTAAGGCACCGTCAGGATGAGAGTGCACAAAGCAGCTCTGAGCGACGGAGAGTCGATACGCTGACAGGTTATAATCTCAGTCGCAGTAAATGAAAAACAAGAGCAAACGGCACAAAGATGGTCTGAGATGTAGTTTACGACAAATCCAAAGTCGAGCAGGTGAACGAGCAGGTAGGTTACCTTGTAGAAGAAATATTGCACGAGTTCAGAGATGCGAATGTAGTAATAATGTCCGTGGACGAGCAGCATCTTCTTGAGGTGTTTGAACTTTGGGACGGCGTAGTCACTGTTCCTCACCGCCTGACGACCCTCCTTACCCATGATACCTGCAGCAACAGGTAAAAGTTTGTATTAGCGTGTATTGGCTTTTAGTAACTTCAGTAACTTTTCCCCAACAACCTACAACTTCAATTTTATCGCACACATACCTCTCCCTTTCCCTCTCTGCATCTGTCTGCAAGTATGTGCATCTTTAAAGATCTTTTTAATCCCAAATTCAGAGGGCAGTGATCTACAACAACTGCACAAATGACTTTGGCAACAGCAGGTGAACTTACAATCTTTTACAGACGACAGCTCAAGTTGGCATTCAAAAGGACAAAAAGCAGTGCTGTCTGCTCATTTACTGGATATGCATCTTCGTCACTGCAGAGCTTAAAGCACTGACTGAAGAAGATGTCTTAAAAAAAAGTGGCGACCAATACTGTTTGGCCGCTGCACAGTTTTCAAGATTGCATTCAAGATCTTTAAGGATTGATTGGGATTAAAAAAAGAGTCAGTTTATTTGATTTTTCTGCAGCAAAAACAAAAAAAAATTACAAAGGTTTAGCAAATTAAACTCGAGCTACCAATTTCAAAATTTTGTTTATTTTATAGCTGTTGGTTTCCCTTTCCAATCATTGGAATCAGGCAATTTAAATTGTAAGACTTTTTCTGTAAATGCATGAACCCTTTAACAAACCCCAACAGTCCAAAAGTCTGTCTCATGTAGAGGAATGCTGTAGCGTAGTTACCGATGCCAACATGGGCCTCTAGGATCATGCTGACATCATTTGCTCCATCTCCAACAGCCAGTGTGATCGGATGCTCCTTCGAGGCTTTGATCAGCTTCACAATCTAGAATGAAACGAGAGGAAAAATCACGTCCACGATGTTTCCGGTAGCAGAAAGCATCCTTGTTTTTCTGCTAAGTCTAAAAGGATGCAGGTATGTTCTCTGAACCTGTGCTTTCTGGAGCGGAGCCATTCGACAGCAGAGCACTGCGCTGCAGTTTCTGCAGATTTCCAGGAAGATCTCTTTGTAATTCCCTGAGTTTGAGTCCTCCTGAGCTGGCCTCATCACCGCCGAGAGGGTGGCTCCATCGATGATCAGACCGAAATCTGTGCAGTCAGACGATAAACTACAAAACAAATAACACCAATCAAACACCAAAGAGTAAAATCAAAACATAAAGCTGCAGATTTAAAGGATTTGACAGAAAACTCACCCAGAGAAGTTGTCCCTGGTCATGCCTCCATGCTGCCTCAGGACCGTCCTGCTCAGGTCAAACAGGACGTCGTGGAGGCTCTGCTCCTCCGTACGTTTGGTTGTCAGCTCCAGGATCTGGGTGTTACGGCGAAACAGTTTACTGGCGTAGCAGGTCGCAGCCGCCGTCTCCATCTTGTCGCCTGTGAGCACCCACACTTTCATTCCTGCTTTATGCAGAGACTCGATGGTGTCCGCTGCTTTGTCCTGGAGCCTGTCGGGATGGATGAAAATTTTATTATATAGTCATATATAGTCATATATATAGTTATAACAGACAGAAACATAATTAGCAGAGATCCTCCACCTGTCCTCAACAGCCGTGGCTCCCAGCAGTATCAGGTCCTTCTCGATGAGGTCATATGCCTCGGCCAATCGTTTGTCTCGGTCCTGAAGTGCTAGTTTGGCCCCGCTCAGCAGGTTGCAGACCTCCCGGTACTGCTCAGGACTCAGAGGACGATAGGCCACACAGAGCGTCCTCAGACCCTCCTGTAAAGAGGAGACTTAACTTAACTAGTCGCTTTAATCTGGAGCTTTAATTTCGTGAGGTTTCCATCATCCATCATCTTCTGTGTCAAACACCCAAAAGCTGATTCATGTCTATTAGAGGTCACAAGCTGGACCCTGTGTGAAATGAAAAAATGCTCAATATCTGTTTGATGGACAAGTGCCCTCCTGATCTTTTTCCTGTTGTAACCATGGAAACTGCTGTGGTCATGTACTGTGACTGTGGAAACCACAGGAGTCACAGGATTTTGGGAACTCTGAGAAAGTGAGTCTGAAATGAAGCTTCAAGAGAAACCATGTTGTGTTATTCCATTTGTGGTTGTTTATGAGAGTGTGTATGTGTGTGTGTGAGTGTGTGAGTGTGTGTGAGTGTGTGTGTCCTCACCACTGCGTTATGCTCCACCCGCGCTCTGACCTGATCCACTTTTCCTGATATGACCCGAGGGAAGATGGAGGAGTCTGCACCTTTACAGAACAGGTAGAGCTCACCTGCTCAAACAGACAGAGAGAGAACGCTGAGACACACTCCAGCCTGGTACAAACACACATACACAATAACAGTCTGAGGTGTGTGTGTTACCTGAACTGGATCTGACGATGACGCTCATCCTCCGCCTGACTGAGTCGAAGGTTAAAACTTCAAGCAGCTCAAACCTGAACAACAAAACAAACAGAAGCTGTACGGCAAATCGAACAAAGTCGCACAAATAAATCCTCGTAACTAAAGTTAAAGGTGTGTGACATTTAATATCAATCAGTGCTTTGACTGAACTCCTACAGCCTGTGTGTGTTACTGCATTTTTAAATAGAACGGGAGTTAAATGTGCAGATACAGATTCTGCCTCCCTGCAGGCACAACTACAGCAGCTCTTAGAGGAAATAAGAGGACACACACTGATTCATGTTACACCCAAACCACACCTCGAAAAATCACAGGACTTGATCCAAATTCACTGCACAAACCTCGATTCACAAAAAACAGCAGAAGTGCGATTAAGACAGTTCAAACATGAGTTGTGTTTTAATAGAAGAAGTTCAGAGCTACACAAAACACTGATTGGTTTCAAAGGGGGAAGACTCACCTTTCAATCTCATCCTCTCTGTTTAAGATCTCCATGTGACTGTCTTTGAGTCTCAGGTAGGTGAACCCGAGTCTGCAGAGCACAACAAAGACAACTTTTAGTGACTCATTTCAAATGTATTTCAACAAAGAGAGACAGTGCATGTGCGCGCTGCACCTCTTCATGCCTTCCACCAACGCCACCTCATCAGGAGACGAGGAGATGTAGATGGAGGTGGACTTTCCCTGATGGATGCCGTGTTTAATCCCGTCCACCGTCTCCTCCTCCTTTACCTGTACCGTGTGGCACAAACATAGTGCCCGGAAAAAAAGCTCCTCGTGCTCCTGGAGAAGAAAAAACACAAAATGAAACAAAAATATCCAAACATGAACACAAACACGAACTTAAACTGAGACTGTGCTCACCCTGGCTCCTGGACCTGGAGATGTGTCGATCATGTCCATACCTGCTGCACCGGGCATCACCTGGAAAGACCATGGGTAGATTTAAGAAGATCATAATACAGCAAACAGAGGATACAGGATTATAAAACTGAAGTAGAATAATCTACCTGTCCGTTACAGATGATGTGAGGTACGTAAACGTGCCCGTCGACACAGCACTCAATGAACTCCATGTTGTTCTCCGTCAGAGTACCTGTCTTATCTGTAAACACGTACTCCACCTGCAAACCGAGCAGAAAGAGCGTCATCACAGAGAAATAGGAGTATTTACCAGAGGTGGGGGAAAGTCCTTATGTTCAAGTCCAAGTCGAGTCTCAAGTCTCAAGTCAAGTCCAAGTCCTTACCGTTTCTTTCAAGTCAAAAACAAGTCATGTCAAAGCCATAAACCATTTGTTATATGTAAAGATTTACATCAATCATGAGCATTTTTCACTATTTGCATTTATTATTAAACAAGGGTTCTTGTTTGTGTAAAGTTACATAGTGCAGCTTTAATCAAACTATTTTACATGCAGAGGCGATTGCTCTAAGACTGCAAGGGAAGCCCAGCTTCCCTTAAAATGTCACCCCCCCAAAAAAAAGAAAAAGTGGTGAAATACGTACTGCTGTGTGTACATTTCATTAACTAAATACGCGCTAGAAAGCCTTCATCTTTTGTTCAGAATCAGCTTCTTATCACAGTGATAAGAAGCTGATTCTGAACAACTTCGTTCTCATTCATCCTCGCAGCGCCTCAGCGCTTTAAACAGCCGGACGCCGGGCTTCTGCTGACTTCAATGTGGAAGCTCAAAGTGGGTTGTTCCAGCAGCGAAACTAGACACTCATTGGATAAATGCTGGGCTTTGTCCCGCCCATCGGACGCTCGGCTTCACTGGAGTTCTATGGCGAGAGGGCGGTCCCGACTGTCTCCCGGACTCCGAGCTTCTGCATCCATGATTGGATGAGCTGTCTGAGGTGAAATCCTTGTTTGATTGACAGCTAAACAAGCGAATCAGCGATCTTGAAGAATAAAACATCTACTAAAGCATTTTCCAAGTTATTCATTCCGTTGTTCTTAACTGTTTCGGAGACTTTACCGATCCTCAGCGACTTTTGTCTTTGTGAAAAACGACTGCCGTTGTGTTTGGCGACTCTTTCCTGTTACATACAAATAAACAAACACAATTATGATGTAGGCCAGAAAAATGAGCTTCCCCTCCTTGAAAGACCAGCAGCCGCCACTGTTTACATGTCATACAAAAAAATAATCAGATCAACTTCAAGAATTGGATACTTAGACAACAGACTTGGCAACACAACACGGTGTTACCAACGGCCGTAATTCCTGACTATTAGTTGATGCGACACTTTTTAAATGGTTTGGGCTTGCTGTAAGGTATTAAGTGACTTGAAAAGACTTGAAAAGACTTTTCAAGTCACTGAGCTCCAGTCAAGTCAAGTCAAGTCAAGTCTCAAGTCTTTAGCAATCAAGTCCCAAGCAAGTCCAAGTCATTTCTTGATCATCAAGCAAGTCAAAAACGGGACTCAAGTCCAAGTCGAGTCTCAAGTCGAGTCGTCAAGCCCCCACCTCTGGTATTTATGATGTTGAAAACTTGAACTTGGACCCGGATGGAGCAAAGTCTTTCATAAACGTCAGAAATAGTCCAGTTAAATCCACCAAACTCCGTTCATCCTCTGTTTGCTAATCTAAAGCCAATTGTTTGAAGTTTCGGAGAAGTATTTCACTCCAAATTTTAACTCCGAAGTTTGTTTTCTTTCATACCTGTCCCAGCTCCTCGTTCAGGTCTGACGTGTTGACGACCGCCCTCTCTCCCAGCTCCTCATCAAACATCTCATCATCCCACATGATGAAGTACGAGCCTAGAAACTTTTGCATCTCCACGGTGACGTACATGGACACAGGGATGATGTAGTTGAACAGAACCATGAAGGCGAGGAAGTCTGTAAATGCCCTGATCACCTGATGAAGAAGAGGAGGAGGAGGAAGAGTTAAAGGGGGGATCGAGATTGTTTCTAGAACTGAAGGAATAAGAAAAATAAACTCACGATGTGTCTCTGCCTCTCAGACTCCGTCCTCTGGTTGTACCACGGCTCGTCTCTGTTGGGGTTGGCCTGCCAGGCGTATTTCATTATCGTGTTGATGATGGATTTGCCAATGAGGATGCAGAGGTAGACGACAAGGTAGGCATTCATTGACCTGCAGGGGGAGACGGTAAGAAATGACTCATTTGGGTTTAAAAAATCTGAGTCCTAAATTTGGGAGTTTGGAAAGAAGAATGTGCAGGTGAGATCAATGAGTGAGGAAAAGTACAAATAAAATGGTACAAAAACACAGTTAAGCTTTTCACTTCATTATTTATGTCTGAATTGATGCTCAATGAGAACACAGACTCTGACTGAGTCATCAACATGCAAGACAACAACCATCCCAAACTGCATTTTTAAGATATGAGAGTATACCTTTAAGAAATCCAATTTAGTGGGATTAAAGTCGGACTAACATGTTTACACGTATTAGGACAGGTCTCTTTATCTGTATAGTCGGCCTTTTACAGTGCAGAAATATGTAGAAAAACGGTACCACTGAATCTGATCCAGTAAAAAAACATGTAAACAGGACACAGACCTAACCCGTAAACCAACTTTTAGACATATCATTATAAAGCATTAAGAAGGAATGGGTCTAAGTCTGTCCTGAGCTTGAATAAATAAACCTAGCAAAAATTGTTCAAATCCAGCACTTGTTGTGTGCAGACTCCTCACATGGATCATTTTGGTAAAAGACAGACAAATGTGATTAAAACGAGCCCATCAGACTCATGAGAGTGTAAATCTAATCCACCTACATTCAGTCAGTTATCATCGAGCCATCTGGATACTAAACGTAGATCAACTCCAGATGGAAAGGAGAAGATCCCGTCATTAAAGAGAGCCAGAGACTCACAGGTGTTTAGTCAGGGAATAAATAAATGATGATAGAAGAAAGGTCGAAAATATGAACCATGACTCGGTGTTGGTTGATAAATGCTGCCAATTTTTTTCCTCTCCAGCGACTAATCATGAAAATATTATGTCAAACTGCAGAACGAGAAGAAAAAGAGAGAGAGCAAGAGAGAGAGAGAGAGAGAGAGAGAGAGAGAGCTTACTTTTCCACGGCAGACCGTTTCTGAGATTTGGACTGGTAGTTCAGAGCCATCTTGGTTTCCATCCCTGTGTAGATAGCGACAGCTGAAAGGAGGCAGAAGGTTGAAGGTTGAAAAAGATCCTTATTGTTCAGCAAAACAAGGAAAATTGTGCTGAAGTAATTATAAATATTGTCTAATAGTGTTAAATTAAAAGAGGAGCAGATATTTGGATGACGATGCCTCAGTTTCCATAGAGATGGATTTATGACCACCTGTTAACACATGAATGGATTTTCATATCTGGATCGCTTCACGACAGCCGAGAAAAACAACACCCGAAGAGGACATTGAGAAACGACGAAGAGCCAAAACCAGAGAGAAACGGATGTGTTTTTGTGTGTTTATACCGTAGATGTACTCTGTGTTCTTCAGCGTGGCTCCTCGCAGCAGCAGATTTTCCGATCCTAATGGCCTGAGAACAGAAAAAATGTAATACTGTACTATAATTCCTCATTTAAATCTAAAACCCTGTGTGCCTATCATATCCCATTTACACATACCTGGCCACCGGCTCGTTGTCCATGTAAACGTTGATCCGTCCCACAAATCTGTTCGAGAAAAACGGTTTTTATTTTACACAGACACTAATCTATAAAACTGTGTTTCAGGTGTGTGTGTGGGTGTGCTTGTGTGTTATACTGACTTGTAGAGGTCTGGTTGTGGTTGTTCACATTCAATAGTTGCGTGGATAGAGTCCACCTCCTTCTCTGTGTTGTAAGCTTTGGTGTCCTGAACTGCATAGTACGTCTAAGAAGAGAGAGAGAGAACAGAAGAGATGAGTGAAAAAAAACAGAATGAGAGGACAGGAGAGGGTAGGTGGAGATATATTGATAGATAGATGTATAAATTAAATAAATAAATCAGTGGTGGGGGCTTGACGACTCGACTTGAGACTCGACTTGGACTTGAACATAAGGACTTTCCCCCACCTCTAAAATAAATAGTGGTGATTATTGATAGAAGGAGAGAGTTTCGTCTTGACCTGTTAAGACTTTTGCCGTAAACATCCAATTCACATGTTTTGATATTAGAGTTTCAAAAAGTTTAATTTAATTTTCTTTCTTTCGCTGTTCACTGATTATTTTATAAACCTCTCCAGGACTGAAGAGCAGAGGCGGAAGTTTAACGTTTTTAAGGGTCAAACCTTTTAATATTGTCGATTTAATGTTTCTTTTTTGTACAGAGTTTGAGGGATAAAGATTTTATAAGTGTTAATATCCTTAGCAGTTTTCTGAAGGCCCTCAGGTTTTGGAGGTTATATTCTGACGGTACTTCAGTTTAGAGGATGCTTCTCAGGCAGCCTTGAGTCTAAATGGGTTAAAATTCACTCATTGCACCAACCTTGTGGCTGCTCTCTCCATCTAAACTGGCTGTGGTAACAAAACAGGTCCCGTCGTCTCGGGACGAGGAGAGGAGGATGAGGTCGCACGGAAATGTCTCATCCTCTTTGACTGAGACGACGTCTCCGACCTGAAAGAGAGAGAGCGAGAGAAAAAGATGCATCCTGCTTTATTTTGTTTTTTAAGAACAGCTCATCCTCGCTGTAAAAGTTCTTATGAACTTAAACTAATATTCTGCTGTTTATTTTTATTTTAATGAATTACTATTTACATCTATCAGGTCAAACCAGAACATTATAGACAGAATAAAGTCTCAAGACGACAACAAGGAAGATTTGGGACATCTTGATGAGATTATTTATCGATTTAATTAAGACGGAAGACAAAACAATTGTCCGCTTTATGAGATTAGAGCTTAATGTACTTTATCGAATGACTTACATATGATACAGTGATTGTGATTAAACATAGGTTGGTAAAATAGATCAGCTATCTTACATCACAGCCTTTCAAATAGGAGAGTTCATAGATTACTTCTTGTTTGAGCTACAGGTAAAGCAACTTGTCTACTGCAAAACAATCTATTTTCTGACTGGCATGTGTCTTCAGATCAAAACAGAGAGTCAAATCTGGGTCTAGTTTCACTGTAAATAGTTTAATACATAGACTTCATTCAAGCATTCTTGGTGGGGATGAGCTCCCCAAAAGAACAGACTGTCTTGACAGTCACATACAAATGAACATCCCCTTGTTTGTTTCTAGTGGGTCTTAGTTTCACAGTAAAGTCTAATCTGCCCTGAGGCTTCACATTGGCTTACCTTTTTTAGATTTTTCAGGTTAAAGTTTTATGATGGGTCACAGTTTCAGTGTTAATATAGTCTTACACAGAGGCTTTACTCTGGCTGCATCTTCGTCCAGATGTGTGTTTTCTAGAGATCATCACAATACTGATGGAGAGATTTGATACTCACCTGTCACCTGTTTTTCTCTCCATACAGGAGTTTTCCCTGCAGTTTTGACTCTTACATACAGATTCAACACCTTTAATTAGAATCTGTAAACAGTAATATTATTGCACAGCCCTACTTGTTGTATACAGAACAGACTCCTAACTGTAGAGTCTGCTGGAACTGCATGCCTCTTATCCTGTTAGTAAAGCTAATACAGTTGCTGCTAATGCATTTAGCCTAACAAGCTAACCTTCTGCTCCGCCACCTGTAAACCTCTGAATATTAGCCAACGACTGCTCAACATTTGTTCCCTCACAGGATTGTTGATGTGGAAACAGACCTTTTCTGTCTGTTATTCAAGCTGCAGTTTCACTCTCTGAATTATTGCATAACAAACATTAATGAGGTGGACTTTAAAAGCCCTCAAATGCGGGCCTGCAGACCCACACACATGCACATGCAGCTTAGTCTCAGGAAAATCCCTCTGCACGAGCCAATAATACAAATGCACCAAAGCTCTGGACATGTTTTACAGTCTGAGGGTGATTTATCTGATCTCACACACACACATACCCTGAGCTTGCGGCTTTGTTTACGAACCACTTTCCCATGCTGGACCACGTGGACAGGACACTGGTTTACGGCGTTGTCTGCTTTGTGTCTTAACCAGTCTTCGTAACCCTAACACAGAGAAACGCAGGAAATTAGAGACACAAAGGGCAGTGATTTCATGTTATCTAATAAAAAACTGGAATAAATTTAGCCGTGAGGGCTTTTATAGCTCACCTGTTTGATGGCGGTGACTGTGATGACAAAGAAAAGTGGCAGTCCGCTGGTGATGGGACTGGTGGGGGTGTCGATTATTAACTGAAATGACACAAATGGAAGGAGATGAATTTAACACTTAAATCTGTGTGCAAAATAAGGGGAGGGGTTCCTCTGAGTAACAGGAAAGATCCACTCGCCCCCTAAGATCCGTGTATTTTCCTGACAAAGCATCTTATGAACAGTGGAAACAGTTACAGCTGAGACAACTGATTTGCTGCGAACTTTCCAATACATGCCAAACTAATCTGGTCAACCATTTATCCGTTTAGTCAAAATAATTCTCCAAAACCTCTTTTTTTTTCCAAATCTAGATTATAAACTTAATATTTTTGGGAGCAAAACACTGGGGATGTTATCATTAGCTGCGTTTCCGTTACCCATAGATTTGCGCAAAACCTAAATATCGCAATAGAAAACTGGTAATGGAAAAACCTACATTTAAAAAAACCTCTCAAATATCACTAAAAAGTTTTTACGCTCTCATGAGGTGGTTTTTCAGACGTGTCGATATAGAAGTATATCGCAAAAGTGTAATGGAAACACTATTCTCGCAATTCTAGCAGGTCATGTGACCAGCTCATTTCAAGCAAAGATGGCGCGGTATGTGTGGACGGAGGAGGAAACGGAGTTATTTCTAGAAATAATAAAAGAGAAAAAATATAACCGCCATCCTTGATAGCAGACCACAGCGAAATGCAGAGTTGTTGTGTGTGTTGGTGTGCAAAAAGGCTTAAGGAATACGAGGTCACACGGGCAGGAAGTTTACCTCGTTGCTAGGCAACTGCCATTCAAACACGGCTCGCGAGAGGCAGACGGCTCGCTTATGCACTGAACACCATTCAATGGAAACACCCGCAAATCGCAATTGTACTTTGTCGAAATTTGATAAACATCGCTTTTATTTTGCGAAAAAATGTAATGGAAACGCAGCGAGTGACTTTGAAAAACACTGTTGGTTGCAGTCTGCACAAGCATGCTCAGTAGAAATGATAACCACTGAAAATACGAGCAAAAGTGCATTTGTTTTACCTGGATGAGGAAGATGATGAGAAAGTAGAAGTTGGCGACTCTCCTGAACTGCTCGAACATGTTCTTGGGGATGAAGTTCCAAAATGTGTACTGGAAATAAGAGACAGGTAAGGGTTAAAAAGAGATCCGAGCGGTGTCACTGACTGTCACTGATGATGCAGCAGCATAAATACAACATGTTGGTTCTTTCAGAGCCAAAGAAAGTAACAAACAGAAGCATGCATAAGACTCTTATTTTGTACAGTTTGTCCTGATGAAATCTCTCCTTTCTGTGTTTTCTGACCTTGGAGGAGACTATCCTGTTGTCGGGGTATCTCTGTTGTATAAAGGCCTCTGTTCCTGGAGGAGGCTCCTTGTGACCGATGTAAATCGTCCTGCTGTCCACCCAGTTCTCCTCACCAACACACTGTGAAGATAAAACATACAAGAGTGTGACTGTAAGTGATTTTTTTTTTTTTTAGTTAAAATCTCTAAACAGTCTGAAAAGTAAAGCCTAATTTTTCACTTCCATTGTAGTGATGAGGGTTCAAATGTGAGTCATATATGTGTGTAATGATTTAATGCTCTCCTACACAGTGATAAAAGAACACAGACACACACAGAAACACACCCACAGACGTTTACACAGAGTGAATGAGTAACTTCTTCTCAATGAATGAAAGCTTGTATTATCACAGATACACAGACCTGCATGTGACTCAGACTGGAATGCACACACACGCAAGCACGCACACACACACACACACACACACTGATAAGACTTTTTCAGGGTTTAACTATTTTGTTATCTAATTACCTCCGCCATGGAGGTTATGTTTTCGGTAGCATTGGTTTGTTTGTTTGTTTGTCTGTGAACAACTTTACGGAGAAATTTCACTGTTATTCTTTTGGAGCTGATATCTTAGACACATATATTCAGTCAATATCATTAATATCTTCCTTTAAAGAAGTCTTACATTTGCGTCAATATGGGCAATAAGCGTTTCATGAAACCCTGATGGAGAAGCTTGTGATTAAGACCAGTGTAGGACCAAATTAAATTTTGAATAAGGATCAAAAACACATTTGACATGTGCAGTTTTCCACAGAATAATATGTTGTTTATTCTCTCGATTAGAAAAAAATAAAACAGAAAAGCAGCAGAAGATTGAAGCCAAGTATGACATCTTTTTGGATAAAAATGCCTGGAATGAGTAACCAGTAACCAACCAATTTATCACACACATTTTTGCAGACGTTCTTCTCACCAATGGTGCAAAAATGTTTGACTAATATTTCTTAGGAATGAACGGGTGGCATCTGGGCATCCCTGCTGTTTTTGTTTCTCACTTTACCTTGTACGAAAATGCTACCTTGTCTTTGCAACCTTTTCAAAAAATTTAAGTTGTGCATAAAACCTTAAAAATTCTGCCCAGCATCCCAACTTCCAATCTGCTTCTAATGTTCTTCTAATCTGCTTTTCTCTCCTTGAAATGTCCACAAAACAAAATAAAACTGCAACCTCTTTGAAACCAGTCAAAAAAGATAAAATCCTGTCCGGGGGGGTTTCATGTCCTTGCAGGTTAAAACACCTGAAGGCAGAGAGAACGTGGGGCAGGTCTGGGCGAGACAGTTCAGCTCTAACACACCGAACCCATCTGCTCCTCTTTCTTTCCAACTCTGTCAGTTATCGTGTCCACAGGCAGCTGAAAGTAAACCTGGATATCACTGTTTAAATCGTCACTAAACAGTCTGTCTCTTCCTCCTCGCAGGCAAACAGGAGCTGACAGTAATCTGTCAGATTGAGTGTCAGGAGCTTGTCCCACTTTCTTCACTCTCTCACACAGTAACCTGTTAGCTCACTGCTCTAAGATTACACTGTTTAGCATGGAGAACTATTTATATCCTCTGACCTCCAATTATCCACAAGAGCGCATGAAAGAGGAGGAAATCTTGCAGCCTAAATTGATGCTTTATTGAAGCTGAGTTTTTTACAGAAATCACAGTTATTGTTGGCTCTGCCTCCCACACACTGTTACAGTTCCTTCTTCTCTTCTTCACATGATCCAGGTTAGCTGAATGTGAGTAATCACACAGGAACACACAAGCCCAGTAATTGGTGTACTATCAGTAAAATGTAGTGTAAAAATTGATTGGGGAGCTGGCCAAGTTTCTGTTTACAGGAAAAAACACTCAGTCTAGAGAGAGTAGTCATTTTGATGTGGTTCAATGTTGGGTCACCGCAGAGATTTACTATACTAGCATACTTTTATGAATATATGTAACTCATTATAAAGATGCTCTGGATTTTACTCCATTTACATCTCTGAAGAGATTCAGGTGTGTGAAAAGAAACCCTGACTCATCCGCTGCTGGACGACAAAGATAAATGCCTCTTGGAGCAAACGCCAGCTATGTGGGTTAGGTCAGATCAAGATTACTATTCCTTGTGTCGCTGTTGTTTGCAGGTTTATTAGCAACTTAAGGTTCTAGAGGGGGGTTAGAACCAAGAAACAGTGCTGAGGAGGAAAACAACAACCTTTGGTCTTGAGAGATGGAGCCAAAGCAGAGGAGCTCAAATCTGAAGGTCCTCGAGTGTTCACTCGAGGCAGGCTGCAGATACATCAGTTTGGTTCTCTTTTTGCACACATTGTCTAACCCTCACACTACGATACGATTGGATACAATATGATACGATACAATATGATACAATACAATACGACACAATACAAAACGATACGAAATAATACGATACAAAACGATACAATACGATATGATACGATACAATACGATACAAAACGATACAATACGATACAATACAATATGATACGAAACGAAATGATACAATACGATATGATATGATACGATATGATACGATACAAAACGATACAATACAATACGATACAATATGATACGAAATGATACCATATGAAATGATACGAAATGATACGATACGATATCATACAATACGATATGATATGATACAATATGATACAAAACGATACAATACAATACGAAATGATACGATACGATATGATACGATACAAAACGATACATACAATATGATACGAAATGATACGACACGAAATGATACAATATGATACAAAACGATACAATACGATACAATACAATACGATACCAAATGATACCATACGAAATGGTTCGATACGATATGATACGATACAATATGATACAATACAATACGACACAATACAAAACGATACGAAATAATACGATACAAAACGATACAATACGATATGATACGATACAATACGATACAAAACGATACAATACGATACAATACAATACGATACAATACAATATGATACGAAACGAAATGATACAATACGATATGATATGATATGATATGATACAATATGATACGATACAAAACGATACTATACAATACGATACAATATGATACGAAATGATACCATACGAAATGATACGAAATGATACGATACGATATCATACAATACGATATGATATGATACAATATGATACAAAACGATACAATACAATACAATATGAAATGATACGATATTATACGATACGATATGATACGATACAAAACGATACATACAATATGATACGAAATGATACGACACGAAATGATACAATATGATACAAAGCGATACAATACGATACAATACAATACGATACCAAATGATACCATACGAAATGGTTCGATACGATATGATACGATACAATACAGTACAATACGATAAGATAAGATACACTTTAATGTCTGCTTAGTGAAATTTGTCTTGGACTCCAAGAATTACACAGATAAATCTACCAACTCATCTACTACTACCAAGGCGACGTGCTTTGTGAACTTGACCTTGGGAGAAAGAAGATAGTAAAGCGGATGATGCTCAACCTGTTGCTCTTGGCAGCTGCAATCAAATCTTAGTGAATTCAATGTTTCAACCAACAAGAGTTGTCTCAACAACCACAGCCCACGTTCGCGATCATAGGTGTGCAAGTCTTAAAAAGAGGTGTGATGAGGTACGAAGAAGGAGCCGATATCCAATCCAAATATCAGATTGGTGCATCTCCAGTCTGGCCCTTCATAGAATCAAAACTTTGAGAAATTTGGTCTCACAAAGTTGGCAGAGAGGTGGTGCACAATTATGCTGAAACTGAAAAACTGCAGCGTTAAATTCATTTTGGGGGAATTTCAGGAGGTGTATGGATCTGTTTCTGTCTAAAACAGTAAACAAAGAGGGAAATCAGAGCTGCTTTCTATCTTCTTCTCCATTTTCCTCGTAATGTGCTTTTATCGGTTTTCTCACCTCGTCCTCTCCATCTCTCGCCACAACCTAGATAGCCTCTGAGCCTGCCGTCTATCTCACATCGATTATGTTTAGCTTTCATCCGGATTCAGCTTTTTACATGAAAGCCTGTCTGCGTGTAATCAAATCAAACGGCATCATCACAAAATAAAAGCCAGCTTTATAAAATAAAAGTGCCCTGCGTTAGCTCGGGACGTTAGCCCCTGAATGTAAGCGGAGACTTTGGAGCTATTCTGGACTTGGATAATCACTTTTCTCAGCGTTTCATGTTACAGGATGCAGCAGGTTTCAGGGTGTATTTATAGTTAGGAGGGAAACATTTGTGGTCTGCAGAGAAGGATGGAGAGAGCTCACAGGCTTTGTTTCTGTCTGCCTCAATCAGCACACACACACACTTAACTCTCAGCTGGGTTAGAAAGCAGAGAGGGCTTTCAGGAAATACACACTCACAAACACACACATCCCAGCTACATAAAACATGTATGAGAGCAGCATTACAGCAACAATACACACGATGTTCCCGCTTACTGATCATAAGGATATATTTAGAGACTAACGTCTTGTGATTTCTGCAGAGGTGTTTTTGTTTTAGTTGACATCTTTCACCATGGTTACCTACGTATATGAATAAAATACAGGGTTATTAAAGCAGGTTTCTATATGAGGAAGGGGTTAATGAGAGAGAGCATGCATTTTAAAGAAGTGAAACTGACATGATGGGTGCTATTTAAAGATCTTCTCCTGCATGTTCTTCATCATGTTCTCCAGGTGCAGGAGTCATTTTCAGTGTATTTATAAGTGAATTAAATGCCTTTGTATTCTCATGTTTGGGGGATTACATTGTGCATAATTACTGTCCCTTACGCTCACTGGGACCAGTGTCTGTCAGGGTGGAGTGAAACTTTGTAAATAGAGTGTAAATAGAGTTCTACAAGACTCGTGTTTTCCCCCATTTACTCACTGTAGGGGTGGAGCCATAGACTGGACAATTTGGCTCCGCCTCCTGCCAGTATAAGGATTTGAAGCCGAAAAGCTCTCGGTTTTTCTACACTTCCTGAAACAACATTGCGCAATAGCTTTGTACGCACTTCACACGAAGAGTCGCTGTGATGACACTCGGCTCAAACAGCGTATCCCCCGGGTAAGCTACGCACCCAAAGGCTGTATCAAGTGTCGATCGTAGAAAACATGAACCCCCTAATAACTTTAAAAAATAGAGCTGCACAGAAAAAAAAGGACTTGAGCACAAACCAGTCTGAGAGTAACTATATGTCAACATCACAACCAGGGAGGAGAAAAATCTATACTCTCTGTAATTACTTTCTAAAAGTTTGTCCACAGCTCCATAGGGATTGCTGGAGGAGGCGGGATTTATAACCTATACTGCAGCCCGTCACCAGAGGGTGCTGTTGTTGCGGTGGCTTCACCCAGCGAGGAGGCAGACTGCATCCATTCTATTTACAGTCTATGGGTGGAGTTAACACACATGGGCAGGCATCTTTCTCCTGCTCATATTTGACAGATATATTTTGAAAGTTTTTTAATACTTTAAAACTTACAAACACACATGAAGACAAATTTAACATGAATTTCTCAAACGCATTTCTCATATAAGTTAGGCGCTTTAACAGGGTTTATGCACGTATTGAAAAGACTCTGTGGATTACAAATAAAGTTACATATTTGTGGTCGACCCACTACAGTTTTTCAGCGGCTGATGAGGGTTTTAGTTTTCCATGGATCTGCACATGCTGTCTCACAATCATTTTCAGTGTGAGAAAAAAGACGGTAAAAAAGATGCACCTAATTCCTTATTTCTTAATCCAAATGTGTATGCCACTTTGACATCACATGCATTATTCCAACAGGACCTGAATGCATCACTTGAGCGTCAGGAACTGAAGCCCCTCTGTGACCAGGAACAGAGGACCAGATTGTAAACAGGAAGAGCTGGGCCTGCCCACTCACACATACAGGACACACACTTCCTGAAACAAGCGGCCAACCCCCTCTCCATTCATGCACAACTCTGACACCACCAGGAGGTGTTTTCTCTCAACTTTGAATAAAAATGTAATCTTAATCGAGGAAATGAAGAAAAACTTCAAGATCTTCCATTTCAATTAAACCCTGCATATTTTCATCTTTGTGCAAATTAATTTTCAGAGCATTTCAAAGAAGATGCATCCATTAAAATCAATTTTTACAGCAGCACATGACTCAGACATGACTGTCTGACATGACTCAGACACACACTGTTCCAGGGAAAAGGCCAAGCTTTAGAGGCAGAAACGTTTTTACTTTGGGTGCAGATGAAAGCGGTCTGCTCTTCACTGGACTATTGATTATTCTAAGGATTCATTTGAAACTTGATCAGCTCTTAAAACATTGCGAGAAAGAACATTTTGCTTGGTTAAAACCCAACAACAACCAGAATAGATCACACACACACACATTATATCGTCTATATATCGTCTATATATCGTCTATATATCGTTGAGGCGTCTACCAAATTGAAGAAAACAGACAAAAAGCATAAAACCAGTTCAAATCAATGAAATCATCTTTGAATTGATATTCAGTTTTTCGGACCAAATGTGCATTTTTGTTTGATATTTTGAACTGTTAAACTTTGTATTATAAAATTAGAATAGAAAGCCCCTGATGCTATTATACAGTGTGAAACGTAACAATGAGTGTTATAGTTTAAAGTGCACGACTTTCAGACATACAAGAAGGGGAGCAAGCAGGTAATGTTTGTTGCACAGTTAAAAACAACAACTAGAAAAGCACTCGGAGAGTGCAGACCTCCGCCAAGCAGCTCATGTCCCCCCTTAAACAAGAAAGCCCTGACCGGGATTGGAACCCAGGACCTTCTGGTTGTGAGGTACCAGTGCTAACCACTACACCACTGTGCCTCCCATTGGTTATCTTCCAGCATTGAAAATTCCAACGACACCCTTATTTTTGTGTGTTCTGGATCACCACCAAAATTTAATGAGTTCCTCCTGGGGCTGAGACGCACCTCTGGTGAAAATTTCAGGTCAATCCGTCTGTAACTTTGTCTGTAAAGTTGCTAACAGACAAACAAACAAACCAACGCTACCAAAAACATAACCTCCTTGGCGGAGGTAACAAAAGTTACATTAGTGAAACAGAGCCCTCCCCTACTGTTTCAAATAATCCTGGAGGAAACCCTTTATGTGAATTACAACCCAGTAATAGAAACTCGTTTACATTATAGTTCCTATCATATTAATGGGTAGGGCTGGGCAATAAACCGACAATTTACAGATACTGAAAATTTACGACAATGACCGATATCATTTTCCTCATCTCAATAAATTCTCTGTCAAAATAAATAAATAAATAAATAAATAAATACGAGTTGTTTTTGGATGTGCGTAGGTAGGCTATGGTCTCATGTCCCCTTAAGACGCTGTCCTACATCAGAGATGTGACTCCACCCCATCCAGTCCGTAACAAAGAGGAAAAGACAGATGAGGAGATGGAGGACGGTTCAAAAGTTGTTGCGGCTGAAGTAGACGAAGTTAATGTGGGAGGGGATGAGCAGCTTGTTGAGTAGTTATCGTCCATTTATCATTATCAAGGTGAACTGATCAATATAGTTCACCTCTATCAATAGGGATGAGATTTGCTTCATACATCTAATTTAAAGTGCGTTAATGTTGAGTTTCCTTGGATCTGAATTGATGACCGCACAGCGATTTCAGTCTCTGTATTTAACTGTAGAGCAAACAGTCTGTTTCAAAGCTGCCAGCTCAAACAATCTGGCAGAGAAACGTGTGATTTGGACCCTAAAATGTAAAAATAGGTTGGACCGAGGTTTAGAAAGAACTGCAGTCCCCTCCTCAACAATCAAACTACTCAGTCCCCACAATAAAACTGCTTTTATTGCTTTATATTGCCTGGAAAGTGGAGATAACGTTTCCAGGACAGTCCACGGAGGAAGAGGAGTCACTGCAGCACAAACACACACACACACACACACACGCAGAGCTATTGTTGGTCTGCAGATTTAAAAGCCTGAGCTGTTGTTCCAGTGATGACCAATCCTAAAGTACTTTATCTCCCTCTGCAACAGGCTGCAAAGAGCTCTGAACAAAAGCCACCAGTGACAAGCTGCTTTCACAGTCAAACTCACGTTCACACCTCAATCTGAGTCACTATCAGAGCGCATGTACAAACATCTCTGTGCTGCTACTGAGCAAAGGAGATAAGACAGATCCTGTGTCCTCTAAATCACAGGGTTAAATACAGACCTACGCTGGTCTGCCTGTTTGCCAGCACACTTGAGATAAGGTGCTGCTGTTTGTTCTCGGTGTTACAGACTGCTTTTCCAAAGTCACCACTTTCTTCTCGGCAGCTCCCGATGGACTCGAAGTTTAAAAACAGCACAGGAGCAGGTTAAAAAAAGCAGCTCACATGCACTATCTTGCTTTTTATGCAGATGCAGCTTCCAGCTTGTTGGCCCCGGAGGCAATAAAGTGATTAACTGCAGCAGTTTGTACGAGCAGACCGCAGAGATACACAACCACAATACAAATAATGTGCAGGATTAAAGATTTATTGTCAGGCTATCTGTGCTGTTTTCTTTCTGTGTGATATTTTGATAAATAAATCTGATATCGGAGAGAGACAGACAGTGTGTGATACCTGAGTCATAGATTAAATACCAGCTGTGCTTCCCATCTGTCGCTGTAGCGCTCAGTCTCAACCGGGCCAGACGCGCAGATTAAACGAGATAATGATGAAATCCTCATCATCCACTTTGAAACGTTTCGACTTTTTCTGTCTTTCACTCTAATTTGGACTCAGTGTCACTATTTTCCTCTGCGGCAAAAGAAGAAAAATCCAGAAAATGGGAGTCGTGAATGATAATTTTACCAAATGATCACAGATGTGACGCAGCAGAAACAGCCTGACACAGCAAATCTCCTGTAGTTTGACCTCTGGTTTGGTTATGAATTCAAACAAATGTGTGAGTAAAAGAAACCGACCAGTCTCTTGTTATGTTGTGCCTCAATAGCAAAACTACAGTCCAAGGCTGAAAGGTAAGAAAGCTTTGTGTGAACAATTGCTGACAGCAGCATGATTTGCGCACCACTTGCCTCTGTTATTTGCCTGCTAAAGATAAAAGACGTTGTGCAAATGACCAGCAGGGCTCAGGAAAAAAGGAGAAAAATCCATTAAAATCAAACACCAGGGGTTTTACTTTCACGCCATATCACTGAGCCCCACTTCAAAGTTACTTGGAGTCAGGATAGGAACTCCAGTCTGTGGGCTAACCACTTCACAACGTCACAGAGACGACGTCCATGTTTTCTTTTGTTTGTGACAAACTCTCAGCTGCAGAAAAAAACGGAATATAATCCCATTAAAAGATTTCATGAAACTAATATTCAAAGAGATTAAAATTATTCACACACAGTAATGATGCTGCAAACGTAAAAACACAGCCAGACCAGAACACAATCTCTAATCCAGCTGCATTTGTGTAAGGCTCAGATATCCGATCAAGCAAGAAGTTGCACGTTTCACTTCTCTGGTGTGCACCGGCTCTTAAAGAGAACTTGAGGGCAAACAGGATCCTCTGGAGATCATCCATCACTGAGTGAGGAGGAGCTGAAATAGATGTCACCTGCTTCAATTACCAATGTGGGTCAGCAGACCACTCCACAGCGAAGCGTGGGTTGGTTTGTTTTGTAGTTAGAACGCTCAAAGCCCAGTGTGAGTACATCTATAAAAGGTGTTGCATAAATGTTATCTATTATTAAAAAGTGTTTGTTTGTGATTATCTAATACACATTTTTGCAGCTCCCGGCTCTGTTTTTGCTGGTGCATTCACACAGTTTCTCTCACAGAATGAATACAGCTTTTAGGAGATTAAAAAAGCCCCTATCACACCTCGCCCACTTCCTTGTCCTTTCTGCCTGAGTCACAGTTGATGAACAAATGAAAGTTGAGTGAAAAATAGAGCGAGAAAAGAGGAGAAACGCTGTAACCTCAGTGCTTCTGTCAGCTATACTGAGACATTCATTAGCCTGGTTTTCACAGAGCAGATCTCAACAGGGATCTAAGAGGGCATGCCTGCTCCTCCACACTGCCTGCTTCAAATTCAAGCTCCAATTTCGATCAAATGTTGCAAAAATTCAATATTCCTTTATGGTATTTTATTTTAGTTAGAGTTGAACAACCTCTGCATCTCACCGAATAAATCTGTCCTAATGGCATTGCTTACTATAAGCTCCTTTAAGCTTCTATTGCCCTCAGTGAAGCCTGTGCAGTGCAGGAGGCAGACAGGCTAATAGACCAACCACTGTGTTCCTGGATATAGGAGCAGCATTGTTGTGGATTTCCTGAGGACAAACACACTCTAAACTAACACAGTGTTTAAACCTGATTCATCATGTCAGCTGCTGAGTGTAACTGAGAGGAAAGACCAGGAAAAAGGAGGAGGGGCTGCTGACGGTCACATGATCCTTCATAATTTGGCCTCATGTTAAAGTCAGCTCACGTAATGGGAGTGTTAAGGTTAAACTGTAATGTATCTACAGATTTAAGGAGGGGAAATTTGATGCTTTTTTTTGGACTTACATCCAACCTCCACATTTTTTTAACATTATGTCAAAGCTGTTTTCAATCATGTCCAGTTTCTTAAAAAAAAATGGACAAAAAATAATGGACATCTTCATTGTAATTGCTATTTGAATTGCATTTGAAATGGAAAATTTGAAATTGAGAATTCACAGCATAAAATTAACGATGCAGTTTAAACTAGAAAAGCACTCGGAGAGCGCAGACCTCCGCCAAGCAGCTCATGTCCCCCCTTATATTGTGATTCACAGCAAAACTTTTACTGTTACGTGTCTTTTATTAACGTTTATTTGTGTTTAAACTGGTATGTTCACTGTTCATAATGTTCCTAAAACAAGAAATGACCTGACCCAGATTCAAACCCAGGACCCTCTGGTTGTGAGGCGACAGTGCTAACCACTACACCACTGTGCTGCCTATCTACACCACTGTGCCGCCCATCTTTCAGCATTGAAAATTCCAACGACACCCTTATTTTTGTGTGTTCTGGATCACAGTATCCAGAATTTTGTCCGGATCACCACCAATGGGATCCTCCTGGGGCTGAGACGCACCTCTGGTGAAAATTTCAGGTCAATCCGTCTGTTACTTTCTCCATAAAGTTGTTCACAGACAAACCAACAAACAAACCAACGCTACTGAAAACATAACCTCCTTGGAGGTAAAAAACAGCTGACAGCAAGGATATTTCTGCACTCATGAAAATGACCACTGTGAACCCTGAGAAGGCGCTGCCAGTGCAAACAAAAACGATAAATATTTTCAACTGTTGCACGTCATATTCTTTGTGCAGTTTTGTTGCAGCACATTCCATTGATGGAAGTTTTAAATTATTTTCTCTTTTGGATAAAAAAGATCTCCTTGTGCTTGAGCTGTTCATTACACTGACATTTAGTGCACTAACCTGATTTGGTTTAATTCCTATTTATCAAAACTTAGTTTGCATGTATCAACAACGAATCATCTGGGCACTGAAGTTGGCGACAGACTCAGACGAGATTTGTGTGCGCGCTGATCTGCATTCAAAGTTTTCACTTCTGGTTTTAAGAGCGATAAATTTGGAAGAATGTGTTTTTTTTTCTCGGCAGGATTTTTGTTTTTGTTGCCTGTCTTTGCTCTCACATCATTCTTGTTTTCTCTGACATGCCTTGGCTCATACAGTTCCAGAGCACTTCCAGTAAGAGCTGGGATGCTCTCATATTATTGGTAACAACCTGCCTTCCTGTGGGGTTTCAGGAAACGTCTGTTCTCTTCAGACATTTTTATTTTCCTTTGGGTGACAGTGCCATTAGCTGGAGTGTGCACCACGTTTCACCTCGCCCTGTTAGGCCTTGGCTTCCTGCTGTAGAGTAATGCAGTCTGCTCGTCCTCCAGGGGCTCGGAGAAAAGTACAAAAATGCTTTTAATACTTTCATCTTCTCCTGATGTTGTTTTTGTTACTATCCAAACTTTCTGTTCAGTCCTGGTCTCTGCTCTTCATTAATGGAAGCACTCCCGTAATGTCTGCCCTGAAGGGATGCAGCACCTTAATGGTGTTTATTACTCTGTTTGTGTTGCCAGTAATCTTCATTGGCTTGAAAAACACACAGCAACATACAACATAATAATCATGACAGATGCATCCCTACTCAGCAATAAAACAAGACTACTAAATTTCTCTCAATAAATCTCTGCCTTCAGTTATTGTTGCTCAATTTGGTGACTTGAGTAACATACAGCTAAAGATACTTAAAGTCTATTGATGAAGATTTTAGTTTTCTTTTTTTTATTCTTTTTGTCAACCTGGGATTGACCGGGAAATTGATCACATCTGTCATGAATCGACTCCACAATGAAAACAGTGAGAAACCTCTCCATCCAGCTCATCATCTATTCTGCTGTCAGGGTGAGAGTGCACAACGCAGTTCTGAGCAGAAGAGAGTGGAGATGCTGACAGTTACAATCTCAGACTCAGTTCATGAAAAACACGAGCAAACTGAGCAAACTCGGACGGTCCGAGAGGCAGTTTACGACAAATCTGTTGCTCTATTTTATCATTACCTCCACCAGGGAGGTTATGTTTTCGGTAGCGTTGGTTTGTTTGTTTGTTTGTCTGTTAAATTTTTGTGTCTGTTCTGGATACTGTGATCCAGAACAGACACAAAAAAAATAAGGGTGTTGTTGGAATTTTCAATGCTGAAAGATAACCAATGGGCGGCACAGTGGTGTAGATAGGCGGTACAGTGGTGTAGTGGTAAGCACTGTTGCCTCACAACCAGAAGGTCCTGGGTTTGAATCCTGGTCAGGGCATTTCTTGTTTAAGGGGGGACATGAGCTGCTTGGCGGAGGTCTGCGCTCTCCGAGTGCTTTTCTAGTTACTATTATTATCAGGTAGGGATGTGCCGATACACAATTTAATCGTGATATGCGATGTTAAACGGCCACGATGATGAAAGGGTAGGCCATTTTTAATAACGTTAAAAGTAATGCGCTAATATCATGATAAGATCGTGAATCGTGATATTTTGGGCCACCAATATCGTGATATCAAATTTTTCATATCGGCACATGCCTATTATCGGAATTAACTGTTATCATTTTATTATCATTGTTGATATTGACTTTTATATTTACTATCCTGTTTCCATTTTTCGTTCTCCCTTTTAAATGCATTTTCCTTTTTTCTAAACTATTTTATGTTTTTATTTTGGTCCTCATGGTCTCATTTTATGTTGCATCTGTCTTTTTCTATGTGCCCTATGACTGCATGTCAAAGCACTTTGTAAACTTCTGTTTTCTAAAAATGCTATACAAATAAAGTAATTATTATTATTATCATTAAATCTGAAGTTGTTGTGATTTTCACAGAAGTCATGGCTAGTGTGCGGATCATTGTAAACTCACAGGTTAGCTGTTCTTTATAACAGAAATATGAAAGTGCCCGAGCTAAGAAATGAAACTGGCTTTTATTCACTAATACAGAATAATATCCTGCAACTCAAAAGAAGCACTTTTCAGCTGACGTTGCACTTTCCTTGATTTATTTATGCTCTTCCCTTAAAAATCAACAACCTTGTATCAATCAAATTCAAGAAATAACCATGGTAACGACTCACTGAAAGTATAAGCAGCATAAGGTTATCAATCGTAGGTTTCAACCAAGTCTGGTGCATCAAAGCTCTGTTTTAGTCAATTTGCAATTTAATAAATAAATTTAAAATAAAAAAATTTAATCCAGGCTTTTGACAATCTTAACAAGCCATCAACAGCAGGACACAGTTTGAGCTGTATTTTTGATGCGTTTCCAGACTTACACAGTGGATCCACTCAGGGTTAATTAGCACTGATGCAACCTGCCGTTTGGTTCAGCATCATCAGAGGAGTCTAACTCTGCTAAAGCGGGGTTAGTACAATGAAGCAACCAGAACAGCCTGAGTAAAACCAGAGAAAAGCTTTACCTGAATCGCCCTCTTCATTCTTACAGCCTGCTAATAATCCACTGAAGATCTGTCAGCCATATTTTATCAGTGTTAGGCTGGTTTAAAAGGTTAGTAGGTCTTTTATGTCCATTTATGTCCCTTTTCTGTCTCCATCTCTACTCTTTTTCGGACTGGTCCACTCTGCTGGTTTGGATTTTACTGGTCAAACTCCGTCAGAGTCTAAATCGATCACATGATGATCAACTGATTAAGAACTGCAGTAATCCTAATTCTTGACTCTCTCTCTCTTTTTCTCTCTCTCTAGACCCCACTCTCTTTGTTTCTGTTCAGACTCTGGTTTGGATTCAGAAAATTATTTATGGAATTCCTAACAGGCTCCCGGAAAAAAACAAAAAACAATTCCAGGAAACGGAGAAAAGGCTGATTGTTTCAGGTAACGTCAATCTTCTTTCCTGGACTCTGAAAGTGTGTTTCATCTGCGATCCATTTTATTTATGGTTCCAAAAGCATGATCAGTAAAATCTAATATTTGATCTTTCTTTTTCTCCTCTTGTCATTAAAATTAATATTGAAAACAAGTCACTTTGCTGATTCGTTTTCCTGTTTCTAAACGCAAACTGTCAAGGGAAAGCCCTGATGTTTGATTTGTCACACTGCTTTTTTCTTTTCTCATTTCACTCAGACAGTTAAAAAGTGGTTAAGCAGGACTGGCAAATTAAGACTTTCATTATAATTATGCTTAATTATGCTGGCTCGAAGAAGAGTAGAAAGACAGCAAGTGTAGGTTTGAGCTGAGCTGCACTCTTGGATGTTTGGAGGCTTTATGTCGAGAGGCGACCCTTTGGTGCTCTTGAAGTTTTCTCTACATCCTATAAACAGCCTCATATCTAAAGCTATATAAAGCTTTCTTTTGTATTTGTTGTTGTTTTGCAATAAAGAACTCTGGAATTCCAGACTGCAGATTTTCATCGTATTATTTCTGCCAAATCAGCAGATTGAGGCTAAATTAGCACCGACTAGCATAAGAAGATTAAAAGGAAACAAACTTTAGTGAATGTGGAAACATGCACAAACTTAAGGTCCTTTCATACCAGGGGTGTTTTTTTTGTGCGATTGTTTCAGACGTCAATATTTTTATTTTTTTGTCAGATTCACTGGTATATCCAACATGGCCGACCGGCTGATTGTTTACGTGTCGGAGAACAGAGTGATTTTTGATTAAAAAAACACAAACATTACAAAGATAACGACCTGAAGGCAGACATCTCAACACTAGAGTCTAATCAGAACTGAAAAACACTCAGTCTGCTGTTGGGTCAGTCTTCTCGCTTCCACCCGGGATGCATCTTTTTTCTCCCCCGAAAGTCGCAAAATCGCATCGCGCTTGATGTGTATAGTCAGGTACGTCAAAATTCACCTCTGAATATTTTGTTATTTTGCGTCGTGTGTGTAAGGACCTAAACCCGAACACTAACCCAACATTATCTGATATTTACAAAAAATATATAAAAAATAGGTCCGCATCACAACCACCCCCTGCCGTCACACATTTCGGTATCCACTGATATAGTGACAAGGACAGGACACAGGTAGAGAAGAGTCACGAATTTCACACATCCTGACAGCTGTACTCTGCAGGACCTCTCCAGAAACCAGACTCAGCTTTTCTACTTCGGTCTGCACCAGGACATGAACTGTCAACCCTCCAATTCCCAAACTGACCCAAAATGTCTCGTTGTTCTTTGTGCAGCTGAACTGTGGGCCTCACGGGAGTCAGATTTGACAAGGACATAACCATCTTTACTCTCCGTGACATAATAAGATAACGGTCTGTCACGTGGTCCCAGTTGAACAAGAAGACCCGGTACACCACAGATCTCTGCCCACTTGTTCTGTCCTCCTTTTGTATCTCACTGCGAGCTCATTCATCCTGGGCTTTGTTCGGTTTTATTGAGCTCTTCTTCTCCTCCTGCTCAGGTTGTTCTGTTCTTTCTATTAACAGTGTTTCATTGGCACATGTGCCCATGAATCCTGCCGCCCTTCCACGTCACCTCGCCACACTAATACACTCACACTCAAAGTGTGTGTGTGTGCGTGCGGGGGTGTAAGAGAGGAGAAAATTACTGTATGGTTAGTTTGTTCTTCATTTTCTCCTTGACAAAGACGAAAATTTACCGTCTCTCTATCTCTGCACTCCTTTATTCGAACTGTCTGAATCATCCTTTCATTCCTCAGATTGTTTTCTCTGACGGTCTCATTTTCACCCTGTGATCTGAGAGTAAAAATAAACACGTCAAGATCACATTTTCATCCTCCACACAGAAAAAAAAAACGGTCTGAAAACACGGTTGATCATCACGTCTCTGTGGTTGAATAAAAAATTCCAGGCTGGGGGAGCCGAATGGCATCATGTGGCCCTCATGAGACCGGTCACCTGATGGGGGCCAAATACCACGGTGGGAGTGGATTCCTGCAAGTTAAGTAAGATCCTTACATTCCTGTGTGGTTGAAGTTAAAATAAATGAAGGAGGAGGGGTGAGCAGTAAATCCAACAAATTTGTCTGTCTGATGCTGAGATGAACAGCTGCAGAAAGAAAATAAATAAACTTGAAATTATAAGATAGATATCCACAGAAAGGCTGTGTTTTCAAAAGGGGGTCTCAAAACTTTGGAAAAGCACCAAATAACTGACCAGTACTGTCCTGTTTTAGGCGTCTGCCCAAACTGCAGCGATTGAGAGAAAGAAGAGGGTTGATTTCATTCTATCAGTGCAGCACGATTCTGTTTTTTTTGAAGGTTTTATTCAGTGGAGCTCGATTCACACAGTCATCAGCTGAGCAGAGAGGACACACAGATGCAAAGAAGAACAAAATATTTCTTTTAACTTGCAGCAAAGTGATTATTGACGACTTTTATCCAGCCAAAGTTCACCTTGAGATTTAACAAAGAACTGCGCATGCTACTTCTTTCACCGAAAAACCGCTCCAGACACAATTTCAGAATAAAAGCATGGTATAAAAACAAAAGGGAGCCTCTCCACTGAGAAATTTTGCTTTGGTAAGCATTTTGCAAGTACAACTGTGGTGTATATTTCATGATTGTGACATGTACAGCTGGGTTTTCTGTTCTGCAGAAGCTCTTCATCTATAAACTTAAAACTTTCATCCAGCACTTAAATCACAATTACACCCCTGTTGCATGTTTGGATTTCATGATCTGTTGCTTTTACTTGACCTCTTCTCTTGATACAGAAACAGCGTCTCACATCGCTCCTGCAGATTTAGAGCTTTCTCCAACCCGAGGGTCACACTCGTAAAAAAAGTGCTTCTGGATTGCAGATTTAGCAGCAGCCTCTATTGTTTGGGGCAATTACACTAAAATATTAATGCGTTGATTATTTATTAATGCTAAAACGCTTCACGCAGGTTTAGAGGAATTAGCCAGGCCCGCTTTGGTCCGAGCGGAGAGAAACATCTATGTGACCTTTGCTCCATTAATTATACCGCTCCCTCGTGTTACACCTGTTCTCATGCTGCATCTTTAACTGCATCAACAAATCCTCTCAGGACGTTTTAAAAAACACTTTCAGTGCTGAACTGCAGAGCCGCTGTTCTCAGGTTTAGAGCTCCATATTTCTGCTGTCAATCACAAAGTGCTGATTTTCAAGAATAAACGCAGTCTAATTATATCTGAAGAGAAAAAGGCATCTGTTTATCTCTAATGTGACAGTGTGCCATCTCAGCTCCATCAGACACATTTTAGAGTGTTTGTGTATCACTCGGTTTCTCTGCTCTGGCAGCCTGACAGAGCGCTAATAGAGGATCACAGTTGTCTGCTTCACGTCGGCTGCCAAAGTGCATTGATACTGTTACAGAAAAATCGATGGTTTTCCATGTGGACACGACTCCGCAGCTCATACTTCTAACTTCATACTGAACAATCCCTTGAAACCACAGGCTGTACTTTCAGGAAAAAGTCATGATGGTAAAAAAAGGTTGAAAAGAAACAAGAATCAACACAGGGGTGAGACGTTTAACAAAGCCTTTCTGCTGCTCATGATGACCTATCCGTACGACCTTCCAGGAAGGTCAAGAAACCAGGAGAATGATCCCAAAACTTAAACTTCACCACTGTGATTTCCTGGTGACCAGTCATATCATTGATTCCACAGAATCAGGATGAACTCACAGCTAGCAAACAGCTCAGCCAGGATGCAACATGAGGCTGCACAAACTGAATCACGGAGTCATTTGCTCAAGCCTGCAATTTGCAACAGGAATCAAAAATGTGAATGCAATGAGGCAAAAAATGCTCAAAGCTTCAAAAACGTTTTATGACACCTCACAGGTGCAAACTAAAATTAAACTCCTGTAGAGTATTTAAGGATAATTTAGCGACATCTATCAGAACATCCAGGTGCACCAAATCAGAGCGGGTATTTTTGGCACTGACAGGATAAAGGTCAACCAAACACCAGAGAGTTTCTGCTTCACAAACAGTCAGAGGTCAGCACAAAACCAATAACCTAGTTCAGTGGTTCTGACTGTCCTGCAGGACAGTGGGCCTCGAGGACTGGACTTGAGAACCACTGCTCTAGATAATCAATAGTTCTGTGTTTAAACCAAGCTAATGTCCCAGTGAAACAAAGAGACGAGGGAGGGGGGCAGACGTCCGGGCTAAATGGAAGAGAGGTGGGCTGCTGACGTCATCAAAGTGCACCGTCAGCATCCAGGAAGAGGGTGAGTCCGCTCCCCCTCCACTTTTCTCTCTCCATGACACCAGGGCCGTGGGGAACGGTTTGTTCCCGCCCTGAGTGGGCCCGGCTATCACTCCCTCTGATGGGGGTGAACATTAAGGTGTGCCTGCCCCCCTCAGCACTTTCCCCAAACTCCCTCCGGAGCAAAAGTTACAAAGACGAGTCGGGTTCAAACACTGTCTCTGTGTCTCTCTTTGGATAGAAACCTCCCCGCACCATTAACCCCGAGCTATCCATCACCTGTCTGCCCGCTCAGTGGGCTGTAACAGGCTGTTAATGTAACTGCAGCCACTGATACCAGCTTTAATGGAGCTCACAGTCTGCGGCAGGTACAGAGCAGGTAATGTGAGCAGGAGATAAACACCTTAAAGAGCAACAACACAGTTTTTGTATGTTTATGTATCAGCAGATTCGACATAAGAAAGAGGAAAACAAGCGAAAATCAGACACCACTTTTTCACTTTGAGAGGAAATACGTCAGGAATTGTTATTTGAAGCTCAGATTACGTTTTTTGTTGTTGTTATGCGACAGAAAGTGAAGCTTTAAATCGACACTAAGACCACTGTGGAGGTTTAGTGAGAGGCGGTTAATCCTTCAGGTAAAGAGGCTAAACTGCAGCCCCCCACTCAGCGAGGACCAGCAGGTGTTCAATGATTATCAGGAGGATGAGAGGAAACGACGCCTTCACAACAAAAGCGCCGTCCTTCAAAATAAAACCACGCCTATCCTGAGTTACTGTGAAATAAATCAAACATTTGTAAATATGAAGAAACAGTTCTTTAAGAATCATTTCATTGGTTTATCTTGGGGAAGTCCCGCCCAAAGCCTGTTGATTGACGGGTCATTTCTCAGGGAAAGTATAAATGAAGAAGATAAAAAGAGAATCAGAAATAAAGGGTTAAAAAATGAAATTAAAAAACTACACCAGAGTCAATAAATTTCACATCAATAGGAAAAGAAAGAAAATACAAATTATGAGCTTGAAGTTATTAAAAAAAAAGTCGACAAATTATCAGCTTACAGTAGAAAAATTTAGCGGAACAAACAACTGAATGTGAGCTTATTTTCAATAAAAAAGGTATGGAGACAAATATACAATGATATGCTATAAATAAAGGTGTATTTTTTACTTCAAAATGTATACAATAATGAAATAATAAAATAATTTATCCCTCTCCCCTTAAAATAATTGATAGATTGATATTTTGTGATTTTTGGGACTCTACATAAACTCTTGGATTCAAATTCGCCCCGTGTTTTTGGTCAAAATTTAAAAAAATAATAATTAAATTAAAAACATAAATCAATTCTTATTTTTGATTTTTGGCACTCTTTGGACTCCATACAAAAACCTCTAGAATTAAATACTACTTGGATATAAAGTAAATACAAGTAAAATCACCTCATTTTAAACCAGTTTAGAGGTGAGAAACGTTAAAATTAGAGTTAAACACGTAAAACTTTCTGTTTGTTGTGTTTTTTTTTTTTCTCATGGACTTTTCAGAATCCTCAAACCCCAGGCTGTGCCTCCCTGCTAAGGAAGAGTCCACAATAAAACACCGCTCAGACGTCAGACCACATTATCAGCCGCTCTGATTATGAATTATTGACGAGCAGATGGAGCCGAGGAGTTCATGTGATCCGCTGGCCGCTGCGTCACCTGCTGCTCCTCTATTCCACCTCCTCCCTCACATCCTGCATGAAGCCACACAGACTCCAACAATGACTGAACGCTCATCGCTGGTCAGTAACGGAGCGCTCCAATAAAAGAAGGGAAACTTATGGACCAATCAGCAGGTGGCAAATAGGCAGCAGGAGATCAGTGATTGGCTTGGATTTGACAGTATAGCTGCAAACTGGATTAAGTGGGTGAAGGTACAGTGAACACCAGTAACCCTGTAATCCAGGAGGTGAGGGCTGGAAGAGCCAGACAGAGAGAGAGAGAGAGAGAGAGCGAGAGAGATAAAGAGAGAAAGAGAGAGAGAGAGAGATAAAGAGAGAAAGAGAGAGAGAGAGAGAGAGAGAGAGAGAGAGAGAGAGAGAGAGAGAGAGAGAGGTCCTGTCCTGGATTCCAGATTAGTCAGCAGCAGAGGAATGCTGCCCGCCCGGCTGCTCTTAACCCACCTACACACTGACATGATATCAACAGATCCTTCCTGCTGCAGATCTACAACTCCCTGTTATGCAATCACTCAGATTAGGATTAGATGATTCAAGTTTCAGAGCACTAAACTATATTTACATTCAAGTGCAAACTTTAACGAAAGATGGACGATAAGGATGAGTTTCAGCGCCGAAACTTGACACTCTTGTGTAGTTTACTGCTCAGACAGTAGTGACTGTGTAATCAGGTGATGCCTGTTTGATTGAAGATAACTTTTGTTGTCGTTTATCAGAAAACCATCACAGGTGCAGACTAAAAGCGTGGCTGCTTCTATGAAAACACAGATAATAAATGTAAATAAACTGAAGAAATGAGGCGACATAAACAAAAAGAGGGGGGCTGATTGCAATTTTCTATTCTGCCTCTCAAGTCCAGTCCTCGAGGCCCGCTGTCCTGCATGTTTTGGATGTTTCCCTGCTCCAACACATCTGATTCAAATGATCAGCTCGTTATCAGCTCTGTCATGGCTTAATAACGAGCTAAAGCTACAACATGAAGGACAGCGGGCCTCGAGGACTGGACTTGAGAACCACTGATCTAGAATAGTCAAAACGCAAAACCCCTTTTCGCTGCTCCACCATGATGTGTTGCGAAGAGGTTTTATTACGAAATCCTTTGCAGATATTTTTAAAGTTTAATGTGCATGTCGACGTTTCTTTGTCCATGCGACACTGACACGGAAAAGTGGAGTGATCTCAAGATCTTTTAGGATGTCCTGTTAGTCCTTAATCCTGAAAGCATGAGGACAAACACTCTCTTGTCCACTGATACACTGATGTGGGTGTGCACTTCAAGTAGACAAACAAATATATCAAAAGGTCAGACATGAGGAAGGCATTGAAACTAAATGAGGGCAGAGGCATAAATATATAACTTGTAAAATACGTCGCAAATAAGAAAAAAACAAGGTGACTGAAAAGAGAAGAAAAACTAAATTACTGAGCTTTTAAGTGAAATCATGCATAATCCAAAAAGGACTCCAAGTGGGGAACTGCTTTCAGAAAAGCGAACATTGCGTAAAACCACAGTTCAATGGTGATGAAAAAGGTGTTCCAGTAGCTCACTGAAAAAACATACAGTCTTTAACATCAGGGTAACATGTAGCCTGCTGTGATTCTCGGAGCTCGGAGACATCACTGTGATCATAGTTTGTTGTCACTCAGCCCAACAGGACCGACAGCCAGAGAGACTTCAGCTCTGTGTTACAGTCAGAGAGGCAGTTATTGTGTAACATCCTCAGGATTTTTACCACATCAGAGGAGGACAGGTACCGGAGAGACGACTCGGTTACGCTGCAACAGTCTGACTGGTTTTCAAGAGGAACAACGTGGCCTCGGCTAAACTCCGTCAGAGTTTAGATCGGGTGCAATTTAACAGAGTGCTGTCAAAATCAGACAAGGTGAATCTAAAGTTTCTTTAACCGTAATAAAGGTCAGCGCTGATACAACTAGGAATACAAATTCATTACAAAACAAGACTAAAGCTTTGGATATGTTTGAATTGTTTGCTTGAAAAATAACTTAAAATCAAACTAATCTATGTTTTCATCATGATGACATTCTCCGTAAACACATTCCCTGAAGTTTAATATCTTTTAAACACTTAAAGATCTTGGATTTATAACTATCTAGAGTATAAAATATGGGTCTTATACTTAATATATATGACAGGGTAGTTTAGTGGACGTGAAACAATTGGAAAATTTATTAAATGTTGCTGGCCACATTACATGAGGCAGAAGGAGGAGGGCAGAGGGCTGGAAATGGCCATCAGTCTGACACTTGGGTCCCTGGTATAAGATACAGCTTTTATAACAAGGTGTTAAACTACACAACTTTACTAATGTGAGGATAAAACTTCAATTCTGTTTATCTATGGAAAAAGTAAAAGTACTGTCTTTGAAATGTACTTGAAGTAACACAAACTGGTGGGAGAGTAAAAACGAGGATATAAACCCGAAACCATGTCAAGCATATTTACTTCAAATAACTGTAAATAAATCAAAAAGAGGAGACATGAAGGGGTTTTGACTTTGCATCTATTCAGGTTTGATATTTTTGCAGCATCTTTCGTCAGTGACGCACTTTGCAAACAGTCTCTCTGCACAGCCGGAGGTTCACAAGAGCAAACAGACGTTATCAGAGAGTAGTTTGCCGTCTACCTGTAGCCAGAATTAGCAATCTGTGTCCATATATTTCAGACTTTACAAAAGCTTTTCTTGCTGTGATTTTAACACGAGTAACACGATTTGAATTTATTTTGCCACAACTAAGAAATTCGGAGTTGGAGGAGGATTGTTTTTTCTCTTTGCATACAGGGGGATTGTCTTGCATGACTTTGAATCAAATAAAAATCACTCAAATGTCAGGAATTTAATCCTTTTAATGCAAATTAGCCTCAACACAGCTAAGACGTTGCTAAATGGTTTAAATAAAGTCAAAATCTTGAGAGTAAAGTGGTGTTTTATTTCGAGACCAAAATCTTAATCCTAAAGATGTATAAAATTTATGATGTAAATATTTTAGTCTTAGAAACAAAAAGAAACGAGAAAAGGCGAATATCTCAACAGTTTATCCCCGGAGTGAAGCGAATGGAGGACTTTAAAATGAACAAAACTATATGACTAGATTCAGGTCTGAGAGAGAGAATCCAGCTCTGACTGCATGCATCGACTGATTTCTCATAAAGCCCTGCACAGACAGACGGATGAATTTTCCTAACTCTAATCTTAAGTATTCAGCAGACCGTCTCTTTGCATCCTGTTTTCCTGCAGCAGCAATACAATCAATTTCAACCCCAACCCATTTGTGTAAAGCAGTTATCCAGATCAATTAGACCTCAGCAGCGTCCCGCATCCTACCTTCACATGCCTGTCTGAACACATTTCTTACTACAAAGGCTCCATTTCAGCCTCCATGCAGCAGGGGTTTAATGTTATCTGCCTTTTGGGAGGCTGTCTAAGCCTCAGCTGAGCGTGGAGCCGTGGTTTAAACCTCGCTGGCTCTCATGTGAGCGGGGCTTGCACTGTCTGGATTATTGTCAAACACATTACCGTGGAGCCTAATGCAGCTTGTACAGGCTGGACGCTCCTCTGCTGCCCATCGATTCAACAAGCAGGCAGAAAACAACTGGATTACATAATTCATGGGAGTGATGGGGCTCCATTTGTACTGCTGATCATCTGAGAGGGAACTTTAATGAGGTCATGCCGAAGTGGAGCAAAAACATGCTCAAAAAGTGCACATATGAGAGAGGTTTCACAAATTTATATTTGTTTTACGGCATAAGTATTTATAACTGTTGTCTGTCTGCATATCTTTGCATGTCCCGTCAAGCCTGAATGTTTAACCTACTTCCCAGTACACCGCATAGCAGCAGGTGATAATAAGTGACTCCACCTTCAACTCTGACAGTCCCGCTTTGATTTGTTCCTCTTAAAAACAAACTGTAGGTGCTGCAGTTCTTGAAAAAGTAAACAACAGATTTTGTGTGCACCAAACCTCATTTTAAAATCTGACGTTTTTACATGTGCACCAAACTTTTCTGATGATTCAAAACTGCCAGTGTCTGTAACGCATTAATACTTGGCCTACTTTGCAAAATTGTTTTACGACAGGTGATGATGAGAGATAACCCCACTCTGTTTGTCTATGGAGATGCACAACAAGACTTTAAAGACTCAAGATAACGACAAATTTTATGCACCAAAGCCATCCAAAAGTATAACACTTTAACACAGTTTGCAATCAGGTAATGCCGCGCCAAGCCATTAAATGTCTGATTAAAATATAGCAAATTTAAACATGAATTTACTGATAAAAAATGGTTTTCAATGATCAACTGAGATATATATTGATGACCCACTCTTAAACTGAACATTCACCTAATTCTAAATGGAGTTTTGTGTGATTTGAAGGATTTGTTGTAATGCTGCATTACAACAGGTGACAATGATAGTTGGCTCCGCTTTTACTTATGGCAGTATGAATCTTATCTGTTCTCGTAAAGCAGAAAGTGCCACAGAATTTCCTTTGAATAATACTGTCTTAATAATAATAAAAAATTCTGTCCACCAAACCTCATCCAAAAATGTTGCATTTTATGTAGAAAAGTTCTCTACACATGCTGCATGTATTCTGCTCAAAATTATTTACCTTTTTTTATATCAATATCCCACCATTATGTTTGAAATATATAATCTATCATCAAGTTGAACATTAAATTATTTAAGGATAGGTTTTAGATTATTTATGAGGCACTGTTTTGGACCCTCAATAATTGACAATTTTTTGTGTGCCAAACCTCATTCAAAAATCGTATTATTTAAGCATGTTCAGTAATGGGGAAATGATAGAAATCTCTGATATCATGCTTGGTTAGAAAATAAGTTACAGCTAAATGTAATCTAAATACTGCGCCGATAAGCGTTATGAACAACTATTTTCATTTGTGATAAAATTTCACACCCACAGTGAGATTGATAACCGATATTTGCTATCATATTGAAAACTCGCTGAATTTTAAACGGGATTTTTCTATATTTCTTTTACGCTAAATCACACTTATAACTGCCAGTTTTGTTGAAATTTAAACACCTGTAGGCACAAACTAAGGCTAGATTAAAATGGATTAACAGTGTAAAGCGTTTTCTTGTCTCAGTCAGTTTCCCCAGTCATTTCTCAATGACCCTCTCTCCACTCCCTTCAGGGAGTGAAACTTAATCCGGATGAGTAGCTGCTTCGGCGGAATTTGAAACCGATAGTAGATGAAAACTCACAATTTCTCTCTATCTTTGGGTTATGTGAGAAGGCATGTTGTGCAGATAAGAAGAGGTACAGACAGAGTGAATCAGCGGGGATTTCAAACTCACATATCTGCTGATCAGGGTCCGAAGAGTGCTGAAATCCATCCCCATCTTCTTCCTCTTTCCTCACCGGACACTTCTTCTGCTGCTTCTTGTTTCCGCGTCGTTTTTTCCCCCAAAGGTAAATTCACAGAAGGCGCTAACTTCTCTTTAATTCTCCTCCTCTGTCCATGTCTTTGGCTCCCTGTTCTTCTTCCTGAATTTAATAAGTCCGAGAGAGCCGACCAGAGTGAGGAGTGGACCTGAACTCACCTCCACTTCTCTGAAGGAGGCGTGTCTGAGCGTCTTTCTCTCACTTTGGACAGGCACAGACATGCGCGCTCCTCCTCCTCCTAAAACACTGAGGAAGAAACCAGTATCAAGTCTCTCTCCCTTCTCCTCCTCCTCTCTCGGTAATAATCTTCTTGTCTCGTGTACGTCACGAAGAGCCAGGTAGTGTTTCTCTGCCTGGAGGTAAGCGCATGCGCTCTCTAGTGATACGAGTGTGTAATTGATCAGGCATGAGAGTTAATTAGGAGGGTTGATTTCCTTTACAGGAGTTTAGCTGTGCATGTTTTTGTGTCTGTATTTTTTTTTATTTTTAATTGATTTATGTGCTGTTCACTTACATGCTGCTGAATTCATTCCAAAAGTAAAAGACTCAATAGAATAAATACATAAAATCTTATTTTAAAAATACTGCCATAAAATTTACATTACATTGGTATCACTAAAATAAGACAAAAGGGTCCACAAAGAGACTCTTTTCAGTACATTAAATAAGAGCCATGTTGCACTGATTTCATATTAAGCTGGATTCTTTGCAGAAACTGAATAAACAAGGGCATTTAGAGAATAGTATAATACGATTTAAAACATGAGACAAATATAGAGTCCCTGAATTCCCAGAGAGGACATTTCCTTCACTTTGTGTACTCATAATATTAACTTGTATGCTCTTTTATCTCTGTAAGCTCTGAAAACTTCAGGTTCACCAGTCCATTCTTGCTGTTTTCTATAAATGTTTCATTGAATCCATCCTCATCCTTTACTGTGATTTTATTATGTACACATGTTGTTTTTGTGGGAATAAGTTGATTGTCTTGTGAAATTTAAACCTCACTTGAAGCTTAGTTTGACTTACGTTATCTTTGTTTTGCTCTTGTAATGTCTTTGTGTTTCACAGGCCCTTAATTTTGTTTCAATGTATTATATTTGTGATGATTTTTATCTTTTTGTGCAGCACTTTGGTAAATATTTTGCCTGTTAATAAAGTGAAATGGATTAAATAATGTACACACACACATAATCCTAATTAGTTTCTTGCGCGTGTGATATAATAGTTATCTTGCCCACAAGATAATGATCTCATGACACAATATAAATAATTTGTGCACAAACTTATGAAATAACATCAACAGTTGCTCAATAAAGATAACGAAAGTGTGCACTAAAGATTATAATTCTTATGCACATGATAATATTGTTCCTACATGGAAATGAGTTTTGCCCAAAATAAAATGTTTGCAAAGAATAGAAAGAATAAAATTACAAAGAATAATTAGATAGGCCTATCGTGTGCACATGATGCAGATAAAATATATAAATAAATAAATAAATAAATAAATAAATATATATATATATATATATATATATATAGAGAGAGAGAGATAAATATGGATAGATATAGATATATTTAGATTTATATATATATATATATATTTTTATTTTTAGGGACCTTAGGGGTACTAACTAAATAAATAAATATATATATATATATATATAAATATATATATATATATATATATATATATATATATACAGTATATGGTATATAGTCAGAAGTAGTCAGGGTATTCAACAGAACAGAATGAAAACAGAATATAAAGCTTTACAAATTACAGTTAAAAAATGTATAATGTTTTTACATTTTGAAGGGCCTAATTTACCTTATATAGGACATAAGGGTTAACTTTACATCAATATGGTATGTAACTGCACTGTTGGTTAAATATCCAAAAAAAGCTGACTCTTAGATATTAATATTGATACCTTGATTATCTTGTACTGTTTTCCAAATTGGTAACGATAATTGGTGTTACTGTTAACACCTTTAACTATATAAAATAGTCATACAACCATTAAAAAGGTTCTATATATACACAAGAAGAAGTAGCTGGACATGTTTAAGAAATATCTGTATTTGTAAAACAAACAATAAAAGGATATACAAAAGTATGACTAAAACGTGAATTAGTAATAAAATAGTACCTTTGGGGGTCAGCAGGGTCAGAACTACACTCTCTGTGCTTTGTTTCCAGTGGGAGATGTTTTCCTGTATTTGTCCGTCTTCTGTTTCCTGGAGACGCATTTCGGCGGGTTATGTTTGAACACATTTGTTAAGTTATGAGAGTAACAATAGCCATATCCGGTTGAAACTTTCAAAATAAAATTCTAGTTCGGAAGAGGTTTAATCCTTTTTTTCGATAAAGCAACATATACTTTTGAATGAAGTAAGGATAAAGAACAACTAGTTAGTTCTTTTCTCTTTATAATGGTATTTGATAGTATTATCCGGATGGTTATCATAAGCTACAACTTCTATCACTCTTATCTTCCCCTTTTTATTTCAGCAAACTCAATATATATAGTAAGAGATTTGACCACAATAAAGTGTTGTTTGACAATAAAGTATTCGAGTAGAATATCAGCCTTTTTAAGAATATTGATAGCAAATTTTAATTCACACCTACTGTCTTGCAAAGAAACATCATTACATATAACAAGAATAGACCCAATGTATAAAAATGGCATTAAAGATATGCATGTATAACCCTAAAATACTGTAAAAGGTAATATCTATTAATAAACACGTCAAAGTTAAGTGTAATGGTTGTAATAGTGCATTATTTATTTTAAGTGATTTCAAGTCTTTGATAGCGTTGAAACCGTGTGATTCTCGTGCTTTTATTTTGTAGCAGTCATGGCGGTCCCCGCTGCCATATCTTTGCTGCTTCTTTCTCATTTGACTGAACTTGTCAAAATGGCGTTGTTGGTGCTGGGTGACTGGAGTTAGTTCATATTTTTAAGGTATTTACACACTTTAGGGCATCAACAGCCACGACAGGATGGCGACTCTGGATCAGAAATCACCCAATGTGCTTCTCCAGAGCCTCTGCTGCCGGATCACGGGGAAAAGCGAAGGTACATCCGTTAGCGTTAGCATCCTTCGCGCTGTGCTCAGTTACTGTAACGACGCACCAAACCTCATTCAGAAATGTGTGACTTTTAATGTACTTAAAATGTCAACCACCATACATATTTCACATGCTATTTAAAGTGATCGGCTTAATAATAATCGTCCAGTGAACAAATCGGCTCCACATTTTCTCCGTAAGCAGCGTCAAATTTCTCCACATAAACCTTTTTATACCTCAAATGCGCGCTAAACCCCGTGTGTCGAAATTATATGATGAGGTAGAAAACAGTTAAAATATAAAGGAAATTCAGTTAGCTTTATCCTCTGAATGATGCCGAATTCAAGAAAATTACTTTAACGTAATGTGGGTAATGATTCTGACATCTAAATCAAAAACTGTCTGAAAATTGAAGTAGGTCTTGTTTGCTTTCTCTTTAGCTGTGTTTTAGCGGCTCTTAGCGGAGCTAGGTCTGCGCAGCTGTCAGTCTCTGGTTTTGGCTAAGATTCTGCCCATCCCGCTGTGCAGATGTCAGTGCAACACTACCTTTCCTTTGTTAAACATATAAACAGACCTGTTCAGATATTCAAGTATATGTTTTCTAGTCAAAAAGCTAGCCCTCATGCTGTTAAAAACACTGCATTGTTAAGTAGATGCTCTTATTTCTTGCTAGCTGCAGGCCCTGCTGAGGGAGGTAGCCTGTTTAATCAGAGGAATCAGGCAAAACCCAGAAAAATGTCAGTATAATCTGAAGATTTTAAGTCACTTTGGCTCAATTACATCTTAAATCCTGTGATCAAATACATCCAGGCTGTAAGTTTGGCAATATTGGCATTAATGTTATAGTTTGAGCTCTACTTGGTCCCTGTATTTACATCCATTTACCAAAGTGAAACCCCTTTACACCACCGCTTTTAATGCAAATTTAAGTGTGACATATCTAACTTTCAAGGCATTGTTGGAAGGAAAAAAATGGGTTTAAATGCAACCTAAAAACCTGATGAGAACTGTCTGACATTTCCACTTTGTTTTCAAGTATTTCTGATAATTTACCATTTCTGTGTTCAATCCTGTCTCCAGCTGAAGTCGCCCACCAGTTCCAGTACGCAGTGCGAGTCATTGGCAGTAACTACGCCCCCACAATCGAGCGAGACGAGTTTTTGGTGTCAGAGAAAATCAAGAAGGAATGTAAGCACCTTCTACACAAATATTATCCCTCTCAATCAGTGGTTCTCGAGGCCCACTGTCCTGCATGTTTTGGATGTTTCCCTGCTCCAACACACCTGATTCAAATGATCAGCTCGTTATCAAGCTCTGTAATGGCTTAATAACGAGCTGATCATTTGAATCAGGTGCTGCTGTAGATGATAGATAATAACTATAAAAGATGTGAAGGACGCCAACAGGTACATAAAATATCAGAAAAGAAGTAAAACTGCATTTATTAAACACTCGCCTTATTGCAAAAGTACATATTATTTAGATTTTAGATCCTTTAAAGTATTTTCCTCACTGAAGCATAACTCCTAATCATTTTAAGCTGTAGAGCCAAAAGAAATCCACAATTTAAGTGAGTTTCTCAGTAAATGACATACCTCAGGGGGGCAGATTTGGCTCAGTGGTCTAGTCTTGGGTCTCGTCCACAGTCCTCGCTGCAGCGGTCCTCTGTCACTCTTTTCCAGGCATCTCCCAATTCTCTCTCTCTTGAGTTTTCCTGTGAAATAAAGTGTAAAATACCAAAGTAATAGCTTCAAAATGTTACCTATAAATGAAAATGAACTTGGTACGTTTTGCCCTGTTTTGTCTTCATAACATTTTCAAATATTTGGATTTTTATGTATGATCTGAATGATGATGAATCAACTCTTAATTCTTGCCTCATATACAGCAAACCCCCGAGGACTCTCACTGAAACAGAGGTAGCACCATTAGTGGTAAAAAACATCGATCCAAGCCTAAATAGAAGAGCACTTACTGTAAAGAACATTTACTTATCTCAGGTTCTGTTGTTGGCGTAGAAATATGCTCTTCTGTAACAGCTTGATTCATTGATTTCTGATGTGGTTTAATCAAAAACAGAGGCTTTAAATTTTGTGCAGCTTTTACTGACAAAAACAGCGACTGGAAAACCACAAGGTTTTCTTGAGGTTTGTTGTGTTCCTGTGTTATGATGCGCTGCACTCCCTGTCCCTTCTCTTTGAACGGAAAGCGGGAATTCCTCTTTGAATGTGAAGTTTCTTATGACTCACACACACGACAGAGCTTTTTACTCACACTACAATAATAAGAGGTTTCTTTGTGCTGCAGATTAGAGTGATGTCTTCAGGGCAGGCCGGATCCTGTTGGTTCCTCGCAGCACAGATCTTTAGCATTTTATCTTTGTCTTTTTTTTCTGTGGCTTTTAAAAGCTGTTTAGGGAAGATTTTCCTGCGCTATTTTGAAGTCTAAATCTTGTTCAGATCCTGTAAAGTGTGTCAGATTTTTTCAGGGAGGTTTATGTGGAAGACTTTTGAGACATTACCTCCTCACATTTTGTCTCATTGCAGTGCTGAAACAGAGGAGGGAAGCAGACGCCGCTTTGTTCTCTGAGCTGCACAGAAAACTTCAGACACAGGTTGGTACTGTCCGGATGAAGTGAATCAGATGTTTAATGGAGATCAAGTCTACAAAGATAAAATCAGGCAGAAGTTTTGAGCGAGCATGAAGAATTTTTCTGATGTGTTTGCAGAGTGTCCTGAAACATCGCTGGTCTGTCCTCTACCTGCTGCTCAGTCTCTCTGAAGACCCCCGCAAACCATCTAGCAGGGTGGGGAACACACACAGACACAGACACAGACATGCTGTTGACACAGTAAAATTCTAGTTGGTCTAGTGAGTTTGTAAGTTAAGTTGTACCTCCTCACCGTGTCCCTGTCTTTTCTTTCTCAGGTGGGGAACTATGGCGCTCTCTTTGCTCAGGCTCTCCCCAGAGACGCTCACTCCACCCCGTTCTTCTGCACCCGGCCTCAGAGCCTCGCTCTGGGCTATGGGGAAAGAACCGCCGCTCTGTCGGGCAGCGTGGGGACCAGCGGCATCTCCAGTCTGGGAGTTTACACACTGAATGGACCCACACCGACGCCGCAGTCACTGCTGGCTGGGTAAGCGATTTCAGACTTGAAGATTTTACAGATTTGAGCTCTTCACTGTGCCTCACCTGTGATTAAACAGTTTGTTTCTGATGTCTCTGGGGATTGAAAGGTTATTTATCAGCTGTTCATCCTGTAAAAAACACTCAGCGCTATATAAAGAGAGCATCAATTAGCACCAGGAAATAAACTCTCCTCTCAGCCTCTCTTAAATCTGTTTTATGAGGCATCAGAAAGCCGTTAAATTCCATTTCAGCAAACATCCTCCTCAATAATGCAGGAGGCCTTCAGTTACAAATGACCTCTGAGCTGGCTGGACTCACCTTTTCTTCTAAAAAGGGCAATTCCCCTCTAAAGTAAACAATAAAAAGATGCTCCCTCATCATTAAATCGTATTTATACCCTGAAATACTCAGAAGTGGTTGTTTAATTATGTAAAGGTGCACTTTGAAGTTTTTTAAAGAGTTTTTAAGACTATCGGAAACCTTTTTTAAAAAGTGCTGTTTTTCTTTGCTCCTACATCAGTACCTTCAAACTGTGAGTATTAATAATGTCTTTATGTGTTTCTGTGTGTTTTAGTCAACCTCCTCAGTCTGCAGCAGCAGCAGCAGCAGCAGGCGCTCAGCCTCTGGGATCCCGCCTGGCCTGGACTCTTCCTGTCAGCTGCTCCCCGTCCTCTGCTCTGGCTCTGCCTGCCACCCGACCTCCGCTCGGACCTCCAGCCCCCGGCAGAGTGGTTCAACCTCGCAGAGATGGTAGGGGACATGTTCGAGGTCAAATGGTGGGATCTTCATTTTTGGGCAGATACCACCCTGACAAAGTTTACACACTCTAATAATAATAATAATAATAATAATAATAATAATACATTTAATTTGTAATGCACTTTATGTTTACAAGAAATCTCAAAGTGCTACAGTACACAGTAAAAAGAGCAGCAACAATAAAAAAAGCAACAGAATGTCAGTCACAGATTAGCATAGCAAGCATAAAAGAATAAAAAATAAAGAGAATATAGAATTGCAGAGCAAAAGCCAAGGTAGTAAAAAGCATAAAGGAAGCTAACCAAAGGCTTTATTAAAAAGGAAGGTCTTTAGGGCTCTACCTGCTACATGCTGTGTATGCAGCAAACTGCTTTGCAGAACACTAAAAGAAGCGGTAAAATTCAGATATGGTAAATGTTTTTTACCTGCTTTACTGCCAAAAATAGACCCACAATATCAGCTTCTGGTCTGGAGATGAACCTGTGCAGCTACCCTGTGAAGACCAGTGTGGTTTTCGTTGACGATGAAAATATTTCGTCAACGTCATCGTCAACGAAAACAACACTGCAGAATATATGTTTAGCGTTTGACTGACGAAATGCAACTCTGTTCGTTTGTCACTAACGTTTTCTTCTCGTGTCGTCAACGTAAACGCACATTCGTCTCGTCACATTTTAGTCATCTAAGACTTATGATTAGCGCGTCAACGTCACGTCTTCGTCGTGGAAAAAAAATGGGCGTTGACAAAATATTTTCGTCAACGAAAAAACAACACTGGTGAAGACAGATACTTTTTGACATGAATATATCAAAACTAGAAAAGCACTCGGAGAGCGCAGACCTCCGCCAAGCAGCTCATGTCCCCCCTTATATTGTGATTCACACCAAAACTTTTACTGTTACGTGTCTTTTATTAACTTTTATTTGTGTTCATGAATTTGCTTCGATTACCGTCGCCTGTCTCATTCTTGGGGGACTTGGGAGGATTTTATGCCTCGTTTAAAGTAGTACAGTAGTAGTAAGAAATGTTGAACAGGACTTGAACATCTCTTAATGCTAAGAAAACTAAAAAACTGAAATTTCCCTCAAAGTTATTCAGCTGTTTAAAGAGAATATGACGTTCTACAGTGCAAGTGTTTTTCCTGCTGCTTCATGTGTGTCTCTCTGAGGAATCAAATCCCGGTTCCGTGCTGCTGATGTTCAGTAAATCCTCTGTCCTCTCGTCCTCTGTGGGTGCAGGAGAGGTGAGCGAGGCGGCGCTGGTGCGGGACATCCTCTATGTCTTCCAGGGAATCGATGGAAAGTTCATCAAGATGAGCGCCCAGGAGAACTGCTACAAAATAGACAACAAGGTACCTGATGCGCCTGAACCTGCGTGCAGCCTGTAAAACTTTTATCGGAGAGATTAGATCAGGAGGGAGGTCGACAACATCTCAGATCAGCAGCTGCAGGGAGGTGGAGACAAAGAGGGTCACGCAGAGACGGGTGAAGAGGAAAAAAGGAGAAAAAAAGATGATTTTGTTTTGATGTTGGAGGGTTTCTGTCACACATCCAGAGAGTGTAACAGGAGATCTGTTGTTGATGATTGGACTTTAAGAGGAAGATTCAACAGATCAATGTAAAGCTCTTTGGCTCTGGTCCACATCGACCTCTTTTCCCCTCTTTTCACTGTCCTGTCTTTTCCTCCTCTCAGTTTTTATCGATATGAGCCTCAGATCTAACCTGACCCACGCTCTCTCTCAGCGCTGCTAAACTTAGACTGTGGTCAGTCTGCTGTCACCGTCCTGATGGAGGAGGAGACACTGAGACCACAGACAGATTCAGTCAGGGGATGGAGATGTTTTGGACTCGTCTTTGGCCTCTAAATTCTCTCTGTAGAGCTTTTCGAATAACAAAAGAAACTCCTGTGAACTCTCTTTTTACACAACAAGTTGTTAAAAAGATTGTTGATTACTGTGTGTTGTCGTCCTCGCTCTTCTCCACCAGGTGGTGCTGTGTAAGTCCCTCAGAGACACCAGTAGCAGACTGGCAGAGCTTGGCTGGCTCCACAACAAAGTCAGGAAGTACACTGATGCCAGGAGCCTGGACCGGGCCTTTGGGCTGGTTGGACAGGTGTGCCGATTGACGACCATCAGAAAAATACGATTATTTAAAGTCTGATCCTCCTCTAATACACCTCTGTCTGTCTGTCTGTCTGTCTGTCTGTCTGTCTGTCTGTCTGTCTGTGTCCTCCTCTCTCCTCAGAGCTTCTGCGCCTCGCTGCATCAGGAGCTGAAGGAGTATTACAGGCTGCTGTCTGTCCTCCACTCACAGGTACACACACCACACACTGCTCACATTAACAAAAAACATTCTGGGTGATAAATCTGCAAATAAAAATCACCTTCCCTCATTTTATGCCCTCATTCTGATATTTAAGCTCGACTGATAACAACAACCGTCTTTGTGTTTGTGTTGTAGCTGCAGGTGGAGGACGAGCAGGGTGTGACAGTGTGCACAGAGAGCACTCTGACTCTCAGGAGGCTCCTGGTCTGGACGTACGACCCCAAAGTTCGACTCAAAACGCTGGCCGCCCTCGTCGACTTCTGCCAGGGTGCGCTCCTGTTTGTTATCATTCTTTTTGTGAGTCACGTTTGAAATCAAAGTTTAACAATATCGCGTGGTTATTACTGTCGGCTGTTTAGGTCGTAAAGGAGGCGAGCTGGCTTCAGCCGTCCACTCGTACGGGAAAACAGGAGACCCACAGATGAGAGCGCTGGTTCAGCACATCCTCAGCCTGGTGTCACACCCCATTCTTAACTTCCTGTACAGGTGGATCTACGACGGAGAGCTGGAGGACACCTACCACGAGGTACGAGCAGTTTGATAATTCAAAGATGCCTCACGGTGCAACAAAGGAAGAAAAGAAGAAATGTTGTGTTATTGTTAGGACAAGACAGAGTCGAACTTTGTCATTCAGCAGCTACAGAGCTGGAAGATGGTTGGAAAAAGTGCCTTAAATCTACAAACGTACTACCAAAGAGCCTATTTGAAATGCCAGAGTTGTTTTCTTTTGCCCCAGAGCTCCCGCAGGAATTTACAGCTTATGTCTTAAACATGGCCGTATTTAACCGCTCTGTTGTTTGACCCCAATGAGAGAGGACATTACAGAGAGAGAGGGAGAGGGAGAGACAAAGGAGAGGCAAGACAGCTCCTTAAATGAGGACTGATGAGAGGAGTGTAATGGAAAGCTTGGTGATGGATCTCTCTCTTTTCTTTTTCTCTCTCTTTCTCTCTCTGAAGTGTTTATTTATTCCAGGATTTACCGTCTTCATCACTCAGAGCTGAATCGCTGCATTAAGGAGAACAGAGTCATAGATATCCTGCCTTTTAGGAGGGAATTTACCTCGGAAATCACAGAAAAGCTTCATTTGAACTGACATGAAACTCCCTGAAAACTTCCAGAACTTTTCTAAGTGGTGTGAAAGCAGAGTGCTGGACTTTATATCCTGACTTTACCTGGATTTTTCCTGCCAGTCAATATGAAGTGGGGTTGAGCAAATAGGCGTAGGTGATAAGGTTTAAGCCACGCTATTGGTGCGGACACACAAAAGGCTAAAGGAAATTTAGGAGATTTAGACTCTGTTAGAAACAGTTAAATATGTTTCCACCACCTGTACTGTCAGTACAGAACACAGCCGACACCATCACTGCAAGATTGATGGAAGATTAAAAAAAAGCTGTCGTGTAAGTCTAAAAATTCACGCAGAAACTTGGCACACAACCTTGTCATAAAATTGTTCTGAGAGCCTTCTTTTAGCTTACTGTTTGGAAACGTGTTCAATAAAGATGGATTTTTACCCCGTCAGACAGTTAGAGTATCAGCGTATCAGCAGGCTTCACTGTGCCCATTAGAGAGCCGGTCAGGGTGAGTGTACCCTTTGAAGTAAATGGACGTCCAAGTCAATGTGAAGGAGGAGGATAAAAGCTTCTAACATTGACTGTTTACTCCTCCAAAGAGCTGTTTATGTTTGACTCATCTAAAGTTTCATTGGCCTTCCTGTAGACCTGTAGTGTGGATCAATTCTGCTGTAAATACATGTGCGGGTGATTAAAAAGCTTCAGAGACACAAAGAATGTGATTGAATTTTTTAAACCCCACATTTAAGTCAGTAAAATTCTTTGATTACACTTACAGCAGCTTTAAATAGAGTTTCTGGATGGATTTACTGCTGAAACTTCAACTCCTGGAGCTTCGTTTGTACATTTCTAAGTATCTAGAGTGCCAGGCTTTGTTTACTGTCTTTTATTCTTCAGGGGCCTCTCTTTATTCTGTTAACTTAACGCTGTGACCTTTAATTTTCCGCCTCAAAAAGCGCATCTATCAGTCAAAACTTTTTAAAGAGCGCCTCCTGCTGGTTGGACACTGTAACAACACCATTCCTATATCACCCTGTACATCATTTTCTATCTCGCTCAGTCAATTTTAACTCTGTTTATAAGGGGTGGGAGAAAAAATCGATTTACATAAGTATCGCAATTTTTTGTTTTGAAGAAATCTTAAAAACTGACTTACATGTCGTGTATTTTTAGGGGAAATGAGGTTCCTGGAATAGTCAGTAGACAATCATCATCATCGTAGAATCGCAATTTAAATCAAATCGGCATCTAGAAAAATCATAGAAGAATTGAATAGGGAGAAAAGCGTAAGGTCCCAGCCCTACAGTTAATGGAGGTCAAACTTACATGAGTCTGTTGAATCGTGTCTTTTCCGTAGTTCTTCGTCGCATCAGACCCCAATGTGAAGACAGACCGTCTGTGGCACGATAAGTACTCCCTCAGGAAGTCAATGATCCCCTCCTTCATCACCATGGACCAGGCCCGCAAGGTAAACACACCTGTCACATTTGTGGAGCTCAAAATGTTATTTTATGTTTACAATAGTATTACAGAAACAGAATCACAGATAATGGAAAAACAAAGTATCTGGTTTGCTGGCTTCATATCACCTCTGTGTTTCTCTCTCTTTTTTTTCAGGTCCTGCTGATCGGGAAATCCATCAACTTCCTGCACCAAGTCTGCCACGACAGAACGCCTCCGGGCAAAATCACACCAGCGTCCACGTCTGCAGACACGACTAAAGATGGTAAATGTGAAATCAACAAGTTTCCAGTGTTTTTACCTCTTATGTGCTCCACAACTCAAACAAGGAGGATGGATTTTTCCTTTATTCTCCAGTTAACTCGTGATTTTTCAACTTTCAGCAAAACAGGGAAAGCGTCCAAGCTTGTCTCCTTTTTTTTTTTTTTTTTTTTATTTCTTTATCTGTTAATCCTGTACCTTCTTCAGGTCCATATAAGCCTCCTTCAGTCATCAGGATTGGTATGTTTTGGTGTGAAGACAATATACGATACTTTATTTGTACCTTCTAGCTCAGGGGTGTCAAACTCAACCGCAGCAAGGGCCATAATCTAGATTTAGGTCTAACCTGAGGGCCAAACAAGGTCAACATTTCACCAAAACTGTCAACATCCTTTTCAAAAAATATGTAACAAAAATAGCAATGATTATAAATTATTCAGAAATTCAACAAAGATTAAAAAAAAAAAAAAAAGTTTAAAGGCAATCTGAGATTAAAAAAAAAAGTATTTTATTTTAATTTTTTATTCTATTTTTATTTATTACTTCAAAAGATCAGAGCATGATATTAAAAATAGAAAAATAATGCTTTTAAAGAGCAAATACATGAGGAGAAATCAAGTTTAAAAGGTTAAAATATGACTTAAAATTTAAAATTGGAATCTAAAGTATAAAAACAAAACAAGTCTAAATATCGAGTTGAACAAAATCAAAGCATGAAATAAAAAATCCAATCATGTTTGACTTGAAATCTTGAAATGCAAAATTGAAAACATGAAATAAAACACCAAATATTTTTCCCCCACATTCTTGACTATTTATCAAATCTTCTTTACTCTTAAATTTCCCAGTTTTTCACGGCTTATCAAGGACATTTTAAATGATGGTGCTAAAGTTTACATTATAATTCTGGACGAAATCTGCAGACTTCATACTGGTGGGCCAATGATAATACAAATATGATATGATCTTGTGGGACAGATATAATTGTTCCACGGGCCAGATTTGGTCCCCGGGCCTTGAGTTTGACACCTGTGTTCTAGCTGATGATACCCAAATAAGGACAAAGCAGAGCTGCAGTTTGTCAACCTTGATGGTCGTCTTGTTTTATCGTCACACGTTATCATCTATTTTTGCGTTATAATGACATCATCGGCCAATAAACAGCTGAGTTTGTGTCCTCGTCATATTGATATTGTCGTATTGATACAGGCGAGTTGACTGGCAGTGATCAATGCTCTTACCGCTTGCTGACCTCCTCCTCCTCCTCCTCCTCTTTAGGCGATGAAGAGGAGAGAGGTATACTTAGCTTTTTTATTGATTCAGTCTGCAGGACCTCACAGGACCTGTTTGATCTTCAGCTTTTACTGGATCAGCTGAAGAGCTCCCGGCCGTCTGATGGTCCTTGTTTGATCCTTAATCAGCATTTAGTGGCAACTTTGACTTCTGTATTTATTTATTTATTTATTTTACTTCTACGTAAATGAAACATTCCCTCTTTTTGTCCAGTATGAAAAGTATGAAAAAACACATCAGGTACACAGCTTTTAAAACCATTTGTCCGAGCCATGTGTCAGTTATTGTGTTATTTTTTTTATGTAACACACACTTAAGATTCATTAACAGCGAAAACCCCTGTTCATTGTTTCGTCTCTATCCTCGCTCTCAGCTGCAGAGCTGCTGTCCGACCTAGAGGGGGCGTTCCAGGAGAAAATTGACGCTGCCTACTTCGACACCAGCAAGTACCTCCTGGACGTCCTCAACCGCAACTACCTGCTGCTGGAGCACCTGCAGGCCATGAGGAGATACCTCCTACTGGGCCAGGGAGACTTTATCAGACACCTCATGGACCTGCTGAAGTGAGCGTCACTTTCAACTCGTCTCCTCAGTAATGAGATTTATGAGAAATAAGCTGTCGTATGATGACTAACTGTGACTTTTTAAATCTCAGGCCAGAGTTGGTGCGTCCGGCAACAACTTTGTACCAACACAACCTGACCGGTATCTTAGAAACGGCGGTCAGAGCGACGAATGCTCAGTTTGACAACGCAGAGATCCTGAAGAGGCTGGATGTGCGACTCCTAGAGGTAACATCTATGTTGGAATAAATATGCTGCACAGAGGCCTTAGGAAAAGAAATCAGACTTTTTTTTCAGTCTGACCTGAATATCTATGATTCAACAAACTATCATTTGACATGACGAGTTACGATATGATCCTGACCCTTAAACCCCTCAAGAGAAAGTTGAAGTACAGTTTCATTAACAGAGTTTTAATGGAAACAAAAACATCCTTTTTTTCACAGCTTCTCTTGTTTTTCCTAACTTTTTCTTGATATTTATCACAACTTTTGATCATTTTTGACCTGTTTCTTTATGTTTTTTTACAGATTTTTTCTTTGTCTTTTCTCATGTTGCTTGACTTTTTCTTGACTTTTTTCTTCAGTTTTCTTCACTTTTTGCTTGGATTTGTATCAGCTGTTTTTGTCTCTTTTCTCTTGTTGTTTTTTTAACTTTTTTCCTAATTGTACCTTTTTTTTTTCTAACTGAATACCTTGTATCATATGTAGACCATTTCATAGCCTCTTGTGGCCAAATTAAGTATTACAACAACAATCACTGAATGAAAATTTAGTGTTAAAAAATGTATCACTGATGTTTCCGAGTGTTTCAGGTGTGTTCTCACCTCTATAACATCCACCTTCTGCCCTCTTCAGGTGACTCCAGGTGATACAGGCTGGGATGTTTTCAGTCTAGATTACCATGTCGATGGACCCATCGCTACGGTAGTGAAAACAACTTTTGAAATACATTTCACTCTGTGTTTTTTTCTTTACATTGACATGGATGTTAGCTCATTAATTGTGTGTGTTTTAGGTGTTTACAAGAGAATGTATGGTCCATTACCTGCGGGTGTTTAACTTCCTGTGGAGAGCAAAGAGGATGGAGTACACGCTGACTGACATCTGGAAAGGACAGATGTGCAACGCCAAGCTGCTCAAAACAATGCCTGGTACAGGAAACAACACAAACTCGACATTAGGGAGAGAATATTCTTGTAGATTTTCATCCGCAGTTCAGGCTTTTGGTTCTCGTTTTTTCTCCATGTACATTTTTGTTCCTCATCTGATGTTATTTTTTGAAAGACGTGATAAATTTCCCAAATGAGATTGGTTAAAAGAGACTCACTGTTGTTGTCCTTTTCCCCTCCAGAGTTGTCCAGCGTGCTGCACCAGTGTCACATCCTGGCCTCTGAGATGGTCCACTTCATCCACCAGATGCAGTACTACATCACCTTTGAGGTCAGAGCATTAGCAGAGCCGTTACTGTCACAGGCAGTAAAAGGTGGTAATTACAGCGGGAGGCGATCTGCTGCGTCTGTTAAAAGCGGCGCCGGGAGGCTCTGATTTACACGATCAGCGGGAAGGTTAACTCAATTGAAGAGGTCCGAGCTCACTGCAGGAGAAATTAGTTTGTAAAGACACAAAAACTTTTCTGACAGCTGAGTAAATGTGGTCTTCAGTCAGTTGAGATTTCTTTTTAGGGTAGATCAGATATTTTTAGACCTGTGTGCTACTTTTTCAGGCACAAGGAGGCTTTGACTGAGCTGAAGCGAAATCGAATTGGCATCCAAAAAATCGTAGAAGAATCCAATCAGGAGAAAAGCATATCGGAGCTTTATGTTAACAAACTCAACATCACAGATATAAAACTTTACTGCAGGGATGTGAAGATTTCAAAGAGCCAAAAATGTAGATATTGTGCAGAGTGCAGAGCTTCCTGGAGGTTTTGTCTGTATGTATGACTCCAAAAAAACTTAAAATAACACAGCGTAAACAATTGAATTTCCCTTCAGGGATCAATTAAGCTCTTCTCATCTTATCTTGAATGCAAATGTCGAAATCAAGATACAAGTGGAGGGAAGAGCACCGGTGGTATTTTCACAGTTCTCCTGTACGACTTCTTCAGGTGCAGGAGAGTGAATCAAAATGAGGATTTTCTGCTTATTAAACTGAAGAAATAAGAAAATTTGACTCACTGTTTTGAAAAAGAGTCCTGTTGAACTTTTTTACACTCTGCGTTTGTGTTCGGGTGTTTCAGGTGCTGGAGTGCTCCTGGGACGAGCTGTGGAACAAAGTGCAGCAGGCTCAGGACCTCGACCACATCATCGCCGCCCACGACATCTTCCTGGATACCATCATCTCCAGATGTCTGCTGGACAACAACAGCAGGGTAACACACCGATACACAATCATCGGCCATGTGTCCATCTCTCTGAAAGGACTCACTTTAAATCTGCGTCTGTGTGTTTTCATCCAGTCCCTCCTTAACCAGCTGAGGGCCATTTTTGACCAGATCATCGCCTTTCAGAGCGCGCAGGACTCTCTGTACCGCTCAGCTCTGGAGGAACTCACCCTCAGGCTGCAGTTTGAGGAGAAAAAGAGACAAAGAGAGGAAGAGGTAGGGAAAGATTTCTCATCTTTTGTGGTAAGTGGATGTGTGATCCCACCTTGTCTAAATTTGTGTGTCTTTTTCAGGGCGAGTGGGGTGTGACGGCCGAACAGGAAGCAGAGGAGAAGAGGAGGATTCAGGAGTTCCAGGAAATGATACCAAAGATGAGCTCTCAGCTCTGCATCCTCACCCACTTCTACCAGGTAAGAGCCTGAGATCCTCCAGATCAGCTGTTCTCATCATCACGCTCAGCCTGATTTAACCATCTTCCCGTCTTTGTCCTCTCTTTCTTTCTCACAGAGCATCGTCCAGCAGTTCCTGGTGCTGCTCATGGCCAACTCAGATGAGAGTCTGCGTTTCCTCAGCTTCAGATTAGACTTCAACGAACACTACAGGTCTGACACACAAAGATAACATAACCTGCTTCACAAAGACACTTGGGCCAGATCCTTAGACCAGAATTTGATGAGTGAAGTTGAAGATGAGGCTGGTTCAGATATAATGCAGATAAATACTTCAGATCATTACAAATGGGGCCCAGTCAAGGTGAAAGTAAACAGCATTGGTGCTACTGTAGATGCCAACAGACTACCAGCAAACACAATGTTTGCAGGACTTCTACAACTAGGATAAAGTGACATAGTCCAGGACCCGAGGTCAACAGTTTAGCGGCGCTACAACACGCTACAGCAGGTTCGTTTGACAAGAAACACTTCTGTTACAGACACTTGTCTTACTTTGTTAAAGCGGTTTACCTGTCCAGCAGAAAGGTTACAGGGTCACCAAGATCCCTAAGCATCCCCGATCGTTTTTGCTTCATTGATAATGACCCAGCTTTTAGCTCTTGTCCGGACGGTCTACCTCCGTTTTAAACGCCCATTATTCCTCCAGAGTCTCCGGTATTTAGTTTGTTTTCTTGCTTGTGTCGGCAGTCGTGGCCAAAGGAGGATTCAGACAATTTTCCGAACTATCTGGTTGGTTTCTACTGTCTGATATTGTAGCACGCTAACTTTGTTTGGGCTCCTGAATGACATGGGGGAGCAGCGTCTGCCTCACAACCAATCAGGTTAGAGGAGGTGGAGAACGGCTTTGTTTACAGTCAGAAAGAGCGGACCGCTCTGAAATTTTAAAATGTTGACGATACAAACATAACAAAACACAGCGATATCGTTATATTACCAAATGTTGTCAATAACTGATAACTATCGACTGATATTAAAAGCTTTTTTGTATAAACACCACAAAAAAAGCTGCTTCTTTAACTGAATCCTGCCTACGCCACCTTTAAAGTTTAGTTGTCGGGGTCTTCAAAAGGTCTTAAAAAAAAGCACCATAACCCTGAAAAACTGGAAAATAAAAAAACTAAAAGGTTTTTCTCACATCTGTTTGTACTGTTTGCTCTGCAGGGCCAGAGAGCCGAGGCTGCGAGCCTCTCTGGGCGCCACCCGCGGACGACGGCTCTCAAACATGTGACATGACGGCCTTTAAACATTTGACGGATGAGGCTTCCTATCATTGGAGCACAGGGTATGACATCGCAAAAGGGGGGCCGGCCGGCAGACTTGAATCTCTGCGTGTCGAGGTGATGATGTCATGCCTTGGAGGAGCGACTCAGAGCTGCTCTGAAAGTTCGGCTGCACACACTCAGCGGGAGCGGCGGTCACCAAGTGATGACATCACAGCTGACAGATCAAGGGGGGAGGGGGGGAGTCGGCCACGCGGGGTCAAGAGGGAATGAAACTTTTCGAAGCTAAAGCTGCAAACTCAACAGACTGCTGGAGACTCAGCGTGAACTCTGCAAACATGAGGACAATTCGAGAAACTGTGGAGAAAGAAAAGCTGCTGTCAGACTGAGTCACTCAGCGCCACCTCACATGGCATGCCTTATCCCAAGAGAAAACATGCTCAGCGTGGTTGCCAAATCTAGTCTCGACCATAGATCGTCTGTAAGAAGTGGACGCAGCAACGCTGACACCAACTGTTGGTTTGTTTACTACAGAATTCAAGCATCTTTCTGCACCGCGTTTGCTTTTCAGAGCCAGAAGTGACCATATTTGGATGAGAGGGTGAGGAGCGAGAGGAACTAGCCAGCACAAACAGACTTTGAACAAAATATACCAACAACAAATACTCCTCTGTGAGTCTTTCAGGACAAGGACAATCTAATGTAGCCATGCAGCAAAGTCAACCCGAATTTATCATCAGATTGACTCCAAACTGACGAGAACATGACTAAAATTTACTAAATTAACACCAAAATGAGGTAAACTAGTCTCTCAGAGCACAAACAAGTTGACTTGGGTGATAAATCATGCAAGAAATTCCATACAATTTGACTAATTCTGTAAACCAATGGAGTCGCCCCCTGCTGGCCAATAAAAAAAAAACAGCCTGATTGGCCGCACTTTGGAGACAAAGATGCTACGTCCACTTTTTACTCCGTCTATGACTCAAGAACGTCTAATGTATGTAAATAGAATTTATGCAAAAAGTGTATGTGTGTGTAGTTGCATCTTTACACCTCCATACGTGTGGCTTTGCATCCTAACGCTAGGGTTCAACCGATATGAGTCTGATGTTGATATTCCACCTATTTTGTATTCAAAGTATTGAAGAAAACGTTTAAATTTGACTCTGGACGGCTGCACAGGAGTCTCCAACATATTTAATATTTATGAGTCAGTATTGGTGCGTCAGTGAGTATCGGTCTAACCCGAGCAGTTTTCCTCTCCTCCTTTGAAGTGCAGGGTTTTTTAGTGTCAGGTCAGCTGTCCGATCACAATCACACTGAGGATTTTCAACAACACACATGAACACATGAACACACACGATTCTGCTTCCAGAGAAGACAAAACTTCCCTCATACAGCCGAAACTTCACTGAGTTGTTGATTCTCACGACTTTCTAACTGAAAGTGACTAAATAGTTGCAAAAAAAAGTGAATTCAATGTTTTTTAAAAAATAATTAGAGCTTTTTCTTCATTTCTAGGGCTAGAATGATGAATATACAGACTTTTGGAAGTGCTCAAGCTGTCCACAGAGACTCAGGCTCAAGCATCAAATTTAAAAAACAAAGTAGATTCTCTCAAGTGCTTTTGTTTACCACTAACAGGCTCATATTGTGCCTGACAATGTTACAAAAACATCCCTACAGAGACAGGAATAAAAAGAAACAGCTGCTTCATAACTCCTCAAAGCCACCAGACTCCATCGGGAAAAAGTGGGATTTTGCTCGACATAACGTAGGAGAAGCCGCTGTACAGTTTTTTTGATCCGTTCGTTTGTTTTTGTTCTTGTTTGACATAGATAATAAAAACTGGGAGTGATAATCTAACATAACTGTCTGCTATGAAAAACTAAATGAAATCTGAGGGATTAAGACGTGAAAAGATGAGCTGTTTTCTGCTGTTTTCTGCGAGGTGAAATTGCTGTTTTTCTCAGTAGGGTTTGGTCCCTTTTATGAAAGCCATGTAGCAGCTGTTTCTAGTTTGAAAGTAACCAGAAATCTCTCTCTCATTAGACATCTTTTTGGAGATGTTTTCAGACACTTACAGTAACATCAGTGGAGAAAAAAAACTAAAAGGAGATGTTAGTTTTTTTACCTCGGCTGATTTTGTCCAGAATCCACCTCAGTGTGTTTCGTCCGTGTAAAGGAAGTGTCATGTTTAAGGAAAAGAAAGCAATCCTCTCAACAACCACGACAACCTCACAACATAAACAGGAACTATCAGCGTTCAGATGTGTCTTTATAAATGTAAATAATCCTACGTGTTCAAAGAATGTAACGGTATACATACAGTATATTAACTTTGGCGGTTTATTTTCCCAGACAGGTCTTTAAAGAAGAGTGTCTTTGTTTATGGTGTTACAAAAAGAGGTTTACGAGATAGAGATACTAACAGTATCCAGTTTTTTACACTCTGTCATTCAGATTTCCTCAAATTGTCTGTGTTTGACCTCAAAAAGTAACATTTTACTGCCCTGGGAAATAATCGAGATCAGTAGAGTCTCCCCTTGCTGGCCATTAAAAAGAATGATGGTCACATATTATCTTCTGATACATGTACGATCTTTTGCTGCAACCTAAACCAGACCATCAAAGTCCATTTGCTCGAACTCAGTGGCCCACTGTCCTGCATGTTTTGGATGTTTTCCTGCTCCAACACACCTGATTCAAATGATCAGCTCGTTATCAAGCTCTGTTAACGAGCTGATCATCTGAATCAGGTGTGTTGGAGCAGGGAATCATCCAAAACATGCAGGACAGTGGGCCTCGAGGACTGGACTTGAGAACCACTGGTCTAACTCTTGATAATCATCTACGTCTTCACTGCTGTGGTCGAGTCAAAAAGCATCTTTTGTAAAGAGCTCAGATCTTGTGTCAGGGAAACAAAAATCAATTAAATAGACACAACACATGCATTTTTAGAGGGTATAGTCACTGTATGCTAAAATTGAACAGCTGTGACTGTAAACTCTGTTCTCTCTAATTTTATCTCAACCTTGCAGCAGGTATCCTGATTTTGAAGCAGATTTGTTCTAAGTTTGTCTTCGGTTTACAAATTGGTGCTGGATTTGGTCACATGACCTGCTTTCGACAATTACCCCCTCGTGCACTTGTGTAGAAAAACAATTTGCAGTGAAGTGAAATGAAACTAACCCTCGCTCAGCCCTCCTCCTTCCTGTCTGTCCGTCCTCAACATTGTATAGCACATATTGTATAGAATACAGGGAAATGAACCATCCTGCTTCTTCTTTAATAATAAAATGTTTTTTGTATTAGTCTGTGTTTGGCTTTTACTTCTTTTAGTAGTTCTGGTTCTGTTAAATAAGCTTGAATATACCGCCACCTACAGGTCTCTGCCGCTTCGACACTGGCCTCAGAAAGAGTTGTATCAAACAGAATTGGATGGTTTGCACATTATTTTAAGTCTGTATTCATAGACTGTATATACTATGGACAACTTGGTTCCGCCTACCGCCTGTATACGGATTTAAGCCAAATAGCTCTCGGTATTTCCGGGATTTTTCTTCATTTCCTGAAACCAGAGCTGCGCAGTAGCGATGCGCGCATTCGGGCGAGAGTCGCTGAGATGACGCTCGGCTCAAACAGCGTATCCCCGCGGTGAGCTACGCAATCCCTGAACGCCCATAGGCTGTATCAGGTGTCAATCAAAGAAAACATGAACCCCCTAATAACTTTTAAAAACGGAGCTTCACAGAAAAAAAGAGGACTTGAGCTCAAACCAGTCTGACAATAACTACATGTCAACATCACAAGAAGGGTACTTTAGCAGGATATTTCACACTTGGAGTTAATTCTGGACTATTCACTCATTAAACCACTAGAGGGAGTAGCAGCCCTCTCTGTATCTCACACATTAGTCAGTCTGGTTTCAAAACCTGGTGAAGGGAAGCTGCTCTCAGAAAGGTTTTTGGGTTATAAGACATTCTGGAGCTTCGGGAAGATGTAGTTTTTGAACTTTAGGGACAAGTATCCTCACAGCGGGGTTAGAAAAACAAAGTGGAGTAGGAGTTTCTTGCAGAATAATGAACAGTCTGTTAAAAACCTTTCAGTCAAAGTTTGTTTTCCTTCTTTTTGTGAACAAAGCGTATATGTGTGTGTACATACCTGTTTATTTGTCCATCTCTTCACGCCTTTATGCCACAACAACCGCTCATCTTTGTGGATAGCAGTCGCAGAAAATTGTCAGTTTGGAGAGCTGCGGTCCTGAGAGGCAGAGAGTCCTGACAGCCGAGCTGGTACAGACACAAAAAACAGGTGTTCATTTTTTACTGTCCTTTCTTTACTTTGTCTGTGTGTGATGTGAGTATTCAACTGCACAGAGGTTTTTGTCACTCAAGATGAAGCTTTACAAAGTATTCCCAGCATCCCTCATGTCATTGTTTCTCTGTAAAAATAGCTTTGCTCTGCTGACCTCTATAGAGAGTGACAACCCCCCGACTAACTGATCTGGTTTCAGTTTGTTCTGTGGGTGTCAGAAGGTTTGATTTGTTTCAGCAGCCTGCAACAAAAGAGCAGAAAAATGATCAAGACTTCTTATCCACCAACATGTCGAGCATCCCTAGATTAAAGATGCGGGTCTTGATGTTCACCATGAAACCCACTTCTTTGTGTCCAGACCTGTTTTTTAAGTCTAAACTAACTTGGTCCACATGCAGACTTACAGTGGATATAAAAAGTCTACACACCCCTATTCAACTGCCATGTTTTAGTGATGTAAGAAAATGACGACAAGATGAATATTTTCACAACTTTTTCCACCTTTAATGTGACCTATAATTTTTTCCTGAGCTTTAACTGAGACTACATGCTACATACTTTGTCAACAGGGGGCACCAAAGTCCACAAAAAATGCATGTCAGGGTGCGGTGCATATTAGTATATGGTGTATGTCAAGTTTGGGGCACGTCAAGGTGAGGCAAATGTCAGCTTTCAGTACATGTTAGCTTTTGGTACTTGTTAGGGTTTGGTGCATCTCACTCTGTGTGCATTTAAGGGTTTGGTGTATGTCTGTGTCTGATTCAGTTTAAGGTTTAGAGCATGTCATTGTTCGACACATGTCACGATGTGGCGCATATACGTTTGGTGTGTGGTGCATGTAACTGTGTGGTGCATACCTAGGTCTGGTGCATTTTAGGACTCAGTGCATGCTCCTATTTAATGATGAATGGGTGTAGTGTATGTTTATACTTGTGCATATCAGGGTTTGGTTTGTGTTGGTGTGTGATGCATGTCAAGTTTGGTACAGATGGAGTTCTGTGCATTAAGTAGCATAAGATAAAATCCGGTTTAAATGTAAACTCAAATATCTCGACACTCTATCTTACCTCTGCCCTCAGTGTCAGCTCCAGCTGTGGCAGGAATCACTCGCTAGGTGTGACCATGAGCCCTGAAATAGATCCAAGTGCAGGTGTGTCTGTTTGGAGCAGCTGGATCTGTTTCTCGGGTATTAGTCAAAGCTCACTGCACACACACACACACACACACACACACACACACACACACACACACACACACACACACACACACACAGAGACACACAGAGAAAAGGAAAACATTGTGTTCAGTTTTGGACAAAAAGTTCTCTGTAAAACTTGAACAAAATAATGTCTGTGAAGAAAAACAAAACTCACAGTGTTAGTCATTACCTCCACCAAGGCGCTGGTTTGTTTGTTTGTTTGTCTGTTAGCAACTTTACGGAGAAAGTAACAGACGGATTGACCTGAAATTTTCACCAGAGGTGCGTCTCAGCCCCAGGAGGATCCCATTAAATTTTGGTGGTGATCCGGATCGCCTTCTGGATCCAGGAAGTTTTTGAAGGATTCTTTATCATTGTGAGATAGGGCAAATTTTGAATTTTTGCATTTAACTCTATAAAAATGTTGCAAAATTCCGGATACTGTGAGCTGCTTGGCGGAGGTCTGCGCTCTCCGAGTGCTTTTCTAGTCTTTTTGATTTTTTTCCCCCTCATTTCTGCAAACATGAAGAAAAGTCTGCTTGTGTTTCCTCTTTTCTCTCAGTGAAAATCTTCGACAAAAGCTTCTTTTGTTCCTCTCAGACTGACCCTCTTCTTTTCTTCAACCTTCTGAAGGTGTTTTTAAGGTGAGAAAAGAGAGAAACCATCAGAGTCTGCGAGTCGTCGACTCAAGAACAGACAGCTGACATTTAACGACATTTCAGGGAGCAGGTGTATCAGAGAGACTCTTATCAAAAGAATGAATTCGTGTTTTTACTCTTTATCCACCTTGTCTCTCTTTCTTCATTGCCAGCTGGATCCCCCGTTTGCTGTGTGTTTAAACTCAACTCAGGCGAAAAAACAGAGTCAGGCTCCCTCTTTCTGCTCACTCAAGACCTACATTTACATCTTCCACCTCCTATTGTTCCCAGTTTGCTTTAACAAGAGTCCTGAGGATAAACTCGGCAGCATTAATTGGACATTTGCATTTGTGGGGAGGTAATGAAGCTAATTAGGGCAGCAGATCAGTTCGGTACTTCTACCCAGATACTAAACAAGATATCAAAATGACTCATCCAGCCCCAAAGTTTCACCTTTTTAGTGGTTCTCTCAGCTTCGGTTCTTGCTCAGTATGAAGCTGTAGTTTGATATTCCAAAATGACACCTGTTGAAACATGACACTGATGAACATCTGCAGTAAGCGCAGACACTCGAACTGTTCAAGTCTCGCACAGTTAAAAGATATTTCAAGCAGGTTTTAAGTTTTTAAAACATCTAAAATTGAAAGGAATGAGGCCAAAACGAGAACAAAAATAGACGGAGAGAATATGTTGACAAGAAAGGGGAGTAACCAAAGTCCCACTTTGTGTGTTTGCTTTGATGCATCTTCTTTCTACGTTGGAAAAACTCAAGCAGGTGTGTTCACGTCATCTCTCTGGATTTCCTGATGTTGCAGCAGTCTTACTGTCTCTCTCTCTCCTCTGCAGATCCACAGCTTGACAGCCTCACTCTGCAGTTCCCTCTTTTTGAATTTCAAGCAAGTCTCCACACCTGAACAATCCACTCAGCTGTCTAAACCTCATTTCTGTCACCTGCATGAATCAGTTCAAACCTCCCTCTCTTCCTGGTTCTTTGAGCAAATGAAGCGGTTTTAATCAGTAAGTTTGGGCACCAATTTAAAAGTTTTACAGTAGTTTGGACGTGTTGCGCAGTCGACCGTGCAGGCATGAGGGAGTGCTCAACAGTGTGCGCACAGTTCTGGCTGAGCTCCCATCGTTCTGATCAGATGATTTCCTTGTTGTGCACAGAGCTGCAGCTCCACGGCATGCACAGGACAGCAGAGCTGCCCGTCAAAGCCGCTGCTCAGAGATATGATGCTGCAGTCTCAGCTGGAAGTTTGGTCTCGTTATGCTCACGGCTGACATGTTCTGTCTCTAAGCAGAAGTTTAATATTAGTTTAGCAGTGTGGGGGATGTCAGTGCTTCTAATATTTGTTATCCCTCTTCTGGAGTTGTAAAATCTTTCCTCAGAAGCAGATATGTGTGACATTTTCGCCGCCGTTGCCCCTGAAGCTGCCCTTTTCCCTGCCTGTGCTTTATCAACCTGCTGCATGTGTTCATACAGGAGTGACGCACTTCCACTGTTTAAATATTCCAGAGTAAAGTGCAGGAGACAGATCATCTTCTGAGCTCTCCAGGTGTAATACCTTCAGAAAGGTCAGGAAAATAGCCGGAGGAGGGGAAAGGAGGGGAGGGGGCTGGAAAATGTAAATTCAGTCTCAAGAGTCAGACTCAGATTGTCTCTGAATGAAAACCACCGCACAAGCTGCAGGTGTTTGTGACCAAAAAAAGTGTGTTTCAACAGAGGTATAGATGGCTGGAAACTGCAGGGAGAGGTGTGACATTTTTTGACCGAGCATCATACAGCACAAAAAAAACGGTCTAATTATTCCTTTGCACAATTAAACTAAACTAAAAATTCCTCTACCTGCGTAAGAATGTCAGCTAAAAACTTACATTAGACAGATTTCAAACTGCTATATGCACTTTTTTTTGCAAAGTTAAGAGGATTTGCACAGAAATTTAATCTGTATTCAGCCAACTGGATAATTGTCTTGTATTCCAACAAAAACAGTAAATAATTCGATCAAACCACACGGGTTATAGACGCAGTATGGTTTGAAAATGTGAGCAAAGGTGTAAAATGAAGCAGAGACGTCTTATCTGCCACTCCAGCTCCCCTCACATGTGAAGCCTAAGGTATTTATTGGTGCAACCTTTTAAATAAAGTATTTTCTTAACAGTATCTTAACCAAGGAGACAGTTTTGTTCAGTAGTTTCATCATACACCCCCACAGTTGGAGGCTATAGTCCTGAAAGCAGGTGGCCAGGGTTCAAACCTAACCTGCAGCTGTTTGCAGAGCGTTATCTCTTCTCTACTCTCTCTGCTGAGTTTCTTTACTCTGTGAAAAAACCTGGAAACTATATTTCACGAATCAAGTCAGGATATTTTGAGAATAATGTTTTTTTGTATGAAAACAAAAATACTCATACATACAGGGAAATATTCATACATTTAAAACCATGACTTGGTAAAAACTCAAGATTAGGGCTTTAAATTTACTGGATTAAAGTCTTAGATATACAAATAAAAACTGTTATGTTTATGAAATAAAAGTCATTAATTTATATCATCAAAGTTGTAATTTTATGAGAACAAAGTCTCTTGTAGATAGGGTCTCATATTACAGTTTGTCTCGATTGCTAAAACACATTTCTTGTAAAAAAAAAGCTGGTCAGTATGAAATCTAGTTCAGAGTGATAATCTGTGAGGAAAGAGTGTAAATCTGCTTTAATCCCACGTCTCATCCCTCGTAAGTGGCATCATCATAAAAAAGAAAAGCAGTTACTTTTGCCTTGAGGTGATGAATCAATAAAGGTCATGGCTCAAAATTAGAAATGCACGTTCCCCTGAGGTTCAACACCTCTACGGGTAAATTTCAAAGAAGGATATTTCCTGACTTGGACAAAAGGAAAGGTCAGAGGTCACTAAATCCCATATAAGACTTGTGATATTCAGGTCAGTGTTAATGGAAATTTAATAAAGTCATTGTTCAAACAGCTAATTGACATTGCCAACCGCAGATGTGCCTTTGGTGCAGTTTAAGACATTGAATGTGTCGTATTAGCATCACTTTCTGCAGCTGCTGTACTGAGATTTATTCAGCCTGGACGCTCAGATGGATTGATGGACACATTAAAGGATGAGTGAAGAATAGTTTATTAGCGCGCTTGTATTCATACCCATGCTCTCCAGTTCTGCCGTCAGTCATGAGGCCTGATGGGAGAAGCTGTCTGCAGGCTGGAAATGCCACCATCTCCTCCTATTGACAGACAGAGAAAACAGAGAGGAAGCCGGATCGACAGGCAGGAGGGCGGCAGGCGGCAGAAGGGTGGAGCTGTCTGTTTGTTTCTCCATGTTTGTTCATGTTTGATGAAAGAACAGCAGACTTCTTATCATTCAGGCGACAAAAACAAAATCATACGACTGTAGTGATTTGAAATGAGCCTCATACGGTCGCACCAAAATATATTTGGCGATTGGAATTTATAATAAATGTCTGAAGATTAATAATCTCAAATTATGACATTTATGCACTCGTTGAAAGGGGCACCACCCACCCTTAATGGTGGGAAAATAAAGAAAACAAAAGTTTAATTCAGAAATCAAACATCAAGTCAGTTTTAATTAATCAGTCTTAATTAATCAGTCTTAATTAATCAGTCTCATATCTTAAGTCGAAATTCTAATTTCAGGGACTCCACTTCTGGAAGAACACTAACAGACCAGAACTTAGAAAAATAATTATCTGTTTATTACAGGATAAATGATGGTACAACACACATGCAATAAATGATGATAAGATAATGAAGATAAATAATAATAGGTGAATAAATCAAGATTCTGAGTCAGGCTAGGAGCACTAAAGTTAATGATAGTGAGTGAATATGCGCTAACATATTAACCTACACTAACTTTAGTGTCGAGATAAACTCGGATGTGGATTTGGAGGAATCTAAGATTACCAGAATAAGAGGATATCTGAGTTGAACGCAGGAGACAGCACCAGCCCTCTTTAGAGCTCTGGAGGTTTGCATACTTAAGTGAGACTGGTCCTTGGAGAAGATGGAGCAGGTTCCGAAGGTCCGGGCTACTGGCGGTTCGAGCAGTTCAGCTCAGAAGACGACTGAAGTCAGCCGAAGGATGAGCCAGGAGTTGCAGCACTCAGGCCCGAAGCAAAAACCAGCGCCTGTGGATCCTGTGGATGCTCGTTTGGGTACTTCTTTAGTCTCACTCAAAAACTCTGGCACAGAGGATGACCTGGGCCTGTTGGATTGCGTTCGGAGGTGACTTTGAAATCACGCAGAAAACTCAGAAAAACGAGGCTCGAAGAGCAGAGAAAACTTTCAAAAATGGCTTCGCGAAATTAAAGAAAATCAATCAAAGGCTTAATCTTGAATTGCTATGTGCACAAAAAGTTGAAGTTTCAAAACTTGAACTAAGACGATGTTAAAGAAAAATCAACGTGAATCAACACGTGGCGTAAAACTTAGAAGACTAAGAAAAAGTTCTAAGAGAAAACAAAGAAACGCACCACAGAAGGGTGTGGACAGAAGAGAAGGGGCATAAGAGCCGGGGACAAGAGAGTCAGCAGAAGAGCAGAAGCATAAGAGAGCTAAGAGAGCGTAAGAGAGGTTGAGCAACCCCACTCCACTGGTTTTATCTTCTCACACTGGGAGTGTCTGAGGAGAAAGAGGAGGGGTCGTGGAATCTCTGATTATTTGATCTAACTTATTCTTTTGGCTGGTAAAAGAGTCAGATCTGATACTCACTCACTATGATTAATATCATTGAATGCTTGGTTTCATGATCAATAATTTGATACTAAACACATATGAATGAAGTGTAGGATCACATCAAACATTCTCATTATGTTTCAAGTATCACAATGAACATGCTAAATTACTCTGAAATGAAACAGAGAGTAACACATGGAAACTGTGAACAACAAAAGAGTAAACACATGTGAATGAACTTCATCATGATTAATAATGGATTCTAAATACTCACATTCAGATTATTCAATGACATTATAACCACCTAATGGTTAAAAATACTAAATAAACAACTACAATATAAACCAAACATTTCTAAACTGTCTCTGTTACCTAGAGTTAAGTTATGATCCATAGTCAATAAATTTAACTCTTAAAAGTTCATGAAACAGTCTGAAAAGCTGTTGGTCTAAAGAAACTAAAGAATAAAGGATTTATTCTGTAACTCGGCCTCTGGAGCACATAGAAAAACGGGAAACATCTCATTTTAACACAAATTTCATGATTAGACAGATTAGTACATTGCTGAATGCATAAGATGTCAGGATCAGTCATTTGTATTCTTTCACCAAAGGAATGTAGTCTTTATCAGTGTATGGTCGAGCAGGGTTTTACGACCGAGGTCTGGAGGTCAGTGTCCCCCCCTTATCCTGGGGTCCGTATGTTCACACACTTTAAGACGCTAAATCTCAAATGGGAGATCTGGGTTGAGGTTAATGTTTATTTAGATGGTCAGCAAATTGAGTCAGTTTGAAAGGTAATAAAACTCTGTCTCTGTTCTCCGAATCGACCAATCGTGAAGAGTCAGAGGTTTAGTCAACCTCCGGTTGGGTCACTTATTTAACCTGAAAGTGTAAACGAGTCTGGAAAGATTTATATCCTGTTTCCTGGGACCAGATAAGGAAGCTTTCCTGTGAGGAATGTGTGGGTTTCACACCCAGGGTTGTCTTGATTGCTACACGACACTACATTTCTGCTACACGCACGGCATGTCCGATGTCCTCTGTGTTCAAACAATTTAACAAAAGGGGCTTTCCTGCCACATGGGGTCATTTTAGAGGAAGGTTCAAAATAAAACTGTTTAATGGTCCTGACTGTTACATTAGCAGTGACTCTGAATACTGATTACCTCCGCCAAGAAGGTTATGTTTTCGGTAGCGTTGGTTTGTTTGTTAGTTTGTTTGTCTGTTAGCAACTTTACGGAGAAAGTAACAGACGGATTGACCTGAAATTTTCTCCAGAGGTGCGTCTCAGCCCCAGGAGGATCCCATCACATTTTGGTGGTGATCCGGATCGCCTTCTGGATCCAAGAATTTTTTGAAGGATTCTTTATCATTGTAAGATAGGGCAAATTTGGGAATTTTTGCATTTAACTCTATAAAAATGTCCAGAGTCTTTAGTAAAAAATGACACAAAAGGATCTCAATGAGTTTTATGAGGTGTCAAAGGTTGATCTTGATCCAGACAAATTTCCGGATACTGTGATCCAGAACACACAAAAATAAGGGTGTCGTTGGAATTTTCAATGCTGAAAGATAACCAATGGGCGGCACAGTGGTGTAGATGGGCGGCACAGTGGTGTAGTGGTTAGCACTGTCACCTCACAGCAAGAAGATCCTGGGTTTGAATCCGGGTCAGGGTATTTCTTGTTTTAGGAACATTATGAACAATGGTCATGTTTGCGTGTGCCGGTCAAAAGTCGGGTCGCGGCATTCTAGACCAGCTGTAGGCGGGCGAGCGAGGACTGACTGATACCAAGATACAATCCATTGCAATAGCCCAGTCTTGTTGAGATAAAAGCATGTACAACTCTCTCAAAGTCTAAAGACGATAAAAACGGTTCAGGGTTTGCTTAGCTCACCCGGGGGGATACGCTGTTTGAGCCAAGCGTCATCACAGCGACTCTCGGCGACTCTCCCGCCGAATGTGTACAACGCTACTGCGCAATGCTGGTTTCAGGAAATGAAGAAAATGCAACTTTCAGACTTTTGCAGTTTTTTTTCTGCACTTTTGCAGCATCCATGCTAAACACTAATAGTGCTACTCAGTGCTGTAATTGCAGTGACTTTGCCTATCACAATATTGCTTGTGTTTTGCATGTTGTGATTGGATGTTCAGGAAAGAGCTTCTTCGTTTCAGTGAGTGGATCGAACACACTCGTGAATCTTGTCTACTCTTCTAAATACTGCTAAATGCTACATTCTGCGCCGTTACTTGGCATTTAATTCAACATTTTTGACTTGATCTAAAATGTGTTGAATGAACCTGCTTATTCACTGAAGCTCTTACTCTCTCTTGACACCACTTCATCTGAGAGGTTGGAAAAATGTCAACCAGAGCAGGTTAACAAAGTTTGGACAATTTCTTTTTTTAGCCCTATACTTTGGAGTAATTGCTTGTAACGACCGCTGGTACATACCTGAACAATTACCCACTCTGAGAGCAGAAATGGCTGAGTGTCGGCAGCAGAAACCGCGGCTGAAATTGCTTGAAGGCCAGACGTCTCTCACACTATGATCAACAAGACAAAAACGTCTGACTCATCAGACTAAAAAGCTTTTTCTGAAAAAGAAAAAAGTTATTGTGCAGCTAAATGAACGGCTCAGAAGGAGGACAAAACCGCTTTTATCCCCAAAGATAACAGCCCTTTCTAGATGTGCATCTGTAAGCAAGGAATGCATTGATTTTCTATTTGAACATCTTGACCTCCCTTGCATGTGACACGCACTCACATGCACACACACCAATCAAATGTTCTGCTCCACTGCTGGTTGCCAAGGTCACCAAAGCTGCACACCTACGGCTGCCTAAAAGCTCAGAAAAACACTTTATTTTTTTCTTGCTCTTTGTGCAGCAGCTGGGCATTGATCTCTCCGTCTGCCCCACTCTCTTCTCTCTCTGCACCAGTCCATTTACCCCCTCTGTACCCACCAAAATAAAATGTTCTATTCTCACATATCTCCAAAAGAAGAGCACTCTCTCTCAGTCACACTGAGGAGCAGTGACTTCAGAGTCACTCTCTAAAAAGAGGGGATAAGAAACGTTCGATGTGGCTCCTGCCCGGGAACAGTGGGTCTGTTTTGTGACTGAACAAACATGCTGGGTTACTTGTTACTCCAAAAAATGCTGCTGTTTTCACCCGCTTTGTCACTCCTGTAGTTTTTCTATTCCAACAATACAAAAACACAAAAATATTAAATGTCACCACATTTTTATTTGAACTGTTTCCTCACTTAACCTTGTAAAGATATTTTTCTCCCTAAAATGTGAAACTCAACTCTTGCAGGACTAAAGTATTCAGAGTTCTAGTTTCTGTTTGTTTTTTATGTATCTGCAGGTTTTGGAGTGTGCAAGACCTGATGATTGATTTACTTCAAATACATAATATAAATGTCATACCCTTGAATGTTGTATAGATGTTCAAAACATTTGTTTGATCTCAGAGCACTTAACTATTTCCTGCATCGATCAAAACGCCAAGGAAGAAGACGAAAGGGAAGAAAAACAGCTACAAACACATATCTATAGATGCTTCAGAAGCTATAGAGTAAAAGATGAATACTACGAACTTAGCCCTGGCTCACAAGACCAACATCATTTTGAAAAAAGAAGATCCAGCTCAATAATAAAAGACCTGAAAGTCCCAAATTCAAAGAGGACACTGGTGTGTTTGTGAAAGGAGAGCCAGCTAAAGAAATCATATTCGTATGAAATGAAATATTTATGAATTTTGATATTAAAGGCTTCTTCCTAACTTCAATATGAAAGCTGCCGAGGTGCCCTTCAGAATCTTATAATAATGCACTCACTGTTCTCCACCTCTGCGTCTAATAAAGTCATTCACACTCAGAAATTAAAGAGCCGATGATGATCTGCTCACACTTTCCCCTCAGTTAACACCAACTCACCAAAACTTTTAGAAGTCTGTGCTCTTATGAAAACAGTACTAATATATCTCACACTTCAACAAGGTTTTTATGAAATTGCTACACTGGTATAACATGCAAAGAGGAGTGTTTTAATGCAAAATGAAACTCTGAGTTTAAGCGACTGCTTTGCTGCCAAAACACGATGAGGACAAATTAAGCTGCAACAAATTACAAAAATGTTCTTTCTCCATTTGCTCCTGATTATGCATCTTAAGAAAACGGTGGTGCATAATTCAGTAAAACAACCTTGTGGCGTACTGAAACACGATCTGCACAAACAAATGACCAGCAGGCAGAGGCGATGGCTCGTGCAAGCTAATCACCAAATGGTCTTTCAAAACCAGTCGATGTGGCGCTTTGTCTTCATAGCAGCGACTATTGGATCTATAACAGAAAACAATTATAAAAGAGACTGCAACTGTCATTTGTCATTGGAAAACAGAGGGTAAATATATATTTGGTATTTTGTTAATTGCTGCTAAAAAAGCGCTTACTAGGCGAAGGTTGCTCCCTGAGTCCCCTGCCATTCAGGAGTGGATGGATATCCTGAATGATATTTATATCACAGGAAAGATCACATTCTGCCTCCGTCTTCAGAAAAATTTGTTTGTTAAATTTTGGACAAAATGGGTTGAATATGTGACACCTTTACGCCCAGAGTTTGTGAAGGTAGTAACTCGAAAAATGAGCCTTGTTTTGGTATGGTATGGTCTTTATTGTCATTGCAACTGTGCACAACGAAATTGCATTTACAGATGGGGTAGTGGAATGGGTCATCAGTGATGGTGGGAAACCCACAGCTGCTGCCATAGGCGCCGCCAGTCAGGGTACCGCCCACCGCACTGAGGGGTGAAGCGTCGAAGGCATTGGGTGGGGGAGAGGTGAGTGTGTGCGTATGTGCATGTGTGTGAAGGTTCATGGATGCGTGTGTGCGTAGGCCCAGGAGGTCACTCCGTCCATCGCCACAATCTCGGTGACCTTGATTGAGTTCCAGATGAAGTCAACAGTCCGCAGGTGTCCGTGAAGGAGGGGGTTGGGGAGGAAAGTTCAGAGCGTCGAATTGCTGAGATCTCCTGGAGGAGTTGTGCCAGCATCAACCTTGGCCAAGGCCGATACCGAGGGAGCCGAGTAGTAGACTTCAGCTACTCTGATTGTCCATCCTGGTCTCTATATCGATCCATTGTCTTCTGCAAAGTCGAAAGCCTCTCCCAGATGACATCTCCCAATCATGACTTGATGTTGAAGATTGGAGACCGCCCCGGAAAGAGTTCTTACGGCTTTGCCCACCTCAAAAATCATGACGGGCAGCCTTTGGGGGCTCTTGACCGCTGCCAGCATCTCCTTGTTTTGTAGATAAATCAGGGCGAAGCAAAAGCCAAACAGCAACAGACCTGTTATCATCGTTCCGAAAAGGTAGACATCTTCCACATCCTCCACGGAAAGGACCGACAGGCACGCGACACGCCACTTCCCCCAGCCGTCCATCATGTAGCCCGCGGCGAACGTTCCGTCGGGGCAGGCAGGTTCCCCTGAAACCTCCAATCTTGTTTTGCTGCCATGCTCTGAGATCTGTTTACAATTTACTTAAACTGTAAAAACTGGATTGCTGATAAAAATGGTACTGCCTTAATGTTTGTGACATTCCTGAATAAAGAATTTTAAAAAAAAGGAAAACAGTTGGTATAGTCCTCTTTTGTTTTCCACATGGACTGTTTAACGGCATAGATGGATCGGTGAGTCCATCTAAAACTCCAAACAAAGACTGTTTACGACATTTCTCAACATTAGAGGCAATTCTTGGTCGTGATTCCACCAAGTTGCTGTACATTTTGTCCAATTTCTACTGAATTTAAACAAGCTCTAACATTGTCAGACTTTGTATAAAAAAGTATAACTGACATTGTGTCGTTAATGTTAGTTTTTGTGTTCTAAATGACTTTTCTCTTTGTTTAACTGCACATTCAGCTCATTCAGATCTCCTAATGAGGATACTAATGTCTTCAAGGCAAGCGACTGAAGAGGATGGTGGTAATTAGGGGAGATACAATGGGCAATTATCCTCTGATTGCTGTTTTAACTAGAGTGGTCTTTGTTCAGACACAGTTAGGTTGAGTTACCCTCTACCGATTCTTGTAGAAGAAATTTGTTCTGTGTTTAATCCACCTCAGGTAGCCTCATGTTGGCTTTTTTGAACTTTGAGCCCTTGAATGATGCAGATAAGTGACCTGAATAATATGATCAATTTGTGAGAGAGTAACTTAGCAAACAATAGATCCTTTATGCCCAATATTAGATGCCAGAGATCCTCAAATTCAATCACAAAAGACATGTTCATCAGTGTCCTTCAGTTTCTGATCCTGAGTGAGTTTTTATTTTGACAGAACGACACTATTTGTCGATGCCATTCAAGACAGTTTGAATACTCTTTATTTTGGCCTCTCTTTAGCTGAGGCTTCAGCAGAATTGACCAAGCTTAGTGGATATTATTTCATTTTTTTGGCGTGTAGAGAAAGACAATGAACAAAGTTTATGAATACTCAAGGTTGATGACTGAGTCTCATGCAAAAACAATGTGCTCTGGATAATTTAACTGAACTGTCTGAACCTGAGATGACATAACCTGTTTTTGCAAAGCCTGCAGTGAACCTATTTTTTTTCTAGTTTTGTTTCCTGCTCAGGTGAAGGACCCTCTTCAAATTTGTCTTTAATTTCTGAAAAACTATGAGTAAACCCAGCCATTTCTTCCACATCTATCTGAATGTGCTGCATGTCCGGTGGTCAAGCTGGACACAGAGCTGATCCTCAGAGATGATAAGTGAGGCTGTGGTTTAAAGTGGATGTGATTACAGAAGGGGGAAAAAAGCCCCATGACTCATAGCTGCTATTTAAGTAACAGCATGGCTTGTGTGTGTGTGGATTTAATCAGTAACTAGAAAAGCACTTGGAGAGCGCAGACCTCCGCCAAGCAGCTCATGTCCCCCCTCATATTGTGATTCACAGCAAAACTTTTACTGTTACGTGTCTTTTATGAACTTTTATTTGTGTTTAAACTGGTATGTTCACTGTTCATAATGTTCCTAAAACAAGAAATGCCCTGACCCGGATTCAAACCCAGGACCTTCTTGCTGTGAGGCGACAGTGCTAACCACTACACCACTGTGCCGACCATTGGTTATCTTTCAGCATTGAAAATTCCAACAACACCCTTATTTTTTGTGTGTTCTGGATCACAGTATCCAGAATTTTGTCCGGATCACCACCAAAATGTAATGGGATCCTCCTGGGGCTGAGACGCACCTCTGGTGAAAATTTCAGTTCAATCCGTCTGTAACTTTCTCCGTAAAGTTGCTAACAGACAAACAAACAAACAAACAAACAAACAAACAAACCAACGCTAACGAAAACATAACCTCCTTGGCGGCGGTAAATATCTATGTGCTTCAAACTCTGAGTGTGAAGAATATTGAAGAAAACATCTTTATGCACAGATTTTGGATCCCGTTCCCTGCAGTCGTGTGGAGTAAATTATTGTTTCATGGTGTACAAAGTGTGAATGCATGATATTTCAGATTTAATTTAGATTGAATTAAAGAGCACTTCTTGCTTTTGGCATGGAATAGTAAGGCAGGATTTTCATTGACTATCTCGCTCTGCTCTCCCTGTATTTCTCAGTCCACTGCTCCTCATTTGCATGACAGTTGAGAACAATATTGCCAAAGCAGCGAGACAAAGGCTCTCCCCGTCATTAATTCTGTTCTCTTTTCTCTCTTTCAGGGACTATCACATAATAAAATGTTTCATAAGTGTGTCATAGTCATTGTCCTTAAGGCTTTCACCAGAAAAAAAGCAAAAAGGCTCATGCACATTTACTTAACATTAACACTGCTGTTAAATGACATAAGATTTGCATCACTTTAGGTTTTTTATTATATTTGAACCTTATCTAGCTGTGGGCAGCTTTCTCATAGGTTTTGGCAAACACTGTGGACAGAGTAGAACATCATGTCTTTTCTGATCCAGTCTTACATATGCATGTCTAGTTTTCTCTAAAAAAAAAAAAACCTTAAACTGCTTCCTTTCAAGCACTAACACTACAACTCTAAGCAGCACTGTTCAGGGGAAGATGGAGATGAAAGCCATTCTCACCCTTGTGGTATTTTTCCTGTCAAGACTCTGTCCTGTTCACAAAGGCAGCATGCATTTGACTGGTTTACTTCCATTGGGTGGGTTATTCAGAGGGGTAGGCAATCATTTCAGTCTATTGAGCTGTCAGTTAGCGAGATACAATCTATAATGACACAACACGCGACAATATGTCACAGTACGATATGGTATAATATGATACTATACTATATTTTACAACAGAATACAGTACGATAGAACACGGTATATGAAATTAAACGACCAATATGATACCCTGTGCTATGCTAAGATACTACAGTATACACTCACCGGCCACTTTATTAGGTACACCATGCTAGTAACGGGTTGGACCCCCTTTTGCCTTCAGAACTGCCTCAATTCTTCGTGGCATAGATTCAACAAGGTGCTGGAAGCATTCCTCAGAGAGCTTGGTCCATATTGACATGATGGCATCACACAGTTGCCGCAGATTTGTCGGCTGCACATCCATGATGCGAATCTCCCGTTCCACCACATCCCAAAGATGCTCTATTGGATTGAGATCTGGTGACTGTGGAGGCCATTTGACTACAGTGAACTCATTGTCATGTTCAAGAAACCAGTCTGAGATGATTCCAGCTTTATGACATGGCGCATTATCCTGCTGAAAGTAGCCATCAGAAGTTGGGTACATTGTGGTCATAAAGGGATGGACATGGTCAGCAACAATACTCAGGTAGGCTGTGGCGTTGCAACGATGCTCAATTGGTACCAAGGGGCCCAAAGAGTGCCAAGAAAATATTCCCCACACCATGACACCACCACCACCAGCCTGAACCGTTGATACAAGGCAGGATGGATCCATGCTTTCATGTTGTTGACGCCAAATTCTGACCCTACCATCCAAATGTCGCAGCAGAAATTGAGACTCATCAGACCAGGCAACGTTTTTCCAATCTTCTATTGTCCAATTTCGATGAGCTTGTGCAAATTGTAGCCTCAGTTTCCTGTTCTTAGCTGAAAGGATTGGCACCCGGCGTGGTCTTCTGCTGCTGTAGCCCATCTGCCTCAAAGTTCGACGTACTGTGCATTCAGAGATGCTCTTCTGCCTACCTTGGTTGTAACGGGTGGTTATTTGAGTCACTGTTGCCTTTCTATCAGCTCGAACCAGTCTGGCCATTCTCCTCTGACCTCTGGCATCAACAAGGCATTTCCGCCCACAGAACTGCCGCTCACTGGATATTTTTTCTTTTTCGGACCATTCTCTGTAAACCCTAGAGATGGTTGTGCGTGAAAATCCCAGTAGATCAGCAGTTTCTGAAATACTCAGACCAGCCCTTCTGGCACCAACAACCATGCCACGTTCAAAGTCACTCAAATCACCTTTCTTCCCCATACTGATGCTCGGTTTGAACTGCAGGAGATTATCTTGACCATGTCTACATGCCTAAATGCACTAAGTTGCCGCCATGTGATTGGCTGATTAGAAATTAAGTGTTAACGAGCAGTTGGACAGGTGTACCTAATAAAGTGGCCGGTGAGTGTATAGTACAATATGATACTACACAATGCGCCTCGATAAGACACAATAGGATACAATACAACACAGCAGCTACAACATGCTATGACACAATAAGATCTAATACAACGCCACAAGAGGACACAATATGATCCAATATGTTATAATGCACAATAAACCAGCTGATTAGTGGTAATCTGAAGATAAACTACATGGGCTCTATTTCCGTGCCCGCTGGCGGTGCGGCGGAGGGTGGCGCACCCCGAGCAGTGGTATTTTTGTCTGGCGGAGCCCGACGCACAGCCAGTTTGGTATTTTGGCACACTGAGGTCCGCCAAGCTGGGCGTGGTGGCGCGGTAGGGGGGAAGTGACTTATCTGCGCGGCGGACCTGACTTACGCTGCACCTGCACCACGCTGCCGGCGAGGCACGAAAATAGAGCCCTACATCTTTATGAACATATATCTGCATATAATTGCAGCTAACAATCTGCTGTGGATCAAACATTTCAAAATATTCTAGTTTTAGGTAACGCCTTTTGTCTAAGTATGACCAATCAGGTGTCGGCAGGTTTTGGTGTATGGAGAGAAAAAAACTGCATGAAGAGCAAACTCAGACAGAATACGATCCACTGTGAGAGGGACATGCTGAATTCCATTGTTGGTAATTTGAGTTGATTATTTAGTTCCCTTCATGAACAGATATCTGCATGCAAGGTCAGCTAACAATCTGTTATGGATCGAACACTTATGCCCAGACACAAATCTATTTGTTGTTGTGTTATGAAAGATAATCAGTGTTTAGACTTCCTAATCTGCATCATGATGTTACAATTACGAGAAAATCAGTTTCTTTTTTCAGGTTTGTGCCTCTAAAGTGAGTGAAGCAGCTATGTGACTTACTTTTAACAGTGAAACTGAGACTCACAGATGGATGAGCATTCTTCAAGGGATATAACACCAACTAATGATGGCAGTCTTTGCAGGTGAGACGTTCACTTCTCATTTGACCACATGGCTGCTTCTCATATTGTGAATTGGACAGTATGAAATGCAGAGCACAAACATGTGAGTCTTGGTTAGAGGTCGTTTATCAGTATTAGCTTAAGCTAACCATAAGAACAATAAGTGTATCACTCCCAGAGCCTAGTATACTTGCCAGATAAGAGCTGCAGATTTACTAAATGGTTCTGTGGGTCATGAGTAAATAAGAACAATCTATGTGGTGGTATACATTGCATTTTGCATTCATAGAAATACGAGTGGAGCATTAATTCTAGAGCACTTCAGTGATTTAAACAGCATCCCACAAATATTCCAGAGGTTAACATTCATTTTATATAGAAATAAGTCTTAAGAGATAAATCTTTGATCTGTATGTATTGACATTCCTGTCTCTTTATGCTGAAGGGGATCAAGTTGTTCTTTTCAGTCTGACATCAGCACACACACATCGAGCCACTTCCTCCTCTCCTCTCTGCTATGATGCTTTCTGGGTTGCCATGGCAGCCAACAAGTGTCTCTGGTGCCAGGCAGAAATGTACTCTGATTGGTTAATCAGTATTCAGACGGCGTGTTTGCCTGACAGGATGCTGCTCTGCCCTACCCTGAGTGTGTGTGTGTGTGTGTGTATGTGTGTGTGTGTCCATCAAATGTCACTTATCACCTGAGAGATAAATTATTCCTTTCCCTCTCTTGTTCCTGCCTTTACGTGTCTCTGCTCTTCATCAGCCTTTTCCTGTTGTGAACAAAAGGAGGAGAGAAAAGACATGATGAATGAAGAGAAGATGGACATAGACAAAGGAGAAAGTTAAAAAAGGAAAATACAGCTGATTAGAGTTTTTCTGATTGGTTATATTGTGTTTTTTTTGCTAGTAAAAATGAAGACAGATAACGAGATTAAATTAGATAGACTTTATTGATCCTTTTGGGAAGGTTAAAATTAAAACTCCAGCAGCTTCAGTATGTACAGAAAAAAACACAAAGGCTAAATAGATATGAAATAAAAATGTGATATACATAAAGAAAAAAAAAAACTAAAACTTCAGATAAATTAAGTATTTGTGTATAAAAAGGTAAGATATAAAGATATGGACATTTGCACATTACTAATAATACAACAACTAGTGCTGCTCCTTCTTATCCTCTGTCCTCCTGTTACTCCTCCTCCCAAGAGAGGGGTTGTACAGTCTAATGGCATGAGGGGCAAAGGAGAATATGTGTAAAAAGAGCAAACTTCAACAACAAATAGCTGCCGTATAATACTAGTTTTAACAGCAAAGAAAAGAAATATAGTGATACAGTAACAGAGTAAACTTTGGGCTGAAATTTAAGTACTCAAGTCTCAAACAAACATGCATCCATTCCTGCTACACTGAGTTAACTCTAGTATTTTCTTTTTAAACCAAGATCTTTACTTGACATTATGTGATCATGACTCATAATCCTAAACACTCAAAACAAATGTGTTTCGATTGTTGTCGAAACAATGCTTTCGTGCTGGATCAGAGGCTCCAACATCATGCATGCATGGCAAACCTGAAGAAACCCAAGAAGTCAGGTGAAACCAGGTCACTGTAGAACTGAACACACCTTGAGGAAGAGAAGAGAGGAGGAACGTCTTCAAGAACCTCAAACAAGTCCTGTTGCCCTGTCAATGAAGACTTGGATAACCATGATGTTCCGTTTTGAAGTAAGTTCCTAGTTGGACCGTCTTAAGCATAAGCACTTAGCCCTTACAGATGTGACACATATGAGTGTGTGTATATGTAAAGGCTTGAGATGGTATAAATGAAGGACAGGGACACTCTTTCACACACTTTGTTGTTTTTATTTCATCATGCAGCTTTTTTAGTTATTTTACAGCTGTGGTCCTTTTAGTCTTGGTATACATCGCTCCATTCTTATGCTGTTGGGTCGACTTGTTGCTTGGGTTTTCATGGTTATTTTGGGTCCTTCAGCTATTGGGTTCTCGTGGTGTTGGTCTCTGATGTTACCCTGTTTAATTCAGTCCTCTGGGCTCTTTTGTATTTTGTGTTCTTGCTTTGTTCTTTTGTGTGTTTTGCATGACAAAGCACTTTGTAAATCTGTGTTTTTAAAAGTGCTGTGAGAGTAAATTATTGCCATTGTTGTGTGGTATCCCTCTTCAGAACACTATGCTGTTTTGGAGGGGAATACTTCACATCGCAGCCATTAGTAAATGAATTTGTGAAGGGGTGGATGTGCATGTCTATTTACTGTTTTACCATCTAAATACTGTTCATTAATGATTCCCCTTTATTTTCAGAAATAGACAGAGAAAGTAGGGGCAGAAGAGTAGGGGTTTTCTCCTGAAGTTTTACAATGACTGACAGCATGCTGGTTACCATGGTGATATAATAAACCTGCAGACTGCCTTGCATAATACTACACCATTGTGTAGAAACCTCCATGTTTTAGCTTCAATGCAAAGATCCCAGGCACTCCTTTCATAGATCAGGGATATATATCACATACTGGCTCCTGGACAAATTTATACATTAAAAAAAATCATATATAAATGAAAAACAGAAGAAGGAGACGTGTGAAGATGTGATTTTTTTCTGTTTCACACTAACTGACAGTTTGAAGATGCAGGTTTTCATTTAGTAGCAGCTGCATCGACATTAATACTTGAAGTGGCAGTGATTACTATGAAAATCATCTATGATGCATGCTTGTGTCTACACATATGTATGTGCATTATAGTGTGCGTGTTTATGCATGTAAGCGTGTCCATGTATGTGTTTGAGTACTAGAGCGCCTGTTGTGTTTGATGATAATGAGGCAGACAGAAACAGACTCTCAAGTGAGCTCTCATCACCATCTCAAACACACAGCTCCAGCATGGGTGTACTATCAGCCTGTTTATGTGTGTGCGTATGTGTGTGTGTGTGTTTGCGTGAGAAGTATGTAGCAGATAAGGGACCCAAAACTCCCAACTCATCGCTGTTTTAATGAAATTAATCAAAAAGACGGGGAAATCGAAGCATTTTGTGCTCTCTGATAACAGAATGTCATTTTGTTTTGCGGCTATAATTGGCTGCTTTTTAATAAGAGATTACCAAGCAGCCATTTTGCTTTGTGCATAATAGAGTTTGAGTTTTGGCTGGAGGAAAAAGGGATCTCATTGGTTTAGTTGAGCCCGTAGGCTGTAGGAAAGAAAGAAGTGGACTCTTGTTTTTGAAAGAGAGCAAATTCAGGTATCTAATAAACCTGCATTCTGACTAATTGCCAGCAGGGGGAGATTGCACTGGTTTTAAAAGAATGTTGTGAGGAAAAGATCAAGGGAAAAGATAGTCAGGTGCATCAAAATTCGCCTCCGAATATCTCGTAATTTCACGTTCTATATTCGCATCGGCCCTGGTGTGTAAGGACCTTTAGTCTCTGGTTTTTCAGTCTCATCCAGTTTAGTAGGATGTTGGTCCAATGATTTATAGTCGCATTTGTAGCAAAGCTGACCTAAAACAGTGAGGGATTTGGGGTGTAACTGCCTGGGATTGATTAAACCCAGTGACTACATCATGGTGTCTGCCTCCATGCCTGCTATACAGTTTACGGTCATGCCATTCTTGGCAGCGCATTTTAGGGTCACAGCTGAGCTTTAAGATGGGTCAGGTACTTTGCCCTAAGTTGTAGCCCCACCCCTTTTGGCTGAAAGCAGTCAACCTGAATTCAGGGTTCCTACGCAGGTATGGAAAGTATGGTAATAAACTTGATCGATTTCCGGGTCTTCAAAAGTATGGAAAAGGAAAATTAAGTATGGAAAAATATTAATGTTTCCAGACTATTATCACAGTTCTGAAATACTGTTTTCTAAAATAGAAAAGTCGGTATTTCCAAAAATAATTCTAAAACGTTTCCAAGCGTGTAGGAACCCTTTGAATTGACTTGTGGCAAATGGAAACTCTGAGGTTTTTTAACAATATAATAAACTGAAATAATGTAACTTCTCCATTTTATGGCTATTAGGAGCCAAAATGCAACAGCCAGAAGGGTAATCATACAAATCATAACTTATTTTGGTGAACAGTAACCTAACATTATAAAAAAAACAAGTGATGATAGAACAACAGACCTCTGAGGTGAGGATGAGGAGCTGTGTCTTAATCTACCTCACTTGGCAGAAGAAAATATTTCATTGTCATTTTGAAGCAGAAACCTTTAGGGAAGTACTCACTTTATAATGAGAAATATAATAAGTATGAACAAATTTGATCAGGAAAAAACTGTGATTAACTGTCCTTGGATTTGGTGACAGAGGAACTATGCTGTTCACCACCACATTACAACTCTAAGATTTAATAGCAATGACCCAGTTCAGGTCACACAGCTCAATACCTTTGCAAGGGCCCATACTGGTGTGCAATGCATCTGCCTGGGAGCGATCAGAGTGCACATCATGTCGATGAAGGGAGTGATACTCAAGGAGACTGACAAGGTTCCTTTCAGTTTCTGGCATATCCCTCTCAATCCACTGTCCTTTCCTTTCAAAATAAAGGCACAAAAATTAATTATAAAAGACACACAAAACCTTAAGACTGAAGCGTCACCATCTAAAAACATATCACATTGTTTAAATGATCATGTTTAATGACAGTAAACCCAGTCTTCTTGTCCAAATTAAAGAGACTAGACTCAGCTGGAAAAAGCATGACCCAGCTATAGACCCATTATAGATTTCATGCATGTTAAACAACATAATCAGCAGTGAAATCATGGACATGTAAGATTAATAATGGAGCAAATTGCCTGGAAGAAAGATAACACGTTATAAATGCTCCATAATAAGGCCTGTGCAGCATATTAATTACACCAGATGGATGAATAACTTCAGCTGAAGCTATTTTTGACATCACTTTGCTGATTTAAATCATATTAAATTCATTTTCAGGGTGATAAATCGCATAAACCCAGAATAATGTCAGAGCGAGCGAGTATAAATCCTTCTGGCGACAACGATCAAACAGAAAATCTGATAGAAAGAAAAGTGCTGGAACAAAATATTCAGAAATGACAAAGAATGATTAAAAAATAAGAATACAGGACATCAAATTATGACAAAGCCAAGGCTCAAAGGTGAGAAGGAAAAGGTCGTTGGGTGTACAAAGATCTCCAGGTTGAATAGGCTATGAAGGATGCAGCACTCCAGGTATAATTAAAGTTCCAGTTCTTCATAACCCCCTTCTCGCTAATGAAACACCATGCTGCCCTTCAAAGTACACCTCATTTACATTACATTAACATATGCAGATTCTAATTACAGACACCTAATTACAGTATTTGCTGGTTCATCTGTCACTTCAAGGAGTCCAGGAGATGAGGCGTGTGTGTGAAGTGTGTGTGTGATGTTCATCCTGCCTGTCAACCTGTCTGAATGTGTCTGCAGACCTGTCTCCTCAGCTTTTTTTCTACACATCTGTCTGATAATGGAGGTGTAGAACTGTGCTTCCATCTCACTCTGCTCTTTGAAAACTGTGAAGCTGTTTTTCGGTGAGTTTCTCGAAGTCTAAGATACCAACAGGGCAAAACTAGGAAATTTAGTGGTCACAAAACAGTTTACTGCATGGTCATTTTATTTTTTTATAATTTACTAACTTATAAACTTTCCGCATCAGTTCAAGGTTGAATACTCACAAGTGACAGTTAATGATTGTTTTATTCATGGAGCAGCTTTAATAACAAGGGTTTACAGAGTGCTCTGACATGCAAGCATGAATATACAAAAGGACAAACAAGGAGCCAAAAACACAGAAGAGAAACAGAGAAAAGACCAGACAAATTTGCAGAAAAGCTTAACGAAAAAAAAAAAAAATACAAACCAAGCAGCACAAGAACCAAACAACAGACCAGGAGGACCAGTGGAGTAAGAAAGAAAGAAGATTGAAATGGTCAGAAGAGACAAAAACAGTTCAACAAAATGGATTTTGAGTTAAAACAACTCAAAAGAGGGTCGTTGTCATTTTTCGTCGTAGTCGTCGTCTTTGAGGGAAGCCCAGACGGCCCTCACCCCAGCCACTTCCGCCAGCTCCTCCTTTAGGGGGATTCCCAGGCGCTCCCAGGCCAGGCCAGAGATATAATCCCTCCACCTGGTCCTGGTCCGGCCACAAGGTCTCCTCCCGGTGGGACATGTCTGGAACACCTCTAACAGGAGGCGTCCAGAAGGCGTCCTAACCAGATGCCCGAGCCACCTCAGCTGACTCCTCCCGACGTGGAGGAGCAGCGGTTCTACTCAGAGCGCCTTCCGAGTGTCCGAGCTCCTTACCCTATCTCTAAGGCTGAGCCCGGACACCCTGCGAAGGAAACCCATTTCGGCCGCTTGTATCTGCGATCTTGTTCTTTCGGTCATTACCCAAAGTTCATGACCATAGGCGAGGGTCGGCATGTAGATCGACCGGTAAATCGAGAGTTTCGCCTTACTGCTCAGCTCTTTCTTCACCACGACTGACGACGCTCCGGTCTGCTTGTCAATCTCCCGTTCCATCCTACCCTCACTCGTGAACAAGATCCCGAGATACTTGAACTCCTCCACTTGAGGTAGGACCGCTCCTCTGGACCTGGAGAAGGCAAAGAGGGTGGCGAAAGCAAAAGGACGGAAGATAAAAGCCACTCTTAAAAAATGTTTTTTTTCTCATATATTAGTTCTTTACTGGATGCCTATAGTTGTCCAAGTATAATTATAGTATTGATTGCAAGAAAACAATTACATTCCCTCATAAAGACAGGCCTTGTGCTCAAATACTGCATATATTGTAGAGTTGTAGAAATGCCTGATGGAATTTTTTAAGTTGAAATTCACATCTTCAAATTTGTATCTTTTTTTTCATGACAAAGCTAAAAACTTTGAAACCTCCATACTCTCATATTTCAACCTCATTAAACCCAGAAACATTTGACAATTTTACATCTTAAATCACCAAAGCAATTCATAGATCATCAAATTATTTGCCAATTTATTTTCTTACGGCTCATTAACTTCTTATTTTTGCAGCTATTAACACAGTGCTCCTCTCACACTAAAAATAGCTCACACTTCCTGGGCTTTTATTTTGTTAAATGTCTGAGTCACTGGTAAAGCAGCTGAATAGTATTCTGTCCTTCTGAGCGGAGTCAGTCACTTCCCGCACCTTTCTGCCGCCCCATAATACAGACTGCCCTTCAGTCTATACAAAGGATGAAAGCAAGTCATTGAGGCGGCCGTCAGGTGTGTGAGACAGGTAGGTGTACACACACAACTCAGAGTGAAAATGTTAAATGGATGAATAAACTCAGAGACCACATCTAAAAATGAAAAGGAGTCGAGAATTTAGCGCAGGAAATCAGTCCAGTCGTATTTTCTTTCTATAAATCCTTTATTCAATATCATTATTTTCTGTGTGTATACAATGGATCGGACACAAACTGTACAGTGCAGACAAACTGTTTGCATAATATGTATGTAAAGTGTAACTGTACATTGACTGACAGACAGAGTAATTTCCTTTAAGGTAAGCACTGGTGACATTTTGCCCATGGCTCAGAACTTGGCAGTTTGCACTGGATGGACATAGCATGTATGACCATAACATGTGGCTTATATGGTAACTCTACCTCTATACATTAAATCCTTAAAATAGGAAAAACACTTATTTTAAGAGTTTAATTTCGAGGTGCTACCATCTGGGTGAGCAGGGATGCTATGATAATGTGGCGCTGGGCTGAAACCTCAAACAAGATTGGTGAGTGCTCCAGGAGAACTTGTGTATGACTGATTTAAGCGGTACAAAAATTATTATCATCAAGCTGGTAGTGGGAGCAGTTTTACATTCATAGAAGTTTCATCAATAGATGGGCTACAAAAAATTTGGAGGCTTTTATAATCCAACTCTCAGGGTTCCAACGTCGGAGAAGGGCGAAAACATATCCAGTGTTTTAAGAGTAAAAAGCTTCTTCTAAAATGTATTTTCACAAACTTATTTTTGGTTTTTGATTTGGGAAAGTTTCTAACATTTACTTCTAAATCTTCCAGCATCTAGAGTAATTTCCTGCTCTCCAGCTGTCGTAGTTAAAAGCAGCAGCAATCATGAAATTACTTTTCCCTCCTGTCCGTTTTATGATTTGTTTTCTTGTTTCAGCCCCTGTAATGAAGACTTGATGCTCTGCTTGAACTGTTTTATGCATTTGTGCAACAAGAACATGAAGTGACTTTGATCAATTCTTCATTTGCTTGAGTATTTTGGCTAACCTTGTCAAAATTTCCAAAAATGAAGCTGGACCAGCGCAAACCAACAACAGAAATGAGCCAGATGCAACATTTCACCGGCGCTTTGCAGTAAATGATTGTTTTGTTTTGATAACACATTACCTACATTACCACATGCATTAGCCCCAGTCATCTGTCCTCTTTTAAACCATGCAACAAGTGGGAAACAGTCCAAACAGAGAGGAGGAGGAGGAGGAGGAGGAGGAGGAGGAGGAGGAGGTGGGAATAAAAGTTCTCTGGCTGCATGATTGCAAAACGAGCAAAGAGCTAAAGCTAGCGTAATTACAGTGAACAGAAGATTTAAGCATAATTGGAAAGTAAAATAGGATGAAGAGTGTGTACTGCTGTGTGGGATGAGTGTTTGGAGAAAGTAACAGCTTGGAGGAGAGTGCATTCACTGATTCAGATGGAATAAGGCAGTCTTTTGTAAGGGGAATAAAGAGGAATGGAAAAAAGAAGCTGCAAAGAAAACCTGAGGGAGACGAGCTACAGTAAGAGTACAGTGCTAACCACAACATGTCCCTGTGTCTCTAAAGTGCACCAGGTCAAAGCAGCCTTTTTTTTCCCTGTAATGCTAAGTCCATTTTGCGCCTTCCAATGTTTGATCTCAGAGCTACAGTCCATGTAAGACAAAGTAAGATGGCTACATGTGTACCTGCCAGAAGAGCATGAGTGGTCCTTGTATGTGGAAATTAAAAGTGACCCCGGCTGTCGTGATTGCTCACTTCTAATTAAATCAGCCGCTCTCTCCCTGAGCAGAACCCGCTGTTAGAAATCTCATAATTGTAGCCTTGGTACCTGGCTAACCACCAGCGGAGAGAAATCTCTCCGGAGACGCTGACAGTAATTGCGCCTTCGTTGTTTGAACTGTGATTACCAGCCTGGAAACACTATTGTAGCAGTGTTTTTGGTCAGTATCCAGGAAACCAGGCCATTTTTCTCTGGCCTCAGCCGTTATTAAATCTTGAGAATGTGCCACAGATCTTCAATAGCTGCTTTTTAACAAGACGCTACCACTAACATAACAAGCGGAGCCTCTCTGAGAGGAGGATTTGGTTCCTTTTGCTTCGTCTTTTCCCTCTGCCAGCAGTGTCGGACAAATTAGCAGCTTGATAATCATTCAGTGAATAACAGTTGCCATCCCAGACTCTTGTAACTGATTGTATCTGCTGTTGGCTGCTCAGGCAAGCACAAACATTGTCCTCTATACTGTAATTAAAGCCGAGTCTGAGACAGTTGAGACAACACAGGATGTATTTGAAACTAAAAGATGTTTACAGCCTGATTGTCAGGGTTTATTTTTTTTTAACCGTTTTTCTTGTAACCCTCAAGCGACACAACAGGCAGTTGATAAATGTTACACCCACATTTCCTAGACATGAAACAAGCACAAAGAAAGATATTCCCTCATTGTTCTCAACCCATTTTACTTTTTAACAAGACAAGACAGGGCTAAAGAGAAGCCGAGAGTTTGGAAATGTTTAGTTTCCCCTGCTGGAGCTCAAGATGGCTGCAGATTTAAAACAAACCTGCAGCCATCCTTGATGCACCCATACAGCAATAACCTACAGTATAACGCCAATAAAATGACTTTCTGATGATCAGCAGCAAAACATGTTACTTGTTTGTAAATTGGGCATTATTTTTAAGTAAATCAGAGTTAACAGGCTACAGAATGGGCTGTAGTTTGAGCAAATATACTGGGACTGTCAGCATCGTCAAGGTAATGCTGTTGCACTCTGTGTTTTGAGTTTGAGATTTAACTACCACCAATGGACAAAGCATTCAGATGCAGCTCACTAAACTGCACCACAAAACAACAGGGTATTTTGGAGTTAGTAAATTGCTTAAGACTTAAGGTCCTTACACACCGCAGCCGACGCGAATATAGAACGCAATATTACGAAATATTTGGAGGAGAATCTTGACGCGCCTGACTAAACACATCAAGCCTGGCTGGGCCTAGCCTGGCCGGGCCATCCTGTTGCGTTAATCACTTGATGTTCCTTGTTCCACAACTTGATGTTGTGGGAAGGAACATCAAGTGATTCACGCAACAGGATGGCCCGGCCAGGCTAGGCTGGGCCATCATGTTGCTTGAATCACTTGCCGTTCCATCCAATATTTGTGTTTTTTAACAAAAATCACTCCATTCTCCGACACGTAAACAATTAGCTGGTCAGCCATGTTGGATATCAAGGTGAATCAGATGTCGCAACAACACGCAATCTGATTGGTCAGAAGTGGACACACAGTATGTGAAACTTTAGAAAAATCGACCGTGATCCGAAAAAATAAATGCTGCAATATCGCAGGACGGGAAAACGTTGCTGATGTGAACGCTTGTATTGACAGGATACGAGTTCGAAAACAAATATTGACATCTGAAATAATCACATGTAAAAAAACGTTCCCGGTGTGAAAGGACCTTTATGGAGGAAACTGGAATCAGAGAAACCGAGAAAACAACTAAAGTGGAACTTCTGAAAAGTTTAAGTTCTGTTGCATTAACTGGGGATAACTGGACATCAGTACTCGTCAAAGTTATTACTGAATAACTGCATGTAATTCTGAGTCTGGGCGAACATTTTGAACCTTTTTTTGAAATACAAATAATGAAATTAAAAAATGCAATTGAAAACAGAAAAACCATGATCAGTGATTAAAATTCCGGGAGCAATCGGAGTTTAAAAAAATTGATTTCTTGACAATTACGTCCCCTAAAAGTTTTCATTGAACCACCGACAGGCCAAGATTGTTTACAACATTACAGAAAGATTCCTCACAGAGACAGACCCTTTAACAAGACAGGAAGATAATCAGATATAGCCGTTCAGTGATTAAATGGTTCCGTTTTTAAAAACATTTCCAAATATCATCTTGGGAATGACATAACCTTATCAACACTAAAGTCACACACAGCAAAAAACAGTAAAAGAAAAGTGCTGAAGGCATTAGTAGACATGTGATTCATCTGATCTGCACTGTGAAATCTCTGTTTTTGTTAATGGAGTCTGGTGGCTTTCAATAAAGAGATATAACAGCTGTTTCTGGTTTGAAAAAGGATCTTTGATCGGGGTGCACTTGGCCCCGAATATTGTGTCGCAGCCATTACAGCCTTTTGCACCTGAAATTCATTAAAAACACAAGGTACATCATTAAAAAGTAAGGCTGAGATTCAAATGTACTTCAAAAAGAAAAACACTTCAAATACTCCAATCTCTCTTGAATCAAAACATTTTTTCACTAACATTCTGCTTTTTTTCTTGTAATCACTCGTTTCAGACACAGTTCCACCAAACTGCAAAGGACAGACACTTCAAGTTCATGGAATACGAGCCGGTCAGTCACATATATTTGAACACAGCTAATGAGACCAAAGAAGGAGACAAACATGTGGTGTATGTGAGGAGCAAATGTGAGAAATGCCAATTAGAAACACTGTCAGCTGTCTCATATTTTCACAGTCTCTTCAGTTGTGGAGAGCAGCCTTTGTACGACACAGCGGGACGTCGGCGAAACGTGCTGGATTGGCTCCTCACTGTGTGCAGCAGCGCTTCACAGACACACACCTGTTGCTGCGGTGGGGGATGCAGCTGATTTGGAAACATTTCATGTCAGAAAAACTGTGAGGATTAAACATACAGCCTTGTGTTGCTGTAAGGAGAGGGCCGCTTTGTCTCTTGTTTCGTGTTTTACTTGAGTTGAAGGTCGGCCTTCACTGATACCAGAGTCTAATTAAAATTCAAAGCCGTTATTTTACTCAAAATCAGGATTACGAGAAAGCAAAAGGAATGCACAGTATGTGTTCAAGGATGAAAAGCATTAACTATATGTGTGCATGAGTAGGATCACAGTATCAATATCTCATCAGTGATATGATAAAATACGAGAGGAACTTCGCGTGGAGCTGACTGTTACGGTATCATCTTTAAAAAGCCTAAGTTGAACAGGTTGATGCCATGTTGACTGTCACAGTGAGAGGGCAAAGCATGGGGATCTATTTGGTTTCATTTCAGCACAAGGCGTTTTGATTTTCTGCCCCGTTATTCTCCATGTCTCATAAAAGAAAAGAGAAAATTATCGATCATTTTGATTGGATCACTAATTTATGTAACACGAAAATAATATGTGCCATTAGTTGTTGGTGTTTTTTCATTTTCTAAAGATAAAATACACATTTCTGGTACTTTTTAAATACGCTGACCTTATTTACTAGGAAACTGTGCTGATTTAAAGCCACTATGTGTATTCTTTGTGTGTGTATTCTGGTACTGCATCTATAATTTGGAGGTTCTGTAGTGCATCTTCTTAAGGCCTGTGATACTCTGATCTCGGGAATATAATATGCCATGTTTTACCACTTCAACTTTGTAGTTTTAACCATTCAGCTTGGTTGACTGATTGTTGTGAGGGCTGCAGCTACTCTGATGGTCATGTGGTGCATGTTCATCTCAACGTCCTAGTCTGCCTTACTGGAACCAGGACCAGCCCTCAGGAAGTTTTCACTTCCAACTTCAGGGTCCAAAAATCCACTTTTTGTAAAATGCTTTCTTTTACAGTCAAGAAAATAAGTTGTTGCTGTAGCGTTTTTTAAGTCATATAAATGTAAAATGTGGCAGAGAGTTTCCTGAAACATGGCAGAAAGAGTCAAATAAGATTCTGGTGCTTGATGCCTTGTCATTTTGAATTAATAATCCACAAAATTCCCAAAAAAGGAATAAAATCCATGTATCCTGGAAAAAATCTGTGAGAAATGATCACTTTTTAACATCTTATGGACAATATTACTGCCTCAGTCAATTAATAAAACTTCTTGAATTTGTAAGCTCATCTGTTCTGTTTTTACTGCTTTCTGAGGTCAAAACATGACTACAGTGAGAAAACTAAATTATTCTTTTTTTTCTCCATGATTTAAATGAACTAACAGATTAATACTAGCGATGTACATTGCATCACTTTATGTGTGTATCAATGTTTAACTCTGATTCAGAGGTTTGGTCGATGAAAGGGATCCATGGTATCAGTTTTTTTGGACATGAAACAGAAGAGAGTTGTGCTCTCTCTCAGCCTCAGCCTTTGGTTTTGCCAAACCACATGTGTAAGGGCAGGGAGCTCTCAGTTCAGAGGCACACCTGGAAGTTTAATGATGCATGTAGTTTAAGAAGTCTGTAAGTCCTAACTGAAATTTCCACTGTCCAAAGTCGGAGTTATTATTGTACACATAGTGGCTTTAACATCATTTACCCTGTATACTGTTACCCTCATTCTTACCTTTTATCTTAAGTGCTTTGGGCAGCAAACAGAAACAAAAATAACTGCTGTTCTTCTCACCATTCTTAAGGTTTGACCCTCCTTATGTTACAATATCTGCTACTCCATGTAAACACTGACTGCTACCATGCTGCCACCAGCATGCCTCCTGTACGAACCGTGATGCTACAAACGGGGAATTTGTGGAACTCCTTCAGGTTTCAGCTACACACTAACTCAAGCAACATGATGCCAGATTTTTTTAAGTGATGCTTCAGTCGTCTCCTTTTCAGCTACAAGACGTGGAAGTTATAGCGTTTGTGACGGGGAGAGAAAACTAATATCTTCTAAATAAAGAACGTAGAAGTTGTTTGTGCCTGTACAAATGTATCTCGATAATCACTAGTGCTTTGTGTGCAGGATAATACCTCGACCGAACAAACAGAAAATAAAGGAACACGAAAAAAGACAAACATGCTTTGAGCTTTGAGGTGTTAAATAAGGACTCTCTCTTAGTAAATTAGGGGCGCCGTGGAGTATGTTTGCTTGGTACAGAATGTCTGCTACAAATGTAAAAATATAAACCTATTTTTTTAATACTCTGAACAAACAAGAGTTTTAATTACTTCTGTAGGTTGCTTCAGCCTTACAGCCAATCAGAAAATACCAAAGAGAACCCCTCTATCTATTGAGATGTCAGATTTTTTACCAGTAGTTCATAGGTCGTGTTCACGCCTAAAGGTCCGTTTCCTGATTCGAATCCAAGGCAAGACGATATATTTGTTTTGATTGTTTAACTGGTCCGGTTTGCGTTCACAAAGGACAACTCAATTGAAAGTCACGTGACAGCGAATATCGTTCGGTTATTGGTCATTTGTTCATGCGGGAAAACAAACCCCGCTCTGCTGTCTTTGCCTGTCATGGAGGCGATCGCGCGTATGAACGGCTCATTAGCCAGCGAGCGGGAACTGCGGCATTAATTAATACATTCTGGAGTAGACGTGCTGCAAACAACAGACGGATAAAGACGAGACGGCGTCTGTGTGGTGCGTTTCCTGTGATTGGCTTGGATGACGTTCACACCAGAAATGAACCGCTCCAGAGTTCACTTGATAGCGGTCTGAGACCACCTCCTCAGGCAGACCAGAGTTCGTTTATTTGGTCCGCACCAGAGTTCGAGGTCAGTGTTCACACCGACCCAAACAAACCGCGCCAAGGGGGTAAACGCTCCAGGTTTCGGTTCAACCAAACTAAACGAGGGTGATGTGAATGGGCCCGTAGATTTTTTCAAAGATGGCTGCTCTGTTCTGGTCTCTGCTGCTCTTTCTGCCTTGGCACTTGCCAGATATAAATATGAAATGGAGGATGGGAGGAGATGTGCTCTCCTTGCCTTGGACTTCGGTATTTCATGTATGTAAGTGGAAGGGTGGGGAGCTCTCAGAATAAAGCCATAATACCATGTATAGCTCATTGCATGCAAACAATAATTCTTTTTAGCCCAAGTGGTTTGGACTGAGCCGTTTGTAAATGCTGAAACAATCACATCTGGATGTTTTAGGAACATTTTAAAGTGCTAGTATTTGCCGGCCAGACACGTTCTGCTACTTTAAGTGTCTGGAAACAATAAAGAGGAATCTGTACTGATTGAGATGCAATAGTTGTTACATCATTCTCTTTGAAACCAGACCACAGTGAAGTACCATGAACCTTAATATGAGCACTGCTACGGCTGCAAGCTGAAGCAATCGACAGGCGCATTCCAAAAACTCTTCAGAGCGATTTGTCATTCAGACCCCATAATATTTAAATAAGCGCCCAAGGGGAAAAAAAACAGAATTACTCTTTAATTGATTGATGACTAAGCACCCTCGAGTAAGTCAATGTTTGCTGTTTTGCTAATTTTTTAATCTGTTCTTTATTTACTGCAAGATAAACGCCAAGTGGTCGATTTTTGGTCGGGGTGGGTGGGAGCATGTGCATGTGTATGTGTATGTGTGTGGGTGCGTGTGTGTGTTAGTAGCTACCAGCAAGCAAGCATACCCGGCAAACAGAAAAACATTGGGAAAGGAAAAAGAAGGGGCCTCATTCTTACAGATTGTCACAGAAAAATACCGGTGAAGACGACATGTTTTCCAATTTTTTCTTTATGATTTCAAGAAGTCATTTCATCTCCCTTTTGAGGGCACGCCACCGTCCCAGTGTTAGAGTATCCCACTGGGATTGGCCCGAATCCACGGTCTTCTTCCTCCTCTTTTGCTCGCTACGGCTACCATAGCCCTGTGTCCCTCTAGCCCCGCCCCCATGACGCTAGATCCATCCAATAGGGAGAGAGGTGAGGCTCTGGGACGAGTGGCCCCACTGCTGATCAGTCAGAACTTATTTGTTTCATTACCTTTTGAAGCAGTTTTTGATTGTGCAGCAGTGGGGAGAGTTTCGGTCTTTTCCCGGCCTCTGATTGGTCAGGGGAGGGTAAAAAGAGGGGAGGGGTTATGTTCCCTCCTTGTCAGGTTTGCTGACGGGTTTCCCACCATTCATGACCACCGGTTCGCTGGTTGTGCTTTTGGAAGGCGGGCCCACGGCGAGTTTAGGCACCGCCTCCCCTACGTCGTGCAACGAAGGCTCTCGGTACATCGCAACTGGAGAAATAGGTGTAAAAATGGGCAGGGGAGGGGCGGAATTGGGAGGGGTAAAATTGTAAACCAATTAAGAAAGGCAGGGTGGGGAATATGGAGGAAAAATGGGATAAGAAGGGGTGGATGACAGAAAGAAAGAAACAAATTTAGAGGAAAAAAACGCGTCTCTTTACTCTTTGATTCATCAAACACATCAAAAAACAGAGACATGTGTGTAAAAGTGTGCAGTACCTTCTATAGGTTTAGGCAGAAAGTGTGCAGCTGGTTTGGTCTTTTTCACCCTGTTTCCCTTCATGGCCTGCCCCTCCTTGTTGAGGCCCAGAAACCATGCCCGGCCCGACTCCTTCTGTCTGTAGAGCATGGAGCTGTAGATGACATAGTAGTTCTCAAACACCGACTCCTTAAACTTACATTCTGCTGTAAACAGTTCCTGCAACGACAAACAGACAAACAGAGACAGAAATATTAGGCGTGTTATCAATGAGTCTGCATCACTTTGCACCCGTCTGCCTGTTTTATTGATGAACATGAAATGACTGAGAGAGAAGCTTTTCCATTTTCCATTTCCATTGTTTACATAATGCTTTTACTGTATGAGAAAATAAGCACAGGCTTAATAAGTTGTTGCATAAGCAGCTCAAAAGAAGATCATTAGCACCTGTTCAGATGAAGAAACTTTATAATGACATTTTTTACCTCTGCCAAGGAGGTTATGTTTTTGGTAGCATTGGTTTGTTTGTTTGTCTGTTAGCAACTTTACGAAGAAAGTAACAGACGGATTGACCTGAAATTTTCACCAGAGGTGTGTCTCAGCCCCAGGAGGATCCCATTAAATTCTGGATACTGTGATCCAGAACACACAAAAATAAGGGTGTCATTGGAATTTTGAATGGGCGGCACAGTGGTGTAGATAGGCGGCACAGTGGTGTAGTGGTTAGCACTGTCGCCTCACAACAAGAAAGTCCTGGGTTCGAATCCGGGTCAGGGCATTTCTTGTTTTAGGAACATTATGAACAGTGAACATACCAGTTTAAACACAAATAAAAGTTAATAAAAGACACGGAACAGTCAAAGTTTTGGTGTGAATCACAATATAAGGGGGGACATGAGCTGCTTGGCGGAGGTCTGCGCTCTCCGAGTGCTTTTCTAGTTATAACATGGTTTTCTTTGTAACAGTTAGTCCTCATCTTTACAAAAAATAACCATCTCAACTGGACACTTTATGATTTAATTAGATTTTTTTTTTAAACTTTATTTGTTACTTTTACTTAGAATAAAAAACACACGAGATAAAAAAGTAATACCTAACGCCATGAAACAAAACCAATGAAAAAAGCAGAGTAAACTTTGATTTAATACACCCACGACCGTGATAGCTTCAAAACTGAAAACTGACCCTTCTAAAAGGACAAAATAATATTATTTATTAAAAAAATAGATCAATGCAAATTTGTTTATTTTCATCTGAATAAAGTTATATTGATACTGGTATTGTAATAGCCCCAAGAATCTAATGCCTTGATGCTTCAAAACCAGAGTGATTTCTCTGATTTCTCTGATGTATGAAATAAAAACTGCCAACCAAACAGCCGGGGAGGAGCAGCACAACACAGTCTGACTCATGTATTACTCTAATTCATGTCATTCCTCCCTCTGACACCTCCTCTGTATGCACAAGAACAACAAACTAAACATATCAAAAACAGACTGATTTTAATGACACGAAGCTTGAAGACCTTCACCCCTCCCAGCCATCAGCTTTAGAACTCTCACTGTGGTTTACCCACACTTCCAGTAGAGCATATTTCAGCACCAAGTCAAGGTGTTATTCTCACTGGGTGAGAAATCGTCCTTCCTAGTGAGTCATAGCAAGGGGAAAAAAAGAGCTCCACACAAAACATTTTTCGTTTGGAAAGGTCGAAATCAAGACAGTCTGGAAAAAAACTGGAGAAATTTGTTCGACTGGATCGGGGAGCAGCAATATCTCAGCAGACTTTACATCCAAAACAGTGGCGGCTGCTGGTCTTTCAAGGAGGGGAAGCTCATTTTTCTGGCCTACATCATAATTGTATTTGTTTATTAGTGTGTAACAGAACAGAGTCGCCAAACACAACGGCAGTCGTTTTTAACAAAGACAAAAGTCGCTGAGGATCGGTAAAGTCTCCGGAGAAGTTAAGAACAACGGAATGAATAACTTGGAAAATGCTCTGGTAGATGTTTTATTCTTCAAGATCGCTGATTCGCTTGTTTAGCTGTCAATCAAAAAAGGATTTCGGCTCAGACAGCTCATCCAATCATGGATGCAGAAGCTTGGAGTCCGGGAGAAAGTCGGGACCGCCCTCTCGCCATTGAACTCCAGTGAAGCTGGGCTTCCGATGGGCGGGACAAAGCCCAGCATTTATCCAATGAGCGTCTAGTTTCGCTGCTGGAACAACCCACTTTAAGCTTCCACATTGAAGTCAGCAGAAGCCCAGCGTCCGGCTGTTTAAAGCGCTGAGGCGCTGCGAGGATGAATGAGAACGAAGTTATGCCGGTTACCTGTGATTATCAGCTTCTTATCACAGTGTCTGAACAAAAGTTGAAGGCTTTCTAGTGCGTATTTAGTTAATGAAATGTACACACAGCCGTACGTATTTCACCACTTTTTCTTTTTTTTGGGGGGTGACATTTTAAGGGAAGCCGAGCTTCCCTTGCAGTCTTAGAGCAATCGCCACTGATCCAAAACCATTAATGATCATGGCTGAAAGTGTTCTGAACATCATGACATCAACAGAAAAAGATAACTAATCTTACAGTCTTTTCAGACAAATTATGCCCAATCTAATGCATTAGATACTGGCGATGGCACTATGGTAGGCAAGTGTCAGGATTCAGGGCTTCTCGTGTTCTTGGAAGATAGAGGACAGAAGAATCAGATCAGAGAAAAAAGGTGGCTTTAAAGGTCCTTACACACCGGCAGCGTCTTTTTGTAGATATCTGTAGATAGACTGTAGATATCTACAGTATATATATTTTTTATAAACTCTTACAAAATTTTAAAAATTGGCCAATTAATCAGTAATCGGACCCCCAAAATAATCGGTATCGGCCCTAAAAAACCCATATCAGTCAGGCCCTACACAAACACTTCCACTTTTCCCACTGTTAAGGCGTCACAGCTTTACTTTCGATATCACAGTTAGTCATTAATCCAAAGTTGATGTAAAGAAAAAAAAAGATTAATACAGCTTTAACTATCCCTACGTAATTGCTACTCATACAAATCATATCTTGTCTTGTCTAACAAGAATCTCCCTGTCATTTTTTATCAAACTCCGATTTCATTAAAGGACCTGATTATCATTTAGGCTTTAAACGAAGGACACTTTTTCTTGTAGCAATGATTGCTGAGGAAATTAAAAAGTGGAGTTAATAATAAACCCCTCCTCAGACGGCTGAGGAGGCTCCTGCCAACCCAAACAATCACCCCGAGGTCCCCAGATCCCAGATTGGAAAGTGTTTGTCTAGACCGCCTCTTATTGGCTGATGTGGGCCTCAGACACATTGTCATTCAGCTCAGGTCTGTCGGTCCGAGTCTCATAGCAACATGAGGAAGAGAAGCGACACTGTAGCGATGGCAACCAACCAGCGCTGAGAGGGAGGGGTCAGTGTCAGTGGGTGGGTGGGCTGTGAGAGAGTGTGCATGTGTGTGTGTGTGAAGCGAAGAGAGAGAATACACACCCAAACACTTGAATCGATAATTTTACATATGATGTGCCATGGCTCATGCTAAAACATAACCACTCCTGCTAACATGAATGACACTTCTCAGAGGCAGGCTGGGCTGGGTGGCACCAGCTGTGCAGGGATCAGACTCTGACACACACACACTCACACTCAGACGCACACTCAGACACACACTTGTGGCTCTGGGGGATGAATGGAGGGAGGTGCAGGAGGGCTTTCTGGGATATGAAATGTGACTAAACGAACAAGACAGGTTTTAATGAATGGACGCTCTATTTATTGGCGCTGTCAGACACCCAGATACAACAACACAAATGAAATGTTCTCCTTTGATAAGCTTGGATTTGATCTGTATTAAAGGGGAATTACAATTTTACAGATTTAAGGGTTTAATTCACCTAAAAGATTATGGAGCGGCTTCTTTTTGTCCACTGAAATATTTAGACTCAGATTATTGTTTCAAGTGCCTGACAGATGATCAAAATAACCCACATGGAGGCAGACCGTTTTTGTTAAGGAAGAAAGAGCGGCTTTCTTTCACTTCAAGGCCGACACACTTTTTGGACAAAAACAGTCATTTTAACTTGAAGAATACAGAACTGAACATTTTTGTGTCAGAAATTGTTGTGTAACTTGCTGATCGAGACAATGGTAGACCTGAAACTTTCTCCCCATGAGCAGTAAAATTACTGCTTTTGTCTGTCCGGTGTAGCAGCTTTGAAAAGACTTCTGTTTTTGCTTGAAGATTTACTTTCTTAACAGAGAGGTCTGTCTTTTGCAGGTTAAGCAACTCATTTGTAACTAACATTAAATTGTATGTATTTTGTCAAATATATAAAAAAACCAAAATTTAAATATTGGCATCATTTAATGGCCATCATCTGTAATCGGTCGACCACCAGTGAATGAAGTGTGGTGCAGTTTAGTTGTTCTTGTGGATTTAACAATAATCCATGCATTGACAAATGTGTGATATGTGTGTATAAAACACTAACTCTCATTTGTGTATGTTTAGTGTGCACAGAAGCAAAATGGCACAACCACTTTGCTCTCTTAACTTCTTATGAGCAGGTCAGATCTTTGAGGAAAAGTATCTCAGGTTTTAACATACTGCTCTAGTTTATAGTTAACTGATAACAGTTTTAGTCAAATATTGTCAAGGGACTTTTGGATTTCTATCCTGTAATAATCAAAAAAATAAATAAATTACAATAATGTAGAAATCCATCATTCCAAGCAAATTTAAATGTAATATATGTGTTTATCTTATCTAGAGACATGTTGTCGATGAATTTGTAATAAAATGAGGAAAAAGACTAATACATTGGGTTGTGCTACACATTTCAGAGCATGGCTGATATTTCTGTCAGAAGTAAAACCAAAGAGCATTATTCCATTCAATTTTTCAAAATTGACTCTTAACTATAGCCAGTAACTATGGGTCAATGACGTGACACAGTTTTGTTTTTTGTTTTTTTTCCCCATGGTTTAATTAAATTTAAAAAGACCAAAATTAAAAAATGAACTCACTAATAACTTGGATACGTTCTCTTTTTGAAGACCTTGTCTAAAATTTCTGGATTTTATCCATTTTGAGAGAATATTTAAGGAATAATGAGAAAGATGTCAATGTGGTGTAACCAGGAAAACTCAGTACCACATAATTCAACCTTAACGATGGGTTAAAATTGTGTAACTCACAGGTAATATTTAAAAAAGCGTTAAAAAGCAAAATAATTCAGGAGTACAGCTTTGAGTAAAACATTTTCTTTCATTCTTTGTGTTTTTTTTTTCTTTTCGTAGTGCAACATGTTATTTTCATGTTGTCTTTTTAATATTAAAGTGTTTTTCTTTTTTTAATCTTATTTCAACATTATCAAGTGTTTTAAATATTAAAATGATGTTATAAGGATTGTAACGGATAGGCAACTATAAGCATTGTGCTTCCGCCTTCCGCCAGGAACTGTTCCGCATTTGCGTACAAATGATCCCCCATTCAGCTAAAACTGGTCTAATGTAAAGAGCAGTGGCGTGATTAAAAACTCAGATGTATGCCCAGCTCTAAGTCACAAAAACAAGCAATGTACTTTGATTGAAATTACCCCCAAGGATTTCATTACAGACTGATTCATGGCTGCAGGCAGAAACAATATGAACACATAAAAAATGTGTCAAGGATATTAACACAAAAAAATGATGAAAAAATAAAGCCCTGGCTTCAAAATACTGGACTCGTCCTTCAGCTGTGTGCTTGGTCTCTATAAAGCTTCATATTTTTGTTCTAGGATTAAATTAAGTTAATAATATAGTGAGTCTTGACCTGCACCTCAGTTTCATTATTCATTTGTTAGGGAAGATGATCCTCAGAGCAGTGCCAGACACTTATTAATGCAGGCCAGTGAGGTCATACATCATTTAATGCTGCTTTTAAAATAAAAGATGTTTGATGTCGAGGCATCTTCCAGCCCGGCCTGCAGATTTATTTTGGACCGAATTTGGGGAGAAGAGGTGCACTGTAAAGATGAAAACCTCACTCTTCTTTCAGGTGAGTCACTTTACCAACACTGCCCAGCTGAATGTGTTTCTGTCGTTATTTCTAAATAGCTGCTTTCACAAGCTGCCCACAGAAAGGAGACAGGGAGACAGGGAGAAAGGATGAATGAAAGAAACGGAGGGTGGGGTGTTTTGAAATTGGGACATGAAGGAGAAGAGGGAGAATAAATCACCCAGTGAGGAGAACGACGCCTCCTGATTGGAAAAACAGCAGGGGATTCTCTCCCTCTCTCCCCTCGCTTATCTTTGTATTTCTCTCCTTTTTCTCCTCGCTGTCGTTTCTCTGCAGAGATTCATTGAAAGTGAACAGCCTGCAAACATGCATGCACATTGTTATCTTTTGAATGACATGCACGTAACATTTGTGTGTCCTTGCCTACCAGAAAAGCAGCAGTTTTTTTTTCCCCGGCAGCTGCCATCAGATAGAGCAGAGCCCATTAACATGTTGTTCCAAAACACACTAGATTGATACAGGCAGCACTTTGTCCCTTTTCCATTAAAGAGCTAAGATAAGAAACTCAAACACTCAAAGCTGCTCAACCAGAGCTGCTGAAGGCTAAATTTATCCAACAAAAATCTATGGTTTACGAATTTTAATCTACAGACAAACACAAACATGTCATTTGAACTTAGCTGCATGATTCACATCCCACTACACTCCGAGGGAAGTCACAGAGTTCAGGCGTCACTGACCGGGGCAGCTGCTGAATGACTGTGAGGCCACAAGTTCAAGTTCCAAGATCTGACTCTGCAGCCTCACGGGCTGAAGACAGACTGATTGACTGCCGACAGAAAGATTCACACCGGGCTGTGCCATAACACCAGAGTCCCCCCGCGCCACACACACACACACACACACACACTCACAGTGATACCAAAGCCTCCTTTAGCCTCTTCAAAACAGGGCTGTTTGTGTCCTCTTCCACAAGTTTGAAACACAGCTGTGGGTTGCTTGCTTTAACTTCGAAGAAAGCTGAAGAATAAATTCCACAGCACACACTGCTAAATGTGTCTGACTTTTGTGGTTACTTTGGGGTACATATAATTGTGGCTCGTTAGGATACAAAACATCTGTCCAATGTTTAGATAAAGTGAAACCTAAAATGCCTTTAGACTGTTGGAGGAGAAACTGAGGGGAAAAAAATTGCACTAGGGAGAGAAATGATCTCACACTTGCATTTATCACCTGAAAAATTCCTGACATTATTCTTGGTGGCACAGTGGTGTAGATGGGCGGCACAGTGGTGTAGTGGTCAGCACTGTCGCCTCACAGCAAGAAGGTCCTGAGTTTGAATCCGGCTCAGGGCGTTTCTGTGTGAAGTTTGCATGTTCTCTCTGTGTCTGTGTGGGTTTACTCTGGGTACTCCGGTTTCCTCCCACATCCCAAAAACATGCCTAAGTGGGGTTAGGTTAATTGGCCACTTTCAAATTGAGCAAGGATGGTTGTTCGTCTCTACATGTCAGCCCTGCGATGAACTGGCGACTTGTCCAGGGTGTCCCCTGCCTTCGCCCAAAGATGCTGGGATAGGCTCCAGCCCCCCTGCGACCCCGAGAACGGGAATAAGCGGTAGAAAATGGATGGATCCTTGATGGCTATATGGATGAAGGAATCTCTCATCCTGACTTTTTCTCAAGTTGAAGTGAAGTAGCGATGAAAGCAGCAGGCAAAAGTCAGGAGGATGTAAAGGAGTTAAATTGGACAGAGAAAACTTCTTCTTGTGAGGTGCATGACGGCGATTTTCTAAAAATATCAGAACATGACGGTCCTGATATCATCTGGACAATGTCAGGAATTTGTGTCAAGGGGTACAGCTTTATGGACAGTCTTTGATTCTTTCTGATCCAAACATCGATTGAATCCTCAAATTGAAAGACAAAATATGCTGTTTGGTGATGACTTGCAAAAAAGTTACCCTAATCTCACTTATCTTACATTTTTAAAAATTAAGTTTGCAGTGGTTGATGGGTATAAAATAAAGGACTTTTTCAGCTGACACTCATTCAGAGCTACTCTACAAGTGACCTAGACTGACATTATGAAAGGGAAAAATGAGAACAATAGGTCCAGACAAAGACAGTGGAAATCTGGTAAACAACAAATACAAGTGTCTCTTTTGTGCTTGGATATTTTCACAGCTGTGGAGCTCAGAAATTAAAAAGTCACACCATGAAACTCTCGTCAGTGTATTTTCTTCGGCGTTGGCGTCACTACAAAGAAAGAAATTCTCACCAAGATTCAAGTTCAGCAGCTTTTGAAATGCGCATCATGCTTGTAAAGTCATCAATTTTTTAAAATCCTCCTCAAAGAAAAAGGAGAAATGTGGCTGAGTTTACAAGGTCCACACACAACAGAGATCGACATGGTTGAAATAAAAACACCAGCTCTGAGTGTTGACATTAGAATACAGAAGAAAAGCTCTTTGTTCCATAACTCGTAAAGGTCTACCTTCATATTCTTTCTATTTACGAGATGTAAAGAGAAAAAGTTGATTAGCTCATGATAACCATGACTCAAGTATTTTGAATTATAAGGACCACAGGACCATTATAAAATCAACCAAAAAAGGATTTAACATTTAGAAATGTTAAACTTCTAAAAAGTGGGTTCATTTACGCACTAAATACTTTGCTGCATCAGTGGAGCACTTTACTTTAGTGTTATTTAAGACCAGTTTGGATAGATCCTTCAGCTGGTCTGTATTTTTGTGTGGGTTGTTTCTCATTTTCTCTCGATAAATATCCCACAGATTCTTTATGGGGTTCAGGTCAGTCAAGCACAGTAACATCATGTTTCAAAACAGTTTCTGGTAGTTTTGGCGCTGTGGGCAGGCACAAAATCCTGCTGGATAATGGAACCACCTGGTGATTTTGGATTCAATGAAACACAGTAGACCAACAGCAGTAGATGACATGGCACCCCAGATCACTGGACTTAAGAATAAGAATAAGAATAACTTAATCAATCCCCGGAGGGAAATTCAATTGTCTGTTGTCTCACCTAATATGTCTATAAAAGTTATCTATTATTTACATAAGAGTTATAAAGCCTGATGGCTGTTGGTACAAAAGATCTTCTGAGGAGCCGTCCACCACCATTGGCCCTTTGGTCCATCAAGGTGTTGTGAAGTGGATGATCCATGTTCTTGAGAATAGTCTCCACCTTCCTCAGTGTAGATCTCTCCACTACATCCTCCACTGAGTCCAGCTTGAGTCCTACCCATAGACTGTATGTAGAATGGACGGAGTCCGTCTCCTCGCTGGGTGAAGCCACTCCGAGAACAGCACCCTCTGTTGACGGGCTGATGTAGTTACTATAAGACTGGTTCATGTTTTCCATGATTGACACCTGATACAGCCCATGGGCGTACAGGGATTGCGTAGCTCTCCCGGAGGATACACTGTTTGTCATCTGAGTTTGTCATCACAGTGACTCTCGGCGACTGCGTGGCCGAATGCGCGCATCGCTACTGCAGAGCGCAGGTTTCAGGAAATGAAGAAAAATCCCGAAAATACTGAGAGCTTTTTGGCTTCAAATCCGTATACAGGCGGGAGGCGGAACCAAGTTGTCCATAGTATATACAGTCTATGATTCTACCTCAGAGCCAGCCTTTTCCACCAGTTTGCTAAGATTAAGTTTTGTTTGTCAAAGCACCTTCCTTGGATTATGTGTCTCTTCGCTCTCCTATCAGGAGACAGGACTATGGACCACAGAGCAACAGTCCAGTTCTTTTTCTTCTCAGCCCAGGTAAGACTCTTCTGATGGTATCTCTTGTTCAGGATTTTGATATTGGGAATACCACAGTTTTAGTGTCTTTTCTGAAGATGTCTGTGTGAAGTAGCTCTTGATGTTCTGACTCCAGTCTCAGTCCGTTTCTTTTGAAGATCCCCAAAGTTCTTGATAATCCTCTCAGTGTCGCGCTCATCCCTGTTGCTTGTGAACCTTTTTTCTTCCACGTTCCTCTTCAGTCAACTTTCCAGTACTTTCTGTTCTGTAAGCAGGTGTTACATGCTTCAAAACAGCACTCTGTGAACAGCAAGCCTTTTCAGCGATGACCTTCTGTGTCTTATCCTCCTTGTGGAGGGAGTCAGTTATGGTCTTCTGGACAACTGTCAAGTCAGCGGTATTCCCCATGATTGTGGTTACATGTTCTGAAGGGTATTATTCTGTTTGTGAGACGTGTTTCTTTTTTTTCTTTTTTTTTTTTTGAGCTATTGACTATAATTATCAAGACCACAAATAATGATATTCTGAGAATAAAATGAAATATACTGTAGGCCTTTGATAATGGCATTTTTCATCAAAATTACCAGCCAGAAATGTTTATGTGAGTAACCCAAATAACAATTATATGGTGCTGCTGTTTTTGCTTGTAGAAACTGCTATGTTGATTCTGGCAAGACAAAACCTTCCCAAATGTCATAAATACATCTACTTAACATCTAAAACAGTTATTGGTGCCTTAGTATACGCATAAGTGAATCCAGATTATGAAATGTAGCAAATTTCTTGAAGACAACGTCTCAACTCAAGTGATTTGTGCTGGGTGCAAATCACTTGAGTTGAGACGTTTTCACAACTGAAATATATACAGTAAATTTAGCTAAAAGCTTATGTTTCATACATAAAAATGACACAACCTACTGTGTAATAAAAGCAATCATCCCATACAGCTCTTTCTTCTGTTTCCTTTGAAGCATTTTCATATGCTTGGCAGCGACATAAATCTGTACAAGATAGTCTTGCAGACATACAAGATCATCGTTCAGTCTTACATTTGGTTGTCTTGCAACTACAGTGGACTATCTGCAAGTCTGCTATTGTGTCAGTCTTCTCGCTTCCAACCGGGACGCGTCTTTTTTTCCCCTGGAAAGTCGCAAAATTGCATCCGGATATTTCGTAATTTTGTGTCATATATTTGCGTCATTTCCGGTGTGTAAGGATCTTAAGGGACCTTTAAATTCTATCTTAGAAAGAATCAGGAATTCCTGACAAGTAATGTGAATATCTAACATTATGACCAAATCTTTCCAGGCTTATTCACAGTTGGATACCACCCAGATTAATGTTAGTTTATGGAAAACCAACACTAAGTGTGTTAAATATAAAAATAGACGTGTTTTTAGAGAATCATGGTTCGCATTTGTCCCTCCTCTTTTAAAGTGGGGCTCAGCGGCTTCCCTTATAACAATGTTTAATGCGACTAAGCTCAAGAAAGTTGTTTTTCATCCCATTGTGTTTGTACATGTGTGTGTTTGTGTTTGTGTGCACTGCTCAGCGAGTGGGTGTGTTTGTTTCCAACACCAGTTATTATCACAGCACTAATTACCCAGGGGAATTGTGGGTAAACAAATCATTCTAAAGAAAAGAAGCCCACGGAGAAGAAGGAAAAGGAGGAGTGTTGGCGCATGGAAACAAAAAAAAGTGAAAAGGCTGCTTTGAGAGGGGGACTTGAAAGGATGTCCTCCAGCCCAGAATCAAAGAGAGAATCTGACTCCAATCACAGCGGCGCTCTCAGGGTTGTAAGGAACACCACCGCCATCCTAAACCGCTCCAGAACTGCACACCTGATCCAATTACCCTGTTATGAAAATGTGTGGGATGTAATAGGATCAGGTGTGTTAGAGCAGGAGCAACAGCTCATGACACAGGTGTTTCTTCAGGACAGTGTGAGAAACAGAGCTTCAGTGAAATGCTAACACTTTATTCTGCCAACGCAGTGGTTTCAGGGCAATTTATTAGAAGGCTGCATTTGTAATACGTTACTGACTGAGGCTGAGTATAAACTGCAGACAAACCAGATTTATGTCCTGAATCTTTAAGAGAACTATCAGGTTGTATTTGTGTGTCCAGTAATCACTGAAGCATCTGCATAATTTGCTGTGGTTAACACATCACACTATCTGGTACAACACAAAACAAAGCTGTAATACAACACAGAAAAAGAGGAATGCTATTGCACCTCCTACATTCAGCATAACTTATTTCTTATAGGGGGACTGTATGGATTTGTTGGTTTCAAATTTGTTAAGATGTCACCACACAATTCTCTGTGAAATTGCATTCAGTCTGCAGTCATTCTTAAGGTCCTTACACACCGGGGCCGACACGGATATAGAACGTAAAATCACAAAATATTCTGAGGTGAATTTTGACGCGCCTGACCAAACACATCAAGCCCAATGCGATTTTCCGGGGGGAAAAGACGCATCTCGGGGAAGGCTTTTCTGGGGGAAAGTCCCGCCTCCTTCGCCTCTGATTGGCTAGAAAAGTCGGAAACGTCATCGGGCTTGATGTGTATAGTCAGGTGTGTCAAAATTCACCTCTGTTCTATATTCGCGTCGGCCCTGTTGTGTAAGGACATGAAGACTTTGGATAGAAAGGCCCCATCCAAAATTCATCAAGGACAATACTAATACTACTAACTCCATGAGTTCTATTTGATCTTCAATATTTTGTGCATTTTTAGTCAAATTAAGTTAAAGCAAAACGTGAAAATAGAAGTGCTATGTATGTCTTAATTTCGCCTGTATTTGTTATTAAAAAGTCTGACTTAGAGAAACTTTGTTAAAAGGCTGTTTTTCCACTGCAGTCCTCTTCATCTGCTCCTTGAGCGTTTCAGTGTGACACAACAATAACCTCCGACCTCGAACTGAAAACGGCAACTCTTGACCAAGATTTGGACCTTGCAGTAGTTAATCTGTTATCATTTTATGTTCTGTAAAGCAGTTTTCTGAGTCTCTGTTCACCCTGCATGTATTTTTGTTCAGATTTGAGTGTTTTTTTTCCTTCCAATTTCTATTTGAAGCTTCTAACGAGGGCCAGCTCTAATTAATGGACCCTGAGCGGTCTTTAGGATGTTTCTATGACCTGAAGAAGAAAGGAGAAAAAGGGAAAAGATTGATTAGAAGACACAAAGGATGAAAAGTTTAGACTCGGAAAGATGCTGTTCAGACTCCAGGGTCCTCTCGAGCAGACAGACTGAGACTCTAATAGTCTGAGTCACAGGAGCTGGCATGACGGAATACGTTTCCATTTCTAATCTTGGCTGCTGGACGGCCAGCACTATTCAGATGTCAAAAACGAGCAGATTTCAGGGGGTACAGCCGCTGAAAACAAGCCTCAGTAATGATTTCACGACCAAATCAACAGTTGCACCAATTTTATCCTGCAGAAAATGCTTCATATGATTACACGTCCCTTTAGAGGATTATGTAATGTCATTTTTATACCGCTAATACAAGACCTATTTGTCATCCCTCTCGCTCTACTCATACAGAAGCATCAGGGAAAGTTAATAATAACGGTAGGAGTAGCAGAACTTCTGGTGTGTTACAGGAAGCCGGCAACATTCCGACTAAAAAAGTCAATTTCCCGTCTCACCTCCCAGCTGACATCTTCACACCCACACCAACCCCAACACCGTGGTACAAACCCACACACATCCACACATCCACACACACACACACGCCATGCCAACACTCACCACTCTGGTCTCATTCACACACACAGCTCTAAACTCATCAGCACTTTTTTCCCACTTTCCCCCAGCATGCTCCATAATTATCACGTAGCAGCTCATTGCACACTGTGCCATCTGTTGGCTATACACACGCGCACGCCCAAAACCCACACACGCGCACGCGCCACACGTTCACGCTCAACCACACACTGCCAGCTGCTCGAGATCTGGGATTAATAAGAGAGTTCTCCCATGTATAACTAAGTTTGCAGCATATCATTAAGAATTTTCAATAAAAGGATAAAGATTCAAAGTGAGAGCAGAGCTGCGTAAATGGAACAGGATAAAGCTCCAGAGACGGGACAGAAATGTAGATAAAAGGCACCACAAATATTAACATCACTCTGTTTCATCCAACCAGAATACGGAGAAGAATGAACTCTAATCCAGAAATAAGTCACTGGCAAGAAAAGAAGCACATCAATTTGGAGTTTAGGATATTTGTATTGAATTAAACAGGAATTATATTTGAGTGTCAGATTAATTTAGAGATTCAACCTTTAATCTTTACAGTCTATATCAGCGGTTCTCAAGTCCAGTCCTCGAGGCCCACTGTCCTGCATGTTCTGGATGTTTCCCTGCTCCAACACACCTGATTCAAACGATCAGCTCGTTATTAAGCTCTGTTAACGAGGTGATCATTTGAATCAGGTGTGGACAGAACAGTGGGCCTCAAGGACTGGACTTGAGAACCACTGGTCTATATGATAAACTGAACCATCAGCTCATATGTCAAATAACAACTGACCGCCTGGTTAAACCAGAATCTGAAACTTTTTCATCAGTAGAAGCGGAAAAGCATCGACCTCAAAGATAAACAAAGAGTGTTTCCTGGAGCAACAGTTTTGTCCAGTCATGAGAAATGATGCAGAGATTTACTGAAAGAGCCTGAACCTGTGGAGGATCAAAAATATGAGACAGCTGTCACTCTGTGTGTGTGCATACTGCAGCATATTCACGGACAACCCTTCTGGCAGAGAATAGTGAGTGTTTTATTAAGTGAATAAGATTAAATTAAATAACAAAAAGGGCCAAAATGTTTGTTTTCTCTCAGTCACAGTTTTTTAAAGTTAAAAAAAATCACTGTCCAGTATTGGCAGGGTGGATCCAAATAATACCATCTAAGGAGTGTAAAAGTCATTGATAAGATTATAATTATTCTAAATGGATTATATGATTGTTTTCATTCAAAAAGAGTAGTAAATAGGGTGATTAGAGAGACAGTTAAGTAAAGGTCCTTAGACACTGGGAGCGTTTTTTTCGTGCGATAATTTTGGACGTCAATTTTTTATTGATGCATTTTGAGGTGTCACCTTAAGTTTTGTTTTTAATGACACTCTGTATTCAAGTCCTTGTAAGAAGCAATGATAAATAGTAAGGCCCTTACAAGACCTTGTTCTATGCGGATATAAAACTTGGATTTTTGTCCTTTTGAGCACACACACAAATCAAATCCACTAAAATGACTTCATTCAATTAAATATAATTAGGTTTCCCCTTCAATCACATTTTTAAACTGTGTCTATTTTTCAGAACATTTTGTTCCGATAACAACGACGACAGGGGAGTCATGGTGCGCTTCAAATGTTCTCACTCAACAATGTGTTTTTAGCAGGAGCGAAGGGTCATTTCATTGTGCTGAAACATCTGTGTTACTAATAAAACCTGTGACCATTCTCCATTATGATCTTTACATAGTACAACAAAAAGGTCCGTGATCCTCGGTCACAGGGAGGTGCTGATATCTGTAGGTTAACATACAGGCTGGAATGTCTGTGAAATATTACAGCAAACACTGCTGACATTTTTAGTGTAGGTTAGTGGACTATAATCTGCTTTGTATCGACTCCCTGACACTTCCATAATAACTAACCTGTCATGAAGGAATATAATTCAAACTGAGTCTGATAAATAAGCGGCTCAGCCAGCGTGAATGTAAGGTAACTGCCCAGGTTCAGCCCAGGATAAAACAAAGCTGTAATAGCACCATCGTAATGTTTAATGAGCATCTCCTCTGGCACCGTCGCTTCAGCCTTTCCGCACACACTACACCACACTACACCTGTCGAGAAATCTGCGGCAGCCAATTATAGCGAAGCGTCATGATAAATCTGAGCTGCAGTATGTAATTTATACATTTGTTATCATATAGCCGCCTGCAAATCAGTCACAGAGCTGGAGCACGATGGAACAGCCTCACTTTCCTTGAACACAGCTTTAGAGGGGATTTCTTGTTCTACAGAGTGTGTGTAAGTGTGTGTGTATGTGTGTATGTGAGTGTGTATGTGTGTGTAGGGGGGGACTCCCCCTCTTCAATTATTTACAGGAAGCCCTCATGCATCTGTGCCTCTCAGAGACAGGCTGAGAAAGCCCAGCAGAGCAGCACAGATCTCCTTTCTGTCTCTTCCCGATTACTCCTCTCCTCTCCTCTCTCTTCCTCTCCTCTCTTTGTCTTCAGCACTTCTACTCTTTCTTTTTCTCTTCATCTCTCTGAAACTTTTTTCCTCTCACCCCTGCCTTTTTTCTGTCTCCTCTCTTTTTGTCTCCATCTTTACTCTCTATAAATTTTGTCTCCCTCCCCATTTTGTCTAAACATCTCTCCTCCTTATTTATCACTCCCACCATTGTTTTTGCTTTCTCTCTCCTCCGTTATCAACCATTTTCCTTCTTTTAGTTTCAGTTACCTTCTCTCCTCCTCTGACTACAGCTTCTTTTCTCTTTCACCCTCTTTTTTCACTCAGATAATAAATGTTCTCTTCTCCTCCCTCCACTGTTCTTTATCTTCTTTGTCTCATTTTTTTCTGATTTCTGAAAGCTTTTTGCTTTTTTGTCCTGATTGTTGCCTTTTTCACTGTGTCAGTGTGGTTCCTTGTCTCCTTCGTGTCTCATTCCCATCACTCTGCCCCCCCTTTCTCCCTCTACCTTTTATTTTCTCTTTTTTTCCTCTTAACCTTATATTTGTCCCACCTTTTCTCTGACACTCTTTGACCCTTTTTGCTCGAGTACTGGTCCTCCTCCCTCTCTCGTCTACAATGCCTGTACTCTTCTCAATTGTTTGTTCTGTTTTCTAGAACTGTTTTTCACCTTCCTCTCCCCTTTTTCTCATTTGGTCTGCTCCTTATTTTGTTCTCCGGTGACATTTTCCTTCCTCATCCTTCTCTGGTCCTTTCTTTCACCATCTAGAACATCATACTTTGTTTCTCTCCACCTTTCCCCACCCTTTTTCTGTTGTCTTCTGTCCATATCATGAATGTTTTCTTCTTCTGCCTCCATTGTGTTTTGTCTGGTTTGTGTCATCTCTTCATCCCCACCTTTTCTTTCGTGTCGATATTTTTCCCGGGCTTCTTCTCCATCATTTCTCTTTCCTTTTCTCCTCACCTTTCACTCCTCCATCCACGATCCTTTAGGTCTATTTTCTCCTGCATTTTCCTACTCTGTCTACAATTTCTGCCCTCTGTCCACCTTTCCTCCTTTTCCATTCCTTCTTCTTCATTTTCCCTCTTTTATTTCACCAGTCTGCTGCCCTTTCCCTCTTTCCTCTGCCTCCAATCGTTTCCTCTTATTGTCCTTGTCCTATTTCTCCGTCACCTCCGCTCCTCACCCACCCACCTAATCTTTTCTTCTCTTACTTTTTTCACAATTTGTCCTGGCCTCACCTTTATCCTTCTCACCTCTCCCTTTTCATTCCCTTCCTTTCATCTCCTCCCCTCCCCTCCATTACCATTCCCTTGTCCCCTCTCTCTATCACCTCTCCTTTCCACTCGTCTCCTCCTATAACCTCCTCTGCCCCTCCTTTTTGTCTGCTGTCATCCCCACTAAGAGAAAGAAGAAACGGAGGAGAGGAAGGAGGGATGATGTCAGGGAGAACGAGTGTGAACTCTCTCTGAAGAGTCAGCATTGAAATAATTCATATTCCTCTCAAGCAGATCTACACCCGGCCCACCGCTTCTCCTCCATCTTACTTGCACTCCACTTGCTCTCCACCATCTTTTAGCTCACCGTTTTCAATCCCGTCTTTTCTTTTGTCGTGTGTGTGTCTCTTATCAATGCCTATGACTCAACAGAGGTCTGTATAATTGAGCTTTTGTGTTTTTATTTTGCATTTTCGTTCATAAATTCAGATTATTTGAGTGGGAAATTAAGGAGGAACAGATCGTGGAACAACTAGACAAACAGCTCCACAGTGAAATGAAGGTTTTTCAGTTGAGTTTGTAAAAAAATGTTCCTGCCTACACAAAAAGTAATATTTTCAACACCTAAAGTAAAAATCTGAATCCGTCAGAGACACAACAAGCATTTTCAGTGAATGTACTTTTTTGAGAACTTTTTTTCCCAGTAAGATTACTTTGCAGCCAGCCTCTGAGGCAATCTCAAACTTTTTGCACCTTTTGTTGATTTGAAACATAAAATATGCAAAGATACAGCCCTTATTTCTTTTCCTTGTTTTCCTTAACAGCAACCTTGAAGATTAAAAGCAATAAAACTTAAGCACAACTAAAACAAGGCACCGTGTGTGTGTGTGTGTGTGTGTGCGTTTTTGTTGTTGCTCACCGATGAGTAGAGGTGACCCTCCCCGTTCATGGCAATGTAGAGGCCGGTCTTGACTGATTGGATGGCCACGACTCTCAGACCCACAGGAATTAAGTTAAACAGAGCTGAGGAGGACAAAAACAAACAGAACGTGATTCTTCTCTTGAAGTTCAACCATGTGAGAAGTGAAATGTTTGTTGCTCGTATTTCTTGGGGTAAAGAAGCGACTCCTGGTCATGACAGGCTGCGTGCAGGGCTTTTTAATCGAGACCAGTCGTTCTCAAGTCCAGTCCTCGAGGCCCGCTGTCCTGCATGTTTTGGATGTTTCCCTGCTCCAACACACCTGATTCAAATGATCAGCTCGTTATCAAGCTCTGTAATGGCTTAAAGTGTCATTTAAAGGGTCTAAATGACTTCCTTTGTGCCTATTTTTACCATCAATTATCTGTCCGTGGCCAGGTAAAGAACGACAAGGTGATCAACCTTTTTCAGGAGCAGGGATACTCTAAGGAAAGATTTTCTCAATATTGGATTTTTCATTTATTTTCAATATTAATTTTTAGTCTATAAAGTGTTAAATGAACATCACAAATAGTCCACAAAAGTCCAAAGGGACATTCTGACTGAGCATTTTTGTCCATCCTTTGCTTGAAATTTTTAATAGACTCTTTGTTTGTGTTATTGATGCTTGGAGCAGTAAACTTTTCACTTTTTTTGCTTGGAAATAGCTTGTATAAGTATGTTGTCATATTTGTGTCTATATGCAGAAAGAGATCTGAACATGGACGACTGTGTGATGAGTATGTTTTGAAGCCATGACTCAACAATGACCTGTAATGAGGACTGTGACTAAGGTCGCTGTTTCCAGACCTGATTACACCAATCATCAATCTTTGTTAATCAAGGCTGCGCAGAAATAGTCATTAAATCTCTCTATTAATGACGCACTCGGTGTTCAGAGATGAGCTGGAAAAGTGTATAATGTGCGTGAGTACACCTGCGAGTAATCATCCTTAATAAACATCACACTTTTAAACCACAGCCTTCATTAACATAAAGATATGCAGCCAGCTGATTAACAAGCCCGTGTTTAAAAGCTGCTAAAATGTCACTGATGTTCCCTGTCTGCTGAATCCAACATTTAAACGGACAAACAAGTGGAGAGCAACAAGCCTGAGCTGCAGTGAATGCTTTCTAATCGAGCTGTGGAAGATATTTTAAAAATGGATATGAAGACATTTGCCAAAAAAGGAATTCAAAGACATTGGCCAAAATAGAAAGAGAAAGCCATAGTAAACAAGAGGGACATTGCTACAACACGAGGATGGCTCTGCCAATGTGGAGAGGACACTTTGAACCAGTGAGATGCCGGCTGTAGTGATTAGCATTTGATTTTCTCTCAGAATACAGCAGAGGCTGCATTAATCAATAAGCCGTCCATCTGCAGCTCCTCCCTGAGGGCAGAGTCCGGAGCAGAGGTCCAATAAACTCCTCCTTAAAAAATAAAATCCTCTCAACAACCACTTGTAGCTCTCAGTCCAACACAGTGGCCAAGATGGGCCCGTGATGAAAACAAAATTACTGCCTCATTAGCCTCTATCTTCCTGTCTAGAATATTCCAATTCAATCAACACCCGTATAAGAAAAATGGTGTCTTGAATGTTTGATGGTGAAGCCAGACAATACATCAGCAAGTTTCTTGTAAACACAGGAACTTCAGCTTTGATTTAAATTTTAGGGTCTAAAAATTACTAAAAAGTGCAAAAAGTTGTTGATTACTGCAGCAAATAGCTTCTGACCACAGCTGCAAAATTGGTTGAAATGGCTAACCCGTGATCTTGATGTACAATTGCATAAAAAAAAAGAATGTCAGTATGTTGAAGCATATTAGAAAGGATCCCCACAGAGACTGACATTTCCTCTTTGTGGTGAGGATAATTTTTCAAAGCAGAAACAGCTGCTTCACCACTGGGGTTGTGTCTACTTCAGAGACCTCTCTGACAAAATCAGTGGTTAACCTTAGAGCAAAATACAGTTTTAAGTTTGTTTTTATGAGGGTCCGACCGATTTATTGGCGAGCTGATTACATCTGCCAATTTTAGCCCGTTGGAGACTAATCTAAAAACTAAAGGAACGTTTCAAAAACTTTTGCATAAATAAGTCGTGCTGACAGAAAGAAACAAAGGCCTCTCCTCTTATCCATCTTAACCAAGTATGGAGTTAGGAGACCGTTCAGTTTGATGAGTTAGCGTAGCGTGTTGACCCATTGATTGTTCCTCTCACTGAGGTTTGTGCAGGTTAAAATCTATCACCTCTTTGCATATTGATAAATCCATGGTGCTGTCCGTGGTGCTGAAGCAGCAGACAGATTTGTTATTCTCAGCCCGGCCCTTTTGACACTTTTTGATGAACAGTAATGATTGTTACTGTGTTACAGAATGTCAGCGGGGCTCTGTGCACTCACCTCTGATCTCTGACACCACAGTATCTGAGTCCACTTCTAGTTTTTTCACATGGGTCAAAAACATGAGGGCAGGGAGTTTGGAAATAAAAAGACTGGGATTCTTACGCATGCCTTGTTACGACCCACAAAAGCTGAAAAAAGCTTCAAGCAAAAGGGTCTTTTTTCATATCCAAGATTCATTTTAATATGAATTCAAGACTCTTGAAATCAGGACAAATGTTCGACAAAAATACTGCTGATGCATGTGCAGGATAAAACCAGCACAGAGTGAAATCACTTGCTTTCTCCACAAACTCAAAACAACTGGGAATTCCTCATCAGTCTTTTAAGGTATAGGGCTCTATTTATGTGCCTGCCGGTGGCGCGGTGGAGGGTGGCAGACCCCGCACAGTGGTATTTTTGTCTGGCAGAGCCCGGCGCCCAGCAAGTTTGGTATTTTCGTAGACTGAGGCGCACAGAGGTCCGCCAACCTGGGTGTGGTGGTGCGGTAGGGGGAGGTGTCGACAGAACCAGCGCTGAAAGTGCGCTGAAAGCTCGCCGATTCAAACCTGGTCAGCTTTCAGCGCAGGCGGGGCGCAGCTGGTCTGGTTCATTTTATTAAAAGAACAATCTAATTCCACTGAACTTACTTTTCCTCATTAAACATAAATCCATGGTTGTATTTGGTATGAATCGATGTGTGTGTCCTTACATGAGTTGGTGCTGTCGTCTTTGGTCCCATCCAGACTTCCATCCTGGCCCATCTGGAGATAGAAGCCCTGTCTGCAGAACAACCTGGTTACTATGCCCTTCAGCTGTGGTTCTGGAAAAACATAAAAAGAGACAAAGTGGGAGGGGAGAAAAGAGTGAAAATTAAGTCATCTTAAAATCAGATTAGAGAGCTTTTTTCAGTTTTGGCAGAATGATTTTGTAAGATTAAATCTATGAACTTGTGCCCAGAAATCATCAGTCTTGTAAAGCCCATTTGGGATGCAGTTTGTGGTTTAAGAACAATGCGACCACTTGCTGCATCCTGAGGGATTTCCTGTGCGGAGACTAGTCAGGCATGTCCAATCCATTACAGGATTGTTGGACTAATCCTTCCCTCATGGTCATTGTTCCACTTGAATAACAGTGATAAATAATTTCTGAAACTTTGATGGTGTAGAGGAGCTTCATCCTGGCTTTCTTTCCACCATAGTCTGTTTACTTTCTATCCACTGAGCTCTACGATGGTCTCTAGGTTTTATTCCATTCTTTAAAAAGAAAATAACAGTAATAACTTTATTCTAAGGCTGCTCAATGCTTTTCCTCGGTAGGGAGACTTTCACACAACAGAAATAAACATAGCAGCCAGTCAAGCTACAGCTTTGAGCTTTCACAGCTAACTATAAGTATTGGCTGATACTCAGCCTGTTGACAGATGTCAGCCTATGGGCAAATAATTTGGCATTCACCAATCACAGTGGTCGATATAATGTGTCCTTATTATTAAACTGGTGTGACACTGTTGTGTCACGCCATGGCAGCTAGTGAGCCTTTAGTTTTGACTTCTGGTTGGTTTTTGCTTTTGGAAACAAATGTAAAAACAAAGCAATTTGATAGTCCGGTTCATACTCAAATTTATTCATTTATTATTATCTGGATTTTTAATGTTACTGCTTTTCTAGAAATATGTGCATTTTACTGTAAAGTAGCAGGCATTAATGAGAGCCTACCACAATGCGTTTTCTCTCTGGTGTCAAACGGGACAAGTGCGGTGAGCGGACAACATTTATTTAACAACCAACACTGTGAAATGGCGTGATCCTGTGATAGGTGTGGATGACGTTCACACCAGAAATGAACCGCTCCAGAGTTCACTTGATAGCAGTCCGAGACCACCTATTCAGGCTGACCAGAGTTCATTTATTTGGTCCGCACCAGAGTTCGAGGTCAGCGTTCACACCGACCCGAACCAAGGGGGTAAACGCTCCAGGGTTCGGTTCAACCGGACTGAACAAGGGTGGTGTGAACGCGCCCTAAGACCTTCTGGTCCTAAGACTACCTTCGCAGTGTTTGCACCACATGCTGTATGCTTTGCAGATCAGCATATCTTTTTTGCATCTGCATTTTCCTTTCTTTGAAGATATCGATATACGACAGCAGCTTTTGAGCCCCCTCGCATAAAGGAAATAGTGGAAAAAAAGTTGAAGTTATTGCTCTCTAAAATTCTTTCTATCAGTTATTATTTTCTGTAAAGTCCTTATCTGGTTGGTCCAAAAATTCTGTTTATTTCTGGGTCTAAATTCAATCATAGTAAGAGAGAGTAATGACTGACAGCCACTCAGTAAAGATGGAGAACAAGCATGAGGTGATATAACAGCCCTGGTTTCTCGGCAGGTACAGGCAGGCATTTTCCCATCACCTTCATCACACCTTCTGCTGCAGATTGCACACAATTTCCACACACAAACACACACACACACACTCATGCTGGTGTGACACTGATTATTTAACATGGCTCCCAGTCCTCACACACATTTCCATGCAGCCACACCCATCCTCGCTCTATAAAATCAGGGACTTTGCCTTTGGCAGCGGCTCAGCAAAGCAGGGTGGGAATCCCCTTTGAACATGTGTGTGTAAGAGAGGGAATGTGTGGAGGTATACCCTAATGCACAGAGATGGGGGGAAAAAAGCAAAGACTGACCCAGTTTTTTTTAAGAGTGTGTGAGTGTGTGTAGGAGAGGAAGAGAGAGAGAAAGAGAGCAAGGAGGGGTGTTTTCCATAGCTGTGACAGATCCATCTTGTGCAGCAAAGGGAGAAGAAGCAAAGAGGAGCGGTGAAGCTTCGCATCCAGTGCCTGATTGGATGCTGTTTAGCCTGTTCTGCTGTCAATAATTAATCATAATTTAAAACAAAAAATTAAAAATAAGGTAAAATCCACCTGAACTGATCTCTACGTATGCACATCATACATGGATGTGAGGCTATAGGAAACCAGAATATTAATCATAATGTGAAAAAAATTTGATGTTCGTAATTATTTGAGAAAATGGTGAAAAATCAGTGTCCAAAAAGCCCAAAAATGACAACCTAAAACACTGCGTTTATTCCACCATGCAAAAATGTAGGTTTTCTCTCAGAGGCATAAAGAAACCACATGGGACAAACAGAGTAGCTGTTCGAATCTCAAAAGCTGCTTGAATTAATAAACAAATAACAAAAAAAAATTTGAACGTTCACTCATAAGAAATAAATTCTCTCATTTAAAACTTCAGACTGGTTTGAATATTTTTTACTCCTTTTACATGTGACTCATCTGCATCTGTACCAAACATCTGTAGCTTCAAAGACTGAGAGAAAGAAGATGATGTTGAATATCTGGTCCAATTCAAATCCATTTTTCTCTACCATTTTTATTCTCTTAAAAGCAACTTTGATGTGCAAAGTGTCTGGCATTTGAGAAGAACTGACAGAGAGTTTGATATCACGCAGCCTTTTTTACTTTTTAGTGGGTTTTTAGTGTTGTCAGAAACCATATGTTGTGCTGTGTAAAAACCCTTCCAACTGACAGCTGTGATATTTCTGCTGCTTTTTGATTTAACGTTGTAGTTCACCTTCCCAGCATCAGAGCAGAACAGAACTCAACACACATACAACAAATGTGTTCTCTTTGCACTTGTTTGGGAGGAGCATAAACAGGAAAATTAAATCCCTCAATAGAGGCATCAGTTTGATCTGTAAAAGTGAACGTTAAGTCTTAAATGTTTCTTAAATGCAGCTGGATTAGACCTCCATTTATCCCTCCCTCTGTCTCTTGGCTTTAAACCCTGTCTGGCACTTCTCAGCTGCGTCATATAATATCAGAACACCTTTCTTAGCTGGTGTCGTGACTCAGCAGATGGGATTTTTTTTGATGATTTATTTTCACATCAAAGCCACCGAAAGCCAATATTTCATGGTCAATACTGTCAAAATTCTGTTACAGAAAATTCAAGAGGTGTCATTTCTTGTATATTTTGCTTGCATGTTGATTAAAACATCACATTAAATGTCTTTTCAGGTATGTGATGTTGCTAAATAGGAGCTGTGGGTATAGAGGAGAGTGGAGGTTTATATATCCATCTTTCTGTTTGCTTTGAACCAGTCTGACATATTACCGCAGGTGCCTTTCAGAGGCTGCATGTTGTATCGAAAAAACATTTCTGGCTGGTGCTGCGATTCAGCCGTAGGGAATTTTCAAAACAGTCAAATTTATTATGGTAGTAAACATTTATATGCTGCAAAATAATAAAAATAACCTTTCAGTATTGATACTGACACTCCAGTCTACCCAGACAACCATATATCAGCTACTTTGATGCTTTTCTTTTGTCATTTTTGACAGTAAATAAAGAATCTTTGCCGACTTGTGAATTTTGCTTGGCTTCAGCAAAATTGATGATGTTATATCTGCTCTGGGGAAGTGTGATGAATAATGCCAGGAGTTTGTTTTTTTCTTTACCATGAAACTGACTAAAAAATAAGCAATGAAGACTACTAGATTAAGTTAGTCATTAAAGAAATACAGATATGAAATTAAGAGATCCCATCCACAGCAATCATAACTTTTGCATTTTCTCTTAAAAAAAAATAAAATAAAATAACTTTTTTAGATTTCAAAATTAGCTGCATGTTAAAATATGTAATTTTATAACCTCACAAAGGCTGCGACCTGGGATCCAGTGTTGCAGAATATATGTTGAGCGTTTGACGAAATGCTCATGAATTTTGCAACTCTGTTTGTCGTCCACCACTACCTTTTCGTCTCGTCTCGTCAACGTAAACGCGCATTTTAGTCATCTAAGACTTATGATTAGCTTGTCAATGTCACATCTTCGTCGTGAAAAAAAGGGTGTTGATTAAATATTTCATCAACGAAAACAACACTGCTGGGATCATGTGTATTTGTTACAACTTAAGTTTTATGTTTTAACTCCTTCTCTGATTGTTTAGAGCCTGTTTGGTCATGCCTATCAGCTGCTCTGACAGTTTGAATTTACAACGGAAATATACGTCTGCTTTCTGGAAATATTTTGAGCTGTGCAAAACTTGCAAAATTAACACATGGTTTGGTAAAAACGTCAATCTGTCTTTGCAAAGGTAGTCAAAGCCAAATAAAACCGATGCAGGGCACTCTTATAGATACCATCAAGCCGTAAAACAAGACCTCAGGGAAGCATAAAGAAATCAATGACCATAACGAAACACTTAAAACAAGACTCAAGTTTACGGAAGTGCCTAATCGCTTTTGTCTTTGCACTTTGAAAGACTGCATTTATTTACAGACTGGTGAGTTAAACAGTACTTTACAAGCTTCATATTTTTGTACTTTCAAAACTGTCTGTTTTTGCTAGGGTTGGGAATCGAGAATCGAGAATCGATGGGAATCGGGACTAAAACTTCGATTCTTCCGGTATCGTTCAAATATTAAAATTTCGATTCCAAGTTTCGATGCCAGAGTCCACCGACCGGAAGAAATAGCCGCCGAAAATCAACGAAGAAGAAGCCGCTTAACACCAATGAGGACGGAGCGTATGAGACAAAGCCACACAGAGAGAGGAGATAGACAGAGAGAGAAAGTACATTGCAACCCACAGCAATGCAGCCGCTGTGGGTTACAATGTAATCTCTCTCTGTCTCTCTCCTCTCTCTGTGTGGCTTCGTCTCATACGCTCCGTCCTCGTTGGTGTTCGGCAGCTTCTTCTTCGTTGGTCAAAAGTTTGGCTAACTTTAGCAGGAAGAATGAACTCTTATCTCAATGCAACATTAGCAATACAGTTATATCATGCAAAGGAGGGTAAACGACCAACATGATTAAACACCTCAGGATTCATGGAGGAGAAATACCCGAGTGCTCGTCTTTGACGCGCTTCGCCGGTGTTGTGCCAGAGAATGCACCCCTGCTGTTGAATGCACCCCTGACGGGAGCGCGGTTGAAAGTACACAACAAGGCGAAACAATCCAAGTTTTTCTTACCGTTGGACGGAATCTAAAGCGTGTGCCTTTAATGATTTCATTCAGGCTATTCAGATATGCCGAAAACAATAGACCTCTGATTCGGAATATTTACTGTCCTGAAAATATAATGTTCTCTACCTTAACAGCTTACTCTACAGTTTATATACCCAAGTACACCTTTATGTGTGCATTTTTGAGACACATACAAACAAAACGAAAGTTTACTGCTCCATTTGACACGTTTTCATGATCTAATACCCGTGTTTTATTAAATATGAGATCATATTACCTCCACTAAGAAGCTAATCAGTGTAGGGGAGGCATTCTACGGCAGGGGTGCATTCTACAGCACAACACCTGTCTTCCGCTAACCAGTCAGGATCAGATAAGTGAAACAATAAATGACTTCTGTCCTCTGCTAACTTTGAACGGTAAAGAAATTGAACTGTGTACGGTGAGTAAACTTAAATATCCATCTAACGTTAGCCCTTGTGCTTTTTCATAGACAAACGACCTGAAAACAAAAAATGATATTTATATACTGGTTGAAAATAGCTCTGTGAGAAATCCATAGTAAAGTTCTTAAAAAGTTAATAGGATTTAAAAATTCATGGAGAAGTTCAGAAATTTCATCCAAAAAGAAGAGCCCCGGTTAGCACCCTCATTCAAACCATGCTTTTTTTTTCTTTTTTCTTTTTGATATCCTGCCTTTTAAAAGAATCGAATTAGAGAATCGATAGGAATCGGAATCGAAATGAGGAATCGAAATTGGAATCGGAATCGTTCAAAATCAAACGATACCCAACCCTAGTTTTTGCATGTTTCTTGGTATAGCACCATTTTACCATCTTAGAAAAACAGTGCTGTCCATTGGAATTACAGTTGCACACAAATAAAAATTGAATTTTAGAGTCTTTAGTGTCAAGATTTCCTGCATCATTTGTGAGAGAAAACAAAGAGTCATTGGGTTTTGGCCTGATGTTTGGACAAAAGACCTAAAGTGAAGATGTCATTTTTAACTCTGAGCAATTGTGACGAACAATTCTCTGTTTTTTTTGCCATGAAATCGGCTAAACAATGAACAGATTATCGACAGATAGTGAAATAAAAGTAATCTGCAGCCCCACAAATGGTCTCATTGTTGTTGTGTTTGTATAAATCCCTGCTGTGACAGATGAGAAGACGATAACCCCGCGCATTGAAGCGCCCTGCTGCAACCACTCAGCATCACCTCATCATCTATTTATGTGCCTATTCATCCACCTAGCATCCACTTATCCCTTTATTCATATTCCAGCCACGGTGACATTCCCACATTCCTCAAGGTGATGTATGTGCCCACTCTTCCCAGCATCACCAGCATCCCCGTCTTGTTACTAGGGAAATTCCCATCCTCGCGTTGCCACAGCAACAGCCTCGTGATTCCAGACTGTTCCAGTGAAAGGGTATTCCCCCATCCACACAGACACACACACACCAACACTCAGACACTAAGCTGTATTTCCACCATAATGTGATCTGATTCAATCAGTCAGCTTGTCACACCGTTGAGCTGATTTGACATGTCGTATTGTCTGCTAATTCGCCTCAGTCTGAGTCTAAATACGGCGTTTAACAAGGGATAAAATATCAACATGGGTGTTTCTCACAAGCAAAGTCGCTCTCTCTCTCCTGCTCTTGTCTTTTTTTTCTGCACACACATACACTCACACACACACCAAATGGCAGCACTGGAGTGAAAAAGCAGCCACTGAATGCAACCATTTCATCCTCATTAACATCAGAGTGATTAGTGATTACAGAAACTCCTACAGAGCTGAAAAGAGGAGACTTCCTTGCTGAAATACGCTTGCTGCTACATTCAGATCTTGCTCAGCTTTAGCAAACGTCTCTCATGTCTCAAATGTTCACAGTGACGCAGTCGGTTTATTATTTATCCTCTTTAATCAATGATCAATATCCATACGCTGTAGTTTTCCCCTACGAGACGTCATACTCCGATCTTGTTAAAGCATGCATCGCTTCTTAACTCATTCAGAGGTTTTTCCTGCATTGACAGAAATACATCTCTGAGGCAAACATTGATGGCAGCTATTGATTTACTATCTCTGCTTATTATTATGCATTGATCGAAAAGCAAGGGGGCACCCTCTATAGATAGCCAGTCCAACACGTATAGACAAACAGAGCCACAGAGCGACAACCACATTGAATAACAATAATCAGTAACCCTGGCTTTGACGTGAAAAAATACAGGCTTTTGTTGTTGGTTTTCATCGTTTTTTATTTATTTTTTGTTCTGAGTAGAGCAGATATGAATGTCAGATCTTGACGAGAGCAGAAGATCTGTAATGGCTGGAAGATCTTCAACAGCAATGAAAAGAAGCGCGGCAGAAACTGCAGTTCCAGCAAACGTACTGCAAATTGACATGGAACAAAAAGCTGAAAACAAACGCAAAAGATTTTAGACTTTTTAATTGGTGCTTTTAAAGTTGTGTTTTAGTACAGACATCCAGACACATTCATCAGATACACCCTGCCCCTGATGTATTCATTGTAACACGGTCTAATGACAGTTACATTTGGTGTCTGGTCTTCTGCATCCCATCAACAGTAAGGCTGGGTCACTTTGCGTCCCAACATGCCAGATGCACTTATATTAAAGGCTCTTGAAATGCAGCATCTATCTTTTACAGTTCTATCTTCTCTTAAGTGTTTTTCACTTTGGCTTGATGATGTACTTGCAGAGTATTTGCTGTTATTTCAGCTTTTGGCTGCACGTTATATCATTTGCAGAGTGTTTCCGCCCCTGCATTTGTTTTGGACTTTCACATGTTTTGTTTTTTTGGTTGTGCATTACGCAAGAATTCACAGGATATTTCTCCTCATAGAGACTCATAACTGCTGGTTTTAAATGACAGTTTTCTGAGTTAAGCCTGTATTTTATTTCGTCAAAGCCTCACAAGGAGGCTCCAAAAAGGTGCAGCCTGTTCCTATCAAGGTGAGCGGCGATGAATCATAATTTCGGCACATCCATAACCTCAGCCCTTTGCTCACTGTGCGCTCTTTCCAGCCCTGTGCAAGGGTGTGACACAACAAATCAACAAATTGCCATGTCAAAAGCTCTGTGGTCCAGCTCCCTCTTCAGGCACAGCACCTTTCCCAGAAGTCAATCTCCTGCTCTTCGTCACCGCCACTAAGAGGTACTTAAAAAAGCCCCCCCGCCACCGTCACAGCAGAAACCTTCCTGGAACTGATACAGCACTTTGGCCAAAGGTGTACGAGGCTTAATAAGCTTGGAGTTGAAAGGATTTCTGGTATGATCATGAAAAACTGGTCTCAGGGTACAGTTACCCCAATATAATTGTTCCTATTGTATCCAAAAAAGGTCAAACATGACTTTTTGCACAATGCTGGGGATGTTGCTGCAACAGGTGGTTATACAAGGTATACAAGGCAGGCACTTTCTCATAGCCTCATTTCACCATTAATTCAGTCTCATCGAAGGATATTCTTTTGTTTTTTTTTTTTTCAGCTTGAATAGTTTTTTTATTTTTTCTTGATGAATGTGACAAGTATTCAAACAAACTCTGACCCTACCCCTGACATGACAGCCTGTACTAAACTACATAGTTTTGCCGCAAAATGCTATTAAGCATGGGCTAATGCTGCGTTCGAGTTACCTCAGAAGTCAGATGTCGGAACTGAAAATGACGTCACACCCAAGTTACCAGAGTTTAAATTACCAAGTCGGAAAAAAGCTAAATTAAAGGTTTAAATCAAGATGGCTACATCTATTGTAGCGCTTGCCTTATATTCAGACGAGCAAGCAAGCACTAAAATAACTTTTTTAGATGTCACCATCTTGTTTCCGCCTCCAATTTTGCTTTTTTCCAACTTGGTAACTAAAACGTGTGTAACTCGGGTGTCTACAAGAGTTATTTTAGTGTTTGCCTTATATTTGGACAAGGCAAGCCCTAAAACAACTTTCGTAGATATCACTATCTTGTTTCCGCCTCAGATTTTGCTTTTTCAACTTGGTAACTGAAACGCTGGGAACTCGGGTTTGATGTCATTTTCAGCTCCGACATCTGACTTCCAAGGTAACTTGAACGCAGCATAACTCCTCACCCGACCTTCACTTTTTGTTAGTCAGGGGACCCTTGGGATTAAGTCCTGCTTCATTTGACCCCAAGCAGCCTTTTTCAGTTTCCATGCAACATCCCCTGGCTTACAACATGATGCAAAACCTGAATGTCTGTTATTCCCTCCTAAAATAGCTAACTGACCTGATATGTGAGCTCCAGGAGACAAGTCATTATACAAAATGTTTTAGAGATGACTTGTTAAAAAAAGGCGCCAATTAAAGATCTTTTTGACCACCTAAAAGACACTTAAAGCATAGCCACAGGCTTCAAGATTAACAATTCAATAAACGTACTTCTGCATGATGAAAACAATCACAGCCCTGAGTGTAAGAACATTTTCCTTTCCTTGTTCCTTTCTCTTTTCTATCCACTCTCCTCTGCAAACAGAACAGTACATTCTGTATTTTCAGGCATTAAGTAAATATCATTCCGAGTGACAGCTGTGATATTTCTGCTGCTTTTTTGATTCAGCATAACAGTTCACCTGCCCAGCATCCCTCCGTCAGAACTGAACAGAAATCAGCACACATGCTGCCAGTTCCATGCACTCTGAAATCAGCCACATTTTAATCTCTCTGTACTTGCTTGTGTGACTCACAGGCAAAGGAAGGTGCTGCAAATGTCATGTGGTGTTTCTTATCTTGTAATCGGACCATCAGGTTGTTTTACATTTCATCTGATCTTTCAAACATTCTGTAGACGGTTTTGTTTCTTACATGGAGCTGGATTAAACCTGTTATACATGTCTTTCTGTTGGCGTCAAACCCTGTCAGGTACAGTATATTACAGCTTATCCTTTTTCAACATTTAGTGCCAGAGTACCTTTACTGGTTGGTGTTGTGACTCAGCCAGTGGGAATTTTCTTGGTTTATTTTATGAACAAAGCTAGCAAAGCCGGTGTTAGAGTGGTAAAAATTTCTGTTAAATTGGTTTATCACAGTGAGATGAAAAGTCAAGTTAGCAGCCCTTGAAGGGAACTCAAATACCTCAACCTGACAGAATAGATATTTTTCGGGGGGCACCAGGTACAAAAGTTTTAGTTTTGCTCCAGCAGTCATGGGATGAGTTGTAACAAATACACTTTTTCAAGGGAAAATACGACTACAGCCAGAAAAAATGTGCTTTCTTAAATCAAGGATAGGCTCGAGCGTCATTAAAACTGTCTATGGAAAGTATCCTTTCAGATATAGACCTTTGGGTCGAGGTAAAGGACAAATCTGGACCCAGTTGTTTCACTGCCTTGAAGCCAAAATGTATCTTTTTTCTATGTTTTTAATTCATCTTTTACTGAGACACAAGAAAAACTGAAGGGGTTATATCTTAACTGACCCGTGTTTGAGAACTTACTTTACGTTTATGGATTATAGTTTAATGTGCTTATCTGGTACTGGCCCCGACTCAGTAAATGCTATCTATAGTCCAGCAGAATAGTATGCTACATGCTACAGACAGCCGTCTCAACATTAGTGTCTCATCAGAACTGAAAAACAGTCAGTCTGGTGTTGTGTCAGTCTTCTTGCTTCCACCCGGGACGCGTCTTCCCCCCCCCCAGAAAGTCGCAAAATCGCATCGGGCTTGATGTGTATAGTCAGGCGCGTCAAAATTCTCCTCTAAATATTTCGTAATTTTGCGTTCTATATTCACGTCGGCCGCAGTGTGTAAGGACCTTAAAAAAACAGCTTTTTCAGCTAGTATAGCTGGTTTTGCTTCCACTGGCTGCCGTAACCTACAAGAGAAAGCGCCAAAAAGTATAAAAGGAAAATAAAATATAGGTAGAATACAGATGTAAGTACAGCAGAATTCACCATAAAAATACTGCTTAGTAAAGTCCCTCCACTTCATTAAAATCCATTCTGCTCTCAGACAATGAATTACAAACAATAACAACACACTTGAACTAGCTGCAGATGAGAAGGAGTTTCCATCAGAGCAGAAGTGGATTGATATCACATTTTTAATAAGAACCAATATTCCCTCTGTCAGTCTAGCTCCAGCATGCAAATTGAAGCCGTATTGAACCTCATCTTTGATCGAGTAATGAAGAATTCAGATCAGTCCAAGTCGGGCTGTCTGTCTCTCCTTCGCAAAACCTCTGGAAGACAGGAGAGGAAAATTTTTCCACACATACAGCAACACGCAAACACAGAGTGAATATAGTGTCTGATGTTGTCAAGCTTTCACCGACAGAATTTACGGCTGGAAACACAAGGGAAGAAAAGAAAGAGGGCAGGAGGTATAGGAGGAGATGTATGGAGGAAGGTAAAGTAAAGGAGGAGGGGATGAAAAGGTATGTGGTGGTGGGGGGTGGTGAGAAGAGGAGATGACAAAAAGATAAAGAGAGGAGAGGTGATGAAAAGATGTAAGGTATGAAAAGATGATTATGATTGGGATAAAGAAAGGTGGAATAATGTGATGAGAATGAGGAGGAGGTGAAGATGACAGGTAAGGGAGAGATAAGTGGTAATAATGGAAGGAAACTGGACATGCTGAAAGGAGGACACAGGAAAGGAAGCAAGGAGAGGAGATAAAAGAGGACCTCTGTTGTCTTTTCTTCCCAAAACAGAAAAAGAAGGAACAAGGATGGAAAGATCAAAAGAGGAAAGAGAGAGTAAAATGGGAATGGTGATGAATAAAGGGAGAAATGAAGAGGTTGTTGTGTGTTATGAAAAATAATACTAAAAAGGAAAGGGGGAATAAAAAGATCTCAGGCTGAAATAGAGGATTAGGATGAAGTGGAGGAAGAGTAATAGAATGATTAGATGAAGAGGAGGAGGTGGAGGAGGTGGAAGAGGAGATGGCAGGTTGGGTAATAGAGAAAGGTGAAAAAGGGAGAAAAGGAATGAAAGGGGGGATGAAAAGATCTCAAGTAGGGAGGGAAAGAATAAAGGGCGTCACAATTGTGAGATGAGAAGAAGGTGGGGAAAGAGAAGGAGGAGAAATGAGGCTAGAAAATGGATGAAGATATGCAAATGTAAATAAAGGAGGAAAAGAGGAGCAGTGGGGAAAAGGAGGGCATAAAGATGGGGTGTAAGTGCTATGAAAAGAGGAGAAAAACATGATGATGTTACATGAAAAAAAGACGATGCAAAAGAGACAAAGAGTTGAGAAGAGAAATGAGTAGAGACGAAGAGAGGAGAGGCGAGCTAAAGAGAAAAGAGAAGGGTGGGAGGTGTAGACAGCATACAAGAAAGGAAGGTGACAAAAAAAGAAGAAAAATGAGGAGAGAAGGAAAGGATGAAAATGCAGCAAACTAATGAGGACAAGAGGAGGAGAGGAGGAAACGAGGAGAGGAGATGAAGGAGGGGGGGCTGGAAGGAAAGAGGGAAAAGATCTGCGATAGGGAGGGGAGATTAGGGTGAAGAGGAGGAAGGGTGGAAGAATAAAGACATGAGGATGAGGGGAAAAGGAGAGTAGTAAGGAAATACTGGTTTTTCATGTGAGGGGGAAAAGATGAAAGGTGGGAAGAGAAATGAAGAATGGAAATGAGTAAAGTGGAAAAAAGGGGGAAACAAGATGAGAATGAAGCATGAAAAACTTCCAGTTAACCTACCACAGGAGGAACCTTTCACCTCCTTGCAAACAGCCTATCTGTCAGGTCAGCTGAGCCTCTGATTTGCCACTTTCTTACCTTTATGTATTTAAAACAAATGCATCCAGCAGCTGCCCTGGGAGCCCTGATCTATTAACACTGAACGTGTTTATTTCTGCTCCAAAATTTCACTTTTCCTGCACGATATGCACATGGTTTCTGGTGCTCTTGCCTCAAGTGGACACTTCGGGAACTGCAGTTTTTAGCACTTCTCTATCAGCTTCATTTCTCAAAACTGGAGGTTGACGCTTGGATGCTCTTTAATGTGCTCTTTTCAGCGCAAAGAAAAAGGAAATCTTGCCTGGAAGTGGTTTATAGCTCGCGCCTGGCTACATGAGATGCCTGTAAAGTCGACGATGAATCCCAGCAGCTTTGAAAGCTGATGGGTGCCAAGACTGAAGCAGAAAACGAGAGGGTAGAGGCAGATATTTGTCCATTTGTCCTGGAAGGCAAAGGGTAAATGTAGCCCGAAGATAAAAGAAAATGCAGGGAGAGAAAGGAAATGGACATGAAAATGTAGGAGGTAAACACAGATGATAAATGATAGGAAAACCAAGAGAGTATGGAAATAAGGAAGGAATGTGACGAGGAGCTGAACAATTAGAAAAAGGAGTGAAAGGTGGCAAAATGGAAGAAGAGAAGAGGACACAAGAGTCAACATGGTGAAAAAAGATGGGAAAGGAGGACAGATGGAGAGAGCAGAGGAGGATATTTGCATTTTTCACCTGCAGTAAAGACTGACAGACAGAAAAAGGGGAAGAAGGGAAGGAAAATGAAGCTTCAAGAAAGCTTTTAAAAAGGGAAAAAATAGGAAGAATGGGGGTAATGGAGGTTGTAGTTAAAAAGTGGACAAAAAGGAAAAAGAGAGAGAGAGGGGGAATGAGAATTGATACAGAGGAGGTGATAAGAGGACTGGAAACCGGCCTTTGGATCCGTCTACACTCACCAGACCAAACTGGTGAAAACCAATCCCCATCAACATGACTCCTCACGTCCTCCTCCACCTCCCTCCTTCTCCTTTCCTCTGTCACGCCCTCCTCCCTTCTTTTCATTTCCTGCCTCCTTCTCTCCTCCTCCCTCCACCCTTCCCTCCCTCCATACACACCGTCACCTGCTGGTTTCCCCACACAATCAATTGATTACAGCAGCACTTATCGCCTCTGCTATTGAACGCTTACTTACCATGGCACACAGTCACAACACTCATTAATCTGCATTTACCGCCAAGTGTAATCACTTCTCCCTGCAAAAAGCTCATTTACACATATTTGCAGGGAAATTCCTGGACAAAGTGAGATTAAGGAATAAAAGAGGAGGGGAGCGGGGGGGTTACTTTTGTTCCTTTCTTCCTGGTCTTTGTGGTGCTGGTGGTGCTTTTTAAATTATGAGGTGGGAATGAGCGAGCGAGGAAGAAATGCATGGAGAGACAGAAGGAGAGAGGGAGAGGCTAGACAGACTAATCTGTGGCTTCAATAATGGATGTACCTGGAAACTACTGAACCATAGGGCACTACAAGACATGACAGTGTGTGTGTGTGTGTGTGTGTGTGTGTGTGTGTGTGTGTGTGTGTCACCTCAAAGGAGAGGGTGAGGATTTCAACCTGTTTATGCATGATTGGGGTGTGTGCGTGTGAGAATCAAGGACGTGCATGTATGAAGGTGGTTATGTATGAATGTAAAAGTGTAGGCTAGTCAACCCCCCCTCACACCTTGTCTCCGTAGCCTCCTCTTCTTCAAGCCAAATATCCGGACTTTAGAGAAGATGTCGACCAGGTTCCCGTTGCACAGCCCCTGTTTCTTGCCGGGGCTCTTTCGCCGCCGGTGGGTCGTCGGTCGGTGGGCGTGTTGCTCCCTCGCCTGTCGCTTCTGCCGGATCAAACCGCTGGCGATAGCCGCTGCCATGTCTTCGCCGAACTAGCCGACACCGACACAGCAGCAGCACCCCACCGTCTCCGTCCGTGTCTCCGGTCTCCCTCAGTTGTGTCCACCGGAGGGGACGGAGCGCACACAAAACCAGACGCAAGCCTCTCCGGTCTCCGCTTTTTTACCAGCTATAACCGCTCCATACTTCAGCTTCAACGGCGTAAAGTCCAAAATAAACCCCTAACGTTAAACCATTGTCCCCAGGCCATTGATTTATAAGCGTTTACCTGTCCGTCACGTCTCACCGGTCTGTCTGTCAGTCAAAGAACAGCCGCTGTCACTGAACGGCTCCTCCAAATGGCTTAACCGGACGCGGTGTGTCACTTTGTGTTCCCATGGTGAACAAAAGAGATAAAAATGTCTTAAAACGGGACTAAACCCCCCAGAAAGCCGCTCTCTGTCCTCTCTCTGCTGAAAACGACCGTATTCCACTGGCAGGAGAAGCGCGAGCCGCTCCAGGGGTGTGGAATTAGCGGGAGTTACCATAGGCAACACCGGAAACTGGGCGGTTTTCGTTTCAAAATTAAAGCATACAAGACTTTGTTTTACTCAATCAGCAGCAATCACTTGACTTCAAAAAGCGTTTTTAAACATTTTCATGTCATAATTTGAGGTTTTCCTTTTTCACAGACACTTCTGTATTTGTTCTGTCGTTGTAGGCAACTTGTTGCTGCCATCAAGTGGCCAACACCTAATCTTAAATTAACTAAAAATAAAGCTGCTTTGTATGCTATGGAATGATCACTTCTACTATTATGCAACTAGTATAGAATAAATTCACTTGTTTAATACCATCTTTTGTGAATGACACCTTTTACACTCTTATTTTATCAACCAAATTCAACTGAGCTGTACTGGCTTGAAAGTCAGAACGTTAGGTTATTAGGCCAAATAATAGTGGAAATATATAGTAAAAGGAAAATATAAATAATATTATTTCAAAGTGCATTGTGTGTGTGTGTATGTATATATATATATATATATATATATATAGATATATATATATATATATATATATATATTCTCACACAAACACACACACACACTGTTAAATACCGTGATCGCGTGAAATAGTGTTAAAACGTATATAAGTTATGGATGAGATGATTTGCCACTTTCTTACCTAAGATAAATTATAAATAATAGAGTGAATTTAGCAGTTCCTCTGTATTTTGGCTCCAACTGAACTCAGATTTATAACCTATTTAGTGTTTAATATCATTACTAGGCAACCATTAAAATGTCTATAAAAACTTCTCATCAGTCTTACTTGAGTACCTAATCGAATTCATGAAACATTTCAATCTAGTTTTGACATTTAAGAGCTCTGAGTTATACTCTGTGTTCGGCTATTATTTTGAAAGGTCCTACCGGAAGTATTTATGAATGTACCTGTTCTGTGCTTGACAATGAAAGGCGCGAGCGCTATGAAAACCACACTGCTGCCTGAGCCACGCGCCGAGCGAGCAGCCTCACACGCGCTCTCAAAAACAACCTGTTAGTGAACAGGTGTGTGTTTGGGGCGTGGAGGACGACGTCACCGTTTGGAGGGCAGATGGAACCGGTGTTCTGTCGGAAAATGCTACCCATCAAAATGGGCTCTGGAGCAGATTTTGTCAGTGGGGGACATCTGTCTAAAATGCTTCCTTTTCTCTCACAGTGTTACTGGAATTAGTAGTGGGGTAATTTAACGTAATTCTGCTCTTACAGGATGGGTGACTTTTGTCAATTTTAAACATTTCTCCTAAGATCTTAATTTTTTGTATTAAAGTAGGCTATTAAAAATGTCCACCGACACTGAAAATGCACATAGTCTAAGTAAATAGCAGCCAATCTTAACAGAACACTGGTCCTGATTCTAGGCCGTAACAAAGTAGCCCTGAAGGTGGACTTAACAGCCATCTGTTTGAGCTCTTCCAACTGACCTTGTGGGCCACTGTACCTAAACAACCATGCTTTGAGTTTTTCTAAATTTCCTTTTTTTATGGGGTTTAGTTAACACCAGACAGAGAGGGATGTTTAATTTAAACTCAGTCTTAAAGTTTCCAGGTTAACTTAAAACTTATTTTACCTTTTTTGAAACCCTCACATAGAAGATTTTCCTTTTTTGAGTTTTTTGTGCACCTCGAATATTACATCAGGGATGACAGAAACATTTTTCACACCAAAATCAGACAGTAAGGCAAATAACTCTTGTCATGAGTTTTTTTGCCTTAGTATAGTCTGGTGACCTTGGACAGACAAATGTAGCATTTATTCTGGACTTGAATAGAATCTTACTTTTTTTTTTCAACCAGAAGCTGCGGCCACATTAGTTTCCTCAAAGTCACCAGACTCCATTGGCAAAAGTAGCTATTTAATATCTGTGGGAGAAGTACATCAGTCTACAGTTGCCTTACTTGGTCAGTTAATTTGAGTTATTTTGAGCTAAAGCCTTTTTAAGTACTCATGTCACGTGAAAATAAACAATAAATAATTAGAATCAGAAGAGGTGGCGGAAGATCAGCATCTCCAGTGTTACTGCAAAGGTAAAATTGCCCTTTTTCTCTATGACGTTTGGTGGCTTTAAAGAGAGGGATATCTTGACTGTTTTTGGTTTAAGAAAAAGGTTAAGGTCTGTGGGGATGCTATGTGAAAAGATGTCAAATTTTTAAAATAACCCAAATCTGAAAGTGGAAACAGCGGGAACGATTAGTGGATATTGTAGAAGGATTGTGTTGCATCCATAATGGCCTAGTTAATGGCTGCGACTGAGGTGAACTCCTGAAATTAAACCAAAAAATGTGACATTTGTTAACCCCAAAATAGGTCCTGAATCAAATCAATGAACCCCCTTTCAAATATGTGTAATTTCATGCTTCAAAAACAGAACTGCAATTAAATTTGTATTCTTTTTTCCACGCACCATCCCAAGAGTCAGAAAAATAAAACCACTTCAGTAAAAAATGAAAATTAAACATAGTCTTAAATCTTGAACAGGCTGTTTTCTGCAACTTGTGCAACCTTTTCTGAAAGACCTTGTTTCTCCATTTCTTGTTGAAAACTTTCATATGACTAATTATGTTTCAGAGTGACAGGCAGGTTAGACAATGAGGCCGCTGTACTCGTTTCCTCATCCCACTCAATCGTACTGTCTGTACCCGGCTCATGAAAAGCTGTCTGACTGAGTGACTGAATGAGTGAGTGGTTTAAAAATGCAGGAGGTGGGCTAGATGGCGGGCAGATAAACAGAAAGCTGCCTCACATGTTCATGTTCATGTGTGTTCAGCTGTAAGGCTATACTGCAGGTCTGAATGCACTCAGATTTCTTCCATGATGTAACAGTATGTGAGGAAGTATCAGGTGCAGCACTGTACTGAGGAGGCGTGTTCTGGCAGTTTTAAAAGCTCTACTCTGCAAATTTGAACAATTATTTTAAAAAGTTCTGCTCTGATTTAAGTTTTGCCCAAATTTCCTAAGCCAGCATAAATTTGTCTTTCCAGTGCAGCATGTAGGTCAGTCGCCTCTCTAGAATAAAGCGCCAGGCGGGCAGGGACCCAGCTGGACACAAAGAAAACTGAAATGAAATGTCCATTTCTTCTGGGGGAACTGATATCAAAGAAAACCCCAAAACCTTTCCAATTTATCTGACCTCTCCATGAATAATGGACAGCAGGGTTTGGCTGTCGTATCAGGGACACAATTCATCCTTTACTCCCTCCAGATACTCTGGCTGCACACGTCTCCACAGCAACGTGGGCTTCATTTTTATGGAGAGTGAGATACGTTTAGGCGTTATTTTATCATATGTGAATATTTGCAGTTGCTGCAGCATCTTTGTCTGTACCCACAGGTCAAACTTCTTCTCTTTTCAGCATGCAAGAAAAAGATTAAATACGCCTCATCGTATCAAAAATACTGCACTGTAATACTGCTTTCAGCTGTTCTGACAAAGACGGGCGGATGTATATTCCAGAGGAACAGGTTTACAAACAAGGGTTCTCAAAAACAGTCTTGATTGAAATTTCATGCAAAGTAAAAGCAGCTTCACTTTGTAATATAAAGAAAACTAGAAAAGCACTCGGCTAGTATCTATCTATCTATCTATCTATCTATGATAATTAACATAATGGAACCATATACATACAGCATTAAAGCTTCTGTGGGAAAAAAAAATATTTGTGACAGTTCTGGCGCCCCCTGTGGACAAAGAAGTCTTTACTTATCTTGTGCTGTACACGGTTAAAAGCGCTGTGCGGACTTTTTAGGTGGCAGTGAAACAGGCTGATATTCATATTCATGTCTCCTTATTCCCAAAAAAGGTGGAATCTCCAATCCCCTGAATTTTTTCCATCAGTATCAACATTTAAACCCTGTGTACACTGATATTTCTGTACTGTGGTTCTTTTTGTGTATTCTATTTGTATCAAACAATCTCAAAGGGTTAAAAGTCTTCCACTTTCTATTTTCTCTTTGTTGTGTAAGGAAGAAAAGGACAGTGGACATGCAACAGTGACTCATCATCTTAAAAAAATAATCAGATCTCACTTTCAGAGCTCAGGAGAGCTGAAGCGGGTCAGGTCCCTTAACGGAAGCAGCTCACTACCTTGGACAGCAACACGCTCTCAACTGAGAGGAGTTCAGCACCACGGACAGCAAATAGGCATTAAGACAGCAACTGGTTCATGTGGAGAACAGTTCAGCGTAACAGACAGTGAAGAAGCTCTCTATCAGAAGCAGTTCAGAACTATGGATGGTGAACGGGTTATATTGAAAGTCCAGCACCATGGACTGAAACAGACTCTTGTTAAGAACTGTTCAGCACCATGAACAGTTTACATACTCTCTTAGGGATTAACTGAACTCTGTCAAACTGTCCTTTTAGGTTATTCCTAACTGAGTGAAATGACCCACAAGTGTTTGAGTACTGACCATGATAAGAGCTTTTTAAATTCTCCAGACTGGACAGCAAAAAGCTTAACTCTTTCCCCGCCAGTGACGAGATACTCCACCAGTCAGTGTCTTCAGTGATGGGTGTGGGACAGATGAAATGAAGCAGTGGGCTCTGCTAATATTTGTTGATTTATTACCAAAAACATCGTATACTATGCAAATATTCTCTTTCTTCTTAAGTTAAGAGGGAGAGCTGTGCTTAATGTTGGGATAGACTAGAGAAGAAGAGTTAACAAAAGTCATTATACCTTATAGTGTGTGAAAACAGCTGGCCTAGAGTGCATAAGTAACTAGAAAAGCACTCGGAGAGCGCAGACCTCCGCCAAGCAGCTCATGTCCCCCTTATATTGTGATTCACACCAAAACTTTTACTGTTACGTGTCTTTTATTAACGTTTATTTGTGTTTAAACTGGTATGTTCACTGTTCATAATGTTCCTAAAACAAGAAATGCCCTAACCCGGATTCAAACCCAGGACCTTCTTGCTGTGAGGCGACAGTGCTAACCACTACACCACTGTGCCGCCCATTGGTTATCTTTCAGCATTGAAAATTCCAACGACACCCTTATTTTTGTGTGTTCTGGATCACAGTATCCAGAATTTTGTCCGGATCAGGATCAACCTTTGACACCTCATAAAACTCATTGAGATCTTTTTGTGTCATTTTTTACTAAAGACTCTGGACATTTTTATATATGACACTGATGAAAAACAGTCTGATGTTGATCATAAGTTCACAGAAACAGGTTTTTAAATCATGTAGTCAATGTGACCACAAAAAGAGGAACAACAAACAGATGAAGTCTGTTAATGTTCTGCCTGAAAATGACAAAAATACAACTTTCTTTACAATAAAAGTTTTTTTTTCTGTGATTTCTGGTGTTTGATGATGCTAACAAGGCTTTTATGAAACACAAATGTTCGCCAATCTGTGTAATTTAGATAAATAAATAAATATTTTACACATTTTTACTCACTGATAGCAAGACAGAGCCAATGGAGACCTTATAATATTCATATAGGAGGGTACAGGCTAAAATAGAATAATGTAAAACAGCCTCTTTAACACTTGTAACACAAAGTAAAACAGAAGATGACTTCCTGACATAAATGCAGTAAAATAAGGGATTAATAATCATTCATACGGTTGTTTGTGATGCATATTTAGAGACACCTTTCCTTAACCCTGCAACGTTTTCTATCAAGGTTGACATAGACAGAGGGACAGATACACCCAGGTGCTACAAAATTTGATGCATTTTTGTCCTCATGCCCACTAGGTGGCAGCAGAGTGTGTCTCTGAGCCCTTCAATGGGAGTTCCCTCATAGATAACAGTAATAATAGTGCTGGAACATCAATAACACAGTGGTGGGTCTCTGTGTGTGCTACATAATGATCTGTAACTGAGTGAAATCCTGCAGAGACGAGATGTAAAAGCCTCATGTTTGATCACGATAAAAAGCAGATGAAGCTCTGATTGAACAAGAGAAAAGCAGATCTCTGCCTTTGAGGACATCATGTTTTTTTTTATCAATTTTGTCTCTATATATTTTTCTTTATTTGTGCACATTACAGCCTAGATTAAAGTTCACATATAGACACAGCAATAGCAGCCATCTGCCTTTCTGGATCCTCGTCATCCTGCACGAAAACTCCACTGCATGATCCCACGCTTTCATTTCTTTCTGAGCTTGATATCGCTGACACACAACTATTTAAATACAGAACATTCGCCCTGACTCTTTTCTCTCAGAGAAAGAAGAGAACAAAAAAAGAGGAGTGTGAGGATGAGGAGGCGACCATGTTCGCCGTTTTATCCAGGTCAGCTCCAAGTGAAGGAGTTATGAATAAATCAAAGCTACATTTACATTAAAATTCATCTCTCCAGATGCTTTTTATAACACGGGAGCAAGGCAGCACACGGCTCTTAAACTTCAAAAGGGAGAATTCTCCTCACCCTCTTCTTTTTCATTTCACTTCTTCCTCTTTTCATCCATGCAAAAGATAAAACAGAAAAACCCACCCAATTTTTCTGCTTCATGGTTTTCATGGGCGCACAGAAACAGGAATAAACACCAAGCTTGTAAAACACAGAAACGCACTATTGTGCAGGAATACAATAAAAAGAGAGAAATGCTTCAACTGCAAATCTCTCCTCCCACGTCGTTTCTTTTCATTTAATTTTTTAGTCCTTTCTGCATGTCTGTGTGTACACAATGTTTCTGCATCCTGTGCAGAAGCAGCAGCTCCCTCTACAGGCATCAAAACATTACTGCACTCTCTTTCACACATTTCTAACTTTGCTCCTATTCTGCCATTTCTGGATTTTTTTTTTCCACTAAAACCAAAAACAAGCTGCAATTTCATGCTTTTTTTGTTTACAAGTACATCATAATCTTAATAGAAATTATTTCCTGTCAATTTCTGGCTACAGGTGGGAAATAAAAGGACTGTGCTTTCATAGATTTAAAGAATAATGGCAACTACAGTAACCTGTAAGTAAAACTATGCTAACCAAACAGACTTCCACAAATTGAAACTGGTGGGAAACATCCATCCATCCATTTTTTACCCCTTATTCCTGTTCCCGGGGTCGCAGGGGGGCTGGAGCCTATCCCAGCATCTTTTGGGCGAAGGCAGGGGACACCCTGGACAAGTCGCCAGTTCATCGCAGAGCTGACATATATAGACGAACAACCATCCACGCCCACACTCACACCTTTTGAAAGTGGCCAACTAACCTAACCCCACTTCTGGATGTTTTTGGGAGGAAACCGGAGTACCCGGAGTAAACCCACGCAGACACAGGGAGAACATGCAAACTCCACACAGAAACACCCTGACCCGGATTCGAACCCAGGACCTTCTTGCTGTGAGGCGACAGTGCTGACCACTACACCACTGTGTCGCTCTGGGTGGGAAACAAATTGTACAAAATTGAGTTTTTAAATGGAAACTCCTGCGCTCAAGCAAAGAAAAGCACATGTGCAGATTTACAAAACGGGAGCAGAGCTTCAGCTGAGGACGGTCATCATTGAAAAACATTCACAACAAAGGTCAAAGGAACAAAAATGTGTTTTCAAAAACACAAACAGCAGGGAAGTAGTAAAGCCCGAACCATTTGTTTGCAAGTTTTGGGCTTTTGCAGTGTGGTGTGAAACTCTGGCCAAAAACCGTGTTTTTAATCAAGAGCATGTCTTCAATTCTTCCATCCATGTAAATAAACCCAGTGAACTTTCAATAGTAGCACCGTTTTGCTGAAATCACGACTGTCTATGACATTTCTGAAGTGTTTGTCCTCAAACTCAGAGAAAGCAGCGCTGCCTACGCAAACAGCGAGAAGAAGATAAAAGACTTTTTGTATACAAGCAGCAGCAAAACTGCTCGACTACCTTTGGAGAACATGTTGGATGTGGGAGGACGATGAGTACTGTTTGTTTCTGTGTGTTCGACAAGAGCCTCAGAGACGTACAGCAACAATAGAGAGTCTGAAGAAGGCCAGATGGGGAGCTGAAGAAAGTTTTAGTCACTGCTGTCAGCAAACTTTCTGCACTTGTAGCACTCTTTTTAGGCAATTTAAGAACTAAACAGTGGATATGTAAAGATTTTTGAGGGCATGAAGTGCTTCAATATATAGATTTCATTTTAAGAACTCTTGCTCTATTACGTCTTCAGATTCCATCCTTAAGCAATGAACAACTGTTAACACATAATAACAACAAAACACTAAACAAACAACTTAAAGATCAGTGGAACCTGATAACTAATCAATTGATAGTCACTAAACAGTGTCTGAGAGCCCAGTAGCGATTAGCATTTAAGAAAAATGAATGAATTCATTCTGCTTTACACTAAAGTTCATAATTCATGTAAACAGTAGGAAGTTAACTTAACTGTTTGCACTTTGCACAAAATACCTCATTTTTTTCAGCAAAAAAAAGTATTTGAAATGAGTTTTCTGCCTTTAATTCTTTGAGGAAGAGTTTAAAAGGCTCAAAAGCAGCCATTTGTTAAAAAAATAGTAAAAATGTAGATATATTACTTAAATTAACAACATTTTAAAACTTCAAAAAAAAATGTTTAAATCGTCAAATCAATCAGTAATCAGATTTTTTTCCCCCCTTAATATTTGGTATTGGCCCCAAAAAATCCATATCGGTCGGGCCCTAATTTGGGGTGCAATGAAAATGTTGTCAGTGGAGACAGGCCCTTAGAGTTTCATGTTGACACACTTTCCAGTTTTTATGTACAACTCTCCAGGATCAGTTTGCATTTATTTTGTTCTGGCTTTGTTTCTAATAGTATTTTACAATTTAATGATCGGATTCCTGGAAGTACTTATAATCTTTATTATAATATATATATATATATGATTATTATGTTTTTGGTAGCGTTGGTTAGTTTGTTTGTCTGTCTGTTAGCAACTTTACAGAGAAAGTAACAGACGGATTGACCTGAAATTTTCACCAGAGGTGCGTCTCAGCCCCAGGAGGATCCCATTACATTTTGGTGGTGATCCGGACAAAATTCTGGATACTGTGATCCAGAACACGCAAAAATAAGGGTGTCGTTGGAATTTTCAATGCTGAAAGATAACAAATGGGCGGCACAGTGGTGTAGATAGGCAGCACAGTGGTGTAGTGGTTGAAGGTCCTGGGTTTGAATTCCAGTCAGGGCATTTCTTGTTTTAGGAACATTATGAACAGTGAACATACCAGTTTAAACACAAATAAAAGTTAATAAAAGACACGTAACAGTAAAAGTTTGGGTGTGAATCACAATATGAGGGGGGACATGAGCTGCTTGGCGGAGGTCTGCGCTCTCCGAGTGCTTTTCTAGTTTGTGTATAGTATCAGTACAGAGCACAGGGTAAGGGTTTAAAATAATGAATATCAAATGTTCATCAACTTAGGAATAATGAAGCATGGCATGGTTTTTCTATCTCATAAAGTGCCACAACCCTGAGTAGAGAGCAAAAGTATATAAGAGAGTAACGTTAATTTAGCTTTTCCCTACAGCTTTTCTAATGCACAAAATGAGCTTGTAGGAGGACATCTGAGGTGAAGCTACTCCTTAAAATGTCAGGTTTGTGTGGTGAAACTGTACCAGTACAGTCTGTATTCATTTCAAATCTTCATTTTATCAGTCAAAGCCAGACACCGAGCTTTTCCCCGGGTTAACTCGTCACTCAAACAGCCTCTCTGTAGGCGGTGCTCATGCTAATTAATGTGCACCTCGTGTGCAAACACAGAGACAGCAACAGGTAAACACTGAGTCCTGACTCATAGTGTCATGAAAGAGGAATAAACGAATGTGAGTGTGAGTGGGAGGCGAGTGGAAAGGCTAAAAATGAGGAGATGGAGGAGAAAATGGAGTGATAGGTGGAGAAACAGAGGCAGGAAGGGAGGAACAGATGTGGGTGGGTGTTCCCCAGACAGGAGTGTGAGGATAGCCGAGCAGGATGAGTCATAATTTACACTCAGACACCCGCCCACACACACACACACACACTAACACACTAACACAGAAGCACAGACACGGGGAAGTCCACTGTTACCTAGGTAACGAGTGATTAGTGACGCAGGTGGATTTCCGAGCGGAGGAGAGAAAACACCTGCTGAATGCTGAGAGGACGACAAATACACACTCACACACTAACACACTCACACACTAACACACACGCACACTAACACACTAAAACACTAACACACACACACACACACACACACACATCTGGCATCAATTACATTCATCGCTCTGCATCTCTGACTTTTATCTCTACTCTATCAGCAGGGCTTTTCCTCTCTGTCTGTCTGTCTGTCTGTCTCTCTCTCTCTCCCTGTCTCTCTCTCACACACACACACCTACAAAAACACTCTGTTCCTGGCCTTCATTCTTTCCTTGTTCCCTTTCCTCCACCCTCGTTTTCTAATCTCCTTCTATCTTGTCTCCTCACGAATGTCCTTGGCCCACATTGTTGGCACTCGTCTCCTTTTATGTTTCCTATCGCCTTTTTATTGTCTCCTTTCTTGTATCTTTCTTTATATCTCCTTTCCTCATCTCTTCTCCTTTCTTGTCTCCTCCCTTCTTGTCTTTGCTATGTTTTACCCTCTTACCTTTCCTTTTATTTATTCCTCTTCTCTCCTCGACTATCTTTGTAACATCACTAACTCAGCAGGGAGGAAGAGAGAGGGAATAGAGGGACTAAATTATTCATTTACACCCCTCTCTTTTCTTTATGTCTGTCTGCTGTCTCTATTCTGAATCCCCCTCTCTTTCTCTCCCTCTCATTTCTTTCTCCTCTACCTTTTCCTCTCTTCATGTCAGGTATTAACTCCACGCCGTGGGGATCAGAAAATTACCACCTTATCTTCTTGTATTTCAAGCACAGCCACGGTAAAAATCATAGAAGTGTTTCTGTTTCTTTATATTTCAGCCTCAACACGTCTGCAGGAGGGTTTGAAACAACACATAATAACTACCAACCAAAGAGGAAGTTAAAAATAGTTTTCGTGTCTTCATTATTATTCATTCAGGTTTTTGCTGTTGAGCCACAAAAGAAAACAAGACCATACCTCTGACCAGCCAAACTTGATTAATTTCTTTAAAACGAATGAGTTATACTTATTTTCTGCTCTGACGACAAACATGCCGACAGACAGACAAACATCTCAGTCTCTGGTTCATTTCTCAGCCATGATCCTTTGCTGCATGTCTACCCCCACTCTCTACTCCCCATACTTCCTGTTATTCTTCATCCGTTTTATCGTAATTCAGCTAAAGACACAGAAGATGTAAGAGTTCCATAAGGGAAGTAAAAGGCTGACATTTCTCCTCCTTTGTGAGGCACTTGGGCTATCAGTTTTTCCAAACATGAACTTTGAACAAACATGAAGTGGATATGCTCCATTTCGTCACAAAATTACTGCGTTAGTTTACTGAGGTCAAGAGGGCAAGGATTGGCCGGGCTACATTAAGAGCACCCTCTGCTGGATCATAGCCAAGCTACTTCAGGTGGCCTCATTCGCTGGTATTCTGTGGTATTGTGAGTTTGAAGGACTCAGAATTTAAACTTTCAAAGGTCAAATGTTACTTGATTTGTAACCTCAGGTAAATCTTGTTTTCAGACGAACAAACAGCGCAGTACATGCAACAGGACATACATATAAAGTGACAACAGTGCGCGGGGGTAACATATTAAAATGAATCAAAAAAGACCAAATAAAACTCAGTAAAACCAAATAAAAACCAAACAGCTCTCAGGGTTTCTATCCTGTGTTAATTCGCTCGATAGCTGATGGGGTAAAACTATTTTTGCACCGTTTGATTTTACAGGCCGGTACCTTGAGCCTCCTGCCTGATGGGAGCAGCTGAAAGTCCTAAACTTCAACCCCAAAGTTTGAATTTAAAATAAAAGTGATGGCCACATGAGGTTCTGTTACATGTCTGGTGACTTTTTTTCTACGTGTTTTTCAGTCAGTCATCTGGACCAAGTGTTTTTGAATCCCAGATTCACCTCAACAATCATTCAGAACCTCCTGTCCTCTTGACACCTCTCATATTACTAAGTGTCCTGTTTTAGGTCTTCAGGGACGTCTAAAGGGGAGTTTCCTTGGAAGTGTGGCTCTGATAATTCTGCTGTTGCTGCAAATCTAAAGTGTGAAGTTATCATAGTGGAGTCGTGTTAGTCATGCCTCTTCCCTCAGTGAGCGTCTGCTTGATGTGTCTCCATAAAAAGCACAGTCTGCTCTTTTCTTTCTGAACAATGCAGTGTCTAATTGTATAAATGGTTCCTAAGGTTACTGTGAGATACTTTTCTCTCAACTTTCGGATTTTCCAATTGAGGTCAAAGGTCACAAATAGCTGCCAGAGTATGAGCCTCATCTAATCAGTAACAATTTTCCACGCAAAAGTGATGACGGTTGAAAATGGAGGACTTCTGCGTCAGAGCGGTTACATAATTGCTCCAGATCTTTTCCCCCCAAAAACGTCTGAACTACAGATGAGAGGAGGAGGAGGAGGAGGAGGAGGAGGAGGAGGAGGAACTGCAGGGATGTGGAGAGGTAACAACAGACGCTGAGGAGATATAGGTCAGGAATTCATTTATATTATACACAATAAAGAAAATGCAAAAAGAGACGGACTAAGAGAGTTTTGGGAAGTGTAACTCATCACTCACATTAGAGAAAACCTGCAGCTGGAAGTCCTTCAAAGATTACCTGAACATGAACCGTGACTACGTCTGCAAAAACAAAACAAGAAAACAGTTTTACGCATTTACAGCCACGCATTAAAATCACATTATCTCATCCTTAAGCGTCCTCTTTAAATCTCTTTCTACATGGATTATGTCGAGGAGTCAGTCAAGTTGAGTTTCATAAAACCACTTTATCTTCTCTCTGTAATCCAAACATGTCCTTTCTACTTAACCCACACTTCACCGCTGCATCTCATACCTGACTTCTACAGCTTTCACCTGGATCAATCGCTTCTCAGGGGCAGGTATTTTGGAGACCGTCTGTACCAAAAATAGCTCTGCACAGGTCACCCGAGCAGCTGCTTTTCCTACCTGTAATTAGGATTATAATGAGGCTGCAAACTGTAGTGGTCGCAGTAATTACGACGAGGAAAAAGCATTTAGGGTGGCAGTCAGGGGTGATAAATAGGTCAGACAAACCGAGAGAACAGCTTGAACTTTATTTGTTTTCACATCAGACAGTAACAGGCTCCGAAATATGAGATTTACTCTTTAAACCTGCTGCTGTTTGTGCACTTATATTCACTAATTCATGACAACACTTAATAATAAATCCTCACTGTGTGTCACTGGTTTATCTTTTTATAGCTTTACCACTTAATGTTTTAAGATTTAAACCCATGGAATAAGTACATTTGTGTCCATTCATCCATCTAATCGATCCATCTGTCCATCAATCATTATGAAATCATCTATCAATTGAACCCTGCCATGTATTTATCAATAAATACTGATAATAATAATATAAACAATATCAACAACAACAATAATAATAGTAAAAACAATAATAAAATAATAATAATAATAATAAAACAATAATAAAAATAATAATAATTATTATTATTATTACTACAACAACAACAACAACAACAACAATAATAATAATAATAATAATAATAATAATAATAAAAATGATAATAATAATAATAAAAACAATAATAATAATAATAAAATAATAATAATAATAATAATAATAATAATAATAATAATATTGATGCATCAGATTTTACGTAGTGCTTTATCAGTGACCTCAAAGCGCTTTATATTGGAGACATCATTCATTCGCTCACACAGTCACACCCTGGTGATGGTAAACTACCTTAGTAGTCACAGCTGCCCTGGGGCAGACGAACGGAAACATGCCTATGGTCTCTCTGACCACCACCACCCAATAAAAGACACGTAACAGTAAAAGTTTTGGTGTGAATCACAATATAAAGGGGGACATGAGCTGCTTGGCGGAGGTCTGCGCTCTCCGAGTGCTTTTCTAGTTTTACATGTATTAGTCATCAGATCTATTCATTTATCCATCAAGGCGATCCAGACTAGTTCTTCGTTAGATTTATCCATTCAATAATTCATCCACAGTTCATTGAATCCATTCATCCAGCCATAAGTCTTTAAAGCTCCTTTATCTCCCCTCTATTGTCGGTGCCTGACTCCAGGACTCAAGGTAAACAGATGAACATGCTCTCCTCTCCTCAGGCCTGACACCCTTGTGCTAATCCATTCATACTCACAGGCTTTCCCTGGGAACCCTGCGACTGAGCCGTCATCAGAGACATCTAATACTTCTGTCAATACTAATTTATGCACTTTGTCTCTGTTAAGTGCTGTGATATGGATCTGAAAGCTCTCACCGTCAGAGAGGAGGATTAAGTGGTGTCACATTAGCTGTAGTCTTTCAGCCGAACCACAACTCCCAGTACTCCGCTTATCAGAGGACGGTACTTTCCGGCGTAATGGCCCTTTAATTAGTCATGACAGTGATTTTACTCATGCATCTATGTGTTAACATCTCTGTAACCTGCTGGCCTCTTTGCAGTCAGTCACTCTGATTTCATTTGACACATCACACTCGATTTCAATAAAACCATTTTTTTTGCTGCTGCAGATTTTAACAGTTTTAACACGAGTTTCTGAGCGACAGTTTGCAAATAATTACAATCTGTCAACTATCTCACCCACGTCTCCGTAAAGAAGGAGTCTAGAGCCGACTTTTCGCACGACTCACTGAATAAGACCCCAGAATAGTTCTTTATTGAGTTCTGAATAACAGGAACAGAGGGCGTGGGTTGATAATAAGACATGAGAAAACTTTGTCACGTCTTTATCACTCAACAAAAGAGGCTGTTTTGTCTTTAATGCAACCCACATCACGCTGAGCGAGACTTAAAAGCTTATTTTGTCTTTGTCTGAGTGAAACAAACTATTCTGGGATAAAAAGTTCAATTCTGTTACTTTAACTTTGCAGAGAGGCAAAAAAGAGGAGCTCTACACGTCTTTTTTTCTTTAGGTTGAGAACAGAATAGGAGAGAAGTGGATAAGCCACACATCTGCAGCTATGGCACAGAGCATTTTGACCTTATCAGTTTCATATAAACACACACATCACTGACAGCTGTATAATACAGTCCTGCAGACAGAGGCTGCAGAGTGACGCCTGACTTATCAGCTGCTTTAAGAGGCCGTTTGTGTTTAAGTGTAGTTGGGAGTGATACATGTATACGCTCTTTATCATGAGCTGTACCAGAATTAAGTTGCTCTGTCAGGTTCAAGGATCATAGAAAATAAAATAAACCCACAAAATGGTCCTTTAAAACTTGTTTAAATGTGTCCAGTACGGTGAATTGGAGTATTTTTGATTTCCCAAACTTCTCAGTCATATCTGTGATCATGTACCCAGACTAACTGCAGAGAGTTTCATGCATGTCAGCTCGGGCCTCAAACTGAGGTGGCTGCATGAACACAGATCCTCACACACCGGGCACGATGCAAATATACAACATGAAATTATGAAATATTCTGAGGCGAATTTTGACGCGCCTGACTATGCACATCAAGCGCGATGGGATTTTGCGACAACAAAGGAGGAAATGTCTTATCCACAGAACTATCCAGAAAGTAGGTTTTGATGATTTAAGCGAACATGCTAATTTAATTTAATTGTAACACGCTACGCAAACAAAGACTTGTACCCCCTCTGAGATCTCAGATGCCTGCTTTAGGGGGGACCTGGACCTCATGTAGGGAATGGTTGCCCTAAAGAATTTTAAAACGTTTCTGCATCCCTGCACAAATGTGCAGGAAGAAGCTCTTTTTTATTTGTGTGCACCTGCTCTTCATCCCTTACACAACCACATCATACAGACCGGCAAATACTGAAAACGTTTGAAGTAGAAAGGAAGGCAGGAGGAGCTGGTTTTTAAGCTTTTCGTTTACCAAGAAACATTCAGATCATCATAGACTTGCACATTTCCAAACCAAAAAGGTCTTTTGAAGCACAGGAAAAGGTTTTGTTCCCATTTGGCATATTTTTAGTGTAAACTTCTAAAGTTGCAAAAGGACGACGAGTTAAAAAAAAAGTTTCATCAGGACAGTAATGAAATGAAGCATCTCAGGACGGATGCTTACAGCTGTTCAAAGAATAAAAAGTATCATACCTGGTAAAGCTCTACCCAGAGCGGCCCTTATCCTCCTCTCTGCTACTCTCAGAATAAACTCGAAGTCCATAACTCAAGTCCACAAAACTCCCCCTCATCAGACTCCTCTCTGAAAACTCCTGTTTAAAACTCTCCAGACATCTGAGGTAAAGAAATTTACACACCGACACGCAGACTGATAAACGCACATACAGAGTGAGTGGGACAGATATGGCGATTATGTCATGGCTGGGCTGTCATCGAGCTAAAGGTTAGCACAGACGAGTTAAGACTGAAAGTGTGTGTGATGGAGAGGTGGAGCGGAGGATAGAGAGATAAAGACGGGAGCTTTACGGCGTGAGAACATCCATGATGTCAGCTGCCAAACTTTGACTTCGGAGTTTATTTTTACACTTTCTTTAGACGGATTAATATTTCTGTGATTTAATTTTAAACAACAAGCTAAAGGTTAAATTTAAAACCATTAAGACGCTGACAGTCAGGAAAGAGACGCTAACTTTGAAGCTACATCCATCCTCATCAGCGGGGGTCTAACTGCCAACATGATGCTGTAATGCTCAACTACCTCGATGTAAACAGACACAGATGACTGTTTGAATCTGGTAGCATGGCGTGGTTTACCAGTATTTTGATTTGGAAAGTGAAGATGAAGTTAAACTGTTAAATAAGTCAATGTTAAATGTCTAAACCAGTCTAATTTTGAGTTATCACTGTTAGCAGAGCTTCCTGCAACAACGTTGTTTGAAGCTTCTATGAGGAACTTTCAGCTTGTGTAGGGTGACCATACATCCTCTTTTACCCGTACATATCCTTTTTGGGGGGTTGTCTGGCTTTGTCCGGTGAAGTTTATAAAATCCTTCAAATGTCTGTAAAATCAAATACATGTTTTTAGTACAGGTATAAGAGTGAAAGCTTTACTATGGCAAACCCACGCTGCCTCCCCATAAATGGACACGATAGATTTGAAAAGGTGAAAGAGTGTGTAAAAGGTCTCGGCTCGATTGGTTTTCTTTGGCAAAGAAAATCTCTGCGTGATCCTAAAGAGAAGTACAATAACTGGTATAGTGACTGCGTATTGGTCCTCCCCAAAATGAGCATTTTTTATGCATGGAGTCAGAGAGGGAGAGAGTTGCTGCCGAGTGTTTCTCTGCTTCTTATCATTCAGTCTGTGAAAACACTTCTTCGCTGAGCCTTTGATGCCCTGCTGCTTTTTAAGTGCACTTGGAAAAATAACACTCAGCACTCACTCTCTCTTGACAGAAACCTGGAGCGAGAGCTGTCCAAACACACACACACACACACACACACATCTCCTTCCTCACCTCTGGTCTGTTGCTCATTGCTTCATTTAGAAAATTGCAGTGTTTCCAACGCTGAGAGTGACTCTGTAATCAACGGTAATGATTTCTCATCATTTTGATTTTTTTTTTTACTTAGTTTGACACACTTCAATCTGCATAAACTCACAAATTCACTGTTGCTTTTAAGCAGAGATAAAACCATGTGGTGGGCGGTATTTCAAGTTTTAGTTTCATGACATTTCCAACAGGCAAAGGTTAGAGGATGAAGGTTCGGATTGGCACTTGTCTGAAATGAAGAGGTAGCTCGAGCTGGCACTTGGGGACATGAGAAACAGACGATTCTTCTTCTTCTTCTTCTTCTTCTGACATGTTTTAAAGTTTTAAAATAAGTTTATGAACAAGAAGAAGACTTTGGGATTCTGCAGCCAAAAGGACATTGAAGATGTTGGTCCACCACTACCTTAAACAATTACACCTCCACACATACTCAGACCCTGGACACTCCACGAATAATAGAAGTATTTGGGCTTTGACAAATACGTCTTCAGTTCATACATAAAGATTTGGGACTGGATGACTAATTTCTTAGTCATTTTAACATAAATATTAGCCCTGATTAATCAACTCGTCCAAAGTTATTGAAACACTGAAAAAAAAAACTGTTGAATATAATCTTGTTTTTTTGTGCTTAAAATTTGTACATTAAAGACATGGTTGACAATTGGAGAGATTGGTAATTATTATGAACCTCGTTTCTATGGCGATCATGGTCCTAAAGTGTGATCTCCACAAAGTGAAGAGAAAAAATAATGGAAAAATTCCGTTTACCCTATCAGGTACAGGGCTGCAAAAACATTGACCAATGGGAGCCATCCGTCCCAGGCAGCTCCTATTGGTCAATCTCCTGCTCTGCCTCTTCATTTAGTCACCTCGCTGTATTCGACACGCCCCTCACTAGTAGTTCGACTTGTCCCCTCCCACTCTCCCGGCCCTTCTCTGAGCTCTGAGCGGCTAAAAGTAGCATAGCAGCTTGGCTACAGGAGCTGTGATGGAGAAGGACAGAAAAAAAACACTTCTGCTTGCCCCACCGCCAAAAGTGCGAAGACAACGCAAGCCGACAGAAGAAAGGGCGGAGACGGAGATGAAACACCGTGAACGACGCAAATATACGGCACGAAATTACAAAATATTCTGAAGAGAATTTTGACGCGCCTGACTATACACATCAAGCATGATGCGATTTTGCGACTTTCCGGGAGGCAAAAAGACTGTGCATCACCAAGAGAAGCTTCTGAAAGTCGCAGAAATTCAGAGTTTATATCCAAAAATCTGCGAGTGGATTTTGAGTCTCTACCGTTACATAAACGACAGTGAACTTTCTGACACAGGAGTGATCTTCAACACATTTAGGACTCTGAATATTACATAAGAGAGCGCTTCCTCACCTGCAAAGTTCATTTGAGTTTGGTTTGTTCTGGTCCGATTATATAAATGACCTGTGTGTGTCTGCAGAGTGTGTGACGGGCTGACAGCTCTGAGCGTGTCAGAGACGTGTGTGTGACGTACATGAGAGTTCAGTGAAAGCAGACAAAGTCATAAAGTCTTTCTGCAGAGTCAGAGTGTTTGGACAATGAGGCCACGAGCTAATGAATTCACACACACACACGCGCACGCACGCACACACACACACACACACACACACACACACACACACACACACACACACACACACACACACACACGCACACACACACGTACAGTAAAGTAAAGTTAAAGTTAAGGCAGCACATTAGAGCGCTGCAGCAGCACCCTCCATGTGACCTTAGAGGACAGACATCACGTTGATGTGTGTCACTTTTTTGTCAACTCATCACCTTCACACACTGTAGCAGCACGCACAAAAACACACACACATATGCACAAACACACACACAGTTAGTTTCTGCACACTGCAGGAAAACATGAATTACGACATGCATTCGATGGCTGGTTTCAGTATAATTAGATTCTTGACAGGATGGAAACGGAAATAAAATCTAAATATATTCAGTGAAATAATAAATGCATGATGTGTGCATGTGCATGTGTGTGTATGTGTGTGTGTATTTGACAAACAGAGACAGATAGGAGTTGGCATGAACCCCACATCTATACTCCAGGGTTTGAATAAAATATAAAGTACGACTCCTTAACGGCAGCCCTCAGGAGAAGGTGAGTAGTGTGTGTGTGTGTGTGAGTGTGTGAGAGTGTGTGAGAGTGTGTGTGTGTGTGTGTGTGTGCCTATGTGTGCTATGAACGGTGAAAGTCTCAATCTGGGTCACGCCACACGGGGACAAAGACACTGAGTAACGTTGTTCCTTCTTCCTTTAACAATGAATGAAACTGATGCCCGGTCCCATGAACAGAACCTGAACTCCATTCACACAGAGGGAGGTCCTTTAAACTGAAAATTACTTCAGACCAGCGGGACCCGGTCAGGATCCAGGGACTTAAAAGTTTGAATCTGAACCAGAATGAGACGGATTTGGAAATCCACTTTTTGGATACAGCGGTTCAAGTAATTCCATCAGATGTTGAGGATCTTTATAACAGTTATTTTAGCATCCTTCAGTTCTTTTATTACAGTTAAACATGCACAAATGTTGTCAGCTGGGTTCATGTAAAGTTATAAATCCACTAAAGGTTGGCCAGTGAGTGACCAAGAAAAATGAAACGACCTCCAACCAGAGCAGACAGGCTCTGTGGCTCTTTTTGGATGAACCCAGACTGAGCAAATTCAACCCTTACATACTCACACATGCTCTCATCTGTTCACGCTAAACAAAGCTATATTTCTCTCGTCCCTGTGGACTTCCACTAAAGAGCGCACTTCAGAGGAAAAACGCAGACAGAGGCTGAGCCAGCAAAACCCAGCAGGTCCATATATCTCCACCAAGTGTTGCAGAAGCTCACATATAAACACTTCACACACGCAAGGAGGGAGATACATTTTCTTTAATTAAAAAGTGTGACGTCTAAATGGTGCAGGCAGCTACAAATCTGCACACAGAATAAAGAATGGACTCTGGATCTGACTGGGATTTGTTTAGTCTGAATTAACTTCATCACATGAACTCTCGTTAGTCCAGGATGTGGTGTTGAAAGTTCTTTTCCGTCTCAGCTCTGACTTCATTTCTCCTCAAAGATTTATTTTACATTGAGAAATAAAGAAGAGATGAGATAATATCTAAACGTTGGAGTACAGCGCAGCAGAGACGCTCACAAAGCCAAGGGGAAAAAATAAATCTTGCCGCTTAAATAGGTCACAAATTTGGGAGGAAATCTTAATAAGCTGGTTGTGATCAGAGCAACTCCAGCTGTCTGCCTGAACTCGCTCCCAGGTGTCATTTCATCTCTGTTCTATCATGAATGAGTGAAATTGTGAGTTAGTACATGCTTGCTTTGTCTCTGAAGAGGACTTTTTGTAGGGCTGGGTGATACGGCTTCAAATCAATATCATGATATATTGAGCAGTTAAATGGACGATAACTGCTCCACAAGGTTACTGTCGTTAATTTCGGTATCTATAAACTTTTGGTTTATCGCCCAGCCCTGACTTTTTGCACCTTATGGGTACAAAAAAGGTTAAAACGAAGCTTAATAGGAGGTTTTCACTTGACGTCACTTCCGTGTAACGCGGCATGCGCGCAATACAGATGGAGGGCAGGAAGTGAGTTGCTGCTATAGAGACCAGCAACATGCCGATGTTTTGCTCCGTTTACGGCTGCTCGAATCGATCAAACAGGGAAAAAAACAAGAGCTTTTATCATGTGCCCAAAGTAGTGTTACACAAAGGGGAAAGATATAAGAAGCTGAATGAAAAACGCCAGAAAAATGGCTTTTTAATGGTAGCGGCCCCCGTCACGCCCAGGTCCGGTCTTCTTGGAGTCGGGTTGTTTGGGAATGCAGCCCAAAGCGGGTGGTAAACTCCATCTAAGGCTAAATACCAGCAAGCATCTAAACCGGCGCAATACGAGCTTTACCGCATCTCCTCCATTGCAGTCAGTCGCTTCCTGCCCTCCATTTGGTTATCGCGCTGAGTCAGGATCACTTGACTGAAAACCTCCTATTGAAAATGCTTTTCTGGTCTGAGTTTGATCAGTCAGTCTTCCTGTCGACGTGAAGAGTAGTAGCCTACAGTATATCTACAGTCTTTATTCGAGACATTGACATTTTCGATTTATTCAGCCTTAATGAACAGATTTTTCTCATGTTCTTTAGAAATAACACAAACACCAAAGTGAGTTTGCAGTGAAACTATGAATTAAACGGTTACACTCTGCATTGTTTATCTTCCTGCATGTATATCACAGACTTGCACACATCCTCTAATAAGCCAGCCTGCTAGCTTTGAGCCGACTCATGAAACAAACAAAGCAGAGCACAATAAAAAGGAATAAAGCGCAGACAGAGCGCTCAGAGGACATTAAAATCACAAACTGTGGTTTGGTGTTGGCAGGCGCTGAAAAAAAACTGAACATTTGAGTACAACTGTTCAGCTCTGTGAAGCAAATGAGTCCTTTCACCTGTGCCAGCACATCAATATTGATCCTGTTTCCCTTGTTTTCACCTTTAATCTGCCAGATTAGAGGTTTATCTTTAGAGCTGGAGACTCCCTGCTGCAGCTTTTCTCACAGATTCCTCTTCAAACAGAAATAGCACAAAAAAAGCTGAAACATTTGTGCATAAATCACAACATTATTTCTCAGGGAAGAGAGCTTGGATTCAAACCCCGGCTCTCTTTTATATCTGCATGTGAGGTTGTTTCGAAACCTGTTTGTCCTTTTTACACATCAGCACCAAAGCAGAAGGACAGTGCTTTGTAATCACTCAAAAAAAAACAACTCTTCAGCATTCAGGGCTAAAAAGAAGACACAGCATTTAAGTCTTTGACCTCATCACAACCATCAGAAAATTCACTGCTGACTGTTTGCAAATATTTACTTTGCATGAACAGATAACAGTTAAAGTTCAGGGAAACACAGAAAACGCTGAAGAGTCAGCATGCAGAGAAATCTGCAGGACAGAAACTTTTCAGCACTTTTTTTTCCCTGTGAAACTTTTGCAGAGGCTTTTCAATCAAAGCACCAAAGTAAGAGCAACAAAGAAACTGTGGAAGGTGCATGGTTTTGGTCACCTGTAGGTCCTTGCTGTCACCTCCAAGAACTCCTACTTTTGCAAACATTTGTTTAAACGCTGCAAACATATAGACACTGATGCTCCAAACCCTTAATATTCAGCCATATTAAGACATATTTACAACTGTTAAGACACCAGATCTACAAATGTTGGCTGTATCTTTGCAAAAAAAAAAACTTTTATGTCACATATTACATATGAAAAGCCAGATTTCTACTAAATTAACCATTTCAGGTTAACTCCCGAATGGTGAAAATATTTGTTATCTTGTTTTTCCAACTTGATGTAAAGTTAAAAGGCAAATATAATTTATGGTGGCCCAGGAGGCCACCAGCACATACAATTCATGACACAAAAAACATTTCAGAAGACTAAAGTTTCTAATTAATCACAAAAACATTTTACGAAACTGTATAAAATTTCAAACGTATTAAATGCTCCCCTAAATTGAACAAACTTGAACAAACTTAACAAAGAAATGGTTAAAAAAGTTCCTTATAACATTTAATAATTCAAAATAAAACATGTATTTGTGTCCCCTGAAGAGTTTGGACCCATTTAACACTCCAAATATTGCTTCTGCATGGCATAACATAACTCCAAGCTACAGACTTGCCTGTGAATGCAACTTCCAAACTGGGATTGCAACTTTAAGCGAGAGCACAATGCATCAATAACTTCAATAAAGCAGAAAGTCTTCATATGTGATATTCTGCAAAACATGCAAAGTTTCTTGAAGAGATGCAAGCTTGAGTTGTTTTTGTCTTTACAGTCTTTATTTACGACTAAAAGAGCTGAAAATGTCTGATTATAATCCAGCCTGAGAGCTTTAATCCAGTCAGATTATCCATAAACAACCAGGTCCTAACACACCGAGTGGTTCGGCTTCATTTGCACATTAAAACATGATATGTGACTTTGAAAAAGTTGCCTCCTGTTGCCCTCGGAGCACTGTGGCCAACTCTGCTGGTGCAGTGTCAATACGCCAATAATGTCAACAATGTGCACTTCCTGATGCAATGCAAATATCAATCTCTGCCCTGCCCTCGCTCAGAGCGGAGGAGGGAATAATGCAAACCATCAAGCTGGGCCGAACCTTTAATGAAGCCTTTAGATCTAATAAAAGTGCAGTCTCTATATGAGAGCTGGGAAAAAAACAAGTGGGGGTGGCTGGAAGGAAAACAAATCAAACTTCTGAGCTGATAAAAAACTGCTGGGGAAGTATATTCTGATCTGCAAGGCATGAAAAGCGAGTTGAATTAACTACCAACATGTGTCTAAATCCAGTTTAAGCAGACTGACATGTTGCTCAAGAGACTGCCAGTCATGATCTGGGTGAAAAAGTTGCCCTGCATGACATGTTTATCAGAAAAGGGAGCGAGTCTGAGTGTCCTCACGGTCTGAAAAATGTCTGCAGCCATAAGAAAAACCCCGGAGTGTCCTGCTCTCCAGTCAGAGCTCCACAGTGGAAGTCTAAATAAGGCCATGTGCTGTTTAATCATGCAGGTTAGTGGAGCCTGAACGGGTCTGCATGCTGCATTAGACTTGATTTTCTGCAGCATCTCGACCACACGCACTCTTGTTTTTTCTCACTGTAGTCAGTTTCTGTGCTAATAAGTTATGACCCCCCCACACACACCCTCCTCCTCCTCTTCTTCTTCTTCTTCTTCTTCTTCTTCAGCCCACCTCCCCCCCAATCATACCCCTCTCCCCTCCCCTCCCTGTAGTGCACACACTTGCTGCACAACTGCGATTGCAGAGAAACACCAGTGCGGAGGGAATCCACGCACACACGCAATAAAGTCTTTGTATCACACCCACACAAAGACGCACAGACGCGCAAAAAAAAGACATAATAAAAGAAAAGAAACTCACCAGTTGGGTTCTTGTTTTTCTTGAGGCTCCTGCCACAAAGACACTGCAGCATATGCGATCCTTTGCTGAAAATGTTGTTCCAAATAAACCGCATGGATTTGGCCGAGACGGGGGAGGAGGAGGAACAGGAGGTGGTGGAGGAAGAGGAGGTGGGGGACGAGAGGCGCTCCGGATGCGGCAGCCTAAAATTCACCCATCGCATGGGGGCTGATCCGCCCCCCTGTTTGCATGCCAGCAGAGCCGGCCAGCTGTTGGGCTCAGTTCGGCGGTGCTTCGGCCCCCCAATCTGCACCATAGACAAGAATAAGAGCAGGAAGTCCGGCTCGTCGCCCGGTTTCTCGCCCGGTTCCCCCACGAGCCCAGAGACCAGCAGCCGCACGTATTCCGCGTCGTTGTCGTCCTCGTGCGGCAGGAAAAGAGCAACCGCTGCGGTGCTTTTCTCCGCGATGTCCGCCTCGGGCTGCTCCAGCGGCCAGTGCTCCTCAGCGGTGGAGGAAGGGTCGCTGCTGCTGCTGCCGCCCGGCCGCCGCGACGTGAAAAGCCCCCGAGCGCCCCTCTTCAAACTGCGTCGTCTGCCGCGCGGCGCGGGGAGAGGAGCGGCAGCGGCGGACAGGCATGCGGCGGCGCTAGCGTGAAGTCGGCGGTACGCGGCAGCTGTCGGCTTCTGCACAAAAAACCATTGCATATTAGTGAGGATGGCAGGGGGTCGGTGCGTCCGTCCGTCCGGGAGGGGGGAGGAGGAGGAAGAGGGGTGGAGGGGCGGGGGTGCAGATGAACTGGGAGTCCGTCAGAAAGTCGGTGGCATCCCTGTTTCCGTTCAGCAGGCAAGTACTGCAGCAGGGGGCTTCTTTCCAAACACACACACACACACACACACACACACACACACACACACACACACACACACACACACACACACACAGACTGGGTGCAGAATCCTCCTCCGGCAGCAGCAGCAGCAGCAGCTGTGGGTCTGTGGTCTGAGGTCTGAGGTGGTCTAGGGTAGTCTGTGGTGGTCTGTGGTCAGTGGGGCGCGTGGCCCGGGCAGGTGAATCACTGCAGGTGCTCTCTCTCTCTCTCTCTCTCTCTCTTTCTCTCTCTCTCTCCTTCTCTCTCTCTCTCTTTCTCTCCCTCTCTCTCTGCTCTATGTGTTTCTTCTTTAAAAAGTCTGATGAATATTTGATCCGCGGTTCGGCCTCCACTTCTCAATAATCCATAAGCTCCAATGCGCCAAGACACCGCCGCTGCCGCTGCTGTCTGCCTCCTCTTCCTCTCTGATCCTCCTCCTCCTCTTCCTCACCTTGCTGATGAAGAGGAGATGCTGGACTTTGTGCCTCTGCTGTCTGCTGTCTTAGGAGGAGGAGAAGAAGAAGACCGGGTCTGGCTCATGCTTCAGCGTCTTCTTCAGCAGCGCTCGAGACGACCGACGGCCGGTGGGGCGCGAGGAGGTGCACTGACTATCTATAGCCAACCAGCAATTAAGTTGGACTGACGGAACGAAACAGATTATCCGGTTTGCTTCACCAAAATAAGAGCATATATATATATTTTTTTTTTTTTTTTAAATCAAGTATGGGTAACACTGTACAATAACCATAATTTATAAATGGTAAGCAGATAGTTTATTAATGTTCAATCATCATTTATAAATAGCAAATACACCATTAATAAATGGTAAATTTTACCATTTTAAAAACCTGACCCTAACTTTACGATAACCATCTAAATCATTGTAAGGATGCCTAGCCCATGTTCACACTTTAAAGGTCCTTTCACACCGGGAGCGTTTTTTTCGTGCGATTATTTCAGACGTCAATATTATTTTCCGAACCCGTATCCTGTCAATACACAGTTCACATCAGCGACGTTTTCTCGTCCTGCGATATTGCGGCATTTATTTTTTCATATCACAGTCAAATTTTCTAAAGTTACACATACTGTGTGTCCACTTCTGACCAATCAGATTGCGTGTTTTTGCGACGTCAGATTCACCGGTATATCCAACATGGCCGACCGGCTGATTGTTTACGTCTCGGAGAACAGAGTGATTTTTGATAAAAGACACAAATATTACAAAGATAACGACCTGAAGGACAACTTGTGGAGAGTCATAGCGTCGGAGTTCTCATATGACGATGGTTTGTGTGCTTTAACAATTTGTTAAAGTCTTTGTTTTAACTTTCATCTGTGCGAAGTAACTTTAGCTTGTAAGCTAACTTGTTCAGATACAACATACCATATGTACAAGCTATTTTGGGAGCCTGAGTGATGTTAAAAATGGGTACTAGGTCCTTGTTGAGGATGGTTGTCGGAGGCCCATGGCTCCAGAAATGTAGCACCAAAGTATCTGGGGTATTTGAGTGACACAGCTCCACCACCCTAAAGGCTGCCATGACTTGCTAAAGAAAATCACCCTAGCAGTAATGTTTACAGGTGGTTTAAAAACCACATATTAACCATTTACAAAGTGCTACTGCCACACATGTTAATCTAGATATTTAATAAATAGCCCATTAAAAATGAATCAAAATTATTCATCATAATTTCATTGCTTGTTAATGGTTAAGTAACCATTAACTTACATTAATAAACTATCTATTTACCATTTATAAATTATGGTTATTGTAAAGTGTTACCCAAGTATGTTCTCATGTGAAAACTCTCTACACCAAAGAACTTTTTGTGACTTTTATTTTGTACCTTAAAAACATTATCATTCCTGTCTTGTATCTTGTCTCCTACCCTCTGATTTTGGTACGACTCTTAATTTGAAGGGACCACCTCTTTCCGTTTATTTTGCACCTTGACGCTGCTTTACTTTTGGGGAGCTGCTCGCAGTTACGTAGACACGTGGTTCCCACTCCGTCAATATCTGGACTGACTGGAACCGTAACCGGCAACATTTGGTGAAGGGGGGGCGAGATGGCGTCACTGATATGGAAACGAGAACACCACATCGTACCTGAGACTCCCTTCACTGCATGAGCGAGGTGCTTCGTGTCGGATCCATCAAAACACCGTGGACGAATCAGCCACTTTCCCCGCGCCTTTTTTCCCCTCATGGTGCATGTGCACACCTGTTGCATAGCTGTTTGATAAACTGGTGTGTTTACAGTCAGATCGGCTAGAATGATTTGTCCATTTTACGCATTTTTCAGCACAGATTAGATTCTCTATGTTTGGACATATGTTGTTGAATTACATGATCGTCGATGTAACTGGTGTGTATTCAAAGCAAACAAACACCAGCATGGTTGCACTGTTTCTTTTTCAGCTCCTGAAAACACTGCAGCATTTCCAGCGCTTTGATCCGCAGTGTTCTCGGGAGCTGTCTGTGGTGCTGAATCCACATCCACACTCACGCTACGTTAACTCCTGCGCGGGAAACCTCATTACCAGATAACCTTAATATCCTGTTGACATGCATACGAGATCTCGACAGTATAAGCGACGTCCCTGACCAATTAGGCAAACAAAACAAAAAAAAAACAGCAGAAACGCCGATAAACTTATTCAACTCTGCAGGTGAAAAACACTAAAGCTGCATCGTTTCACTACATTTTACTGGAGGGGCTCGTTAGAGATGTCAGTGAATGATGGGAAATGTTTGAGGGAGACAGAGAAATGTGTCTAGAACACACAGCGTCAAGTCCCTCAGAGCGTTTTGGCATCTTGAAAGGCCTCTTTTTTTATAACATACCATCTATTCTCCAGAGATAGGTTTGTGGCTCATTTGTCTGTGAAGCGAGAACTTTATAAATCCTGAACAGCACTTCTTTAACAGAGGGAGAGAGAGAGAGAAGGGGGCGGGGACTTTTATGTATAAAGACTCTTTGATGTCTGCAATGCAATAAAGTTCCTTTTCTAAGCTTACACAACAAAATACAGGTTTGGACGTCAATATTTTTTTCGAACCCGTATCCTGTCAATACAAGCGTTCACATCAGCAACATTTCCCGTCCTGCAATATTGCATTTATTTTTTCGAATCATGGTCAAATTTTCTAAAGTTTCGCATACTGTGTGTCCACTTCTGACCAATTAGACTTTTTAAGGAAAGACCTTTATATCTCAGCAAAACAATGACAAACCACATTTTGCGCGGATTACAACAGCATGGCTCTGTAGTAGAAGAGTCCTGCAGATAGATGATCCAGTACCCATGTTACAGAAATGTTTCAAGATAAATTCAAAAAAGCTTCTAGAATGGCACCAAGTAGTAGGAGGGTAACCGCAAACCAACATGAGCATAAATATTATACCCATCTCTCTACTTGGTAAAATACACACATGTTGAATGAAAAAGTGTTACCTTTTTACAGAAAACATACTTTTTCTGTTTACTGTGATACATTTGACTTGGTATTTGGTTGAAAATACACAAAACACAACAATGAAATCACTTTTGGGGGGGCAGCAACCCTAACTGGTAAATGAGAAACTGGAAACAGCAGCTAAATGTGCACAAAGAGTGTCACCTTAAAAGGCAAACTAGAAAATGAACTGTCTTTAAAAGGATAATTAAAACCTTTGTTTACTTACCGTTAGTTGTATCTTCCCATGATCTGCACTCATCTGAAGTCGCTCCAGATGTGTCACATTATGGAACATCTTGGTGTAGCTATTGAGGAAACAGAAGACATGTCAAATCATTACATTTTACTACACAATTTAAAAGCTTTTAATATGAACTTTTCTGTAATTGCTTCCAAACTTCACTACGATATGTGGCACAAAGTCTGTTGCCATGTTTTTAGCTGCAAAGAAGCAATGCTGTCTTTTGAAAATGGTTTACAGTTCGTACTGCTGGTGTAACAATAACTACCGCCGTTGTGCAAACTCACTTTTCCTATGAAAAATGGAGGTGAACTCTGGCCCAAATACGCTGAATAAGCTTCAGTTTGCAACAAATGTGATTGATTACTTCCTGCTTCCTCTGTTATCATCTTTAACTTTTCATCTAGACACAGTTCTATTTTTTTAAGTATCAAACATGAATCTGAATGAATTTCCTGCAGCACCGATCACCAATTATAGACAAACACTAAAATCACTCTCTGCAGCTCTGCAGCAAATGAGTCCAGGATAATGATCCTCACTAACAGCCTTTTCTCCCACTCTCTGTGCTATCGTGACATTTAGATCACAACTAGAATCATGCACACACAAAAACACACAGAAATGCCGCTCACACACAGTCATTACCCGAGGATGACTGACGCTTTGCACACTGCGAGTATTGTTTCCACAAGCTCGAGGTTGCAGCATTGAAAGGCTGTCATCAGGAGGAGATGTATCATCTGTGTGCAGCTGCATGTGTGACTGTCACACAAGGTGAACATGGGAGCTGGAAAAAGAGGACGGAAACAGAAATAGAAACGAAAGAGGCTGAAGTGAATGGATTTCATGATATGGAATTCAGTTGCAGCAAAGTTGAGTGAGTATGGTAGATCTGTAAAATATTTATCATTAATTTAATGTTAAAAATGAGTTAATAAGAACTTTTTATGATACATTTCTAGTTTAAATCACAAATGAATTGATTAAAGAATGTTTATTTTGTGCATTAGTGTACGGTGGCCTTGAAGTGCAAAACACAACATTTTTCAAATGAAATTTTGTTGTTGTGTTTTGGGAAATGTTTTAGTGTTTTCGAAATGTTTTTGTGTTTTGCTAAATGTTTTTGTGTTTTCTGAAATATTGTTGTGTTTTCAAAATGTTTTTGTGTTTGCAAAATGTTTTTGTGATTTCAAAAATGTTTTTGTGTTTTCTAAATGTTGTGTTTTGGGAAATGTTTTTGTGTTTTCAAAAATGTTGTGTTTTCAAAATGTCTTTGTGTTTAGCAAAATGTTTTTGTGATTTGTGAAATGTTTTGTGTTTTGGAAATGTGTTTTGTGAAATTTCGTCGTGTTTTGTGAAATGTTGTGTTTTGCAAAATGTTTTTGTGTTGTCGAAATGTTTTTGTGTTTTCTGAAATATTGTTGTGTTTTCAAAATGTTTTTTGTGTTTAGCAAAATGTTTTTGTGCTTTCGAAATGTTGTATTTTGCGAAAAGTTGTATTTTCAAAATGTCTGTGTTTTGCGAAAGGTTTTGTGTTTTGGAAATGTCGTCGTGTTTTGTGAAATGTTGTTGTGTTTTGCACTTCAGGGCCACCGTATTAGTGTGATATATTTGTGGTTTTCTTTGATTTGATGATGTGCAGTTTAATCAGGCACCTGAACAAATAATACGCAGTAATCAGAAACTAGGATACGAGTACTTATCATGCGTAGATGAATATGAATGACCAGATTCCTTCGTGTGCATGCAAAGACTTCATCCCCAGTAAAATCAAAACTGGGATGAGATTCATAACTGCAAGTCTGTGTAAACACACTGCAGATGCAAGATTCAGAGAAATATTTAATAACTGAACAAAAACACTTACGGGATCTGGAGACAGCTGCAGTCGGAGAAAGAAACCGATCCAGAGACAAAAAAACAAAGATGGTGTCTGAAGCATGGAGGGAAACAGAGGAGTTAGTGAGTATAATTAACAACAGGTGTGACGAGTCCAGGCTGATTAGCAGGAAAACAGGTGAAATTAATATCAAAGTTGGAGACCCTAATGAATCATTTATCTGCTTATACACTGAGGTGGCTGTAAGAATGATTCTGGTCTGAATGGCTCATTATTTTGTTGTTCACACTTTTGACACTAATTGTTTTAGTTTTGTGGATACTAAGGTGAAAGTTTTGCACAATGAGGTGCTGAGAGATGTATCAACACCTCAGATTTTCACAGTTAACGTTGAACGATTTAAAGCTCTCCTCTACCAGTATGAAATAGTTTCATCCTGAGTGTCAGATCTGAACGCCTGTTGGAGCACGGAGTGGACACCAGGATTTGGAAAAGTGGGTTAGTGCTGGGCCCGCTGATGTATTGATCTGTTGTCTGCAGCTCTCAGAGGGGCACTCAACACAGCCTGCATCCAGGGAATATCAAATGGCAACACAGCAAACCACACAATACGCTGAACCCGGATTGTAAATTCTAACTCTGATTAGCAAAGCTTTAATTTAATCTGATCCTCTGTGGTGTAAAACATGTTTCACAGCTGCCAGAAAGGATCCTTTTCCTCAAGAATCAATGAAATCCCTCGGCTGAAGTTGGTTAAATCAGCTTGTTTGCTTCGTCTGAACCAGAAAGCAGATATTAACGTTCAAAAAAAAAAGCCAAATATTTTCAAACATCTTTGTGCTAAACCATTTTCAGCTCACATACTTTCACTTTGACTGTGACTCTTTTCACTGAAACCTAAACCACCAGATCACAGGTTCTTCTCCTCATTTACTTTTACAGTTTTTGATAATCTTTTAAATTCTGTATTCTCAACAACCATCTTCCTCTCCTAAGTCCGAATTAAAATAAGTTCAGTGACAACAGGAACTTGTTTGGTTTTTTAGTTTATTGTTAATGCAGCAGCTCCACCTGCTGGTTAAACCAACAAACTACCAGATGAGCACTCCTCTTCTCATCCCCTTAATAAATGTGAATATTTGGTTGAACAGGTTTTTATTTTTCGAACGGTCTGGTTCATAACAAACCTCAGAGTTTTAGTTATGTTCCTGCATACTCAAGAATAATTTTAACCATGGATTTTCATAAATAAACATTAAGCAGATAGGTAGAGCAACAGCTATAGGCGTACACACACAAGGCAGTTATATTAAATCATTTATACATAAAACATTTAATCATTCCATGTCTGTTATATTAGTAATATTTCTATTATAGGGATAACTATAATAACATGTAGAAATAACATATATGAATATTTATTTTTAATATCATTTTTTTTTTGAAAGTTTAAATATTTTCTTTGAATTTTAAAGACTTAATTTTTAAGACATTTATTTAGAGGAATAACCTTTTGATTCATGTGAAACCTGACACATTCATTACTTTATTCTCTTGTGAATCCACTTGGATTTTTTGCTCTTGTAAATTCACTTGAATTCACAACTTTATTCTCATGAATTTACAGGATAATTCCTGTAAATTTACCGTTTATCCTCATACAGTTTACAAATCTGTGGAAAACTTGGAAACATTCTGTGACTTTGCAAATTTGTGACTTTATCTTTGAAGCATTTCTCAATGCAAACGTTTCCTGATGACTATCAGCGATGTAAACGGCAGGCAGTGTTCCTGCGGTTTAGACTCGACTTCACTATCAGTGAGTAAATATTTGCTGTGCTCTCGGTCAGGTGATAAATCAGGAGAAGCCCTTTTCGCAGATATTTAACAGAAAACTATTCGTTAACTCTCAGATTTATTTCCCCATCATGCCGTTCAGGCTGTTTGAGAGGCTCGGAGTGTGACATCAGAGAGGAAGGTGATACACCTGAACCTGGACCGTCCTCTGACCTCTGACCTGGCAGCAGCTGTTCATTCACTCAGCTCACGTCTCTCTGAGTGGCTCAGGGATCAAAAGTTCATCTGCTTAATACTACTGTTGCCATGGAAACTGAATTATCCAGTTACCCTAATTTCTTGGTCCAAAGAATCATCATGAAAATGCAAAAAAAAAATTGACTCATGTCCAGTCAAACCCTCCTTGAACTCCACAGAGATCCTCTCTGAGTCAAAGTAAACAACATAAGGATTCAAATCCAACATGTCCGACTCATCATTCAAACTTTGACCCGCGATCAATAAGAATCCCCCCACGCACACACACACACACACATACATACAGACTCACAAGGACAGAGTTAGAGCTTTTGCAGTCTGCTGGATCTGGTTCTGAAGGTTCTGCAGTTCTGGAGGTCAGGATCATGGTGGAACCAACGTTTAAACCGGCTGCTGTCCTCCTGCTGTTCCTGCTGCACGGCTGTCTGGCAGAACACGGTACAAACACGAAAACAGTTGTATTTTTTCTGCGTTCGAAGAAGTAAAATTAGAGGGAGGCTGGATTTATACTGAGGGTTCGAGTTCTGAGGGTACAAATTTACTGTATATGTAGTTTAATGAGTATTACCACCACGATGGTCATTAAAAACTGAAGTTTAAAGTCTATGAAAATGTGAAAATGATTTTAGTACATGTGCTGTTTTTACACAGATGTAATGACTGATTTTCATCTGGATGAATTTACTGTACTGTCATAACCGACTATGTATCCTCTGCTCTAGTATTTCCTTTTTGCTGTCAGAGCATTTTTCATTTCTAACTCCACTCATAGAAGGATAATGTTGTAAAAACATCATGTACTCGGTCATAAGAGCTTTGATTTGAATTGTTAGTCCTTATTCAGCTATTTGAAACATCAATATTAAAGCATTATCTTTAGAGTTGATTAATCCTCTTTTTCTAAAATTGATTTCTTCTCTGTGAAGTTTTTCTCGACAGCCAAAAGGCGGCGCAGGTGTTGGTGAGGAGCCGTCGAGCCAATCAGCTGTTTGAGGAAGTGAAACCGGGTAAATGAGATTTCTCTTAAACCCTTTTAATCAGACAGGTTAGTCCTACTTTGGCCCCATTTAGAGTCAAAGAGACCAGAAAGCAGAGGAGGGTTCAGGCAGGGGATACCTCGGGTTAGCATGTTGCTATCATGGCGACTGAGAGGGGTAGAATTAAGCTCCGTTATATTTTACAAATCATCTGGTTAGATGTTTGTGATGCCTAAAAACGTTGGATGTCTTTACTTAATGAGGGAAAAATTCTAAGTACGCTTGTCCATAAAGAGTTTGCTCAATTGGTGACATCACAAATTGGTGAATCTCCTTATAAGGCCATAACATCCTGCTCCGTTCTTTTTTCATGTTTCTATTAAATAAACACAGATTAACTTACCCCTCACTTACTGAGATTATGAACTAATGAGCTCAAGTTTTATGACTTGATTTTAGGGAATCTGGAGAGAGAGTGTGTGGAGGAAATCTGTGACCATGAAGAAGCGAGAGAAGTGTTTGAACAACCTGATAAAACAGTAAGACCTTATTTTGTTGTTGTTTAACTGTATATCAGCACAATTCGACTTAAAGTGGTGCTGAGTTCATTTACACTCACCTGAACCTTTGCTCCTCTTCAGGAAGTCTTCTGGGGCACATACACAGGTAAGTTCAGACAGGAAAAAACTGATCGCTGCCCTGAAACTCAGAATAAGTTATTAACAGCAGACGAATATGCTTTATTAATGAGTGGGTTGGCTGCTCACTCTCGATGCATCTGCAGCTTTTTATGGTTTATGTGTAACTTTTATTTTGTCTGATTCCTTTTCTTTCTGCTTTCGTTCGGATTCTGTGGAAACAAGTTTAATTTGTGAAGTTTATTCAGATGTGCAAACACGAACAAAGTCCAGAACAGACCGCACACACACAATCAGAGTACACAAACACCAAACTGTCTGTCTGTCTGTTTGTTTGTACGTCCACCTGGATCTCAGACTGTAAAGGAAGCGAGCTGCCCAGAAATCAAGACAACATAGACTTGGTCCGAAAGTGTATCCAAGGTGAAAACCAACATATTCAGCATAAACAGTAATCCCAGTTTCAAAAGAGAAGCAACGTTTATACAGAACATGTGTTTGTTTGTGTGTGTCTCTTCAGGTCAGTGTGTTTCAGGCACAGGTGTGAATTACCTGGGAGACATCAACATCACAATATCAGGGAGACAGTGTCAGAACTGGAGGCACAGCTTTCCACATCCCATAATAAGGTATCAAACTATCAAACAACAATCTTACCAACTGACCAATAAACCAGTGTTGGACCAAAAACTCTAAGAGTGACTGATTTTGATTGAGTCACTGTTGACGACAGATTAACCTGCCTGCTCTGTCTGCCTGTAGGGAGTTCAACGCCTCGGAGATCAGTGATCTGCAGGAGAACTTCTGTCGGAACCCTGACAAACGTGCAGAAGGTCCCTGGTGTTTCACCACCGACCCTTCAGTCCAGAAAGAGTCCTGCAGGGTTCCCATATGTGGCAAGTTCCTGCTACGAAGATCACCCACAAAAATCATAGAAGGATAAAGATTCAGAAAAAGGAGGTCTTTACTAAACTCTTTGTCCTTCCCAGGTGAAGCCTTTGTCCAGCCCACTTTGGCCCCTGAACCAGTCAACACTGTGGAATGTATGGCCAATCATGGTATCGATTACACCGGCGACCTGGCTGTTACCCTGGGTGGCCACACCTGTTTGCAGTGGTCCTCACCTGTGGCTGTGGCCCTTAGTCGGGATAAGGAGTTCATCCCTGAGGTTTTGCTAACAGGCAACAAGTGTCGTAACCCTGACAACGACCCTGAGGGCCCCTGGTGCTACGTGGAGGTTGCTGGAAACACGACGATGGACTACTGTGACGTTGAGATCTGCGGTAAACCCGACAATAATTCTACTGCAGAATTCTGCCCTTTAGTCTCCTCTTACCTGACTGTCCATACACCTGTCCTTCTGTCCATACACCTGTCCTTCTGTCCATACACCTTTCTGTCTCTTAGATGAGTCCTTAGTAGAAGACACATTCTTGGAAGTGGCTCAAGGTCACGAACGTTCTGTCTTGAAACCGGCCAGGAAAACATTTTTCAACCCTCGTACCTTTGGAGAAGGAGAGAGTGGTGAGTCCGTCTGACGAACTGACAACTGGATGTATCAGTCAGCTGACATGGTCAATGACTTGTTTACTGACTGGTTAACTAATACTTTGAACAAACACTAACAAGTCATCGACACCTTCCCATCAAAGCGGTGGTTGGTGAAGTGGTTAACTGTCTGACTGTGTTGCAGTGTGTGGAGAGCGCCCCCTGTTTGAAAAGATCAACAAAAAAGACAACAAAGAGGATGAGCTGGTGGAGTCGTACCAAAAACGAATCGTTGGAGGGGACGATGCTGAGGTTGCCTCAGCACCATGGTAACCACAATTCCAACAATAAAACGTCACCATAGCAACCACACTCATGACAGTCACTTGTTTGTTGAGGGGGAAAAAAATCCAAAATGTTCCCCAGATACCCCAGAACCTTCTGAAGTGATTTTCTGGGTCTTTGAGGTAGTTTAAAGGGATATTCCGGCGTAAAATTAAGTTAGAGTCAAACACACCGTAACACCGAGTTAGACCCCCCTCCAGAGATGAATGTTGTCGACCACTTGCCTCTCTAGTGATAACAACTTTAGTAACGACCGCAGGATAGCAATACACAGCAGTCTGAGGAGCCAGAAATAAACCTCAACCAAAACGCAGCTCAAGGAAGAACATTTATGATCATTTCTTCATGGAAATACAATCAGACCAAGGAAATGATAAAGAAATGATCATAAATGTTCTTTCTTGAGCTGCGACACCCCGCTGTAGTCCATAATGGACTGGCCTGAGGTCTCGCTACAAACAAGCGGCTGCTGGAAGAGAGTAGGTGAGTTGTGTTTAGTCTCTTTGCTAAAGAAATGAGTCAAAGTTAAAAAGATGTTTGGTGTCTAGTACTATGGCTGTGACCCTATATGTCCTGTTGATGAAGTTAGGTGCTGTTCTGAGCATTATTTGTGGCTATAGAGTGGCGTTTTGGTTGAGGGCGTGGCTCTCTGTATTGCTATCCTGCGGTTGTTACTAAAGTTGGTATAACTAGAGAAGCTGGAGGGGGGGTCTAACTCGGTGTTACAGTGTGTTTGACCCTAAATTAATTTTACACTGAAATACCCCTCTTGATTCTTGAGTTGGTACCTTCTATCTTTCAGTCTGGATTGTGTAATTCAGGCAAAACACTCTCCTGTTTGAGCCGACTGTTTTCCTGTTCTCTCCTCAGGCAGGTGATGTTGTACAAACGGAAGCCTCAAGAGCTGCTGTGTGGAGCCAGTCTGATCAGTGATCAATGGATCCTCACTGCCGCTCACTGCATCCTCTACCCACCTTGGGGCAAGAACTTCACCACAGATGACATCCTGGTCCGACTGGGGAAACACTACAGGGGAAAGTGAGACTTTCTCTTTGCATTCATGACTGTCCTGAATCTTTTTCCATGTTTGAACCAAACTGATGGGAATGTTTTCAACGACTTCCAGGTACGAGAAAGGGACTGAGAAGATCGTAGCGCTCAGTGACATCATTGTTCATCCAAGATACAACTGGAGGGTAAATCTGAACCGTGACATCGCTCTGCTGCAGATGAGACGGCCAATCACATTCACCGACGAGATCCACCCGGTCTGCCTGCCCTCCAAGAAGGTGGCCAGAACGTAAGGCTGACACACAGAGTCCCTGCCTGTCAGCGGACCGAGTGGATCGAACCATCTGATGGTCCTGTCTTTCTTACAACAGGTTGATGACTGAAGGGTATAAGGGTCGAGTGAGCGGCTGGGGGAACCTTCAGGAGACCTGGAACCCCTCACAACGAAGGCTACCAGATGTCCTTCAACAAATCCACCTCCCAATCGTGGATCAAAGCATCTGTGAACGGTCTACATCAGTCAAGATCACCAACAACATGTTCTGCGCCGGTAGCATTCCTGTTTATACTCAAGTGTCTCATTCGTCAGTAAATGGATAGTTTTATTGTTTAGATATTTTCATGATTTCCAAATATCTTTCCCACAAACTGTTCATGATTCTACAGTTTAGACTTTTAAGGCAAATGCTTTGTTCTCAGACCAATGACTCGTAAAATTATTCGGCCTTTTTTAGCATGTTAGCATTCTGATGACATGTTTTTTTGGGCGGCAGGATATAAACCAGAGGACGCTCAACGTGGAGATGCCTGTGAGGGAGACAGCGGTGGACCGTTTGTGATGAAGGTGAACAGACAAATCTTTACTCAGCTCATACAGAGGACATAATGATGATTTCAATCAGTTTGATCAGCATGTAAAAAACCGCTCACAGGAGCTTTAAAAGAGAAACGTAACTGAAAAATGATTTCTTGAATTTTAATCCACGCAGTACCCAGAGGATAACCGCTGGTATCAGATGGGCATTGTGTCATGGGGTGAAGGCTGTGACCGAGACGGGAAGTACGGCTTCTACACTCACCTGTTCAGGATGAACAGGTGGATCCGGAAAGTTATTGACAAGACGGGAGGGTCAGACGACGACTAGACCCAGCACCTCCTGCCGTCTCTGTCAAGTGAGATGATGCCAATAAAGTTTGTCCACATCATACCGAAGACGCTGCTGTGGTTTGTGAGAAATGAAAGGTTCACAGAGGATTTAGCAAAGGTTTTATAGATGAAAGCACGGGTACAAAAATCTCAACAGATTCACAAACAGTGAGCTCCTTTAAGATGCAGCGTCAGCAGGCTGGAGTGTCCGCCATCTTACATCTCTCTCTTTGACACGACAGTCATTCTGGGCAGGAAGTCGAGGTTCAGGCTCATATCTGCAGAAGTGACCTGCATTTACTTCAGTTTTAGGAGAAAATTCATAAGAAAAATTAAAAATCAGGCCGATCAGACTCAGCAGGTCTGGAAATATGACAAATATGGACGCATATATAGACAAGAAACTTTAACAGCAACGGACCGAGAAACTTAATCTGGGCATGAAAACGTGTGACCAAGCATCAAAGTTTGACATTTTAACTTTGCATGAAGAGATCGATAACAGTCAGATTGTAACTTATAGCTGCAAATGAACCAACCCTCCAAATTCACGCCACTTTCTCTCTCATCTGTCTTTGAATGTGCTAAATTAATCCGTCGTTCTCACCGCAGAGAAGTCGTTTTAAACCGTAAAGAATCGGATCAGAGTTTCTGAAATATGCAGAGCAGCAGTTTGAACTCTCAGGACTCATCGGTCATCTCCGCCCCCGCCTCTCCGTCACCTGTCCGGTGTGTCAGCAGGTGTCTGTTCAGGTGAGTTTTGCGTGTGTAGCTCTTTGAGCAGTGAACGCAGCCGTACGGACGGACGCTGCTGTGAGACAACATGTGCTTCTTCAGATCGAACTTCCTCCTCAAACATTTCCCGCACTCAGGACAGGAGAAAGGTTTCTCTCCTGAAACACACAGACAGAGAGGAGAGAGACAGAGGGTCAGACAAAAACACGGAGCGCTCAGGGTTTAAAGATTCAAACTGATCAAATGATCATAATGTAGGAGTTCACAGGAGTCTGCAGAAAACTACAAATCCCTGCTGGTACCTGTGTGTATCCTGCGGTGCTCAGTCAGGTGACAGGAAATAGAAAAAGCCTTCCCACAGTCCTGACAGATGTACGGTCTCTCCCCCGTGTGAATCCTCATGTGTTTCTGCAGGTCTCCTCCGGACGGCCAGCCCTTCCCGCACACCGTGCACACGTACGGACGCTCCCCTGTGTGTCTCCGCACGTGCACGTTGAGTCCCGCGAGTGCGGTGAAGTCTTTGGGGCAGTAGGGACAGCGGTAGGGCCGCTCCCCCGTGTGCGTCCTCAGGTGACCCTCCAGCCCGTCGCGGGTCTTGAAGCGTTTGCCGCACTGTGGGCAGAGGAAGCGGCTCTCGGCGCTGTGGGTCGCCCGATGCGACTGCAGGCCGGTGAGAGAGCCGTACGACTTACTGCACTGGTCACACTGGTACGTGCGGAAGGTGTGTGTGCGCTGGTGGATACGCAGCTGAGTCACACCTGAGGAGGAAGACCAGAGTTAGACCATCAGGTCCAGTCAGGGTTACACCTGAGACACCTGAACTCTGCTTTAACTTTCAAAGACATCCTTATTGCTGTTTGATTCATTATAACTGTCGCTGCAGGTGCAGGTGCAGGTACAGGTACGCTCAGGTGTTCAGTCAGAGAAGAGAGAAGGTCAAAGGTCACACTGGAGTTAAGAAAGATTCACAGATTTCTCACGTCAGTCAGAACTCCTTATTGACCTCACCTGTCCACCTGTGGGATACACTCACCTTTAAATGTCTGTTCACAGAAGCGGCAGCTGTAGCATGGCTCCGCCCCCTCCACAGAGTGCGTCTGCAGGTGTCGCAGCAGCTGCGACTGCGAGCTGAACGTCTGCTCACACACTGTGCAGGTGAGGTCAGGCAGTCGGTGCTGCAGCCGGTGAGCGTCCCTCTCTTTGGCCGACTCGAACACCTTGTTGCACCTGCTGCAGGTAAACCCGCTCCTGTCCAGGTGTGTCTGCTTGTGATTGGTCAGACTGGACAGGTGGTGGAACTCCCTGTCACACTGGCTGCACTGGTAGATGGGCCGGGCGCGGTGGCTGCGCTGGTGCGACAGCAGCTCTGCTTTGGTTTTGAAGACGGCGTTACACTGGAAACAGGAGTGTGACCTGGGGGGGTGGGGCTCTGGGGGGCTGGGCTCCTGCTCCTGACCCTCTGCGGAGGTTACACCTGAGCTGCAGGACTTGTTGGTCTTCAGGTGACGGATCACCTGGAGGGAAGAGAGATGCAGGGAGCTCAGAGTTAAAGTGATGAAGATGAAAACAGACACGGATGGACCCGGGTTTATTTATTTATGATTCTGGTCCGACTACAACATCATGGCTTTGCAGGAGAAGAGTCCTGGTTCTGCTTGGGTCTATCAGGGTTAAATAGGTCCAGGTTTCATTTCAGAAACGGGTCTCCTTGGTTTGTTGTTTTGATACAGAGACTCTGAACTTTTGACCTCTGATAGAATTCAGGTCGTATTCTGTGACCGGTGATTTAAACTCGGACTTACCTGAGACCGATAGATGAAGCATTTACCACACTGAGGACACCTGTGAGCCACCCGCCGAGAATTATGGGAAATGCTGTGGATCGCATTTGCTGACTGATCTGATTGGCTGGCTGAGAAGAAAGACAGGTGATTAAAAAAGGTGTGTCTAAGCCTGCATTCACAGCTGTGTATGTGTGTGTCTCACACCTGTGTCTCCTGATTGGTCGACTACGTTTGCAGGTGAGTCCTTCAGCCTGACAGGAAACAGATTTATTGGTTAGTCTTATGATGTCGCAGAAATCTGACCAATCATCACAGAGTCTCACCTGTCCTCCTCTTCAACCTCGGGTGTGATGAGACAAACGCTGCCGCCTATTGCTGAGCTCTCATTGGACGCCTCCTGCTCCACCAGCGACATGCCGCCACTAATCACTGTCTCCTCCACCTCTTCCTCCCGCTCCTCCCCCATCATCACCACCACCTCCACTTTAACCAGCTCCACGTCCAGCTGGAGGGGACTCACCTGGTCAGGGAGGTCTCCTGATTGGGCCACTGTGTCGGGGGGAGGAGGGTCAGGGTTGGTCAGTTTGGTGAGGAAGGGGTGGGACCAGGCTGAGAGGAGGATCTTTTCTGTGTCAGGACTCACTGAGGAACAAAAAAAAACATTTTGAAAATAATAAAAACAGAACATTCAAATGAAAATGAAGACTGAAACGTGTGTTTTCTAAAACCTGAATTTGTGGCTTGCCCCATTCGACAGCTCTGATTGGTCAGCAGCTCCCTCAGATCCTCCTTGTTGGCCTCCTGCAGATAGTCCTCCACACCACCAGGGACAGCATCGAGCCACGATGCAGCCTAGGAGTCAGAAAACTCAAGTTTAAGACTGAAGGATGAACTGTGAATGTCTCCTGTTTGTGTAAAGGTTTGTTGTGGTCGTGAAGGATTTTCTGAGGACCTGTTTGAAGTCGGGCACCGGGAACAGCTGCTCGATCCTGGTCAGGAAATCAGAGATGAAGGACTGGAGGGCGGAGTCAAAACTGGGGCTGAAAACCTCCTGAAACAAGCAGAGAACACAAAGGCTGTCAAAGGCATGACCTTTCTGCTCTGGTAGGTTTTGTTGTTGTTGTTGTTGTTGTTGCTGCAGCTCTGACCTGCAGGAGGCGCTGTCTGTCTGCTGGACTCTGAGGCAGCTTTTCTGTGAGAGCCGAAAGAACTGAACACCATCCACCCACCTCTTCATCACTCTGCTGAGACAAACACAAAACATCTTCACGTATTTGTGCTGCACTTCATATTTCTATAGGAACATCGATTACGGAGCGCCACAAGGCTCCAATCTGGGACCCAAACTTTTTAATTTGTGTATCAATGACATGATTGTTGAGTCTCAACAAAGAATGAAACAGTCAGAGACAGAACAGAGCAGAGACTGAAACAGTCAAACTTTAAACACTGTTCGATGAAAATAAGTTTTCCTTAAATATGAACAAAGTTTACTGTTTTTGCAAGTAAAAAGCTTAAAAGTTTATTTTTTTTACATTTATAGATGGAGTTAACGTTGAAAGTGTAAATGTAAATGTTCAGCCCTTTCAGTGAACGAAAGTGCTTTACAATACATAGAAAATAAAAATAAATAAATAAAAACAATAAAAAAAGAATAAAATACAATGCAATAAAATAAAATGTCACCACGCTACTGGGTATTTGAAGCCAGCATAAATAAGTACACATTCAATCAGGATTTGAAAATGCCCAGGTCGGACATAAGTCTCATTTCGGTGGGGAGTTTATTCCAGAGCCTGGGACCAGCGACTGAAAAGGTTCGGTCACCCCAGTGTTTGTGTTTAGACCTGGGCACCTCCGGCAGATGTTGATTTGACGACCTCGGAGCTCTACCTGGCTCCCGAACAGTTAAAAGCTCAGTTAAATAGATGGAGATGAGGCCGTTAAGAGCTTTAAAAACAAACTTTAAAAGTTTAAAATCAATCCTAAAAGAGACGATGAAAGGAGCTAAGGACAGGAGTGATGTGCGCTGAGTGTGTGTCCTAATTTAGGTTTTAAAGTTTGGTTACAACATGATACACACAGCTGGGAGTCTCACCGTCGCCCCTGAGACGGAGTGGATTTTTTCAAGGTGATTGTGGATGGCCTGTGGGTCAGTGTCACCAAGGGCCACCTGGAGCAGGGGGAGAGTAAAGACATTGTAGTCACCTGCTCATACCAAACAAACATATTATAACACACATTATTGATTTACTGAGTGATTTTTGTGGGTAAAGGTGAAAAACTTGCATGTTTTGGCTTTAGAGGGACTTTTAACCTCCGCCCTGATTTTAAGCTTTAACTGTTTCTCGATGGAAAGATGGCATGTCTTCACTCACCTTTGCCCTCAGCGCCAGCAGCAGCAGACTCCTCTGTCTGTCAGTAAGCAGCTGTGGGACAGCCTCTGTTACCAGGGAGACAAAGTCCGCCAACATCCCATAATGCTTCACACTTTGATGCTGAGCAACCTGCCACATCGCCGCCGTCAGCAAGCGGAGGGGAGGGATGAGGAGGCGCAGAGAGGAGAGGGGGAGAGAAGAGGCTGGGAAGGAGAAATAAATAATACAACATTGATGCTATTTACGGATCATTTGACCTTCCTTTATCGCTTTCATTTACCCAAGTTTCACTGAATAATAACCGTTTTGTTTCTGTTCACATAAATGATATGACTCAGAAATGACAACTTGGACAAATCATAAATTTTACCTCTTTCACTCCCAACCAGATCCTGTCACTAAATCTCCAAACTTTAACGATAAGGTTTTAATCACTTTCTAGTAAATTGACAAACTAGTTTACATGTATTGAAAAAGGCCATGAAGATAGTTAATTCGGCATGAGTCTGGAAGAAAATGTGAATTATTTTAAAACGAAATGCCACATGTTAAAACCTTATACTGATCAGACTTGCACTTTAATTTCACTACAGTCTCATAAATTGTTCATCACTTCAAGATTTGGTTATAAATGGGTCAATGATAGTGTTATTTTGCAGTAATTCAAGAAAAAAAATGCGACATCTAAGAAGAGCAACAAATGGTACTCTGTTATGAAAGGCACTTGCACAAAACGACCTCATGTTGAACATATAAACCCTGTTTCTAAACGGATTTTCTTCCAAATTATCACAACTAAGCGTTTGAAACTTACGCCGAATTATACTGTTGTCAAACCTAACCCCAAGAACATTTAAATCAGTTGTATTCTTCAAACCATTTTTCTGTCTAAAAGCAAAAGTTTCATTTGTGACTGATTTTTGAGCGGAGTTTGGTGCACATCGCTCTGTGGTACAAGTTAAGCTAACTGGCTAACCTTTGCTTCTCGGCTAGCATGACAGAAAAGACACAAAAAATCCGGATTAAATGACAAAATATTTCACTGTAAGAATCCCAAACACATACCCATTCTTTTCTAAATGTCACGTTTGCTCCCGACGCCGCCTTTCAGAATTAACAGCTAACTACTGTTTACACTGAAGCTAACACAACTCCGCTCCGACCGCGATTACCGGTCTCCAGAACAACCGCTCTCATCAATAGTTCCGCATTGACAGATTTACCCAACAGTCAGATTCATGCAATAAAAACGGCCTGTCCAGTGGGTTCACTTCAACCTCAAGTAAGCGAATTATAATCTCCCAGTACACCCCATTAAAATTACATTTCACAGTTTTTTTTACACATTTTTAACGTCTTTAAGTATTATTTTTAACATCTTTAAGTATTATTTTTAACTATAACACTACTCTACATTTTGTTTCAACAGTCTGCAAATGTCCGCTTTTATCATGTTGTATCTCATTTTTAGCAGTAAAATTCCAAATAAATAGAAAACCTCTCCCCTATCTTATGATCCATGTTCATACACACAATTTTCTGAGTGTAATTATTGACAGAGACGAGCTTTATCAGAGCAAACGCTCAGAGACTGAATTTAGAGAATTTTAAAAGCTTTTCCTTCAGGGAATGTGACTTTAAAGTACTGCTATTACCTCTTACTTCCTGTGTGTGTTTGTGTGTAATGGCTTGAATGGAGGTTCAAGGCTGCGTGTGCACTCTAATGGGTTTATGTTTACCTGCCCGCCTCCAGATGCCGCTTGATTCACTCCATTAGAAAAACAAAAAAAGGTCCTTCAGAAAAAAATTAAATAAAAGACTTGACTCTGAGAAACATGAATCACCGAAGCTTCACTCCAGCTCAGCGGAAATAACACAAACACACAAAACACTCAAGGCTAAGTGACCAGTTTGAGCTCAAGTGTCATTAATAAAAAAAACACACAACTTTGTGTTTCTGAAAGAATATAATGGTTCAATGATAGTCACACACATTTTCAAAATAAAAGATCATATTCAAGCATTGTTAGGTAAGAAGCATCTACAAAGAATTCAACTCAAAAGATAAATCAGGATGGAGGCCAGGTCCTACAGAGACCACAGAGTGTCACAGAGAAACTCCTGCTGGGTTTAGATTGTCTCAGGGTGGACAGTCTGCAGGGATTAGAGGAGACCCTGAACCGTGGAGCAGCTGAAACTCTGTATATCGGGCAGAAAGGCAGAAACTGTCCTCCTCTGTCCCCACAATGATAAATATGTTCCTGTTTAAACTGCTTGGAAACGTGTTGTTGGTGTCAAATCTAAAATAAAAAGTGGACCTAGAGCACCAAAGAGCATCCAGGTGAGTGGAATATTCCTCACCTTTCTGCAGACGTCTGTTCGAGGAGATAAATCCTCTGCAGATCATCTTCAGTGACGCTGGAGCTCACACAAAGAGGAGGCGCTGCTGTAAGTGTGTGTGTGTGTGCAGGGAGGTAACTGTACACCTGGACTCACAGGTCTGAATCCTGTCCTCTCTCCGATGATGACATGTCAGCTCGGTGTTAATCTGACAAAGCTGCCCGCTGACATTTAGCACAGCTGCAGCTCTGAGGAGGAGGAGGAGGAGGAGGACCCTGGTCTGTTTGGAGCTTTCAGTTTAAAGATCTTAAAAAGTTTTTGTTTTAGTTTCTAACTTGGCTAGAAGATGAAATCTTTACTCTGTAGGTTTGTACAAACTTTCAGTCCAATTTAGTTGAAAAGCTGCAGAGAAACAAAGGAGACATGTTGATTCAAAGAGCAAACATACACTTTAAATCTAAATAAAACCTGAAAAAAGGAATTTCTCTGATAAAATCTTTGATGGATGAACTCTCACACTCAGGTCGGAGATAAAAACAGAGAAAACAAATTCTGTTTCCTTCAAATCTCAGATTTTAGAGCCGAGGGACCGATATGGAAAGAGTGACTCGGGGGCTTAGGGGGGCTGAAATGTCATTGATTGTCCATTTTCAGGCGGCAATGTGTGTTCGCCAGCATGAATACGTGTGTGTGTGTGTGTGTTTGTGTGTGTGTGTGTGTCCTTGGCAGACAGGGTATAAAAGTCGTCCAAACATTCAGAGCATCAGACGAGGGGAGAAAACGGCAGAAACCGACATCAACAGAAAACAACAAGAGGAGAAGAAGAAGAAGAGACAGGACGGTGTGGTGAGAATGACCATCATTAATATATTTGATATGATTTTATCTAGTTTAAAGTTTAGCCTTAAATAAAACTGTATTTTAAATATTTTCTGCAACTTTTTTACTTCAGAGATTGATGATAAATGAAAAAGATCAATCAGAGCTGAGCTGCAGAAAACTGTGTGAAAGACAAAAAACTTTAAGGTTTTGAATAAGTTCATGTTAAAGCAGGTATAAATAAATAAAAATCATATTTGATGTTAAAGCAGGTATAAATAAATAAAAATCATATTTGAAGTAATATTGAGATTAAAAACTTTTTAACAGCTAAATAAACGCATCAGATTTTTTTGTTGTATCTGAGATGTGAACACTAATACAAATAAAATAAACTAACGCCTTTATATTTTCCTTGGTGTTCTCTTCTCTGGTTGGCCAACAGGAGAATGAGTCCTGCGTGGCTTTTGGTGGCTGTGGTGGTTGTGGGCGGGGCCAGAGGAGCTGTCAGTCCGTGTTGGGAGCATCCGAGCTGTCAGGATTTGAACTCAGAGAGCGGCATGACGGTAAAACAAAAACGTACACAGAGTTGAAACAGTCAGAGAGTAAAAAGGGTTTTTTTAATATTTATTCTTTATCTTTATAAAATTATCTGCTTTGAGTTCAGTTTTTTTCCTCGTTGCTTTTCTCTCAATCTAAAGGATGAGTTTTTGTCTTTTCTCTGTTTGGAAACTGAAAACAATATTTTCTTAGGAGTGAAAAATGTCACAGGATCCTTCAGTGGAGACAAATAAATGAGGAGTAATCGATAATCTGTAATCAACCATTAATCAGTCAACAAAGACGATGACTTGATAAGAGTTTATCCAGGCCAAAATCAGTCAAAGTTCATGTCAACATAAAAACCTGTTCAAATCCAACGGTCTGACCCCACCTTCTCACTTTAATAGATTTAATCCAAACAGATTAGATCCGTACAGATCTATAGATGACTTCAGATCAAAATCTGTATGATCATGTTCAGATTGTCTGTGATCCGTCTTACCTGTCCGAGCAGGTTTAGATCCGTCCTCTCTCAGTGTAGAGGCTCTCAGAGATGGGATTACAGCTCTTTCTTCTTTGCCACAGTTCTGCACATATAAAGAGAAGAAAACTGGATTAAACTGGACTAAAGGTTTCATTAGTGCTTTATTAAATTACTGCTCGAGTTAAGAGTTCATAAAAAAACTAAGCCCTGATAATTAACGATGGTTGGATCAATAGACGCTCAGCTTCTCTAACTTTGCTCGTCAGATTTGGGCCTGGAATATTTCAAATATATGCCTTTTGTTGCCTGGCAACAGTGGAGGAGGCTCCCAGAGAGTATTAGAGTGTGGTTAAAGAGACAGTAGCTCAAACCTTCACTGTGTCTCCTCCTCGTCTCCTCCTCGTCTTCTCCTGCAGGACTGCATCCAGCTCTGTCGCTCCGACCTCACCGCCGAGATCCCCGTCATCCCTGGAGACAACCACCTCCAACCTCCACCTCCATCGGACTCCTCCTCCTCCTCCTCCTCTCCTCAGACCAAACGCTCCTACTCCATGGAGCATTTCCGCTGGGGGAAGCCCGTCGGCAGGAAACGCCGCCCTGTCAAAGTCTACACCTCCAACGGCGTGGAGGAGGAGTCTGCCGAGGTTTTCCCTGAAGAGATAAAGAGGAGGGACCTGGTCAGTGAGCTGCTGGCTGCAGCAGCTGAGGAGGAAGAGGAGGAGCAGAAGATGCAGGAGGTGATGAAGGAGGAGGAGGAGCAGCTTGTGGAGAAGAAGGACGGTACGTACAAGATGAAGCATTTCCGCTGGAACGGCCCGCCGGCCAGCAAACGCTACGGCGGCTTCATGAAGAGCTGGGAGGAACGCAGCCAGAGGCCCCTGCTCACGCTCTTCAAGACCGTCATCAACAAGGACGCTCAGCAGAGGAAGTGAGGGAGGAAGAGGAGGAAGAAGAAGAGACTGTTTACACTGCTGACAGACAGGCAGCTGAAAGAGAAGGGGGGGGGGGGGTGTTAGTGACCAATAAAAATCTCTGAAACTGCCGACTGTGACCCTGAGTGACTGAAAGAGAGAGAGAGAGAGGTTTGGATATTTATGATCCGTGTAAATGATGTAACTTCTACCAAACATAAAGAGACGTTTGAAAGCAAAAGATGAAACCTTCACTTTTCTCCTCATTTTTCCAACCTTCAAATTTAAAGCACCCGAAGTTTCATTCAAGAGATTCTCACTATTCCAGCTGACAGGGGAACAAAGTGTTGAAATAGAAAAGAGAGTCAATAATCACAGACGTAAATATAAATGATTCTCCAAACTGAAGAAAACAGACGGACTAATAAATAAAACTCTTGAACTCAACCTCAGAAACGTTGGAGTTGGTTCAAGATGAAATAAGTGAAATAAAAGTACATGAAGAAAAAAACAAAAGATGAATAATTTATTGAAACAGACACTGAAATCAAACTGAAGATGACAAGACGAGAACGACAGAATATTTCAAAACAATAACATCAGAAATAAACGACAAACTTTTTCATTTGAATCAAACAACAAAAAAACAAAAACATTGATATCAGCTCTCTGACTGGTTAGGATGATTTCAGTCCTTTCTCTTCTGTCCTTTCCTACCTCCTTGTCTCCTCTTCTACCTGAATATATCACATAATCTAAGAAGCGTCTAATACACACAGAGGTCCGGAAACTTCATTTCGTAGAGCGGCGTGGAGCGCGGCGGTGAGTGACCGGAGGGAGATGGAGGAGGACGGATGATGAGATCAAAGACTTGGTTCAGTTTGGACTGAAGCAAAGACGTCTGCAGAGACAAAATCAAAACTTTATTGACACAGATTTGAAGAAAATGTCAGAGGGGAAGAGATGAGCAGCTCTCAGGTGTGAAGAGTCGATAACAAACTAAACTTTGTCGGAGGTTACTCACTCTGGCTCCACAGTGAGCGGCGATCTCCTCAAACGGCGCCGTCTGAAACTTCTCCACCACCTGCAGCCTCCTCCTCCGCTCCTCCTCCTCCACGCTCCCTCTGTCCTCTGCAGCGGTGAAAACAAAGACACCGCGTTTATACAAAACGGGGTTCGAGTCATCTGAGGCTGTTTCGAAATGAGCGACTGATTTCTTACCGATCGTGTTCTTGAGAGTCTCAAAGGTGATCTGCTCCGTCTGAGGCTGCAGGAGAGAGAGAGAGAGAGAGAGAGAGAGAGGTTAGACACAAAGACAGACAGAAACTCAGACAAACGTACTCAGAGGTACCTGCTGGGTCTCAGAACTGTTCTGAGGGTTCATGTCCATCTGCAGAGAAACCACGTCCCCGATACTCTTCCTCTTAGACAGACGGTCCTCATCTAAAACACACATGAACACACACAGTCTGATTATTTGCAGGACTAAAAGTACTCTGAGGACCTGGAGTCTAAAACTGTGTGTGTACCCGTCAGCTCAGGTGTGTACGGCGTGTTGAAGTGCTCGTCATGTGCGCTGTAGCTGCTTCCTGTCAGAGCCTCGCGGATCTTTGATTGGACGAACAGGAACTCTTCAGCGACCTGCAGCTCGCCCTCTGGCAGTCTGACACACGAAAACAGAGTTTGTGTTTGAGTTTTGAAAGGGTGCAAAAGTTGTCATGACACCTGCAGATCCAACGTCTGTTCATCTGTTCATCGAGCGAGTGTGTTTCCAGGTTTTATGTGAATATATGTGAAAACCTTCATACCTCGGGTTTTCACAGAACACGTCTTCAGACAGCAGGTGAGGGGCGTCTTTCTGCCGACTCTCGATCACCTGCATGAATACAGAGAAAAGTCAAATCCAGAGACGAGGCGATCTTTATTATCAACAAAGAGTCTGCTCACCTCAGTGACGTGCTGGTACAGAGGAGGAGGAGGACCAAGCTCGGACAACAGGTGGAGGAAGACGGCGCAGAGGGCGTGAACTCCACAACGGTTAAACACAGACAGACACTCCTGATTGGACAGTGCCAGCTCCTGAAGAGCCAATCAGAGCAGAGAAAAGACAGTTACTCACAGACAGGTGGAGAAAGAGTTTTTTTTTCAGTTCATTTAAAGCTGTTAAAACCTGCAGAGCCAGCACCACACGGATCAGGTCCACCACCACCTCCTCAGTGGACAGCTCCACACTGACGACGGCCAATAAGATGATGAGGGCTTGATAGTGGCCCCGCCCACTGCTCTCCTCCTTACAGGTGAGGTACACGTGCCTGTAGAGGCGCTGAGCGTGCTGCAAAAACACGAACCGTTAAATCACAGAACAGACTTTAAATCATGTGATCGTCATCTCAAATATGATCATGAAGCTCAGGAGGCAGTTTTTTTACTCACCTTCCTGATGAATAAGACGTCCTGACGGGAGCACCTGTCCTCCTTCAGCTCCAACAATGACACATCAAACGTCACACTGTAGACACACACACACACACACACACACACCGAAAACACACACATATTTAAAACTTTAAATATTGATGTAAAGATTCATTTATAAAAGTAGATTCTGTCTGCAGTAACACAGTCTGCCACTAGATGGAGCCAATTAACTTCAGCAGAAACAGAACAGGCTTCCCCATAAGGTAAGCAGCACTCTCTGTCCCTGCGTTTTTATGATGTGTATGTTAATCATGTGACCTGGCGTTGGAGAGTCTGGTGGCGTTGTGGCGTCGGTCGATGAGCGAGGTGAGGATGGAGAGAACGAGCAGACGGATCTCTGGATCCTCCATCAGAGTGAAGGACAGCAGAGGCTCCAAGAAAGATGAGGGCAGAGCCGTCAGCAGGTTACTGCTCTCATAACGCTCTGACACCTGACACAGGTGAGACAGCGGCGGCGGCGGGGGGAGGGGGGCGAGACGAAGTAAAGCGTGAGGTTCTTCACAGAGACGTTTTTAAACATGGACACAAACTGAGCTGAACTCACCTGCAGGAGCGACTTCAACAACATCACCTGGATCATTCTGCTGCCCTCGAACCTGAGACACACACACACACACACATACACACACACACACACACACAAACATGAAACATCTCACTGGAAACACGGAGAGCCCGTTAAAAATAGAGATGCTGATGCCGCTGTGGGTTTTACCCGGCGTTGGGCGACCCCAGAGCGGGGTAGATACCAGGAACCGGGATTTTCCCCATGATGAACAGCATGACCTCTGACCTCTGGTAGACGGGAAGTGTGTTGGCGAAGGATCCTGAGCAGAAACGCGAGTTAAAAACTGAATCAAACACCTCTGAGACAAGAAGACCACCCCCGACCCTCACCGATGGTTTTGATGACGGCGTCCTGCAGCGTTTTCTCTTCGGCTGAGGTGGTTTTATTTTGTCCAGCGTTGTCATAGTAACCAGTCAGCTCGTAGTCAACGCTTTGCCTGAGCTGCCGCAGTAACGTGTTGAACACTTCGAGGACAGTTGGACCTTCACACACAGACAGAGGAAGATTACACACATCTGAATAAACAGGTAAAAGAACGACAGAGACGCAGACTGACCCACAGATCCGGTCGCTTCTATCACTGCAGCTTCAGACAGAACCTCTACGATCCCGGCTCGGACTGACGCCGGGCTCCTGCTGTTGGCGTCCAGGTGACCCAAGAGCTGCTGGATGACCAGGTGAGAGTGCTGAGACTGAGAAGGAGACGACACGCTCAGATACAGCTCAATAAAGTGAGGAAACTACACACCTGAAGTATTTTGTGGTACTTTGTGTACTAAGGTAGTACTAGTGTACTGATACTTCCTCACCTGGATGGAGTACATGATGATCTGGAAACACTGAACAGCAAAACTTCGTCCCTCCCAAAGAGTGTGACTGTCCAAGTGCCTGAAAACAAACACACTCACATATTTACCTGCGCCAAGGAGGTTATGTTTTCGGTAGCGTTGGTTTGTTTGTTTGTTTGTCTGTTAGCAACTTTACGGAGAAAGTTACAGACAGATTGACCTGAAATTTTCACCAGAGGTGCGTCTCAGCTCCAGGAGGATCCCATTACATTTTGGTGGTGATCCGGATCGCCTTCTGGATCCAGGAGTTTTTTAAAGGATTCTTTCTACAGTCTGCACTCTCCAAGTATACTAATACCTCTACGACTACCATAACAAAGTACCAGTATGTTCACGTGTGTGTTTCTGTGTGTGTATCTTACATGAGTACAGGTCTGATGGCGTTGTTGATGTGTCCATATGCAGCTCGACCCAGCAGCTCCCTGAAACACACCTCAGTCTGCTCGGCTGGAGACTCACTGCACACACACACACACACACACACACACACGCACGCACGCACGCACGCACGCGCGCGCGCACACACACACACACACACACACACACACACACACACACACACACACACATTAAATGTTTCTCAGATAATTCTTAAAATTTGCTGTTTTGTGCATGAACATGTTGTGTTTGTGTGTGCACCTGTGGTTGTGTGTGTGCTGCTGCAGGTTGACCAGCAGAGCCGGGACGATCTGCTCCATGTGACGCAGCTCCCAGATGTTCGCCTGCAGCTCGTCGTCCACCGTCTTCCTGACCACGCCCTGCAGACCGCGGATCCCGGACACCCGGATCCTGCACCACATGTTCTTATTTTAAACCTCCAAACTTTTAAAGCTGCACCAAAGAGTTTTTAACGAACCTTCAGTCTGAAACATTTCTAAAAAAAATATCTTTATATTGCATCAGAAACTCAGAGAAAATCTGTTTAAGCTTTCAAATCTGGAAAAAGAGGACACAGACTGACTTGTTTCGTATGTCGGGGTCCTCGTGTTCAGAGTGACACATCTCACTGAAGCGAGACACGAAGAAATCGTAGCTGCGATGATACGACGGCGTGTCCTCCTCGATGTTTGCAAACTTCACGAACTAAAAATTCAGAAAGATGAGCAGAGACATCCTGAGGCTGAGTGTGGACATCAGAGGAAACATGATTCAAACACAGAGGAGACGGTTGGATGTTTCCAGCAGAGGCTAAAACGCCGTTTCACTCTCTCTTCACTCTCAAGAGCTCTGAGCGTGTGTGTGTTAAATCCATACATTAATACACGTAAGTCACACTCATGATCTCTTGACTTTATGGAGGGATTATGATGAATGTAGAGCTCTGGAACGGGTTTTAATGTCCGCTGAACATCACAGCTGTGGACGACCGCTCCATTTCTCCATCTTAAAACAATAAAGCTGTGTAACAAAGAGGCTGAAATTAGGGTTTTTTATGGAGTTTGTGAGCTACAGATCATGGAGTATAATCGGTCTCTTATAATAAATCAGACTTCATTATAATTAATCCAGTGATATTCTGTCAGGTTGCTGTTTTGCATCATCCCAGTATGAACAGGTGTCTCACTCTGACTCCTACGACTTGAATTACTATAAAGCATCCTTTGTGCATCATAGTGTGTGTTAGGGTGTGTACAGCTGGGCCAAAAGTTTTGAGAATGACTCAAATATTAATTTTCACAAAGTCGCTGCTTTAGCCTTTATGATGGTAACATGCAGATACCCCAGAATGTTATGAGGAGTGATCAGATGAAAGTCCCTCTCTGCCATGAAAACAGACTTCATCCCCAAAAAACAATCGCACTGCTTTCAGTCCTGTCACAAAAGGATCAGCTGACATACTTTTAGCGATTCTCTCGTTAACACAGGTGAGAGTGTTGATGAGGACGAGGCTGGAGACCGATCTGTCAGACTGACGGAGTAAGAATAACAGACTGGATGTTTTAAAAGGAGGGTGGCGCTCGGAATCATTGTTCTTCCTCTGTTAACTATGGTGACCTGCAAGGAAACACCTGCAGTCATTATTGCATTTGGCTTCACCGGGAAGGATATCGCTGCTAGTAAGATCGCACCTAAAACAATCAAATCATCGAGAACTTCAAGAAGAGAGGTTCAGGGTGCCTGAGAAAGTCAAACAAGAGCCAGGACTGTCTCCTAAAGTTGATTCAGGATCGAGAGCTCTCTCAGGAACGGCAGCAAGCAGGTGTGAGTCCATCTGTACGCACAGTGAGGCGAAGACGTTCAGAGGAAGGCTTGGTGTCAAGAAGGACAGCAAAGAAGTCAGGAAAAACATCAGAGACGTACTGATATCCTGTGAAAGTTCAGGGACTGGACTGCTGAGGACTGGGGGAAAATCATTTTCTCTGATGAATCCTTTTTACGATTGTTTGGAGGTGAAAAGGCGAGCGCTACCATCAGCCCTGTTTCATGACAACAGTAATGCATCCTGAGAGTATTCATGTGTGGGGTTTCTTCTCAGTCAGGGGAGTGGGCTCACAAACACAGTCATAGATAAAGAACCAAAACATCCTCGGAGAGCAACTTCTCCCAACCATCCAAGATCAGTTTGGTGACGAACAACGACTTTTTCAGCATGATGGAGCGCCGTACCATGAGGCAAAAGTGATGACTGAGTGGCTTGAGAAAAAAAAACTAAAAATTTGGGGTCTATGACCAGGAACCTCCCCAGACCTCAATCCCGTAGAGAGAACTTGTGGTCAATCCTCAAGACAAGGGTGGTACAAAAACTTCCAAACTGACACTGATGAAATGGTTGCAGTTACACTTCAGTAAAACATCGAAACATCTGACAAAAAGATCGAAAAACACTGAAGCAGCAGACTTTGTGAAAATTTGTGTCATTCTCAAAACTTTAGCAGCACTCACAGAGTTGGTGGCGAGCATGTGCAGGTGTGGTTTGTCGTGCTCCAGCAGCAGACGCAGCGTGCTGAGGAAACTCTCCACCAGCAGGTTGATGCTCTGACAGTGACAGGCCAGCAGCAGCTGCTCCATCGCCTCCATGGCGATGCACACGTACCTGCAGAGCATCAGACTCCGGTTCAGCACATGTATAATGCATATTCATGTGAGAGTGTGAAGGTGAGTGTGTGCTGACCCGTAGCGGTGGCGGTTCAGCTCTCGGGTCAGGCGCTCTGACAGGTACGCAGCGATTCGGTCGAGTTTCTCGGGGGCTGATAGAGCGAAGAAGGTCAGCTTCTCCATGTTGGCCTTCACTAGACCCTCCTGCATGAAACGCACACACAGACACACAAAAGGTTTTCAAGCAGAAGTTGATTATTAAAGTTCTTGTGTCACAGACAACTAAATCAATGTGGTGTCATTTGAGTGAACTGACCCTTTAATGAAATGAGACATTACACACTAAAGTGTAAATTTAACGTGTGTGTGTGTAAGTGTGTAAGTGTGTACCTCTGGGTCTTCAGGGAAAATATTATCAACCAGCCGCTTGTAGCGAGGCCTCAGCGCCCAGCAGCATCCACACAGCCCTGCACACAGAGAACTGATCAATACCTGAGCGTGACGGCCTCCAGGGGGCAGCAGAGAGCTAACCTTGTTCTCTGCAGTTTTTCCTTCATTTTTCATCCCTCTGTGTTCACTTTAAGAGGTTTTTGGGGATTAAAGGAGACAAGAAATCGACCAATGGTGACCTGCCAGCTCATCACACCGAATCACTACAATGCAGCAGTGATAGTACGTCTTAATCCTGCAGGAAGCTTTGTTATGTAATGTGTTTACATTATTGGATTTTAGTTAGTGCAGACTAAATGCACTTCACTACCCCATTACAAACATTACAAATTAAAGAAACACTCAGTTTTCTTGTTAAAGGTTTCCTTATGAATAGGCTGCAGTATAAATTCCAGTCATCAGGACCTTTAAACGAAATTTAACATAAAAACGTCCAAATATGAGATTTATTAGATTTATTTCCTTGTCCTTGCAGAAATATTCTCACACATTGATAGTTTCATACCTTTTCTCCTCATTATTATACATTAAGCCGTGTTAATTAATTCAGCAGACTCTTTCCCTCTTTATATCGCATTAAATCTGTCATCAGATCAGCACTCACAGCTGATCTCTGTTTACATGAGCTGCTAAACCTGTAGCAGTCGCTGTCCAACAGCGGTTGAGTGTCCTAAATGCAGAGGAGTTTTCTGGTTTCGTTTGATCTCCCTCAGCAGATTTATTATTTATCCTGCAGAGACGACAAGCAGACCACCAACACCTCTGAAGACGCAGAGGAAAACTCAGAGCGTGCACTGACAGCGGGCGAGGATGTGCAGAAAAACAGATTCCTCTCCTTACTTTGCATCGTTAACGCTCCAATAAATCAGATTTTCACGATCAAAAATAAAAATACTGAACTGAAAGTGAATAAAAGTGAATATTTCTCACCGTACATGAAGACGACTCTGCAGCTCACATCCACACTGTCACCTCCATCACACACACACGTTCATGGTTAATCCTCTGCACACACACACACACACACACACACACACACACACACACACACACACACACACACACACACACACACACACTCCGGCCACCTCCTGTCAGTCACCGTCAGTTTCAAATCTCTCTGATTAAATGTCAGAGGACGATGTCAGGAATGTGTTTTTATTTCAGAAATATTTCATCTCTCTAATTTCCTGTCTGTCTGTCTCCAGTTTGTTGTTGTTGTTGTTTTTCCAGCAGCTTTAACACAGAGTAGAATTAATATTCCCCCCCAGCTCTTAACTCGGAAATATTCTACTGTGTGTGTGCATGAGTGTGTGTCAGTGTGTGTCAGTGTGTGTGTGTGTGATCCAGGCCATGTGCAGCAGCTCAGCTCCATAATCTGCTCTGGATTTATTTATCATTCCAGCAGGAACAGAGAGAGGAAACATATCAGAGACCTGCAGAGCTGAGGCTCCGATCACTCCACTGGAAACACGGAAGAAACACTCAGAGTGGAGGAGGAGGAAAAACTGCATCCACTTCAGTCAGTCACATGATGAAAATCCTAACAGCTGAGTTTATATCAGCTGTAGCACCGTTATCTGCACTTGGCCGTCATATACTGTGATAATTAAACTAATCCGAAGCACATTTCTGCTGCTTGATGAAAAGATTTGCAGCTTTAATTTTTTTTATATGATATTAAACTAAATTTCTGAACGTTTCAGACATTGAGACATCGCTCTGGACTCTGAACAAACCAATAATCTCCAAATCTTGGAAATAATCAGACGATTCATGAGTATTAAAAATTAATCTTGGTGCAGCTGTACCTGAATTTCTGCTGTTAGAAACAAAATCCCGTTCAGTCATATAAATATTGGAAAACCTGCAGCCGACATCCTCAACTTTAAAAAGGAGAGGGAACACTCAGCATCCCTGACAGTATGAGGATGCAGACAGAAGATGCTAAACTACATTATTGACAAATTACAAGAGAAAGAGTCCAGAGAGACAAACAGAGACTTTGATCAAATTTGTTCAAATGTCACAGAAATTAAAAACTTTTAAGAATCTGACGCTGAGATTTTGGGATCATTAAAAAAAGTCAGAGTGATACCTCCTGGTGCCTGGTGGTCCAGCACGGAGCAGCAGTCCTGCAGCAGCCTCCGAGGAGCCTGGGATACAGTCGACATGGCGACGGACCTCGGTAGCGACATCCCTCTGGGTAAACTGGGCATGGTGATGCCGCGGGGTAGACTGGGCACAGTGAGGCCTCTGGGCAGGCTGGGTAAACTGGGAACAGTGAGACCTCGAGGTAGACTGGGCATGCTAGGCAGACTGGGCATGCTGGGTAAACTCGGCATGGTGAAGCCTCGAGGTAAACTGGGCAAACTGGGAGGGCTGACGCCACTGAACAAGGACGGCATGGTCATCCCCCGCTGCATGCTGGGACACCTGGGAAGAGTCTCCGACGTCTCCGTGGTGACAGATGATCAGACAGAGTGATGGTGATGAAGATGGAGGCCGAGTTGACCAGGAGAAGAGGACAACGGAGTGAAGAAGGAGTGAAGGAGGAGGAAAGGTGCAGAGGAGGTGAAAGCAGAAAACCAGGATTAGATTGAGAAACCTTTTCTCCACCTCCTGCCCTCAAACATTCCTCTGAGAGTTAACCCCTTCAGGTCTGACACTGCAGGTACCAAACAGCCAGGTGGAGTGAGACGTTCTACATTCACAGAGGTACTTCTCCTCCCCTGATGTCTTTATATCTCTGAGTGGACTGAATGATGTGCACTTCGAAAGAGGATTACAGCTCAATAGTTCAAAAAGTCTCCACATCATCAGGGAGGCCGGCTTTTCAACTGGGAGCTCAGTGGTCCCCCTGCTTAAAGAGCCGGGTCTGCAGCGTCCACGAAAAGAACCACCACAGGACCGTTTTAACCTGCAGTCGTGGTTTTTGGATGTGATTCTGAGCTCACGCAGTCTCTCACAGAATGATGAATCTTCTCATGGAGAGTTGTATTTGAGCCGTTTTAGGACATTTGAATTATAGGAACAAAAATTTATGTAAAAATAATCAGCAGATCAGGTGAACAGAAGTATTTATGGCAGTCCTGGAACGAAAAACAAAACTAGAAGACGAGTTCAGGCTCAACAAAATCCAGCCGTAAAATCCTGTTTTTCTTAAATTCACGAGAGATTATTTTATCTGCCTTAATTCCTCTCTTATAGAAGTATTTGTACTGTTTATTTTCATCCTTTTCCTTAACTCAAGAGTTGATTATGATGCTCTAGATGTTTCGTATTGCACATATTAACCCTCAGATAACTCCAGCCATCTCAAACTGAAATAGCTCTTGTCTAAAAGCTCCATAAACTCAAATACTGAAGTGAAGTTCATTTACATTCAGACTGGAGTAAAGTCGTGCGGTCACGTCACAGAGCTCCTACCTGCTCGACTCCAGCGCTGCTCTCCTCCAGTCTCCTCTGACACACTGAATCACACACAGAAACACACACGCAGAAATACACACAAACAAAAATACTGACAGAAACAGCTGCTTATGTAACATGTGCCGAGCCTCCACTGTCCGGCAGCTGTGATCAATGATCAATATATGTCATCGATACAGCCTAGTGTAATATCACAGCACATGTTGAAGCACGTTATAAACTTTATTTTCATCCCAGGGTTTAAATCTGTGGATAATCCCACAGTTTATATCTGGAGGGAAATAAAACAGACATCATTAGTCGAACGACGGTGATTAAATATGAGTGTTAATGAGTCGAACCGTCAGAGCACAGGCTGCAGCCACGGTGTCAAACATGTCATCATGTCATCTGACGCTGAGGGAGCTCACAGGAGGACAATAAAAACTCATCCTCCTTTAGAGGATGATGTAGGAGCCCCCCCTGCTGGTGCTTACTGGTTACTACCTTTGCTTTGTCCTAAAAGATGAGTTACTGAGTGATCTACACCTGCACACGTCTCCGAGGTTTTGGTGAAATTAGTCCAAAAATGATCAATTCAGAATCTTACCCAGAGCAATTTAGAAACACGGAGCATCTTAGCGGAGATAATTAAGCCGTTTATTCATTTAAAGCTCCTGTGAGGAGTTTTCAGCTGGTTATGAAACTGACTGAAATTAATACTGCTGTCTCTTTATGACCGAAAAATCACAACAAGCCCATCAGCGAAAAAGACGGACTGTTTCTGTGTGGTTGTTTTGATTGTTTGAAAACACTGCTGAGGGGACAGGTGCCAGATGTGGTGAAATAACAGGTGCTTTTATTTGATGCTATAAAACTTCCTGAAAAATTCTGTACAAAACAAGTTCCTTTTTACATTTGTATGACTTCTTCAGTGTGTGTTGAGTGTCAAAAATCTGTCGAAAAGTTCGTTTATCAAAGTCACAACATCAGCTGGTTTTTGTTTTCTCTAAATTTGATATTTTCACATCTTAAAACATAAAAACTGAGTAAACCTGCGCTCAGATCATTCAGTTTGACGTGTCTCAGGGGTCAAAGGTGACGTCCATCCACTTCAGAGACTTTGGCGACCCCTGTCGACCCGCCCACAAACAGTCCTCCGAGCTCCGCCTCCAACTCCTGCAGGTTGGCAGGGTTAATCTCGTCCACACCAGCCGTCTCTCCGAGTGTCCTCCACCAGGGCAGCCGGCTTGCCTGCAGAATTGCGTTGTGGGCATCACGGGCCCGAGTGGCGATGGGACCAGAGGGGCTCAGGAAGGACTCTGCTGCTGTTGCCGTGATGACAGAAAGAGGCGGGGCATCTGGAGAGCAGGTAGAGAGACCATAAATGGTGATGTGTTTTCCTCTCACTTTGGTGAACACGTGACCTCAGATCCACCTGTGCAGAACTTCATTTTACCCCCTCACAGTGATTTTCCCTCCTGCACATGACTGATAAAAATCTGAGCTCTATCTCTGTCTGCAGGCGGCTCTCTGCTCACGAGGACTTTCAGATGGAGGTTCATGATAAGTGGACGCTTCCTGCTTGAAGGAGGAGAGAGAAAGGAACAAAGGAAGGAAGGAAGGAGGAGAAGAAGTGTTTAAGAGACCTCTGAGCAGCTCCAGCTGTGTGTGTGTGTGAGCCAGAAGAGCCTCCATCCGCTCCTCCTCCCTCCTCTGCTGCTCCCCCCGCTGCAGCTCCGACCGAATCAGCAGCTGCACCTCCTCATGGAGACGCTCGCACTCCTGAGAGGACACACGGGATGACTGCATGTGTTCACACACACACACACACACACAACACACACACACACACACACACACACACACACACACACACACACAGAGAGAGTCAGTATTACTCAAAACATCCTGAGAAACTCATCTGATGATTCTCAGAGTCTCTTACAGGATGTAGTGAGGTGTACTCCTCCACCTGTCTCCTAAGCTCCACCCTCCTGCTGTCCGTCAAACCTTTCTGACCAATCCAGAAAGGTGGGATGGGAGGGGCTTTGGCTGCTCGACGTTTTTGCAAAAATTGACGCACCTGAAAGGAGAAGGAGTCATGTGTGAATGTCCTGTTACTGTTATTAAATATTCTCTATATCCAGAGGCAGAATCAGCTTCCTGCTGTGTGTGTGCGTGTGTGTGTGTGTGTGTACCGCTCTCTGCAGTGTCTTTGCTGCTTGTGTCCTGGTCTGCATTAGTTTCAGTGTATGTCTGTGTGTGTCGTTGTAGCTTCTGCGCTCTCTGAAGCCTCTCCAGAAACTCTGGATCACGATGGCTGCACGACGCTCGCACTCCTGCAGGTATGGCTGCACCTGCTCTGAACACACACACATACACACACACACAGACATTTTAACCAGGACAGCTGGTCAATAAGTGTCGATACGTTTCCTTCCACTTTATCAGGCTGCGTTGTTTATGAGAATATGAACAAAAGTAATAGACTTCCTGTGTTTGTGTGTGTCAGTGAGTGTGTACCTGCAGGCAGCAGCTGCAGCAGCTCTCTCTGTTTTTGATGGAACCTTCTCCTCGCCTGCTGTCGCCTCAAACACACCTGAAACACACACACACACACACACACACACACACACACACACACAGCTCTCACACATTGTTAACAGCACTTCTTTTTAACTTCAGATCCCTGCAGCATCATCACTCCGCGCGCAGGATTACTCTCACCTGATACTTCAACTCCTCCTCCCACTGCTGGGCCTCCCTCTGCTGCTGCTGATGCCTCTTCAGAGCCCTGATACAAACACACGCAAACGCAACACACACACAGCTTAGATGACTCCCCTGTCCATTTCTACACGCACGCACGCACACAATCAGGTACCTGTATCTCTTCTGTAGCGTGCTCATGACTCTGTGAAGGCTCTTTACTCTGCGTCTGGTTTGATACGACCTCCAGGCTGCCTGGATTACACATGCTGCCCGCACACGCTCAGTATCAACCTACAGCAAGAGAGGAAGGGTCAGAGGTCAGCAGACAGGTAGTAAAAAGGCAGATAGAGTAACCTGAGATTGATCAGATGTTCCTCAGATTTTAGGGATACACAGACCTGGGACTGACTCCTTCTCCCTCCATCTGATTGGATAAGAGCAATCAGCTGATTCACGTCTTTGTCAAAACCCCGCCCCCTCCAGTCTTTGTCCAAGAGGCTGTCCAGACCTTCAGAGTTCGACAGAGTCTCTTTTTCAGTCCCGCATCTTTGAAAAAAAAAGTACTAATATATGTGAACCTGTGTGACCTCTGACCTTTGAATCCGAGGAGGAGGGGCTGGACCCGCTGCTCCTGCTGATTGGCCAGGAGGAGAATCAGTCTAATGGAGGCGCCGCCCACCGAAGCATCGGGGCAGACGGCTAATTGGCCAACAGCCTCGTTAAGCAGCAGCATGACAGAGTTGTCGCTCAAACCTGGGAGGAAGTCTCTGAGAGAGAGAAAAAGGGAGAGAGAGAAAGAGAGAGAAAGAAATAGGAAGAGGGAGAGAGAGAAAGAGAGAGAGAGAGAGAGAGAGAGAGAGAGATGTTAATCTGCAAACATGATGAAACTGTCACTATCTATTCATTATTATTATTATTATTGTTATTATTGTTTTTATTGCTATTGTTATTATTATTATTATTATTGTTTTTATTGTTATTATTATTATTATAATTACTGCTATTATTGTTTTTTTATTGCTTTTATTATTATTATTATTATTATTACTGTTATTACTGTTATTAATGTTTTTTAATACTATTATTATTATAATTATTACTGTTATTGTTTTTTATTGCTATTATTATTATTATTATTATTATTATTATAACTGTTATTATTGCTTTTTTTATGGCTATTATTATTTTTATTACTGTTATTATTGCTTTGTTATTTTTTTTCTTTCTCTTCTCATTATTATTATTATTATTATTATCAATATTGTTGTTTTATGTTTAAAAGCTTTGGCAGTATATCGTAGTAACAATCATGCCTTTAAAGCTCATTGGAATTGAAAATTGAAATTGAATTGAGAGAGAGAGAGCAGGATGTTTCAGTTGGAGTTCAGGTGTAAACATACATACACTTTACAAATTTCCCGTCTCTTTTCGTCCATCTTCTCTAATAAAAGAAAAACACGCTAATAATTAACCTTCAAAATAAATAAATTAATTAATTAAAAAGTGGTAAAATCTGGTGTCCTGGTGGTCCTGCTGTGTACATGTGTCTGTGTTACCTGCTGGCTGAGCAGATCTGTATCCACAACTGCACACACAGCAGAGACACGGCGACATCATCACACATCTGGATCCGCTCGTAGTGGGCGGAGCTTAGAACTAGAAGACATAAAACATCAGCTGTCACTTGATGACCCGCTGCTCTTTTCACTCACAGACAAACAGACAGACAGATCAATAAACTAATCAGTGGGTCTATGAGGAGGAGATCAATAGACAGTGAAAGTGACTGACCCTGAGCTGTGAGCCAAGTGTGAGATCTCAGCAACCAGCCCACCGAGTCCATCACCTTCCTGAAGAGAGGCACGCACTGACAGAGAGACAGGAGGTGAGACAGGAAGAGAGACAACTCTCATTTCATTTAAGAAAGCTCCTCACCTCTTTCTGCTTCATCAGCTGACTGGCCAATGACAGGAGGGCATCCATCACAGACGGCAGAAACAGCCTATGAAAGGCCTCTGAGCGTCTGTCTGGCTCCACCCCCACACAACAGGAACTGGACATGCAGACAGGTGAGGGAAAACATCTTAGAACTTAAAACATCTTTTAAAACTTACAGACGTTTAAAAAGTTTAAAGAAACAAAAGACACCAGTCCCTTTGTTGGATTTATTTGAATCGATCCTGTCTGATGAATGACCGACTGTCAAAGCAAAGCATCACCTGGTGAGTTGGGCGAGCGTGGCAGCGCCGCTCCAGTTTCCCCGCAGCTTTCTGGGATCCTGAGACAGAACGAGGATGCAGTGACTCAGGACACCGCTCAGATACAGCTGAGACTTCACATGAGTCAACACGCTGCTGTCTGTCTGCACCGCAGCCGTGTTTAATACCCCTGACAGAGATAAACACTAAGTAAGCGAGAGCAGAGTTCACAAAAATACTTGAGATGAAAGACTGGGTTAGAGATGGCTGTTTGAAGCCCTAAAAGAAAGACAGCTGAGGGTAACGCTAAGTCAGACAGGCATGATGCTGGTGGTCTTACTGTTTAATCCAGAGTTCAGCAGGTTAAATCTCTGCTCCAGGTCCAGGTCTTCATCGTCTAGTTGTCTCTTCAGCTCCAACACCATGGGCTCCTCCACCTGGGACTCCATTCTCACCGTAACACCCTTAAAATAGTCAAAAAAGCCACTGTTGTTGCAGAAATGTGCAGAAGGAGTCTCACAGGTGTTACTGGGACCTGCTTTTATTCTATAGGATGATTTTAAGTAGACACAGGATAAACTTCAGGAACTGCCAACTATAAGTGTTAGCTCTACAAGTTTTAAATATAACATTATCCAAAAAACGTCTGTAACAAACCATTCAGATATCTCACCTCTCCCCCTCGTTGTGTCACAGACCCTCGGGGGTCACAGACTTCTTTAAAACGCCTGTTAGCATCATGGTTAGCATCCACGCTGAGCAAATCTTCAATTATCGTTAAAACTCACGCAAACAACACGCTGAAAAAAAGGGAAACCGATATACACGAACTAAGTGACATTAACCGCGACTTTTTATTTTCGAAATTGGGCTTACAACGGCAAAAGAGCGACAAAATTCACGTTTTCGCCATAGCACTATTAGCCCCTTGAATTGGGGTCAACGCTCTGCTGTTTCTACGGCAACGTGACGTCATGACGCTGCGACGGCGCATCCCCCTGCACCAAAGTGAGGCAAATAAAAAGATCTCTTTATCTATCTAATTAATATATATGTAACAGGCTTTAACAGCAGGATTTTTGTCAAAGCTAAACACGGAAATATGTATATTTATAAAAACGTCTAAAGCCTGCAGTCTAACGATGTTTTTACAATAAAATATTCAGTCTCATATAAACTCTCGGTCCTCTTTTCAAGCAGAGAAAGCTCCTGAGTTTAGACAGAGGCCAGTGTAAAGGGTGCTATGTCTTCAGTCGTCCTCTAGGTGACGCTTTAGTTTTAGCTTCATTCATTCATTCAGCAGGAAACTACTGCTGTTTAGTGTCTGACAAATCCCCTATTTATTTCAGAAATATCTCAAATATTCATTAAAGGATTAGAATCTCTGACTCTTATTCTTAAACACAACATTAGAAAAATATTTCATCTTAAAACTGCACTTATGTTTTCTCAGAGATAAACGCTTCAATGTTTTTCAATCTCTCCTAAATTTTAACAATCTTATTTTTCAGCTAATTTTGAATATAGATTTATTTTTTTAACCCCTTTATTTGGAAACTTTATTAATGTTTATATGACTGTAGGAAAGAAGGGTAGGGTTATGGCTGCTCCAATTAGCCCTCTGAATTTTATTTCAATGTGCTCATATTGAACCTGTTTGTGTTTTTTTTAATTAGGTTTTTTCTTTTTTAAATTTTATATAAGTCAGGTTTTTTTTTTTTCTGAATTAAGTTAAGTTTTAAATCAAACTCAGTCTTGTACAAAAAGGACTATAAAAAAACACACTAATAGGGAAATAAATGAATAAAAAATAAAAAATAAAATAAAATCAACAATAAGAAAAAAAATCAAAAATTAATATAAATTAAAACAAATAAAAAAATCAAAACAATTAATCTCACTACTGAATAAAAAAAATTAGAAAACGTTAAAAAAACGTACCTGATATTATAACATTTTAAAGACGATAGCTCATTTCGGTTGTTGTAACGGTACCGAGAGTAACATAAACATAAAAATAAAAATAAAAATAAAAATAAAACCAACAATATGAAAAAAGAACCAAAAAAGAATACAAAGATAAACAAATAAAAAAATCTCACTACTGTGTGACAAAAAATCACAAAACGGTAAAATACCGTACCTAATATTATAACAGTCTAATAACTATAGCTCCTTCCGGTTGTAGAAATGGTACAGAGAGTAACATAAAAATAAAAATAAAATCAACAATATAAAAAAAGAATAAAAAATGAATAAAATCACAAAACGGTAAAATACAGTACATGATATTCTAACAGTTTTATAACTATAGCTCATTTTAGTTGTAGTAACGGTACCGAAAGTAACAGTAACGCTAATAGTAACTGGGACAGGCGGGGGTTGTGTGTGTGTGTGTGTGTGTGTCTATGTGTGTGTGTGTATCTCAGTGCAGCAGCTGCTGCAGCCCTCGTGCACAGCGCCCCTCTCTCTCCGGTGCGCCTGCGTGCTGAAACACACCGAGCGACCGAGCGCCCGCTGCCTGGACCGGCAGGAGGAGAGAGAGAGGAGCACCGGGGCTGCTGGGAACTTCACGGAAACGGTGACTGCGGGCAGCGACGGTGGCGGTGGCTGTAACGGTGACGTGATGTGATGCGATGCCGCGCGGGATCACGGTAACGTAAGAGCAGCAGCATCAGCCGCGGAGGAGGAGGAGGAGGAGGAGGAGGAGGACTGTCGAGGCTGAGCCGAGGAGGATGCAGCACTGACCGACGGATCGGTACCGGGAGGAGGGGAACACATCCAACGGTGCGACCGCCCGTCTTCCCGGGTCCTGGACCGACCCGATCGGATGTAAAGCCGCAGGGATGGACGGGTAGGCAGGGAGGAGGCGCGCGGAGCGGAGCGAGCGTACGGTACATAACGGAGGAGAGAGCGCGAGGAGGGGGAGGAGGAGGAGGAGGAGGAGGAGGGAGGCGCCAGGCGGAGGAGCACCGCGAGGAGGAGGGAGGATGAATCCGGTGGATGGAGGAGGAGAAGCGGGCCCGGACGGCCTGGCGACGGCAGGTAGGGTGTGTGTGTGTGAGTGCATGCGCGTGTGTGAATGCACGCGCGTGTGTGTAGTGGGAGCTGCTGTCGCCATGATGCCTCCACATCCGCCCATTGACTCAGAGAGAGAGAGAGAGTGTGTGTGTGTGTGTGTGTGTGTGTGTGTGTGTGTGTGTGTGTGTGTGTGGATGCTCTGTGCAATGAGTGTGTGCTAGTGTGTGTGTGTGTGTGTGTCAGCATCCCTCAGTCCAATGGCATTGAGGTGTGTGAGTGAATGTGTGTGTGTGAACTGGGGGTGGAGGGTCCCTACCAAGGAGGATTGTGGGAAGGCCTCTTGGCTGATAGTTCAGTGTGTGTGTGTGTGTGTGTGTGAGAGAGAGAGTGAGATAGGTGATATAAGGTGTTTAAACGGTGGTCATGTGACTCTTTCATGTTACACTCATCCATCAGAGCTCCTGCAGTGTCCTGATATTTTGAATGGCATTAACTCTATGATGGCATTAAACGCTGCGTTCTGATTGGCTGTCAGCCGTCTATAGGAATCACAGATGTACATCAGTATAAACAGAGTCATAATTTTGGGTCCCTAGGGTACATTAACCTGCAGGTTGCCATAGCAACAGCACGGACGCTTCAATGCAGGTGAAACTGACCAAGTCAAAGTATTTAACATAAAGGGAGTGTTTTCTATTAGTGAGCAGTTACCTTAAATTATACTAGGATATAAATAACAAGATAATCATGGCGGTGGGAGTCGAACTGGGCCAAATTCAGTCCTCTTACAAATATCCCGGCCCCCTCAAAATGAGTCTAAACCCCTCTAACAATACAAACACACAGCAGAGTAAACACAGGCTTGTTGGACTAAAATATATCTAACAGAGCGATTACACGATCATTAAAATAAATATTTTGGCCTGTTACAGATTTACTTCAGAAACAATGCTCCATAAAGCAGGACACTCTTAGCTAAACTAGTATTAGCATAATCTGTTTTTAACCCTCACCTACTTATGGGAATTAAAAAATCTGCTGCCATTTACAATCCTGGAAAAGTTTCAGAAAGGATTTTTGTTCTGGAAATAAATTCAGACCAGAACAAAGTAAGTGGAAACAGTTTCAATACTTATATTTCACCGGAGCTTCACAGTCTGCAGCTGTTTTCCTTAAACTCTCATGATAAAGCCTTGAAAGACAGAAAAAAACAACGCCATCATAGGATCACCCTCTCCAGTCAAACATGCTGTGATTCACTGAGCAAACATTAAGACGTCTTCACTAAACCTGACCTGTCATCCCGACAAACATTTCGCTTATCGCAGCAAAACTTCTCCAACATGAAGAGGATGTGAAGCAGACTGACAGAGCTGAGGATCCTCGTTGGTCGGGACGGTTACTGAGAAACGGATTTATCTTCAAATTTATAAGAACTGTGAAAAGTGTCCAACTCCTTAGTTTAAAAACAGAGGAGGGAGTGTTTTTCAGAGTGTTTTATGACGTCTACTTCCCCTGTAAGATACTGTCTCTTCTCTGCTGTCATGTTATGATGATTTGAGGTCTTAAAGTCTTAAACTAAAAGTTTCACAGCCGTAAAGTTAGATGTTGTCTTCTGGTGTTTATGTGGAGTTCAATCAAATAATCTGAGACATCATTTTTGGGAAATCTGGTGTAAAATATCCTGAGAATCAGCTGAAGGAGATTTACTGTTGAAGTTTGATTTTACTGCAGAGAAGGTGGGAACGATTACTGAGGAGAAAGGTTTGAGCCGAAACTCTTAAATTAGAGAAATTTTCATGGAGGAGAATCACCGTAAAACCTTCATTGAAGAACTGAAGGTTTTAAATTTCCTGTAAAGCAGCTGCAGCTACTTCTATATACTACTGTGATTTGTGATTAAAGGTACAGTATGTAGAAAAATGAATATTCAGGGACTTTCTAGCCATCTTGATTTAACTGCTTCCTTGCTTACCCCTCCCTTTGGCGAATGGACGGTGGCCTTTGAGGACAAAAAGCCCCTGTGACGCATCATGAGTATGGTCCTACATTTGCCTTACAAATGTACTTGTGCAATACGACCCCCTCCTCTTTGTCTCCCAAGGGGTGCTTTTCATAAAGGCAAGTGTTACTAGTTTGACCCTTTGGTGCTACTGTAGAAACATGGCGATAACGATATAAAAGCTGATTATATTGAGGGGGTTAAACACTAAATTACACTGACTGTTGATTATTTTGCTGCATTTACACTCAGTCTGTTTTGGTAAATGCGGCTAAATACAAAATACAGGAGCTAAAAATATCTTGTTTCAGATCTAACATGTCAGCTGATAATTCACAACAAGCTGTTTATTACGTCTGTTTTTTGATTAAACAAGCTCCAACTGGGTTTAAGTCCAGTTTGGGAGCATGAGGACCTGCGAAATTATCATGTTTTTAGCCGTTACTGTGCAGTAGGAAAAATCTTAAATATAGGTTTTGAGATGTTTGTGGAAAATCTAATTATATCTCAATATTTAGTTTTCAGAAATTGAAACAAAAGATTAAAAAAAGAAAACGTGGTTTAAAATCGACGCGTCAGTCATCATGTGAGACGCTCGTGTCTCTCAGGCTGACATTTTGGAGACTCAGAGGACACTGTGGTGAAATTCTTTCATTATTTTGTGTTGCATAATGTGTGTGATGACTCCTGACAGACTGACAGCAAGTTCCTCTGAAGGCTTTTTATCTGCTCTGTTCAGAGGCTATTTTAGGCTTTACACTGACTCAGTGTGTGTGAGAGTGTGTGTTTTATTGGTGTGGGACGGCTTTATCAGAATGGAAATCCCTTCTCCTACTCCCTCTGCTGGTCTGGAGTCAGTTTGATTGACAGCTGGATGAGGATCGGTCAGTCTAATAGACACCCGATCGGGGATCAATCAGATTCCCGATCGGGTGTTCTGGTTTCATTTGGTGTCGTGGACCACGCCGCAGACACGATGTCATGTTTACAGCCCACAAACACCCACAACACTCTCATTAGAGACTGCAGGCTGTTAGCTTCTGCTTTACACACAGGTTCTGCTCTCTCTCTCTCTCACACACACACTCGTACACACAGACATCATCTCTCCTGCTCGGTCAGTTCATTCACACACAGGAGACGGCTGAGGTGAGGCTGGTGTTTGAGAGAGAGGAACAGTCTGTTCTCAAAGTCTCGTATTGATGATATAACCTCAGCAGAAAGTCTGCTCCCCCCCTAAAAATCACTCTGAATGTGTCTCACAGCGTTTCAGATTCATCCTCTCCAATCTTAAATGTGGGAAGAGTTTCCAGAGGGTGACGGAGACGGATTTTACCAAGTTCAGTAGAAACTAAAAGAGTGTTTTTGAAGATATTATGGAAAGAAGACAACCCTAGCTCAGTGAGGGGTGAGACGCCTGGGAAAACGGTGATAGAAACAGAATTTGATGGTTGGCAAATCATTAAAACTCTTAATTCAACTGAGGATGGTGCAAAGACAACGGATCAAATGTTGACATTGAAAAATGTCTTTGTTTTATGAAAATTATGTCTTCCTTTTACTGAAAAACATGGAAGAACATCTCCAAACTTTTTAGATAAATTTACATGTTTAGTGACCCAACCGGGAGTAAAAAGGGCATTTCAAAGAGGCTGACGACGCTCTCAGATATGAACATGATCACCACTCTGTGAGAAAAATAATGGTCCTCAGTTTAAAGATTTGACATTTGCATCACCGACATTTTAATTTCATTAAAGACTCATAGAATCTGGAGAAAGCTCTGTGCAAAAGGGACAAGGACCAAAACCAGTAAAAACAGACATGACTCTGTAGTGTAACTCACCGCACAGGCTCCAAATCACCTCCAAAAATCCATTGTCTGTTCACAGAGTTTATAGCTGCATCTGCAAATGCAAAGAGGAAACTTTCTGTAAACATGATCCAGAGAAACCAGACACTTACAACTGTCCTGTGGTCGGATGAATCACAATTTGATCTTGTTTTTGGAAATCATCTATTCAAGAAAAGGGGCAACTTTTAACTTCTAACAACACAGCGATATTTATCAGTTTAAACATGTGATACGAGTAAATCAACCATCATATTCTGGAATCACTGGATCTAAAATGTTATCTGCAGAGGACTGGATCGCTCAGACTTTACTGTGATGGTTTTTCTACAAAGCGTCTCAAGGATTTTAAATATATAAAAGACTTCATGATGAGGAAGTTAAACAGCTTTTAAAAAGAGAAACAGAGGTTTTTTAACTGCGCAGCACCTCAAGGATTTTAACTCTGCGGCAGCTGGGGTAACTTACGTAAAAGGAGCCAGAAGACATGGACAGTGAAGCAGCTGGGATTATTTTTACTGCACAGACACCGGAGGTTGGTTTCTCAGCTACCACATCCAACTTCTAAGAGGAAAAGGAAAGCACCATATGTACCTGTTTATTCAGTCTACTGATGCAAAAATAAACTTTGGGGTGTTTTTCTCCTCCATTTAATCCTTTTATGAACACTCTGAATTTGCCGTTATTCCAGGTTTACAGCCTCTAATGCTGCCGTTTTCGGCTTTTTTTTAATTGATATGGCTCGACTTGACCTATTTATTCGTATAAAGAGGTTGATTTTGAAATCGGGTACACCCCAGCCCCCCCATAATCCCTCAGAGGTCTCAGAACAAACAATTAGTGTCGATTGAAGTCAATCGGGGTCTGAGGAGTCAGAGCGGGCTTTGAGGAGACCGATCTGTCCTGAGGGAGGAAAGGACTCAAGGACAGTGATGAAGGAGACAGAGAGGAGTGTAAGGAGGAGGTGAGGCAGCATAAATGTGAGCGCTCCTTCATGTTTCCAGTCTCTCTCGCTCTCTCTCAGAGGGTTAGCGCCGCGCGTTGAGCTGCTAATGTGAGATGTTTAATGCCCTCAGTGTGTGTGTGTGTTGGATTAGCTTCTCCCCGCTGTGCAGGATGATGTGACGCACACAGGAGGCTTGTATGTCTGTCTGTTACACACACACACACACACACACACAGGCATGCAAACACACACTCTCTCTGAGCTGCAGCGTTTTAATTGAAATGTCTGTCAGCTCCTCTCTGCAGCCTGATTGGCTGGTTCTGGAGGAGGTGTGGGGATATTTTCATGTGAAGGGTCTTTTTGCTGTAATTTTCCTGCTGGAATAAGGCGAGGAGGCTGTTCAAACCAGGAAGACAAATGGAGGGACTTAATGGTGTGATGAGTGTTTGCAGGCCTGAGTCTCTCAATCCCACTTCAGCAGCAGAGCGCAGAGATGCTGCTTGATCTCTCTGGTCCAAATTGAACGGAGTGTTTGATCTCTATCGGCATTATAGAGCCATGTTTGTTTCAATGTGACGCTCGTATAAATGTGACTGCAGCCAGTTTCCTCTGCCTGACAGCTGGTGGCAGCGACAGACCGAAAATACGCCCAAATAAAAAGCAGCAGAAGAAGAAGAAGAGCGCTCCATTTGTTACCTCCGCCAAAGAGGTTATGTTTTCGGTAGCGTTGGTTTGTTTGTCTGTTAGCAACTTCATGGAGAAAGTAACAGACGGATTGAGGAGGATCCCATTACATTTTGGTGGTGATCCAGACAAAATTCTGGATACTGTGATCTGATCCAGAACACACAAAAATAAGGGTGTCGTTGGAATTTACCAATGGGCGGCACAGTGGTGTAGACAGGAGGTACAGTGGTGTAGTGGTTAGCACTGTCGCCTCACAACCAGAGGGTCCTGGGTTTGAATCCCGGTCAGGGCATTTCTTGTTTAAGGGGGGACATGAGCTGCTTGGCAGAGGTCTGCGCTCTCCGAGTGCTTTTCTAGTTCTTTATCTTGTTACGATTTTACCCGACGAAAGATTAAAAACTCAAAAGAATTATTTTTCAACAACTTAAAGCTCCCATGAGGAGTTTTTTAACTTCTACGAAATTGATCTTGATGGCTTTTTATGACATCCAGATGCAAACAAGACCATCAGGGACATGATTCATGATTCTTATGTCTTAATTTTTGATCTAAAACTGGTGTGAGGGTGTAGGTGTCAACCAGGAAACAGCCCTTTGCCACCATTTCAACACAAAATGACAAATTTGACTGTCAGATGTCAGAGCAAAGCAAAGACTTTTCCATCCACAGGGGGCGCCAAAATAAATGAAAGTCAAAAGTTCTTTATAGGAGCTTTAAACTGGTAAATAGTGACTGATGAGGTTCTGAGTTTGACTGTTTTTCGTCTCTGTGTCTCTCAGGTTCAGGAAAAGCCGAGTGTGTCCGGGCGGTCGACGTCCTGACGGTGCTCAGAGAGAAAGTGGCCTTCGTTTCAGGTAAACTACACACACACACACAAACACACACACACACACACTCTAAATGTGACCCACTATAAACAACCATCTTCATCCAGGTGGGCGGGACAAACGTGGCGGACCAATCCTGACCTTCCCTGCCAGGACCAATCATGATCGAATAAAACAGGAAGACCTCAGCAGGCTGGTCACATATCTGTCCACCATACCGAGGTGAGGCCGCCCCTCTGTGCTCTCTCTCATCCAGATGAAGAGATGAACGAGACCCTGAGGAGTCCTGCTGATCGCTCTCTCTCTCTTCCTGTGTCTCTCAGTGAGGACGTGCGAGCCCGGGGGTTCACCGTCGTGGTGGATATGCGCGGCAGTAAGTGGGACAGCGTGAAGCCAGTTCTACGGACGCTGCAGGAGTCGTTTTCCTCCAACATCCACACAGCGCTGCTCATCAAACCCGACACCTTCTGGCAGAAACACAAGACCAACCTGGGCAGCGCCAAGCTCAGCTTCGAGGTACTGCTGGGTCTGATTGAAGCACTGTGCTGCTCTTACTATAACACTCACAGTCAGTAAACCCGGTCCTTCTTCTCCCCGTCTCTGTCCCTCTCTTGGTTCAGACCAGTCTGGTGTCGGTGGAGGGTCTGTCCCGCCTCGTCGACCCCTCCCAGCTGACGTCCGACCTCGGCGGCTCGTTGGAGTACGACCATGTGGAGTGGACCGAGCTTCGTCTGGGTCTGGAGGAGTTCTCGGGAGCCGCCACACAACTGTTGGCCCAGCTGGATCAGCTGGAGGCCGGGCTGAACCGGATACCTGAGCCCCAGGATGTGGATGAGGCCCGCAAGTGAGGAAGAGTTTCAGTCGAACCCGACACTTTCATTCAGTTTTGTCCCCTTTATCCTGACTGAACGTCTTTTTATCCCGTTTAGAGTCAGAGTATTAACACAGCTGCCGATTGGTTGTTGGTCCAAAAAATAAAGCATGAAATTCTACGTAACTGTGTTGACATTTTCATCTCCAGACTCCTCGAGGAACACGGACGTCTCCGTAACACCATCGCCACTGCACCGGTGGACGCCCTTGAGCGTGAGGGGCGGAGCTTGCTCCAGCGAATGCGTTTAGGCCCCGCCCACGGTGATGCTTCGACTGAAGGGGGCAGCGGGGGCGGTAGTCACGGCAGCTGGCTGTCGGGCGGGGCGGACTTCCAGAGTGTGGCTCCGAAGGTCTCATCTCTGCTAGACCGGATGCAGGCGGCGCGGACTCACCTGCTGCAGAGCTGGAGCGACAAGAAGCTGCACCTGGACCAGGCGCTGCAGCTACACCTGTTCGAGCAGGACGCCACCAAGGTAGGGGTCATTAAAGTACGGTCTGGATGTTAGAGGCAGAAATCAGACCAGAACCAGAACAGAGAAAAAGGATCATGAATGAGGACTAGAGGAGGGACTTCACCTGGACTTTGACATGTCTCTCTCTCTGTCTCTCTCTCTCTCACCTGTCTGTCTCTATAACCTCTCTCTTTCTCTCTCTCTCTCGTTTTCTCTCTCAACTGTCTCTCTCTCTCTCTCTTTCTCTCACACCCGTCTCCCTCTCTCACCTGTCTCTCTCCCCCCTCAGATGTCGGAGTGGATCGCTCACAGTAAGGAGTTGTTCATGCAGAGTCTTGCGGAGGTCGGCCAGAACAACCAGCATGCCCTTGACCTCCAGACACAACACCAGCACTTCACCGCCAACTGCATGGTCAGTGTGTGTGTGCGTGTGTGTGTGTGTGTGTGTGTGTTGTTTAATTGCCCCTGTGGGACTCCTCCTGAACATGCTGTGTGTGTGTTGATGCAGAACGGCAGTGTAAACGTTGACAGCGTGGTCACCGTGGCAGCGAGGCTCGCAGAGGCCGGTCACTACGGGGCGGAGCGGATCGCCATGGTGTCGTCGCGGTTACAAGAGGATTGGAAGTCTCTGACGACAGCACTGGAGGAACGCAGCAACACGCTTGCCATGGCGACTGGGTTCCACCAGGGGGCGGAGCAGGTGATTACCTCTTAAGTGTGTTGACCGGTCATGTGACCGCCTGTTTTACTGCTGATTGGCCAACCTGACTCGTTTCGTCTCGTGTCCAGTTCCTGCTCAGAGTGGAGGGTTGGGTCAAGGTGTGCTCAGAGGGGCCGTTGCCATCGGCGACAGCAGAGCTGGAAGCTGCGACAAAGAAACACCAGGAGCTGAATGAGGAGATCTCTGCAAACTACACACAGGTACCTGTCCCACCTCACACCTGTCCGTCCTCACCTGTCCGTCTCCACACTAACACCCTCCTGTCTGTCTGTGTGTCTGCAGGTCAGTGAGAGCGGTAAAGCCTTGTTGGAAGTCCTCCAACGTTCTCCGGTGACCGAATCTGAAGACTCTGGGACCAAACCAGACTTCACAGCTGCCACGCATGGCATCATGGGAGTTCTGCACCAGGTCATGCAGGTGTGACTCATGTGGCATGTCAACAGTCCACAAAAAACAGGCTGACCGACACCTAAAGGGAGTTTAAAATTTGTTTTCTCTTCTCGAAGGGTCACCATGAGGTAGAGGGGGCGTGGCAGCACCGTAAGCTCCGCCTCCACCAGCGTCTGCAGCTGTGTGTATTTCAACAGGATGTTAGACAGGTAGGACTCATTGTGATTCAGATTAACTCCAACTTCAGGTCCAGATACCTTCGTTTTTTTTAATTTTACATTAGTTCTGTTGATGCACTTTTATTTTGAAATTTGTTTGATGACTTAAAATCCAAAGATTTATTTATTGATTTATTTATTTATGCCTCTGACTGCCTGTGTCTGTCTCTCAGGTGTTGGACTGGGTGGAGCAGCACGGGGAGGTCTTCCTGAACAAACACAGCGGTGTGGGCAAATCTCTTCACCGAGCTCGAGCGCTGCAGAAACGCCATGACGACTTCCAGCAGGTCGCACAGGTAACAGGAAAAAAAGCCGGACTAACTAAACCCGAGAAAACCGTTTTAGAGGGTCCAGCACGCTGCTGTTAATGTGGATCTTCAGACTCGGAAGGATTCAGTGTTTACTGATGACCAATCCTAATGTAAGCACTAACATCAGCCCTGTGCATGCGCTTGTGTGTGTGCGTGTGTGTGTGTATCAGAACACTTACACTAATGCAGAGAAGCTTCTGGAAGCAGCCGACCAGCTGGCTCAGTCTGGAGAGTGTGAGGAGGAGGAGATCTACCAGGCGGCCCGAGACCTGGAGCTCCGCATGCAGGTAAACTCTGACAGGAAAGAGAAAACATGTTTTTATTTAGATTTTTTTTTACTCTGAGATGGCGTCAGAAACTCCTCCTCCAGTCCTCGCTCACTTCTCTCCTCGCCGTGTGTTTAGTCACGTCCGGTTCACGTCGTTTGTTTAGTCCCGTCCTCGTGTTTCACGGGTCGTATGAATCACCGTAACGAGGGTTTTTCTTCTCAGGCCTTTATTCAGAGAGTGGAGCAGAGGAAGCTGCTGCTGGACCTCGCTGTGTCTTTCTACACACACACCAAGGAGGTAACACACACACACACACACAGTGTAAATACTGTCACAATAAGTGCAGTAATATGCTGTTATATATTGTTACAGTCTTTCAGTAATAATGGGTTAGAGATCAGTTATGATACATTCTTCCTCTTTCCTCTCTCCTTCTCTCCTAATGATCCTCCTGCTCATTTCACTGTCTCCTTAAATTTTGCTCTATGTCTGCTCCTCACCTGTCCTCCTCTTCTTCTCTCCCTTATCCCCTCCCTACATTCCTTTACCCTTACTACCTCTCTCTTTCTTCCTCCACCCTCCTCTTAACATCCTCCCTTCCTCCTCTCTCCTCCTTTGTCTCCTTTCTTCCTTCATTTCCTCCCTTTTTCTTTGTCTCCTCTCTCCCTTGTTCCTCCTAACTTACCTCTTCTCTTCCTCCTCATCCCTCCTTCCTCCTCTCTGCTTCCTTCTTCCTGTCCTCCTTCCTCCACTCTTTCTTTCCTCCTGTCCTCCCTCCTACCACCTCAACCCTTCTTCCTCTTCTCTCCTTCCTTCCTCCTCTCGCTTTCCTTCCTCCTGTTGTCCCCCCTCTCTCTCCTTTCCTCCTCCTGTCCTCCTTCCCCCTCTCTCTTTCCTTCCTCCTGTCCTCCTTTGTCCTTTCCTCTCTCCTTCCTTCCTCCTATCCTCCCCCCTTCCTCCTCTCTTCTCCTCTGTCTCCTCCCTTCCTTCATCCTCTCTCCTCCTCTGTCTCCTCCCTTCCTTCCTCCTCTGTCTCCTCCCTTCCTTCTCTATCTCCTCCCTTCCTTCCTCCTCTTTCTTTCCTTCCTCCTGTCCTCCTTCCCCCTCTCTCTTTCCTTCATCCTGTCCTCCCTGCTTCCTCTTCTCTCCTTCCTTCCTCCTGTCCTCCCTCCTTCCTCCTCTCTCTTTCCTTCCTCCTGTCCACCCTTCTCCCCTCTCTTTCCTCCCTCCTTTCCTCTCTCCTTTCCTCCTCCTGTCCTCCCCCCTTCCTCCTGTCCTCCCTCCCTCCTCCTCTCTCTTTCCCTCCTCCTTTCCTCTCTCCTTTCCTCCCCCCTAGCTCTCAGCCTGGATGGAGGGTCTTCAGAAGCAGCTCTCCTCTGATCTCTGCGTCTGTCCGGACTCAGTCGAGGCTCTGCAGACTCTCATCAGTCAACAGCAGCAGCAGCAGGCCAACACGCAGGTACCTGCTGACCTTTGACCCCTTACCTGAAGTCTAACCCGGTCATAACATCCTAACACACCCCTGACCTCTGACCCCTGGCCTCTAACCCTCACACTAACCCTGCCTCTAACCCTGACCCACAGGAGGCTGCGATGAGTGTCATCCGGGAAGGAGAAGACCTCATCCTGCAACTCAGGTACACACAGAGTGGGTGCGTTTGATTCACGCCTCGGCGCTGCACAGGTGCACTTTGTTTGTTTCCTGTGCTCTCACAGATGTTTGATTGTTTGTCAGGCTGAGCTATGTTTAGCAGTTTTTCTGTTTCTGTCAAATGTTGGGTGCGTTTGTTTTCTATTTTAAGACATGAGGATGTTTGTGTTATGTGGGAGTTTGTTTCATTGAGCAGGACAGCCCTGCAGTCTGCGTGGAGTTGGTTTATAATGACTGTAGGTGTGTTTGTTTGATGGTTATAATGGTGCGTGGGTGTGTGGGTCAGATGTTTCTCAGATGTGTGAACCTTGAAGGTGGGTCGGTCTTTACGTTCATGAAGCTCGTGTCGGTGTGTTTTTTTCTTCAGGTAGCCTGTGTGGGTGCGTTTCTAATCTACATGTGCACGTGCCATTATCTAATATTTATTCAAACCTGTGTGGGTGCGTTTAGTTTTGACTTTGTGGTCCAATGCATGTTCCATGAATTGTTTCTTCTTCCGACCTGTGTGGGTGTGTTTGATTTCCCTTTATTAGGACATGTTTATCGAAGTTTGTGGATGTTTCAGTTCACAGGTCCATTTTTTTTGCGGTTTGTTTTTCATCTTCTCGCCTTAAAGTAGGACAATGGTTGGCTTTGTTTCCAGATTAGCTTGACCGTTTTAGGTGCGTTTGTTTCAGGCCCCAGGGCAGCTCGGTGGCTCACGTGGAGTCGGTGCTTCAGCAGCTGGAGGAGTCTCATGTTCAGCTGGAGGAGCTTTTCCACCAGAGGAAGATCCGATTAGATGTTTACCTCCAACTCCGCATCCTGCACCAGTGCACTCTGGAGGTTCGCTCTCATTTATTCACAGATAAAACTTTTTCCGTTTCTGCGTCCACGCCGTGAAGGCTCGATGACTTACTTTTGTGTTTTTTCTCTCAGGTGACCGGGGAGATGGACGCTTGGAAGCAGGACCTCCAGAAACAGTCGCAGGACTTCTCAGCAGAGAAACTTGCGACACCGAGACTCGCTGACACAAACCAGGACAAGATGGCTCAGGACAAGCTCACGCTGGGACAGGCTCGGCTCGCAGAAGCTAGCCCCGAGGTGCTGACGCTTGCACAGCAGCGCATTCACAGGTAAACAGGAACATGACATGTCAGTAGAGTTTTGATATCGCAATAATATTGTAAATTCTTCGCTCATGATCGTTGAGAAGTTTTTTTCTTGACTGACTCAACGATTGATTGATTGATTGATTGATTGATCCTCAGGCACATGGAGCGAAGGCTGGCCATGAACAATATGATCTACGAGGTCATCCAACAAGGTCACGACCTTCAGCAGTACATCACTGAGGTCCAGGCGTCAGGTGAGCGTCACATCGTCGTACTTCAACTATCGCTGTGTTTAACGCCGCTTGAACTGATACGAAGAGTTAATCATCATCTATTCACCGTGTCTTTAAATAAAAGAACACAACGGTATTGAAGTATCGATGAGTGTTTTCTGGTGATTCTTGATTAAAGTCTTTCAGAGGTCCTATGATGGAGTTTTATCCTTCTTCGGGGAGCTTCAGATATTTAAAATTCAGGCTGTAGATCCTTGAAAGCCTCACACGGGTTTGAGAAGCGCCTCTGGCCTTTTAAAAGTTCCTGTAGGCGTTGCGGTGGTTCCTGAGAGAAATCATCTGGACCCTGAGACTGCAGATTAGCTGGTTAATGGGGGGAACGAGTCTTTAAGGGTTCTCAACGGTCCTTGAGGGAGTTCCAGTGGTCCCTTGTGAAATTCTTAGGTACACTGACGGTGCTTCAAGGAAAATCTCAGATGGTCCTTTGAGAGGTTTACATGATCCCAGAGGAAGCCCCAGGAGTTTTTTCATATTCCAGGAATCCTGAAATCTCTTTTGAAGGATCATGAGGGTGTTTTAAAGGTTCCTTATGAGATATTAATGTTCCTAAAGAGGGTACAGGGATCATATGAAGGGCCCTCTTGGTCTTTTAGGAGCTTTTCTAAGAGGAGGGACAGTTTTTGTGGGTTCTGGTGTCCTGAGAAGGTCCTCTTGAAGAACCCCGGTGGTTGTTGAGGAGTTTCCAAAGATCTTTGGTCGTCCTTCTTCAGTCCTGTTGGTTTGAGGGTCACTGAGAAACTCTCCAGAGGTTTCTAATGTTTCCTTGAGGGGTTGCAGAGTTACTTAATTGGTTTCCACAGATTTTAATTGTGCTTTAGTGGTTTTGGAGGAGTCCCTGAAGGCCAAAAGTCTGTTACCATCGAGGACATAGAGATTCATAAAAGTGTTCATGTGATCCTTGAAGTGTTTCCAGTGTTTTTGGATTTCCAAACCGTTTCTGAGGGTTTTCCAGGGTTCATTAATGGCTTCAAAGACCCACACTCTGGCTAAAGGCCGAACTGGCAGGAAGTGAAACAGTTCACAGATCAGAACAGACGGCCATATTGATTTTTCCCCCTCTTTTGGAGAGAAAATAGCTCAGAGTGGAACATACAGCAGGCGGCTTTTTATTGTCATGATACGGCGAAGCGTCGGTCTGACCAGCTCAGGAACACACTGATGATATTAGGGGGGAAAGGGGGGCAGAGGATGATGGGGGGAGGGGGAAAGGGGGATGAGGTTGCCATAGAAACTGCTCTCTGAAGCACACAGCTGGTCCCCATGGAAACCAGCGTATTGAATTTGCCATGGAGACACACACAGAGACACACATACACACATACAGGCATCCATGCACACGATTACAAACAGAGAACTTAAAACACCGAACATAGAAGTACTTCACTCTGACCATGTACACGTGTGTGTGTGTGTGTGTGTGTGTGTGTGTGTGTGTGTGTGTGTGTGTGTGTCAGGTATCGAGCTCTCAGAGGCAGAGGGAGGTCTCTCCTCTCAGGTGGAGGAGCTGCAGCACCTCCTGCAGGACAAACAAAAGGAGCTGCAGCAGATTGCAGATCACACACACACACACCTGGAGCAAAACCTGCAGCTGAGACACCTGCAGAGCCAAGTCAAACAGGTAACACACAGTCAAACGCACGCACACACACACACACACACACACACACACACACACAGATCCAGGGGTTCACTCACCTGTCCGTCCCCCTTTGACCGTCTGTCTGCGTGTCTCAGGTTCTGGGTTGGATCTCTGAAGGGGAGGTCATGTTGTCATCCTGCATGTTGAACTCCAGCTGTTTGTCTGAGGCTGAGCAGCTGCAGAGGGAGCATGAGCGCCTCCAGCAGGCCATCGAGGTAACTGCACACAAAACACACAATATCAAGGAGAATTCTACACATTTTTGGGATATTTTGTTGACACAAAGGAAGACAAAAACAACAAGTGGGTGAGCTTAATATAGAGAGAGGCTAATATCATCACAGCTCGGATATAAAGGTCACCGCTGCAAAGTGACACTAATGAGGACTTCAGATAACAGGTCGTTTGGTTGGATTAGAGGGAGTGAAGGTGACGTACCTGACGTGTGCTCTTCTCTTTGTCTTTTAGGCCCTGCTGCATGCCGACTCCCTGCAGAGGACCCACCAGGTGGCTCTGGCTCTGCAGCAGAGAGCAGAGCTGCTGGTCAGGTTAGTTTTTGACTGCAGTGGTTATTAATGCGAGTTAACAGAAAACCTCATCAACCAGGCAGGATGTAGAGATTGGATTTGAAAGTTACAAAATCTGCGACTTCTCTCCTCTAAGGTCGGGTCACTATGATCCAGACGCGGTGAGGTCCTGCGCCCAGACGGTGGCGCTGCACTGGCAGACTCTGATGCTGAGGATTGAAGACCGGCTCAAACTAGTCAACGCTTCTGCAGCCTTTTACAGAACATCCCAGCAGGTACCGCTGACGGTCATCTGTCTGTCTGTCTGTCCTGATTTACGACCTGTCCGTCCCTTTACCTGCCTGTGCGTCTCCTCAGGTGTGCGGGGTGCTGGAGAGTCTGGAGCAGGAGTACCGCAGAGAGGAGGACTGGTGTGGAGGTGGAGACAGACAACCTGAACAGCTGCTGCCCCTCATCAACAAACACATGGAGCAGAAGGAGGCGTTCCTAAAGGTGAGGAGGAGGAGGAGCTGAAACTCTTTCCCAGAATCCTTCAGTCATAACTTTCATGGACCTATAAAGAAGGAAAACCAGAGAAACCGAATTACAGGAAAGTTAAGGTTAACGGTCAGTCAGTAGGCTGCAGGTGATACCTGACATCCTTGTTTCCATGGTGACAGGCTTGCACTCTGGCCAGGCGGAACGCTGAAGTTTTCCTCAAGTACATCCACCGCAACAGTGTCACCATGGCGAACATCTCGGGCCACAGCGTCACTGTCTCTGGGGTCACAGAGGTCACCGGGCACTCCAGGGTACCTGAACAACAGGTCAAAGGTGAACGAACGACAGTACAAATGAGGGGCTCAGTAGCAGTCAGTCGTGATTTGAGTTTGAAAATATGAATACCAAAGGACCCAACATGGAGCCCTGAGGAACTCCACGGTGAACAGTTTCTACACTTTTATCTGACCCAGGTGTGTTTTTGTTTTGTCTGCAGGTATCCTGAGTGAGCTGCTCCAGAGAGAAAACAGAGTCCTTCATTTCTGGACTCTGAAGAAACGAAGACTGGATCAGTGTCAGCAGTACCTGATGTTTCAGAGCCACGCCCAGCAGGTAGACCTGAGCACCCTTGACCAAATATGGCGTTACTTTAAAAAAAACTGATGTGCCAAAAGAACGAAAACCCTTTCACTTTATTGTCTTAAAACGTTGACTTCGGCCTGATGATTGCAGACTCTAATCAAACATGTACTTCCTGTTGCAGGCCATGGATTGGCTGCAGCAGTCAGGTGACCACTACTTAGCCACGCACACATCGGCGGGGGCGTCAGTCACAGAGACGCAAGAACTGCTGAACCAACACAGAGAGTTTTGTGTTTCCGCCAAGGTGAGAGCACACACACTAACACTAACACTAACAGGTGTGCGGTCTTTTGGTGATGATGTCATCACGTACTTGTGCATCTGTTTCTCAGCACACTCAGGAGAAGGTTCACCTGCTCATCCAATTAGCTGAGAGCATGCTGGCTAAAGGACACGCCCACCGCACAGAGCTCCGTCGCTGCGTCTCCACGGTGGATAAACGTTACCGCGACTTTACAGTCAGGATGGGTCAATACCGCCACCTGCTGGAGACGGCGCTGGGTGGATGTTCACAGGTACGACTGTTCGTCCAGAATAAAACGCCTACAGCACAGTTCGGATACAGTCATGTGATCAAACGTCTCTCTTGTTCCGTCAGGACAATAAGGACCTGGAGCTCGAACTGATCCCCAACAGTCTGTCCGACTCAGACCCCGAGGTGAACCTGTCGGACCCGAGTCATCAAGTCAGCGACGAGAAGAGACGATCAGCCCGCAAGAAAGAGTGAGTGCCGTTTGTCCGAATGTTCGTCAAAGTACTCAGAGCGTACGTGGTTCTGTAACAGCTGCTCATGCGTCCTCAGGTACATCATGGCCGAGCTCCTGCAGACAGAACGGGTCTACGTCAGAGACCTGCAGGAGTGCATCGAGGTACACGCCAAAAACCATCACAGAGCATGCAGAACACGTTTAGATCCTCATGAGGTCTTCTGGTCTAGATTTGTGAAAGTCGCACTTCATCATTCTGTCTGTAGATGTTTATTGACTCCAACAGCGCCCTCTGCTGGCTCGTCTGCACACACATCACAAACACAATCATGAAAAAGAAAACACCCATGATCCTTTGCAGAGTTACATTCAATAGTGATTACCTCTGTGCAGACGTACCTGTGGGAGATGACGAGCGGCTCAGAGGACGTCCCATCTGGTCTCTCTAACAAGGACGACATCGTGTTTGGGAACATCCAGGACATCTACGAGTTCCACAACAGGTACGGCTGAAGAACTCTGATAAGACGGGTTTGTAGATGTTCTGTGATACCTGAGGTTCACTGAAACACCTTCCTCCATTTTACAGCATTTTCCTGAAGGAGCTGGAAAACTACGAGCAGCTTCCTGAGGATGTTGGTCACTGCTTCGTCACCTGGGTAACAGTTGTTTTCATTATTAAACCGTTTAAGACGTACGTTTCTAATTAAAACCCTCTGAACGGATGATCCTGTTTGTGTCTCAGGCGGATAAGTTCCACATGTACGTGACGTACTGCAGGAACAAACCGGACTCCAGTTTACTCATCCAGCAGCACGGAGTCGGGTTCTTCGAGGTCAGGGCGTCTTTTTTTACTTCGTTCAAAATTATAAAACAAAAATCTTCAGTGGTCCAGGTGGGATAATACCGGTGCAAATGTGCTGCAGTAATTACTTTGGACATTGGGGAGTTGCACAAGTTCTGCAGAATACACAACAGTTGTGTGTTCAAATGCCAAAGTTTTCCAGGAACTTGTCTTGAAAGCAAACGCTGCGTGAATCCATGAATCACTGCGGGAAACACCGCCTGTTTTCTAGGGCAGAGAATTAGAAGAAAATCTGTGTCATATATCAAACTTCATTTCCACCGATCTCCTTTATTTTTCATCACCTCAGGAACTCGAGAGGAGCTCCTTCTTTAAGATCACAAACTTTTGCTCAGTTAGAAAAAGGAAGAAAAGCAGTTGTGAACCACTTCTGAAATTTTGTTTGTGCAGGAGGTCCAGAGGAGACACGGTCTGGCCAACTCCATCTCCTCGGCCCTCATCAAACCGGTTCAGAGGATCACCAAATACCAGCTGCTGCTGAAGGTAACACTGCGTCCTTTACTCCGTTTGCCTTTCAGAAGGAGAGCAGGGCTGATCCTGCAGAAACGCAGGAGTTAAATGAAGGGGAAAAATGAATGTTTGTTCCTTCTGCCTGTTTGGAAAACACAACACCTCTGAGGATTTCACTGAGAGCAGCTTTAAATCCAAAAAACACTTTATATGGAGCCCAGAGGACGCAGTCTGTGTGCCCAGAATAATAAATGAAAGAGGTTTCATGTTGGTTTGAAAACTGGGGCTCGGCAGCAGCGGGGGTCCGACGATGACGTCCACACAGACTCCTCGGTTTTCATGTGTCTTTGTTTTTATCTGTTCGAGGTAACGTTTGCAGCTGTGGGGGAAACTCTGGCAGCTTTACAAGCAAAATTATATTTAACAACAAACTCATATTTTTTAACCGGGGAAAACACTTGAACTTGGTCCTATTTGTGTTCAAAGGAGATGAACAATATGCTCGGTTTTTGCTGCATCAGAACGGAAAGCGTGAGCTGGAGATGTGTGAGTTTTATTCGGAGTAATGACGTTTGGGGGTTTTCGTGTTCGCAGGAGTTGTTGGCGTGCTGCGAGGAGGGGAAAGGCGAGATCAAAGAAGGCCTGGACGTGATGCTGAGTGTGCCAAAGAGAGCGAATGATGCTATGCATGTTAGCATGCTGGAAGGTAACACACACCTCTTATGACATTTACACAAATATGAACACAATCATGATGAGGGAAGGTGAGACTGTACCTGCGCTCGATGTCACTCTCAGGTCTGGAGGAGGGTCTGGAGGTGCAGGGAGAGCTCCTCCTCCAGGACTCGTTTCTGGTTTGGGAGCCAAAGTCTCTGATTAGAAAGGGGCGGGACCGACACCTCTTCCTGTTTGAGCTGTCACTCATCTTCAGTAAAGAGATCAAAGACTCGTCCGGACGAACGAAATACCTCTACAAGAGCAGACTGAGGGTAAACACAAACACACCAAACGGCTTTACAGATTATTATGTTTGAAAAGATGTCATCCTGTTTACCTGCTGCTGCGTTGCCATGACAACATGTCCCCCCTCCCTCCCTCTCTCTCTTAGACCTCAGAGCTCGGTGTGACGGAGCACATCGAGGGAGATCCCTGCAAGTTCGCTCTGTGGGTGGGACGAACGCCGACATCAGACAACAAAACGGTCCTGAAGGTGAGTGAGAAGAAAAAGTGTTCGCTTAGTTTCCAGAAGAAGACATTTCACCTGAACCAGCGCTCTGCTCACTTTCTCTCCGGTTCGTTCACTTCTTGTCCCGTCCTCAGGCGTCATCCTTAGAGTTAAAGCAGGAGTGGGTCCGCAGTATTCGACAGGTGATCCAGGAGAGGCGGGGCCACCTGCGAGGGGCGCTGAGGGAGCCCATTCCCCTCCCGAAGACGCCGAACCCGACCCTGGGACGTCAGCGCAGCATCAGCCGCAGGTCAGCGCACACAGACACGCTAACATCGTTAACACACGTGTGGTAGATTCCTGTGATCATGTGACCTCCGACTGACCGTCTGTTTTTAACATTTAACCCTCTGCTCGCTCTGTCCTCACATTTACAGACGCTTTAGACCAAACTCCAGTCAGAAATCCGTCTGTTTTACACATACAGGACCTTAAGCTCCGCCCCTTTAATAAACACTGACGCCACAACCAGACTGATCGATTAATCGCACAATAAGACTCTTTTCTGCATGAGGATTTAAAAGCATGAGGAGAGAGGGTCCATGTGATGTATTTAACACGCCTTTCTGTGTGTGTGTGTGTGTGTGTGTGTGTGTGTGTGTGTGTGCGTGTGTGTGTGTGTGTGTGTCACAGGGAGACGAGCGAGGATGCAGACAGTCTCGGAGATGCGAGCAGTCAGCCGGACACCGTCTCCATCGCCTCCAGAACGTCACAGAACACTGCAGACAGCGACAAGGTAACACACACTCTCAAACACACACACTCAAACACACACACTGAGGGGTGTGTCAGAAAGTCTCATGACCTCATCCAAGCTGCAGCTGGCTGGGCGTGTGTGTATGTGTATGTATGTGTGTGTGTGTGTGTGAGGGAGTTTCCTCTGCAGATTCTCTTCTAGTAACTTTCACTTCTTCTCCGCTCTGCAGACGAGGTACGTTTGATTTGTTTACCTGTTGGTGTTCGCTGACGGTGGGTGGGGTCAACTGCTTGCGATATGACCTCTGACCCTTGACTGTCAGACATGCATGCTGTGAGATTTTGATAGTGGTCAGAGCGAAGGAAGAGAGAGAGCGGCTGTCATTGGTGGAGGAAGAATTCAGATGTTTGATGAATCAAATGAGGATCATCTCGCTGGAGCTGAAGGTTGACAAACATCAGAGATGGTTTTATGTCAGAGAATCGATTCAGGATTGATTAGAAATCGACAGTTTGATTGATAAAAACTACTTTAAAATATACAATAGGTACTCGATCTGCTCAGAGTCTACATTTTGACTTTGCTTGTGTTGGTTTTGTTTGAACAGTTTCAGGGTTAGTCTTTTCAGGAAATAATCTTGTTTACGATATAATCTGATTTACAATTTACACACCAGCTGAGCAAAGAGAAACAGGTCGAGGGACCAGAGAGCAAATATTTCCACTCACCCGATGTTGTTTGATCATCAAACTCAGGTGACCTGATGTGATTTGTGACAGCAAAATCCAGCAGAGGCTCAAATAAAGACGTCATCTCTACTGTGAGTGACCGACCCTGGATGGAAACACAGACGATAAAAGGACCGTTACATTCCTGAGAGAGAGAGAGAGAGAGACAGAGAGAGGCCCCTGGAAGTACAAGCTTTGGGTCCTTTTGGTGGACTTTTGATTCGTTTATAAAATATTACTACTTTACATTCATCTAAGAGCTTTTCTTCGAGGTTACCGTCTAACTTTCGTTCAATATTCTGAATGTAACTGACCAGCTGGTGTAAAAATCAGTCATAAGGCATCATTGATTGATATTTATGATTTGAGGTTGTCCCTGTATGTCACCATGAGAGGACCCTGACCATGAGAGGACCCTGACCCTGCAGACTCGGCTGTTTTGCATTATTAGGACTGTATTTGGATAGATTAGGAACAAACTGCTGATGTTTCTACTTTTATGGAGGATATTCGATCAGCGTAGTAGAACAGTGGAATTTTAAAGATGCATCAAAAACACTGAAAGTGTTCAGGTGTTTTCCACAAAACACACGTGTTTCTGTCTTTTATGTGTGTGTGTGTGTGTGTGTGTGTGTGTGTGTGTGTGTGTGTGTGTGTGTGTGTTCGATAAAAGGAGAGAGAGATACTTGCTGAGCTGTTTACTGATCACATCTGTGTTCGATTTGGACGGGAAACACCCCACTACTCCCTACAGACGCTCTGAGTGTGTGTGTGTGTGTTAGTGTAAGTGTGTCTGTGTGTGTGTGTTTCCTCCAGCAGCTGGAGCCCATGTGCTCCCCCAACACACACACACACACACACACACACACACACACTCTCACATACACACACAGACACAAAGCTTTTCCTTTTAATGTCCAGGCTCACATGATGTTTTCTTCTCCCCTCTTGTCCAATCAGAGCTCAGAGCTCCCTGCTCTGTGATTGGTCAGTTGGAGATCATATATCAGCATGATGTATGGAGGTTTCACGGTTTTTATTTTTGCCATTTTTCATGGTTTTTTTTACTTCAGAGAAGGAGGAAAGCTTTTGTTTTGGGTCTCTTGGGAGAGAGTGAAGAATTCATGAAGGAGGTGAAATAATGTGTTCACGTGTTTGAGTGGAATGACATGGTTAATATGGTTCAGGTGTGACTCTACCTGAGCTTCCTGCACCGATCTTTATAACACGCTGTTAACAGACTCACTAAAGTTTGAATGAACACACCCAGCCATCTGCAGCGGCTCTGACATCATGACACACACACACACATCCAGATATACACACACACACACACACACCCCTCTGGACATGACATATGTGTGTTTAAAGTAAGTGTTTGCTTGTGCTGAAACTGCAACTTTAAAACTTGAAACACAGATGATTTGACGGGATAACCGCTAATACAGGCCTCAACAGTGCGACTATTTCACTCACATTTGCGACCTAAAATAGATGTGTGCGAATTGTAAAATATATTTAGGGTCACATGTGCGCATAAAAAAAATCTGCAGAGGTAACGAATGATTTTTCCTTTAAATACGGCGGTGAAGTTAGTTTGAGGTTGGATATCTAACGGATGTTCACTGAGGATCTACCGGTGTCTTCTCACTCTCCATAACCGGGAATAACAACAGCAGCGCGGTTTAATCTATCGGCACCCTCACTGTCAACGTCTGTGTTGAATAAGGGACCGTCAATAAATTACTGGTTGATTTTCTCAGAAAAGTCTGTTTCTCTTCAACAGCTTCCATGTCATGTGACCAATTGACCTAAAATTGATTTCTAATAATAGTACTAAGGTCGGACGATAAGACACATCTCTTTTTTTCTCAAATTTGTCCTCCAAAAATGTTTGGGACCAAATTTTGAACCTGTCCTTCAATAGCTTCCATGTCATGTGACCAAAAGAACTTAAACAGATTATTTGTTCCATTTCTATTGTGCCCCTAAATTTCTTTGTGAGCTCCTAGTGAAAAGAAACTGTGTCTAGCCCTGTATGACTCAAACTTGCTGAGGTTAAAGATGAGTCTGTCTCACCTGTGTGTCCACCTGTCTGTGCAGCTGTCAGGAGGCTGTGAGTTAGTGGTGGTGCTCTTGGATTTCTCCTCGGGGGGCTCCGGAGAGCTCAGCGTTCGCTGCGGTCAGACGGTGGAGCTGGTGGAGCGCTCTGCAGACCGGCCCGGGTGGTGTCTGGTCAGAACAACAGATCAGTCACCTCAACAGGTAACAAAATCAAATCTGAAATCTTGAAGAAGTAAATAAACCCAAAAGTAAAACAGAAAACACAGATATGACAGAAAACACTCACCTCTGATATTTTTAATCTCCTCTTCTCCTGCAGGAGGGCTTACTGCCCATGAGCACCCTCTGTCTGTCACACTCACACAGTGCAGCCGACATGGAGGGGCTCGTCCCGGCTTCCACCACCTCCTCCAGCACGTCCTCTACATCCACCACCACTTCCTCCACCTGCAACTCTGCCACCACCACCTCCTCCTCCAACTCCTCCTCCACCATCAGCGCCGGGAAGGGTAAGAGTGGGTGACATCTCTCTTCCTGTCTGTGGGCTGGAGGGTTTTGTTTACAACGTTAGCGCGAGCCAACACGAGACCGCACCTCAACCGTAGATCCGGTATTTACATGAATGACAGCAAGACCCCCCCCCCCCCCCCCATTAATCATTGAACAATTTTTAAGATTTTAGATAAAGAAACATGGAGCAGCTTTAATTTAACGTGCAAAAATCTAACAAATTAATGTCACAAAAAGTACAGAATATTTTCATGATTTCTGTGACTTATTTTATCAGACAGTGAAGTTTGTAGTCGTGATTTTACAGATTTTTAGATCATATTATCTTCCCTTTTCAACCCTCTTTTCAGTCATAAAAGGTTTTCCATGTGTATTTGTGTGTTTATATTTGTTTCTCCACGTTTAGCCTTCTTTACAAAAAATAAATCCCAATATGAGATACTCCTGTCCTCTTTCTGCTCCTTATACAATCTCCCGCTGCTGCAGCACTTCCTCTGTTTGCCTCATGTCACTTCCGCCTCAAACAGAGTGAATTTAAACATCCTCAGCCTCCAGCACAGAGTGTGTGTGTGTTTGAGTGTGTTAGTGTGTGTGTGTTTGACTTTTCCCTAGCCCTGTCTCTCGCTCTTTCTTTTCTCGTCCCTCTAAATATTTAAATGCTGGTTTGTAAAGCTGCGAGCGCGCCCGTCAGTCCCCGTGTTCTTGTGCTGAGCTGGGCATAAAAAATTGAACCTGTTTTGTTTGTTTGTTGGGATCTGCTGGTTCACATTAACGTCAGTCTGAGTGACTGAAAGCTTTGACTGCAGGATGTTAAATCTGTATATGTGGAAATATAACAAAACTAATGTTAACATAAATTACATAATGTTCCTTTAATTTACCAAACACGTGTGCTGATATCAACCAAAACAGAGTAAGTAGTGCTCTGTGCTTTAATATATAAACCTGATTAATATTAAACCCACAGCCTCAGTGTGATAATCTGCAATCTAACCACACACACACACACACACACACACAAACACACACACACGCACACACACACACACACACACACACACACACACACACACACAGAGTCAGAGTCCAGAGGTAAGACGGTTTCAGGGTTAAAGATTGACCTGAAGGCGCTGAGACTCAACAGGAATCCACAGTTTTAACATCCTGACAGTTTGTGTGTGTGTGTGTGTGTGTGTGTGTGTGTGTGTGTGTGTGTGTGTGTGTGTGGCCCCCTGCTGGGTCTTCTTCCCTGTCATTAAACAATGGGAGCTGCAGTTTAAAAATAAGTGGAGCTCTTCAGGTCAAGTCTGCTCATATTTCAGTTTGTTTAGTTTCTCTCCAGAATGAATTTGTGTTTCCTTCTTTTTCATAATTCTTTCAATTATCACTCTTTTTTTATTTTCAAAGATTTTATCTTATCCAAATTATCTTTAAGTTTTATTTTCTAAATTAATGATAGTTTAATTTGATTAATGGATCCCATAAAATTTGATGCTTTTTGTTGATTTTTTTAATCCAGTCTGTTTTTGTATTTTTATATTTTATCTTGAAAGGCCTTTATTATTTTGTCGCCTCTCATTATTCAAGTTATTTAACTTATTAATTTACATTATAAAATAATAAGTTAAAAAATCATTAATTTTGGAACTGTTCTGGAGGCCACACCCCCTCTCACTCTGACCCGCCCCCCATGCATCCTGACCCCGCCCACAAACCTCTTACTCCTCTGTAGTTTCTCTCAGCCTGGAGTGAAGAAACTGCTCTCAGTCTGACTCTCTATACCAGGGGTGGATTTTTAAATGTTCCTCTGAATGGATTGATGCCGAAGTATGCAGAGGGGCAGAGGTGCATGCTGGGATTGTTCTGCCATTTGGGAATGGATTGTGGGAGCGGGTCGGGACGAGCGAGGTGGGTTTTAAAGTGAGAATGAGAAGGAAAGAGAGAGAGAGAGGAGGCATGAGTGTGTTGGTTAATAAGTGATAGAGGAAAGTGACTGTGTTGACCTCTATGCTCGCTCGCTCTCTCTCTCTCTCTCTCTGAGTTTCACTGTCTCTCTACCATCACTGCTAAACTAAAACACACGGAGCGACTTCAAAGAAAAGGCTGCAGGAATGTTCCTGATGAATTTGTCGAACTGGACCTGCAGGTTTTTCTTTCTCTCTGCTCAGGCTGCACAGACACCACTCCCAACACATTCAGCCCTGTGTGAGCGTGTGTGTGTGTGTGTGTGTGTGTGTGTGTGTGTGTGTGTGTATTCAGTCTGCAGGAGGTCCTTCTTCACTGAGAGAGGATGAACTGTCTGTCTCTACATTTCTGTCCCCTGTCCCTCTCTCTCGGTCTCTTAGTCTCTTCTGGAGCGATAAAAAAAGAAGCTCATGAAATAAAAACGAATAGAAACTGTTCCTACACTTTCTCACGTGGTGTGTGTGTTTGTGTTTGTGTGTGTGTCTGCAGACTCGAGTGTGTACGGATCTGAAGGCTCAGCGCTCAACAGCCAAACAACAACACAAAGTAAGAAAGGAACGCTCTGGATTCACCACCGCGCCGACACGGTGACACGGTGAGCTCGCCTTTACGCTGATGACGCCCTGTTCTTTCTCTCCGTCAGGTGCCACCTCGCCTACAGTGTATGGAGCAGGTGGGACTCCAGGGGGTGCCGTGGGTTCTCCGGGGCCAAAACGCACCGTCTCTGCAACCGGGAACACTCTGAAGGTAACAGCTGGTCATCATCATCATCATCATCATCATCATCGCTCTGTTAACAGAAAGGAGCAGAGTTAGAGATACTTTCTTACCCGTACGCCAATTCCTACCGGATCTATTTGCGAGGCGAATTTCCTGGCGGATTACGGACGGCGGGAATCACAAGAAATCACAAGAACCCGCAGATTCACGTGCAATCCGGCGATAACAAGTTGTCTCTATAAAGACAGACACATAGACATATAAGCAGTAGATCGTGTCCTTCCAGTGGAGGAAATGTACTTCTAGACTTCTAGAATCAGCATCTCCTCATCCATGGTGTCATCGGAGTGAGATGACGTCTAAAAACCTTTCACTTGTTCAGAGTGTTTTATTTTGAAAAGTAGCCGGATGTTTTATTTTGTGTCTGTGCCCGACTTCCTTTCCAGCACGGGTTAATCTGTGCTGAATTTATCCACCATGCTCCGGCGTCCAGAAAAATTAGAACTCTTGCGATCAGCCGTGGAGTCCGCCGATCCGCAGAGGTGGAAATCGACACGTTAACTTGAATAGTTACGATTACAGCTACGATCGGAGGATACGGTCTTTTTGTAAGCGTTCAGGATGGCGTGGAAATTGGAGGTCAGAGTGTGGAACATCTCCGATATTATTATAAGGATTCATAAAAGGAGGGAAAGCTAGGACGAGTTTAACCACTCTGTGAGCGACTGTGTGAGCGAATAGTTCAACAATCTGAGAAACTGGTCCTCCTGCAGTCCTGACTCGTGTCTCTGATGGAACTGAGGTTGTGAAATTTTAAACAATTCAATTTGTGCGTTTGTTTCAGCGCTGGTTGACCAGTCCCGTCCGGAGGCTGAGTCAAGGAAAAGCTGATGGACAGAAGAAACCTCCAATCAGAACCAGGAGGCGGGACAACAGGCCGGAGATCACACCCCTCACTGCCAACGCACAGACGGTACACACAATAAATCGAACACACACGCTCTGAAATATGGAACGAGAGTTAAGGTTGAGTTTTTTGTTCCTGCAGAAGGCGAGGAAGGAGGATGGAGCGCAAAGTGGAGGGGAGGAGGAGCCAGAAGAAGAAAGCCAGAACCCTCTACCGCCGCCGATGCAGATCATCAAAGACCCCAACAACCCTGAGGTGAGCAGAGAGGAGGTGCTGTTTGTACTCCGACTCCTCTTTATTGAAAAAACCGTCTATGGTCTCAATATCTGAAGTCTCCTTCAATACAGCGTGATGTTTAATTTGAATCAAAGTCCCGTTACTAACAGAGATATGTGAGCATTGAAGAAAAACGATGAGCTGAAAGTGCTGAGAAAACATGTATTCACGGCTTAATCTGCTGTAGGAGGATTCATTTGATGTTTCTAAAGCGTCTCTCTGTCCTCAGGCTCTGGACTCGGATCAGGGCTCCAATGAGTCAGACACCGAGCAGAGAAATAAAGCTCTGAGAGGACGCATGTAAGAACCACACTCATCACCTATTTTTAAAGCCAAGCAGAGCGAGTGAAGATCTAAACACGTGCGTCTGCGTTTGCAGGTTTGTGGTTAATGAGATGGTCCAATCAGAGAAGGACTACGTGAAGGATCTGGGCGTGATCGTGGAGGTGAGACTGTGAAACAAGAAGACGTGTGTCAAATGGGATTAAGTGATCTGACTGTTGAGATGGAATAATGAAACGTGGTGAAATATGAGGCTGTCTGTGTGTCGTCAGGGTTTCATGTCCAGACTGGAGGTCAGAGGGATCCCAGAGGACATGAGAGGGAAAGACAAAATCGTCTTCGGGAACATCCAGCAGATCTACGACTGGCACAGAGAGTGAGTCCGACGCACTTAAAAACACAAACATCAACATATCCAATAACTCCGCCTCTTCCTGTCGCTTCAGTCCGATTAAAAACAGACTCCTCCTTCTCCTCGGACTAAACCTTTGTCTCTGTTCTCAGTTTCTTCCTGGTGGAGTTGGAGCGTTGTCTTCAGAATCACGACCTGCTGGCCGACCTCTTCATCAGACACGTGAGTTTAACAGGATTACTCATGATCTCGATTGACTTTCTGATTTTAAACTCTTTTTTTAATGTGTGTGTGTGTGTGCTGCAGGAGCGCCGACTCCACATGTACATCGTTTACTGTCAAAACAAGCCGAGGTCAGAGTTCATCGTCATCGAGTACGAGACCTTCTTCGAGGTAACTTCATTTTCAAATGATCAACTTTGAAAACATTTTTTACAGAGCCTTACGAATGCAGACGTCCCTGCTTTTATCGCTTCTCTGACATTGTTTTAAGTTGTTTTAAATGTATGTAATGGGCTTCGTCAATACGCTTAGAAGGAATTATCTGTGGTGGGTTTAAATCACAAGTTAACATTTGTTCACTCAATCTTCGATTTTTAACAGACAAATCTGTTTCTGCCGGGGTAAAAAGTTCCCTTTGCTGCTGCACTAACCGAGATTAAACAATAAAACGTTTTCAGCCATCCTGTTTGAGTGAAAGTGAATCATAAAATCATTAACAGAGACGTACCTGCAGCACGCTTCAGCAGACAGGATGGCAGGATGAGCAGGAGGCGGTTCAGGAGCCAAAGGCTGAAAAACACAAGAGTTTCCAGATTAAATAAAAGCTCAGCAACGTAAACAACAACCAACTGTCATTAACTGAAACCTGCCTGTCTGTCTGTCTGTCTGTCTGTGCATCGGTCTGCAGGAGATCCAGCACGAGATCAGCTGCAGGATGTCTATCAGTGATTACCTGATCAAGCCCATCCAGAGAATCACCAAGTACCAGCTGCTGCTGAAGGTCTGAGCTCATTTCTACGTCAACAGTCACGTTTATTCAGCTTCTCCTCTCCTCCTCTCTAACGTCTCGTCTCTCTGTGCTCCTGATTTTCTCAGGACTTTCTCAAGTACACGTCTAAAGCAGGACTGGACTGTGAAGAGATCGAGGTGAGGCTCAGTTAGGACCCGCAGGGATGAGCGACTTTCCCTCATGTCTCCTCAAGAGGGCAGCAAAGAGTTTTAAAGCTGCAGCAGAATAAGACAATCAATGTTTCCCCTTTTTATGCTACAATATCACACCGTCCCAACTTCATCACATTTTCTGAACATGTGTGTCTCTTTACAGCTGATACGAAAAAGCATTTTGTTCTTTTTTTGCACTTATTGACAGAGCCATCCTCCTTATTGTCCTGTTACAGCAGACGCTCTTTGTGTACAGTGTGTGTTTACTTTTCCTTGAATTGTGTCTCATCGTTTCTGTTTTTACTTTTTAAACCTCTCATCACGCCTGTTGATCTTCCTGTTTATCTGAACTCGTTCTTATCTCTGTGCGCAGAAAGCGGTGGAGCTGATGTCTTTGGTGCCAAAGCGCTGCAATGACATGATGAACCTGGGGCGTCTGCAGGGATATGAGGTACACCTGCACCCTTAAACTGGTGAATCGTGAAATCCAGATGACTGTAGAGCATTTTCAGAGGGACACATGGCACATTTTTGGATCATAAACTAGAATTGTTATTCAGAACCACACTTTGTTATTATTGCTGGAAATTTTGTGCTCGTGTTTACAAATGTTTCACACTTACCATTACCCATAGATTTGCGCAAAACCAAAATATCGCAATAGAAAACTGGTAATGGAAACACCTAAATTTAAAAAAACCTCTCAAATATCGCTAAAAAGTTTTTATGCTCTCATGAGGTGGTTTTTCAGACGTGTCGATATAGAAGTATATCTCAAAAGTGTAATTGAAACACTATTCTCGCAATTCTACGTCACCGGACGTGACGTAGCGGGTCATGTGATCATGCTTCCGAGTGGGAACTGCCTCCCGGGGGCTTGACATGGTGGGTGCCACAAGAGGCTCAATAACATCACAGTTCATTGAACGTATCCCGGGTCATCCTGAAGTTTTGAATCCACAATTCGTCTGTGAATCCCTCATTAACGATCCTCTCCCAGAAACCCTTCATCCGTGTCCGCTCCCACACCCGCTGCCTTCGTCTTCTGATGACAGCAGCGGCAACAGCAGTAATGGTCACAGAAATAGCTGCTCGAAAACGCAAAATGTTTTGTATCTCCTCCATGTTGGTGTGCAAAAAGGCTTAAGGAATATGAGGTCGCACGGGCAGGAAGTTTACCTCGTTATGCGCTGAACACCATTCAATGGAAACACCCGCAAATCGCAATTGTACTTTGTCAAAATTTGATAAACATCGCTTTTATTTTGTGAAAAATGTAATGGAAACGCAGCGAGTGAATTGGCGATTTTGCACAGTTTAAAAGACGAGAAACTGAATTAAAAAAAAAAGTTGAAGGGGTTTTTTGGAAAGTATAAAAAGCAAAAACTACTTTGTTGGAGGAAAACAAACCAGAGCTGGTTGAAAAAATAGGACAAAAATGAAAACACTGTTTAATGATAAAATTACGTTCTCAAATTGGAGTTTTCTGTTTGGACCTCATGTAGCTTTTATGAAATGGTTTGACACATAACGTCACACAGAGTCTCACCCGTGTCTCTTTGCGGTTCAGGGGAAGCTGACGTCTCAGGGGAAGCTGCTGCAGCAGGAGACGTTCTGCGTTTGGGAGCAGGACGGAGGAGTTCTGTCTCGCAGTAAAGAGCGCAGAGTTTTCCTGTTCGAGCAGATCGTCATTTTCAGCGAACTTCTGCGCAAAGGCTCCAACAACCCTGCATACCAGTTCAAGAACAGCATCAAGGTTAGATTGGTTCGCACAGGTATGAGACAAGGATCTGCGTTTGGACTGATTTATACTGATGCGATTTCGTTGTGTGATCAGGTGAGTTACCTGGCCATGCAGGACAGCGTGGACGGGGATCCCTGTAAGTTCGTGTTGTGGTCTCGGGGCTCAGCAGAGCGCTTCACACTGCAGGCGTCTTCACCTAGCATCAAGATGACCTGGACGGAAACAATCGCGACCCTGCTGGACGCACAGAACAACTTCCTGTCAGGTTGGAACACGCTCACATCTCCCATCAACCACTGCAAAATATCCCTGAACTGTCCGTCAACGACCAAAACGTTTTTAAACTGTGTGTCTGCAGCTCTTCAGTCTCCCATTGAGTACCAGAGAAAGGAAGGAGGGATCTCTGTGACCCGCCCTCTGTCGTCAGGGCGACCACCTTCAGCTCCACCTACACCGAACGGCCACGCCACACAGCCTCCACATGACAGTGAGCAGGACGACCAGGTGCAGATTTCTACTTCTTTTTTAGTGCTTTGTTAGAGGAGTAGGTTGGATTTAAGTTGACCTAACAAGTCCCTGTGACCTTTGACCCTTCAGGAGCTGGTGATGGTGATGCAAGACTTTGTGGCGGTGCGGGAGGATGAGATTTCCGTGTTTCGGGGGGAGAAGGTTCAGATTCTGGCGTCCAACCAGCAGGGTCAGAGTCTGGTGTACCGACCGGCCAACAGCGACTCTCCGGCCGCCGAGGGCTGGGTGCCACGCAGCGTGCTCCACGCGCACTGACACACAAATACACACTCCACACTGACAGCAGGGTCAGAGTCTGGTTTACGACTACTACACACACACACTGACTCAACCATAGGAAGCTAACACGGCCAAAGGCATGCTGGGAAACTCTTTCATGTGGGAGGTAGAGCCTGAATGTGGCGATGATTACTCACCCAAACCAAACTCAAATATCTGTTAACGCTCACTCTGAGGTTTAAGGTACGGATCATGTGACCTCAGAGGGGTCGCCATTCTTTGGCTTTTCATTGCTGACAGTTTCCAGGCAGCCTTTAGGCCCTGTTTACTCTTTTAACACACACACACAGACACATACACACACATACACTTTCCCAGCAGCAGGTACTGTTAGGCTCCGCCCTCCCCCCCTGGTGCTTCAGCATTGAGCCAAAACACACCTCCGTTCTCGTCCAACCGGGACGTCAGGTCAGCCTCCGGTTTACCGCTCTGAGCGACCAATCACACTCTGATGACATCATAAACTGTTTCCTGTGAGTCAGCAGGAGGGAGACCATGCGACCATATCATTATCGCCACGACAACATCAACAAGAGACGATTTAAAAAATTAAAAACCTCCCAGAAGAGATGAGGTGCACGGACCGTCAGCCAATCAGAACTCTGCGTGTCATCCTGTTAATAGTGTGTATAAAGAGACTGAGGACACACAAACACACACACACACACACGCATCATATACACATACTGCTATGATGAAGATGATGAAGATGATTAATTATGAATATGATAATTAAGAGTAATAGAGTCTGTTTTTCACCTCAATAGAAAAAAAAGAGAGAACCTGTTTGTCATGTTAACGTTTGTGTGTGTGTGCGTCAGAGAGAGAGCATGTGTGAGTGTCAGTGATGCCGTCCTACGTGTGTGTGCGCGTGCGTGCGTGTGTTTTTTTCCACGGACAGTTAGGTGGTGTCCCGGTGTAGCGTTGCCATGACGACTCGTTGTGTTTGCGGTGACACCCGATTTTTTGTCTTTTTAGGAACCAGAGCTGCCGCCGTCCTCACCCCTCCTCTCCCCCGACCCCTCTCCCTCCCAAAGTACCCCTTCCCCATCACTACCACTGTTACCATAGCAACTGACGGCGGCCCCTTCATGGCATGGAGCTCCTGCAGCTCTGGTTAGTTTGGATATTCAGAATATGCATTTCCTGTTTCTGTAAATAGACCAGACCAACAACTGCTACTCCACCAACTTTGGACACTGAAGCTGTCTGTCTGTCTGTCTACCCGTCTGTCTGTCTGACAGGCAGACAGCAGCACCTCCACCTACTGTGACCGTCTGTTTCTACTAAACCTAAACTCTCTACCTGTCTCTATCTCTCTCTCTCTCTTTCTCTCTCTACCTCTCTGTCTCTCTCTCTCTCTCTCTCTCTCTGTTTCTCTGGTGCCATTCTCAGACAACACCCCGGTCCTTAAGGAGCTACGCAGCCTGTTGAGTGCACTACAGAGGGGTTAAAGTGGGGTGTAGTGCGCTATGAAGGGTGCAGGGAGAGAATAGCAAAGTTTGATGCCGCATTCATGTCATGCAGGAATTTCCAGTTCTGTGAACATCCACACTCTGATTCATCAAACCTGAAAGAGTCGATGAACAAGGACGCCTCATGTCTGATTCTTACGGTACTTAGAAACAAACTCGTGAATTAAGTGCTTTAATGTCCATATACAGTATTTTGAACCCTCAACCAACCAACTCTGCAACCTTGCATGTCATTTCTCTCATTCCACATAACATGAACTCGGCATTCATCAGATGTTTGAAACCTAAAAAATGGACGTTGTCTTGTTCCCTGTGCAGGAATGGAAAATGATTTTGTCTTCAACATGTCACTGTTGTGTTCAGGAATGCTAAAAGAGACTAGAAACTAAGAAAAGTAACGTCTATGAGGTCCAATATTTTAAGAAATTATTATCAATGTCACAACGTGAACATGGAGTGCACCAGAAAGATGAAGAATAGACTGCAGAGCACTACTAAGGGTGCGAAATAGTGATAGAATACTTGTAAGGAGGCTTGGACTGCATTATGAAGAGTTTAAAGAGGAATAAGTGCACAATGGAGGGTATAGGGTTGTGTGTAGTGCACTATTAAGAGTGAAGGATGGAAGGTAGTGCACTAACAAGGCTATAGTATGAATGGTTGTGCATTATAAAGGGTGTAAGATGGAAGGTAGTGCACTATGGCAGGAAGGTGATGGGAAAGAGTGCACTAAGGGTGTAGGATGGAAGGTAGTGAACTATTTAGAATGAAGGACAGATGGTAGGGCACATTGATAGGTTAAAAATAGAAAGGAGTAAAATTATGGCAAGTAAAGAATGAGGGTAGGGCACTATAGAGGGTGCAGGATGGAAGGCAATGCACAAAGAAGGCTATCGGATGCAACAAAGTTTACTAAGGGAGAGATTAAAATAAAAGTGGAACACTATCAAAAGTACTTATTCAAACATTATGCACTACCAAGGGCTTAAGGAGGCAGGTAGTGCCCTAAGCAGGGTGTAAGTTGTAAAATAGCACACTATGGAGGCCTGGAAGTGGAGGTAGTGCACTATGAAGGACGTAGCTCAGAAAGCAATGCACTAAACTAAGAAGCAAAGTAGTGCACTGTGGCAGGTTAAGGTTGAAAGGTGGTGCACTACAGAGGGCATAGGGTGCTGTTTGAGATCTAGCCTTGTTTGGCAAACTCAACTAACCAATCAAACAGTGTTATTTGTACAGAACTAACAGCTGCTAACTGACTGCTAACAGCTCTCTGTCGTTGTTTGTAATAAACTTCATTTTTCATCCAAAACTATCTGAGCCTGTTTTTTTACTTCTTTGTGGAGATCAACTGGTTTTGGTTTGAAATTAAACCTTCATATTGAAAATTAAAGATCATGTTTATTTAGAAATGTTTTCAGGTTTTGAACACTGACTCTACATCAATGTGTCTCTAAGTTTGGGTATGAAGTGCTGATGTTTGCAGCTGTAATTAGTGTTCCCGAGAACATGAAGGTTTGTCCCGTTTTCTTTTCGCAGGTTATATAATAAATAAGAAGGTTGACTTCGAGGGCAAGTCAGGAGGTGAACTCTGCTCTCTGTGTTATATCCTGATAAGAGCTGCTGTTAAGCTGTAAACTGATTTAGCCAATTTTAAAAAACAGAGATAGAGCAGACAAGTTTGAAGTCCATTTCCATATCTACTGACAGATTTTACACAAAGCCATTCAGAATTTTTTAAGCGCTTTTATGCTCAGATATGCGAGAAAACTTGCCTGATGTCCAGGTTTCAAATCTGAAATAAACATTGAGATTTTCAAGAGCTTAAAAAAAAGTCTGAAAACTTTGTGCATGTAAATTATAACAAGTTTTATGTTGTTATAACATCAAAGTGTGTCAATTAATTAGCAGTTCCTTGTTTAATTGAAGGCAGCTGATAGTGACTGCATTTCCCAACAGCTTTTATCGTTTGTTTACGGATAAGTACTTGTCCTGCCCGATTACGTTTGCGCTCAAGGATCCTTTTTTTCATTTCAACATGTTGCCCTTCAAATTAAAAGCCCCCAGGGATTATTGAATAAATGTAGATTTACAGTCAAATAAAGAGTTTCACTGAAACCACACAATAAAAACACAGGGCTTTTTACAAGTGAGGTTCACTAAGTTTACCTGAAGTTCTGCCAGATTTGATAGCTGAATTTTGTTGGCTGTGTACGGGCAATTACTCCTGGTAATCTTATCTAGTTGTTTTGGCCCCCATTCAGCTGCTGATTTCTGTAAACATGTAAAAAAGTCAGAGGTCATCACACGATCCCACTTCACTGTCAATTCGTGTGAAAAGGAGATTAAAGTCCGCAAGAGGACGGTTATATAACCCACCAAGTTTATGCCACAAGTTTAGTTTTCTGAGGGGAGAAGATCAGCACGTAGACACAGAACAGAGAGTATTTAGAGATCGGCCGTGTGTTTGTGTGTGTGTGTTCAGTGTGTGTTTTGTCACTGACACGAAATATCCAACAGAGAAAAATGTCTTTGGTGGGAATCTTTGGGAAAAATGGATCTGAAACTCCAGAGTCGGTGAAAGCTGAAGTTACAGGTGAGTGTCTCTTTTTTTTCAGATTTCATTACTTCTGTCATCTGCATGTTTTTAAGTCTGAATGAGCAGCAAATAGACTTTCATAGTTCATAGTTCACTTTACATCCTCATGACTGGAACAAACAAATGAAATACAATTCAACTCTCATGGATTCTGATTTTAGTGGGTTAATGATGTGTCTGACCTTTGACCTGCAGGCTCCATCCCACCCTGGCTGAAGGGCACACTGCTCAGGAACGGGCCAGGCCTTTTTTCTGTGGGCGACTCCGAGTACAACCACTGGTTTGATGGCATGGCGCTCATTCATAGCTTCACCTTCGTCAACGGTGAGTCTTCACCCTTCTACTTATTAAACCTCCAGCACAGATCAGGTACCTGCTGCAGGTGTTCACAGCTGTGATCTGGTTTCAGGTGAGGTGACCTACAGGAGTAAGTTCCTGAGGAGCGAAACCTACAAAAAGAACATGAAGGCTGAAAAGATTGTGGTCTCTGAGTTTGGGACCATGAGCTATCCGGATCCCTGCAAGAATATCTTCTCCAGGTACAGTCCAAACACAGCAGGTGCTTCAACCAGTGAATTAGTCCAATAATAACTCCTCTGAAATGCCCCAAACATCTAGAAATTTGAGAACATAAAAAGGGAAATACTGCGATTTACGAGGGGTAAAATTCCTGCATTTAAGTGGAGATGTAAAAGCAGCTGAAGCCGACCAGGGACATAAAGTTTTTTTTTAATATCATTCAGTGTTGTAGAGATCTGTTTCAGTCCATGCAAAGTAAGGAGATATCTGTTTGGGATGCATGCTCCTCTTTTGACGGTGTAGAAATCGACCTTTGTCCATTTCAGGGGTGTTAAGCTCTACTTAAGTCCATCTCAGGTGCATAGAGATGTATTTCGGTCCATCCAAGGGGGGCAGAGATCTGTTCTCTCGCCTCTATTCAAAGTCTGTGTTGGTCCAACCAGATCTTTGTGCATCTCTGAGATATAAAGTTCTCCACCGATCTGGATACAGGGAGGGCAGAAGTGTTTGGACTTTATCTTGAGTTTAATTTGCCAAAGACAGGCGCAGACTTTAAGTTCATCTGGGATTTGGAGGACCCTGAAACGGTCCAAAAGAAGATAAAAAGAGCTGTTATCGTCTTTGAAAGTAATGCTGAGATCAGTTTCAGTCAATCTAGGTCCTGCAAAGATCAAATCTGATTTTTCCTGGACAAGAAAAGATGACATGACATGTAGAAATCAGATTTAGGATTAAAAAAAGACAGATTGTTTTTTTCCCGATAATGCAAGGTCCTGTCTCAGTAACTTCTCTCTTCTGCTCTTCAGGATGTTCACACACCTCTCTAATGTCATCCCTGACTTCACTGACAACAACCTGATCAACATCATCCGCTACGGTCAGGACTACTACACCGCCTCCGAGATCAACTACATAAACCAGATCGATCCTGCCACCCTGGACACTGTGGGCAGGGTGAGTTGGTCTCCATCCATATCTTCATATCAACAAGAGTGTTCATAAATCTGCAAACTCATCTCTCTTACTGCCAAACTCCAGGTAAACTACAGGAACCATATCGCCATAAACCTCGCCACAGCTCACCCTCACTATGACAACGAGGGAAACACCTACAACATGGGCACCGCCATCATGGGCTTCGGCCGGCCAAAGTACGTCATCTTCAAGGTGCCAGCAGACGCTTCAGGTACGTGTGCACGACCAAGTTCACGGTTATCACGTGAGAGAGGAATCGGCCATCTAAGGAGGCCATGACAGATGAGACAGCGAGCCAAGTCTTGACGTCACTGATCATTTACAGTCATAAATTCATTGTGCCAGAACTCCAGTTTTACTGCCAAGGGGTAATTGATTTACTGTATGTCTGTGTTAAGCTGACCTGAGACTAGACTCGATAACAATCTCAGTGTCCTACAAAAAAAAAAACTGGCAAAGCATCAAACTGGGACAGACATCTTTATCATAAACCACCATCTTTATGGTGCTGCAAGAAAACCAGATACAGGGCGACTCGTTTTGGAATCAAAGGATGACTTCATGACGCTACAAGGCGAACATTGACTGTACTGAGTTTTTTTTGTTCCAGATAACGGGAACAAGAAGCCACTGAAGAAAGTCCAGCAGGTCTGCGCGATACCGTTTCGGTCCTCACTGTACCCTAGCTACTTCCACAGCTTCGGTTTGACTGAAAACTACATCGTGTTTGTGGAGCAGCCTTTCAAAATGGACATCCTGAAACTGGCCACCGCTTATTTCCGAGGGGATAACTGGGGGAACTGTCTCAAATTCGATGAGAAGGACTTTGTAAGTCTCCACTGTCACTCGCTGCTGATAGAAACATTTCTAAAAGATGAAAATCTGTCCTCAAACTTTCTGTCTCCTCCCTAGACTTGGATCAACCTCATCAACAGACATACAGGAAAGGCGGTGTCCACTCGTTTCTACGGTGACGGCTTCGTGGTTTTCCACCACATTAACGCATACGAAGATGGGGATCACGTGGTGTTTGACCTGATCTGCTATACAGACAGCAACCTGTATGACCTTTTCTACCTGAAGAACATGAGGCTACAGGGTGACGACTTCACCGAGGCCAACAAGGTCTTCTGCCCGCCTATCTGCAAGAGGTTCGTCCTGCCACTCAACGTGCAGCGGGTACAGTTCGACTAACTGCAGAATCAAACTATTTTCAGCGTCCATTTTTGAACTCTGTCTGAGAAGTTTGGGTGATTGTGTCTCCTCCAGGATTCTCCGAAAGGGATAAACTTGGTGACCCTGAAAGACACGACAGCTCAGGCAGTGATCCAGGAGAACGGTTCTGTCTACTGCCAGCCAGATACTCTGTTTGAAGGTAAGCTATCTTCCCCCGTCTGTGTCTTTGGTTAAAACTGTGTTTACTCTTCAGCTGAAGCGTCTCACTCCTCCTCAGGTATGGAGCTACCAGGGATCAACTACAAATTCAACGCCAGAAGTTACAGATACTTTTACGGCTCCAGGGTGGAGTATTCTCCTCATCCCAACAAGGTCAAACACCTCACACGTCTCTTCAGCTTTATTAGCTTTGGGATACTTTGTGTACTGCTGATTCGGCCGTTTAAAATCCTCTTGATCCCCAGAGGAGGAACCACGCAGACTCTGGTTGAACTTGATAGTTATGTGCCAAACATCTTAAACAAATCATCTTTCCTGTCCAACAGATCGCCAAGGTTGACATCCTCACAAGGACTCATCTTCTGTGGGAGCAGGATAACTGCTTCCCTTCAGAGCCGGTCTTTGTCGAGTCTCCAGGCGCCACTGAGGAGGATGATGGTGAGAGTTTGTCTTTTTTTAGCTGCAGAGGGCCATTCCCTCTTTATTTTTCTCTGACAGTTTGAATGTTTCCTCTTTCAGGAGTGATCTTATCATCTGTCATCTCCTTGGATCCACAAGTCTCTCCGTTCATGATCGTCCTCAACGCCAAAGACATGAAGGAGATCGCTCGTGCCACCATCCCCACCAGCGTCCACATGGACCTTCACGGACATTTTATCCCTGCCTCAGTCTGAACGCTGAAATACAGCATCCATTATTTATTTTTGTGTTTTCTGTGATATTTTAACTCTGTAATGTTTAGCTGTAACTAAAACTTCATGCACTTATTCACTTATCCTACATGATATATATCAAAAACTAGATATGTAAAGATCCAGGCCAGTTTCTATTGGGGCTGCCACCTACAAATAGAGTTATGGATGTAAGAAGATCAAAATTACTCAATTAATTCTTATTTTTGGCAAGAAAATGTATACTATTTAATTAGACTAGTGACAAACCTCCCACTGTAACTCAGTAGTACAATGAAGTTTTTAGAGTTGGCCAAATAAAAAGGGAATGATGATAGCTTTATGGACACATGGTGAACTATACAGAGGGGAAACGGTAGTTTAGGAGGTCCCAGACTAAGCTGACTGGTGATCAAAAAATACTTTTTTTAAAAGTAAAAGGACACATATTTCCTAAATTGATGACACATTGTTGTGTTGTTGTTGTTGGGGTTTTCATCCTTTTGTTTTGTTTTCCTATATTTCCTTCATGTTTTATCCTTTTCTTGTCATTTTCTACCTTATTTAAATTAAAATGGTGTATGGTTCTATGTCAATTCTGAAAATGAAATAAAATCTGATTCTTAAAAAAAAAAGTAGGAAACTAAGATCACAGATACTGTCAAACTCAAAAATAAAGGCGATTTTAAGATATTAGTCAACAGAAGGCCACCAAAGTACGCTTTGTGAGCTCAAACAAGTTTGTCCAATAGATTGCTCATAGTCACTATTTTATGTGAACGACACCAAAGAGACGATCACGAAACAAACTTTTCATTGACAACAAAGTAAACAGATCATTTGCATTGTTTTTGAGAATATGAAATCACAAATTGGACATGATGGTGCAGCTGTGACTGAAGTGACTTCAGAAATAAAATAAAAAAGATATTAAAAATATAAATCTTGTACTCACCAATGCAGCGACAGCTTTTTTGTAAATAAATATGAAGACTCCAATGGCTCTTCAGTACAGTTCATCTGTGCATTTCAGCTCTTGTTAGCTAATGGATCTCTGGGTTTAGCTCGATAATTTGCAAAGTACCGCCTTTCGGGTTCTCACGTACGCTTATCCAATCACAGGACGCTCCGGCAAGCCCCGCCCACAAACAGAAGCTCGCGCTCGTCCGTATCGTTCCAATTAAATTCAGATATAATGCAGATAAATACTTCAGATCATTACAAATGGGGCCCAGTCAAGGTGAAAGTAAAAAGCACTGGTGCTACTGTAGATGCCAACAGACTACCAGCAAACACAATGTTTGCAGGACTTATAAAGTGACATAGTCCAGAACCCGAGGCAAACGGTTTAGCGGCGCTACAACACGCTACAGCAGGTCCCGTTTGACAAGAAACACTTCTGTTACAGACACTTGTCTTACTTTGTTAAAGCGGTTTACCTGTCCAGCAGAAAGGTTACAGGGTCCGGAAAATCCAGAAGCGTCCCCCATCGTTTATGCTAGCTTCATTGACATTGACCTGGCTTCTTAGCTCTTGTCCGGTCTACCTCCGTTTTAACCGCCCGTTATTCAACCAGTCTCCGGTATTTACTTCGTTTTCTTGCTTGTGTCGACAGTCGAGGCCAAAGGAGGATTCAGACAATTTTCCGAACTTTCTGGTTGGTTTCTACTGTCCGATATTGTAGCACGCTAACTTTGTTCGACTCCTGATCCTTATTCGAGAATGTAGGGCGTGCCTCACAACACGAGGAAGCAACGTCTGCCTCACAACCAATCAGGTTGGAGGAGGTGGAGAGCTAGGAGTGCACCATCACAATTTTCTGACCGATCATCTATCTTTAAAAAGCTCGACCTGCCAATACCGATTTCGGCCGATACCTTTTAATTTATAAGCGACAACATAAACCTTCAATGCTCAAATCTTATTTTAATAAAAAACATTAAACAATACTTGTGGAACAGTAAAAACATTTTTGTGTTTGTTTTAACTGCACATGAGGTAGTTCTCTCAAATATAAATGAAAAGTTTAGAATATTTCTGTCCAAACTACTAAATTAAATCAGTTCCTTAAGTCTTTTATTTTCCACATTTTAAGAATTAACAATTCTTGCGGTCACACTGCAGGCCTGTTTTGAGCCTCTTACCAAAATATAGTGCACGTCAGTAGTTCGCTTTTACAAATAAAGGAAATCAGGCTTTGCTGTTTAAACATCAGCAGTGTGTGACTCTGCATCTTCTTGCTGATTTAAGTAACGTCCTCTCTGAAAATGGTGCTGTCTGTGATTTCCAAAAAGAATGTCGAATTGTGATTTCTTTCACTCCACAGGACAGTTTTTAATATGAACATTATTCTCCAACTGGATGACCTCCTCACTCAGCGGTTGTAGTTTGTAGATGTTCCCGTTTTTTTTCCATCACATGACGATCCGTTTTTTTTATCCATGTCCTTGTTTTTGAATGTTTCATTAGCGTCAAATGTAAAATAATGTATTTTACATTATATTAATTTGTCTTTTCACGATTTTTAAGTTCTTGTTTATGTTTTCGAAAAACTGAAAAACACTCGATCTGCAGTTTGATCAGAATCATGAGAATTTATTACATCAGCAGTTGCAGCAAAAACAGTTTAAAATCTCCCAGAGGTCATCTCCCCTGTCATTTCAACCTCCACCCTGCGCCGTCCAACACGACCGACAAACCGCATCGCCGACCGAGTCAGCTCGATAAAGTCTTTAAAGTCGACACTGTCGCTGCTGCGTGGATGATTTGGTGTTTTATGAAAGGAAAATAATGCTCCTCCTTCAGCCCTGGTGCTGTGCAATACAATCCCACAATGCACCTGGTTGGGCTGAATACTGGTCGGCCTCATTGAGCTCGTTAACCTCAGTCAGGGAGGAAGAGGGCGGAGCCAGGGACACGAAGCAGCAGCCACAAATCAGAGCAGAGAAGAAGAAAATAACAACGTTGATGCTGAAGAACAGGCACGTTGGAATACTGAGTGTGTGTTTGTGTGTCTTTGTGTGTATGAATGCATGTACGTGTGTGTTTGTGTGTATGAGTGTGTGGTCTAAACTATCACTGTTTACAACAGTGGAAAACACAGTTCGTTTCTCACAGAAAAACACTTTCACTTCTTTTTGAGTTGTTTTTTTTTTCATTACTTTTTTACCTCCTTCATCTGAGGGAGGGAGCGCGTGTGTGTGTTTACATGTGTGTGTTAATAATCTGTGCGTTCAGGTCCCTCAGATGATCTCAAAGGTCTTCTTCAGCTCCATGATGAGCTGCCAGTCGGGTTTCTGCATCTCGTCTCTGAACCAGTTCTTCAGAGCGTCGATGGACGCACGTGTGATCTGAGTGAAAAATATAAGCAGTCAAGATGTTTAAAGGGGTCTGAGAGAACAGTGTGTACGTGTTTGTAGATTTAAGAAGCAAAATAATGGCAAGTTTTTAACGACAAAAGCCCTGAGGGGTAAAAAGAGGAACAGAAAATCAAACTTGTATCATCGTTAAACGAGCTCAATCCCATTCAGATCAGCTGCAATAATCTGTCTTCTGAATTATCTTTAAACCTCCAAGTTGAAACTACAGCTCAACTTCTCAAGGACAGAAACTCCCCTTCTTTCCTTAATTCTTTCCCTCTTACTTACTTTTCTTCACTCCTCGTCTTTCCCTTCAATTCTTCCTCTCTGTCTTCGCTCTCTCCATTCTTGTGTTGACGAGACCGAAAATTAATCACGATTTTGAAAAATTGCTCGTGTATCGATGGAGGACGCAGCTCTCAAACGTTGTAGTTCTTTGATCGCGGCAAGGTTTTGTGGGAAATGTGTGTTTCGCCACTCCTCCCTTGACGGTCGTGTCCTTACCTTGCTGACGATGACGTCAGTGGCTTCAAAATGGCGACCGTACATTTTGGGCGACTCCCCGGGAATTGGCTCGATCTTGATGCAGATCTCCTGTCCTTTCTTGGCGACTTCCACAGATTTATGGTTGACCTCGATGCTGGTGACCACGCCGATGTCCACGAACTGAAAGGAAAGAGTTCAAACAATGACTCGAATTTATTACAAACTGAAAATTCACACACACACACTCAGCTTTTCCAAATGTCTCACCCCTTTACTGGGGACGCAGAGCGGCGTTCCCTGTCTGAGGACTCCGGCTTCGATAGTCACGCCCATGACGATGGGATCTCTGGAGTTGAAGATGAACTGAGGAAGGACACGCAGCTTCACGGGGAACACGGCTATGTGTCTGAAAACAGACGAAGACAGAGGGACACGTTAGCTCCACCTTCACTCTGACAGAATCACCTCACACACACCGGGAACAAGGGAGGTCCTCGTACTTGAACTCGTCTTGTTTGGCCTTCTTGTAGTCCTCTCTGTATTTGGTGAACGCGTCGAACAGATGGTAGATGATTTCAGCCGAGAAGATCCGAACGCCCAGGCTGTCGGCCATCTCCTGACTCTCTCTCTCCACCTTCACATCAAACGCTAAGATCACTGCGTACCTGTGAGCACGACGACACCAGATCAACCTTTAAACCACCTAAATGGACCCGCTGGTAAATCAGTACGCTCAAATGTACAAAACTGGAGCTACAACCATGAATCAGATAAATATTATAGTTTTTAATGATGAATATAAATAACATGAATATTGAATTTCCTTCTGGGGATCAATAAAGTTCTTCTTATCTTATTGGTATCAGTAAATATGAGCCCTGATGAGAGCAATCACGCCTCACTGCTGACTCTGATAAGTAGTTGTCTGTGCAGAAGACGCCCTCTGCTGGACAAACTGAGTTATTTTATTGATTAAACATGAGAGGAAATGTTTGCAGCGTCACAGTCTGTCAGAAAGATCAGCTTCATGCCGCAAGTTCCTCTAAAGAAGTAATGATTCAAACCTCATCGATTACTTGAGTCTGAATGAAAAAAGTGATTTTCTGATATTCGCCCCTGTGAGTTTTGTGCTCTCAGTGTCTTTTCTTGACTGTCGTGTTTTAAAGTTTATTTTTGATGATTTCATGTTAAAGTCGTTCAGAAAGCAGAAGAGACAGAGAGAGAAACAGAGACGTACTGAGGGTCGTGCTCCAGCATCGTCGATGCCTTCATGACGTCCTTCTTGTGAACCGGACCGATGTTAATACCAGCGTACTGCGGGACAACAGAGGTCAAAGGTCAGCTCCACTGTGGGTTTGAGCTCTTAATTCCTGTTGATTCTTGGACAAACTATCATTAAAAAATAGAGTCAGACAGGTGGAGGGTCGGTCAGGTACTCACGGGGACTTTAGACGTTCGCAGGAACTCGAGCAGAGCCTCCAGCGATCCGAGCGTGGACGCCTGTACGTAGACTCCTTTCTCCTCCAGTTTGATGGAGCTCAGAGTCTGTTTGAGTTCTCGTACCAGTTCGTCCTGAAAACCAGAACCAGTCAGTCCACGGGGAAGACTCACAAACCCGGTTCAACCCGCTTTAACAGACCCATAACTTGGATAAATGACTCCTTATTAACTTCACCCTTTTTGATGTTTAATATGAAAGAATAAAATTAAGTGTGTGCAAATGTGTGTGTGTGTGTGTGTGTTACCCTCAGGACAGGGATCTCGTCATCCCGGTGTGCCACCAGCAGGGGAAGCCCCGCCAGCGTCTTCTCCAGGTCTTTACCCAGAATCTTCACCCCCTGAGACGTCGACACCTCCTTGTGCTTCTCATATTGACTCTATAAAAATCAACCAATCAATAAACAAATCAATAAATCACTCATACAGCAGATAAAACACTGAGTTATTATTTCATTATGGCCAAAGCTTTTATTTTGAAAGGGTATTTCCATTTACCTTGACCCTCAGCTCCTTCAACGGTGGAGGCAGCAGCAGCCCTCTGATCTGTGTGACGATTGGTCCCTCCACCCCCGGGACGATGATGGTCTCTCCCTCCCGCAGGCGCCCGTTGATCAGGATGACGTCTATCGTGGTTCCCATCCCGGGTAAAGCTTTCACCTGAACGCACAGAACCAGCCAGGTGAGTCCACCCGGACTGTGGAGCAGGAAGTGAAACTGCAAAATAAGACGGTCTTACCTCCATGACTTGCGCTCGCAGCTCGTCACAGTGCGCTAGCCGGCGTGCTAACATGGTCTGAGTGAGCTCAACCAATAAGGCGATGAGGTTTCCCATCCCGTCGCCGCTGTGGGCCGAGGTTGGAACCAGCGACACGAAGGTCCGGGGGTCTTTGTTCTCGTAGAACAACGCAGCGTTCAGACCCTGAGGAGAGAGAGGAGTATTTGAGGTGATCTGGGGGGTTCCTCAGGGCTCAAAACTGGGTCCACTGTCTATTTATTGTTATACACTGATGTTTGTTCTGGACAGGGTGGAGGTCAGGTGTCTCCTGCTGTGATTGGTTGATACGTGATGATGTAATGATCCACACCTGCTGAGCGAACTCCACGATGACAGCCTTGGCTCTCTCGTCGAACTCATCCTTAGTGTTCTTCTTCTGCTTCTTCAGCGTGGTCACAACATCCGTGTCCGGACTCTTCTTCCAGTCGTAAAGACGATCAATCTGATGATGCAAAAAAAGCTGTCAGGAAACAAGAGAAGAAGAAGGAGGAGGAGGAGGAGGAAGACCTCAGAGGGAGGAACAGACCTTGTTGAGGGCGACGATGAAGGGACACTTCTTCTCCTTCAGTAGGTTGATGGACTCCAGCGTCTGAGGCTCCAAGCCGTGCATGATGTCCACGACCAGGATGGCGATGTCACACAGAGAGCTGCCTCTGTTCCTCAGGTTACTGAAGACAAAAACAACAAAAACTCGAGTGGATCTTATTCTTTCAGGGGAGATTATTCTGTTTGTGGGTGTTTGTGTTACCTGAAGGACTCGTGTCCTGGTGTGTCGATGATCAACATGCCGGGGATCCTCAGATTTTCCTTTTCAAACTGAACCCCCCCCCAAAAAAAGGGATGAATATGAAGTTGCCCTGAATAAACACTGATGTGTGTGTGAGTGTGTGTGAGTGAGTGTGTGTCTGTCGTACGTTTTTAACCATCCTTGTCTGCTCCTCAATCGTCTCTTTGGGGACATTCGTGGCGCCGATCTGTTGAGTGATTCCTCCAGCCTCACCGTCCTGGACATGTGTGTGTCTCAACTACAACACACAACAACGGCATTAAACAAAACACACAAACACACAGAAACTGGACATGAGTGCTCCGGTCTGTGGAGCCGACAGCGAGCAGATTTACCTTGTCGAGGATCTTCGTCTTCCCCGTGTCGACGTGTCCGAGCACACAGACCACCGGAGCTCTGAGGGTGTCTACATCAGTGTTTTTGAGGTTCTCTGCTCTGCGTTTCTGTTTTCAAACACACACACAAGTTAAGACAAGAACCCCTAAAAGGACTCTGCCCACCTCAGCCCCTCCTCTCTCACCTCTATCCTCCTCTTCGCTCGGTCATACAGACGCTCCTCCTTCGTCCTCCCGTCGTCGTCGCTCTCGCTGCTTTCATCTTCGCTCTCCTTCGCCGCCCTTCTCTTTGCCTGACTGGTTGTTGACGCCTCTTTCTCTGCCTCCTCTTCGCTCTCCTCCTCTTCCTCCTCGTCCTCTTCTTCATCCTCTTCTTCCTCCTCCTCCTCATCTTCCTCCTCCTCTTCCTCTTCGCTGCCTGCAGGCTGAGGAGGAGCGGCCGTGTCCTCTTTCACCTCGATGTGGACCTTCTTCAGCTCTGACACACAAAGTTTGAATGTAAATCAAGTCTGTGTGCTTCAGTCTCACCTGAACGGGACTGTATGAGTCATCGTCTGACCTTTCTCTTCGTCAGTGGCGATGGCCTCCCAGTCGTCCACGGCGGCCTCTGGCTTCACCTCTGCGGGACCAAAAAAAAGACGTCTTTGTCATGATGAAAATTCCTCATTTATCCACCTCTCTGTCTTTACCTGTCCTCCTTTGACTCACCTGGCTCTGCAGCTGGGCTTTTAGCCTCCATCTCCACGGCAACAGGTTCTGGAGTCTCAGACGTGGGTGACGTCACCTCGGAAGTTTCTACACCAGAGATAAAGACGATGAAAAATGAGGCTGTTGTCGAGTGTGTGTTTTGGGTCAGAGTGAGCCGGCGGTACCTTCAGGAGTTTGAGCGTTGGGCTTCTTCTTCCTCTTGTCTCCGTAAACCGGCTTCTTCTTTGGCATCGAGTCTTTGGATGGCACTTCAACACCTGAGAACAAAAACAGCGGATAAGCTTTGAGTGGATATGATGTCAATAAACGGTCATTTCACAAGAAACACAATCAGGATAAAGGAAATTCAAAGTGATCAATAATCAATAATACTGAACAGAAGTGAGAAAGTGAAGGAATAATAACCAGAGAGCGGATTTACGGTACATATAAGGGTAAATGAATTATAATGCAGTGGGAGGAAAAATCGATTTACAAAAGCACACAATTTTTTATTTTTAAATCGATTTTTTGTCAAATTTAAGAATACATCTTAAAAACAGACTTAAATGTGATGTGTATTTTTTGGGGAAATGAGGTTCCTGGAATAGTCAGTAGAAAATCGTCATCATTCAGCTGTTTCCCTGGAGTTAAAAATGCCGACTAAACACCGAGAAAAGCGACAATATCGTACAATCGCGATTTAAATCGTAGAAGAATCAAATCGGGAGAGAAGCAGATCGTCCCAGACCATCAGACCCTCCTGTGATTGGCTGATTGATCAGCACAGACTCTCACCCTGAGCCTGCAGCATCTTCAGCGTGGCCTCCGCCCGAGCTCGAGCCTCCCTCTGAGCTTTCGTCAGCAGCTTCCCCTCCTTCTTCAGACGCTCTTTCCTCTCCTTCTCTTTCTGCTTCTTCTTCTCTTTTCTCTCCATCTCCAGACGCTCCTACCGGGGGGGGGCGGACACAGACGGGGTCAAAGGTCACAGAGGAGACAGACAGATGAAACAGAAACCTTAAATGAGGAGGCGGTGGGTGTTTTACCTGCTCCTGCCTCTGCTTCTCCAGCTCCTCCAGCCTCTTCAGCCGCTCCTCCTCCTCCCTCTTGGCTCGCTCCTCCTCCTACGAACAAAAACAAAACTTGAAGACATCAAACTGACGCCCCGATACCTCCGCTCTGACTGCATTTCCCACAATGCCACTCACCTCTTTCATTTTTGCCAGAGCCTCCTGCATGGCCTTCACCGTGGCCTTGCTGGGTCCCTTCTTCTTCTCCTTTTCTTTCTCCTCCTTCTCTCCCTTCTTCTTCTTCTTGTCTTTCTTCTTCTTGTCACCTTCGCCCTCCTCTGCAGGAAAATAAGGACGAAACAAAGAAGGAAGAATTAATCTACCCATAATGCTCCTCTGTACTGAGGGATCTCACTGCTGTTTCTGCCCTCGTACCCTCTGCTGCTGGCTCCGCCCCTTCCTGTTCCTCTGGCGCTGTGGCGGGTGGAGCAGCCTGAGACGGCTCTGCTTCTGTGGTCTTCTCCGGCTCTTTCTTCACCTCTGTCATGGCCTCCTTCTCTTTCAGCTTCTTCTGTTTCATCCTCTCCTCCTCCTTCTTCTTCTTATCTCTCTCTTTCTTTTCTGCCTTCTTTTGTGCCGCCGTCTTCATCTTGGTGCCGCCTCCCTCTTCATCCTGCTCCTCCTCATCCTCGCTCTCTGCCTTGGCCGCTTTGCCTTTGTTCTTCTTCTTCTTGTCTCTCCTGGAGACGTGCTCCTCGTCGTCGTCGTCTTCTGACTCGTCCTCCTTCCCTCCTCCTTTCTTAGCAGCTTCATCCTCTTCTTTGTCGTCCTCGTCGTCTGACATTGACGGTTTTTTGCCTCCTTTCTTGATTCCTTTGGTCTTGAGGCGAGAACGTGAGCCGCTCTCGTCATCGGAGTCGGCAGGAGGAGCAGCAGGAGGCGCCTGAGACAGAGAAGGTTCAAATATGAAACATGAAGAAGTGAGCGGTACGGTGGATCAGAAGGGACAAAGGTCTCAGAGTTTGATGGATTATGAAGGTAAACAAAACTCCTCACCTTTTTACTGTCTTTCTGCTCTCCGTTTTTCTCTTCATCAGCCCGACCTTCGCCATCATCCACCTCCTCATCTTCAGGGCTGGCTCCGCCCTTCTTCCCCTTCCTGGTCTTCTTCTTCTCTTTGGGAGGCTCGTAACTCTCGACTTCTTCTGGGGTGTCTGATTTCTGCAGAGGAGAAGCAGTTGCAGAAATATTAAAATAATCTGTGGCTTCAGTTTGAACGAAACACAACCTGATGAAAAGCTGAGAGGACAGAAGGAGGAGCTCAGAGGTCTGACGGAGAAACAGTGACTGTGTTGACATGGACTTGAGTGTCTCAGTCCTAGTTTTAATTATATTTGTAATAGACTATTGACTCGCACTGAGAGAAACCTGCTTATTCATGTCTCTGTTTACATATTAAACACTTGTTATTCAGTTTCTGGTCCTGCATCTGTTTTCTGCAGCTTCCTGTGACGTTTATTTCTTCCAACAAAACCCACAGCAGTTCTGATATCTGAGAAAATGAGACCACCGTGAGACCACCTGTTGCACATAGTTATCATGTATCCAGCTCATTTTCAGCAACAACAACCACCAAACAAATAAAGACTTATCCTGGTTTCTGGAATCAAAAATGATGTTTATAACCAGATCTTTGTAAATAAAAAACAATCACAACAGGGCCGCTCAAGTCCACGTGAAAGCGCTCACTAAAAAGCATGCAGGTGTGTTTACCTTTCCCTTCCCGCCCTGAGTTTCCAAAGACAGCTCCTCTAACTCCTTCAGGATGTCGTCCTCGCTGCAGGAGGAGAAACACAACTTTAAAAACAGATCACGAAGAAGAGAGAGAAAATATGAGATTGTTTTTATCACAGGAAAAGAGAAGGTCTGGTGACGTACTCAAAATCGTCCTTTTTGGCCCCTTTCTTCTTCTTCTTCCCTTTTGGCTCCTTGGAGGCTCCGGCGCCTTCGATCTCCGCCGCCAGAGCGTCGATGTCAATGCCGTCATCTTTGGCACTAGAGAAATAAAATCACCAACAACACAAATCGACACGTGAGATCAATATCAGATCAGGGTTATCAACTCCAGGCTGTGCACAGTGAGGTGGAGAGACAGCAGAATAGACAGCCCTCTCTCTCTCTCTCTGTCAGAACAATGTGAACAGACAAAAAGCTGCCGAGTCGCCACTTCCTTCACAACCTTTTATTTCCCATCATCCCTCTGACACACAGGGAGCTGATCTGTGAACAGCTGATCCTGTGCTTGAGCTTTTAGCAGGTTAATATGTCAGGTTAACTTTTTGGGGGGGCGCTTGATTTCTCTCTTTTCGATGCTTTACTGTCCGTTTGTTTTTATCATGAGAAATACCTCACAGATGCAGTAGATTATTGTTAGCAAAAGACATGCAACAAATAAGCACTGTTAAATTTCATTTTTATATCGTGATATATATCGATATTGACTGATATGAAAAAATATATCATGATATATATCGATATAGACTAATATGAAAAAAATATTGACATAGACTGATATGACAAAGATATATCGTGATATATATCGATATAGACTGATATGGAAAAAATATTGCGATATATATCGATATAGACTGATATGACAAAGATATATCGTGATATATATCGATATAGACTAATAGAGTATGATAAGCTTTTCCCCATATTGCCCAACCCTACAAAGATCTCACAGATGCAGTACCTTATTGTTTCCCAAAAGACATGCCACCAATAAACACTGATGAATTTTATTTTTATATCATGATATATATCGATTTCGACTGATATGAAAAATATATTGTGATGAACTTTTTCCCACATCACCCAGCCCTATGTTCCTCTAATCTGAGAGTAAAGCTCGGTAAAGACATATACAGCTGACACACACACAGACTTTTTTACCTGTGTCCATACAGGTTAGGGTGAGTGAGGGTGGAACTGATCAATAGTTGATCAGCGTTACATCAGCCCTCCAGCTGTCCTGATTCACAGCCATGTTTAACCAGCAGCTTCCTCACACAAAGTTCCTGCTCTGTTCCTGAGACTGGACCCCAGTTTGGTGTCCAAAGTCAGTCCAGAACACCCAGTAACCGGTTCTTTTCGAGCTAAGCTAGCTAATTAGAGTGATTTCAGAGGCTAACACCGACAAACCCGAGACCAAAGCTGTCGGGGAGGGTAAACAGGCCGGGCCTGGCCCAGGTAAGCCGGTGTCAGCCCGCCTGCTGGTTGTGTAATTCATCTTAAGCCATTTTTAGGCTGTTTAAATTCTCACCTGCACACACTCTCACACACACACACTTCTACTGACTCGTGGTTAGCATCAGATAGCGCAGCTAGCCGCTAAGCTAACAGTGTCAGCAGCGGGATAACGGGCCCGTCTTCGGTTGGAGACGCGGCGGTTCAGCTCGCGCTCTTCAAGTGTCAAAGTGGACAGGTATTGTGCGTGGGCATGCGGTGTTTCTGTACCTGTCCTCTCCGGTTTTCTTCTGTTTCTTCCCCATCCTGCCGCTGTGGTTCTCCTGTTCTCTCTCCGCTAACCGACACACACGACGGCTCTCATCAGGCGAAGATCGCTACCTGGGAAACTTCGACAGAGGTCTCACTCTGATGCGTTTTCCGCACCGTCCAGACCGTGAACGCGAACTGTTTCCATGGAAACCAATTTGGTGCGGACCATTTAAAATAGATAAATATATTTACAAATGACCTCTGAAACTAGGAGAACGTGTTGGATTCACTTGGAAATTATTCATTTGTATTTCTAAAACAAGTAGTTGATAATCTCATACGATCAGGAAAAGAGTTAATTTTAATTTTCTTATAAAAACTAAAAAGTTTTTGAAGAAACAGATAAATTTCTCTCAGTGAAAACAATAAATAGAAAATTTAAATGTAGGGTAATTATCTGTAATTCAAGGGCGTATCAAACCAAGTTATTTTACAAGTGCTCAGTCAAAACTGATTATTTATACCTTTACAGATTATTATTATTATTATTATTATTATTATCATTAGTTGTGCTTTTTTGCGTTATTCTCACTGTTAAATTGAGTCAAGTGAAATGTATCATTGAATCTGATTCAAAGAATTAATCTCGGAGTGACACATCCTGTTATCTTCTCTTCTCCATCAGCGCTACCCAGCAGCAGCAGGCATGGCTCATTGCTGGAGCACTGCGCATGCGTTATGCTACGTGACCTGTATGAAGGCTAGTGGTTGTTTCTGGCCCCAAAACACGAAAAATAATAATTATGAGATGAAGAGTTTCAGCTCGTTATATATTTGAAATCTCCACATAGATCACCATTACCCCCTAACGTTTAATGTTTACTTGTTTTTTCAATTTTTTAATCATCAATGTACTTCAACCGTAAGATAGTAGAGAGATATGTTTTGTTTTTAGCTGAGTCTTTTAGACCAAATGGTTTCTGCAGAATTCAAAATAACTAAAAATCTATTTGTTGAAGTGAAACAATCCCAATTTGAAACTTTATTTATTTATTATTTGGCTTCCTGTGAGTATAATCTGGAAACAAAAACACCTTCTTTAATGACCCCATGATGTTTCCTCCTGCCAACAGGACAAGTTCAGATGTCAATCCTCTGTTGGTCTCTCTGTCAGCCTCTAGGGGGCGGTAGCAGATCTCAGAGTTTTTCAGCCCATTGCAGACACCACAGCATCACACAGGTTTGTCAGTCTGTCCTGCAGCTCGCCGCTCTCAGATCGCACCAGTACAGTGAGCGCTGCAGCTGCTCGATGACCACAAAACCGTTCCCTGACCAGTACGCCACACAGTTCGCCAACCAGCTGCTGTGGAAGCCAGTGAGAGGGGGCGTCCAGCTCACAGCTCTCAATCACGCCGTTCTTGATCTCCATGTGCAGCTGGGCGGAGCACCTGACGTTTAATTGACTGTCTGTCAGGTCCAGCACAGTTTGGACAGTGAATTTGGGCGTCCTACCAAACGTCCAGTCCCAACTGTGAAGCTCTGCCTCCATCCTGCTCAGACCGGGAAATGCGGCCTCATCAGTGGGGTTCACCAAGGTGGATGCAGAGCTGAAGCCAAACTCTGAGCATGGAGGAAAAAAAACATTTTCCAAAAAAAGAAAGGGACAAATTAGTGCCTGTCTTTGAGGCGCCTTAGTTATGTTAGACCATGCCCCTCAGCGATCTCACAACGCAGCAGTCCACCTGGAATACACTTTTACCTGACTGATTCAAACACGAGAGAGCAGATTTACAGCTCTGCTTGTGATGGTTTGTGTATCTTTGTAAATTTATGTGAATATTTTCTGTTTTAGGAATCTGACGGGGTGAAAGTTGAGTCTCCTGCTCTGTTTTGTTCTTCTTCTTCAGTCAATCCCTCTGGACAAGTTAACCTGCCCTCCACCTGCATTTTGTTGTAGAAACAGACTTTGGCCAGCAGAGGGTGTCATTCATCTCTGATTTACAGTGGCCGAGAACTGCCACAAGCTCACTTCCGTTGTGGCTTTTTTTATTTGCATTCTTTTATTTTCGCAGTAAGAAACTTTTTTTTTTTTTTGCATTGCCACTTTTTTGTGTGTTTTAACTTCCATTGTGGCTTTTTTTTCTGCACCATTTCTTTTTTTTATTTGCAGCGGGCTTCGAGTTCTTTTTTTCTTGCATCAGTAATTTCTGTTGTCACTTCTTTTTATTGCATTCTTTTTTTATTTGCAGCAGTGGCGGTTCTCGGCCACCGTACTAATTCACTCACAGAAGATAGACCGCATATTTGAATATCCACATTACATCGACTGAACTCCAGTACCTGTGTTGTACTGCTGCGTCAGTGCGTCCAGAAGCTCCTCCCACTGCAGCGTGGCAGTGTGGTCCACCAGGTTGGTGACAGGTGAGGGGACACTGGGTGTTGCGTTGCTGATGATACCGGGGCAAGATGGTTGGAGCACGGTGGAGAGGGCGGAGCGATCGGCAGAGTGGAGCAGAGTGCAGTGATGGTAGGACGACTTCCTGCTCAGTCTGGACGCGCTGCCTGGAAACATAAACAACAACAACAATAAAAGGTCAAAATGAACAATAATTACACAATGAAAGAAAGAAAACTCTTCTAACAGTCCACCCCTCCCCTCGCTCACCTGAGATCTTCAGGTGTCCGTTGAGTAAAATGTCGAATCTTTCCGTCGCCTGGACGTTGAGTTCTGGTCTGATCCTCCTCAGAGCGTCCGTGACGACCTTCAGGTTCCTCTTCCTGTCATATCCTTTCTTAGAGGTGAAGAACGTCATGTTGAGGTTACCGAGGTCGTGGTAGACAGTCCCGCCGCCGCTCCGCCTGCGAGCCAAAGGGATCCCTGCCCTCCTCATGGCGGGCAGGCTGCACTCAGTCCATGGGTTCTGGTGGCGCCCGATCACCACAGCTGGCTGGTTCCTCCACAGCAGCAGGATGCTGTGCTGCTGCAGGTCCACGTTCGCGTCGATCCAGTCCTCCAAAGCCAGGTTCTGGTACACGTCCGTGGACTCTGAGCGCAGGACGAGCCCCGGGCTGTCAGAGGAGGTGATGAAGCTGCTAAAGGAGGAGGAGCTCTGAGTTGGAGGGTTGCTGGTTTGAATCCTGTAAAGAGCTGAGCAGCCTCTTAAAAGAGACAACGTCCTTTTGATATGAGACAACATGGCGTCTCTTTCAAAGCGTCCTCACCTCCACATACTGGAACCTAAAATGAGACAGATTTAATCAAGACTCGGGTTACACAGCTGACACAAAAGTGGCAGTTTGAAAACAAAATTCTCTGTTTATTACTGAAAAAGGAAAACCGTTAGCTTTCTTTTTTTTACATAATATTTAAATTTATTTTCATGTGATCAAACATAAATCATATTCACACATAAATTCAGGACAGAGCAGAGAAAAGATGAAGGAAAAACAAACGTATATGTGCATAAATAAATAAATAACAGCCGAAGTGTTCTGTGGTGTGGCAGGTTTGTCGGTCTGCTCAGAATCTAAATCCGACTCAGATCATTTTCTCTTTTAATTTTCTGCTTCTTATCTGTATCTCAGGAAAGGATAACAGCAAACAAAGTATTTATGGGAGTAAGAAGAGGAACATTAGTTGCTTTAGTGAAATGAATGACCGTAGGAAGAAAAAAAAAACAAGAGAAAAAAATATATAAACTGAATATATATTATGTATGCACGTACGTATCAAAAAAAGTGTATGACTATATAAATACAATTTAAAAAACGGTGTAATATTAATTAAAAGTAAATTCACAAATAAAACCAACATCTTTCTACTTTAGTTTTTATTTCACTTAATTATAAAAATAAAAGATTTTAAGGAAAAACACATTAAACGCCTTTAGATGGTAGACTAAATGTAAGGAACTTCATTGGTACTTTTTACTGATTTATGATGATTTAAAGACGAAGCAGGAAGAGGTGAACATTTATTCCGGTTGAAAACTCATCTCAGGGTAAATAAAGAAAAGTTTAGAGTTTAAAATGTTTAAAATGAACCTGTTTACACCTTTAATGTGGATAGACGGACCAATCCCTCTGCAGACTGACATACTGCTCTGTTAACTTCAATTTCAACTTCAACTCCGCCGTGACGGACGGTAACATAAGTATATTTATATATACTTTTCCTTTAAACACGAAGATTTCAGCCGATAGTTTGACAAATAAAGAAAAATAAACTGGTGAATAAGAATCTTGTGCTGACCTGAACAGACCAACGAGCGAGTGTACCGGCTTCAACTACGAAACACACACTTCCGCTTTGTACTTTCAAAATAAAACGGTTAAATTTTCGTACACCGGGATTGTCTCATTCTTTTGTCACAGACTTTGTATTTACAGACATGTTTTGTAGTTTATCACTGTGAAGAGAATAATATATTAAAATAAATCCTCACAGACACGTGTGCAGTTTCAGATATCCGACCGATAAAGATAAATAAGAGCCACAATCAGATTTAGGACAGTCATTTCCGGCTTTAATTTGTGTAACTTAACGCTTGGCTGTGACCTCAGTCCGACACGGAAAAGATTCCGTTTAGAGTTCTTTGACAAAGGTTCCTATGTTTCAAGAGTACACATAAATACTCTACTAAAGTACTTCAACTAACCCGTGGATTTATACCGTTTAGTACCTAAATAAAGGTACTTCCTTTTTTAGTTTACCTAAATATAGGTATCTTTCATTTTCGTTGTATTATTTTATGAAGACTCTAGTATCAGGCACCAAATCTGAAATCTGCTGGTATCTTTTATAAAAGTGAAAAAAAGATTTCACATTTTAAACAAGATATGATCATCTATTAAAATTTAACTCCAGTACTGTTGATTTTCTTTTTATGATTAAACTCACTTTTTAAATGTAATCTCCTTATCTTTTAGTTTATTTATTCAGACTTTGAGCTCTCCCCCTCTCTCTGGTTATTCTGCGAAAACATCAGAGTGAGGAAGAAAGAGACGACCAGAGAGAGGAAGAGCATCTGACCACATCCTGACAACACACAAACACACACAAACACACAGTCAGTCTGTCAGTCAGTCAGTCAGTCAGAGCCGATGATGTTTCAGGTGAGAGACTGTTTTATTTATTTCTGTTTGAAACTGTGACTAAACTCTGACTGCTTTATTTGACTGTTTGTTCTTTTGACGTGACAAATCTGTCATATTTATTTATTCAGAGTTCAGATTTGAGAGGATTGTGGAACAGACAGGAGAACTGTGACATTTTTTAAACTACGAGTCAACAGAGAGAGAAAAGGCGCTTTATTGTTATTGTATAAAAACACAGAATGAACCTTTAACATCATTCCTGTTCAGAACACAGGATGAAATCTGGAAGAAAATCTTAATTACTATCTTTTTTATCTGCAGCTTGAATAATTTTTTTTTTCATAAAGACTAAAACTAAAATTATTAACCACAAATGTAAAACTGAGCGTGATAACCGTGTTTTTGTCGGGTAAAAAGAGCCTTTAATATTCAGCGTGCGTCAGAGAGTGAACATATAAACAGTTACTGAATAAATCAGTCAGTTCACATTCATTTTAAAGAAGAAGTGAAATAATTTGTTTGATTATAAATAAATGGAAGCGCGGGTTATTACATTGACAGTTGTTGAATAGATAATTCTTTATATTTCTGAATATTAGCGGAGCTTCGATCAGCTGTTTTTATTCATAAATGGAATACGTCACTCGTCTAATTTCACGAGCTGACTCAGGTTCACTCTCAAACTGTCAGGAGTCATCTGAAGGGAAGTGGAGTTTTAAATCGTCTCTGGGTGTGAATTCTGAGAAACTTCCACTCATTTCTGTTCACGCTCAGTCATTTAGAAACATGCAGCTGCTGCCTGAGCGGCTGTGAGAAATAACAAACATCTTTATTTATCTGTTGAAGTCAAATGTCAACGAGGGAAAAAAGAACAACGAGAGGAGACTGAAAAATATAACATTTAAATAACAGTCAAATCTGTCGTGTTCAGCCATGATTTCCAACATTCAGCAGAGGAGACATAAGAGAAAATAAGAGTGGGCTCAGAATAGACCCCTGAGGGACACACTGCGAATGAAAACTGAGGAAGTAATCATGGTGGTCAGACCACAAGAGAGATCGAAAACGCCGTCTCATAAAAGTAAAATCTTGTCGTGTTGAAATTGTTTAAAAACTCTTCAAAGTTACTTTCACCTTCAGGATTCCTGTTCACTCATTCACTTTCCTCTTCACTTCTCCTCAGGTACCCTCCCATCACCCCTTACCTCAGGCCCAGGTGTCCTCTTTCCATCACCTCCCTCACCCACAGGTTACCTCCCCTCACCTCTTACCTGAAACTCAGGTATCTTCCCCCAACTACCTCTCCCATCCCCCGCTGAGCTCCCCTCACCTCCAGGTGACCTCTCCACACCTCCTCCCTCAGACTCATGCTCACTCCCCTCACCCTCACCTCTCACACCCCGCCTCCCCTCACTTCCCATCCCCTCACTTTGAGCTGCAGCCTCAGGTGACCCTGCCTCACCTCCTCTCCCCGTCCCAGCAGCACCTTTACAACCAAAACCACCTTTTGGGTTTTGATGATCCAAACTGGGGCGGGTCGGATCCTCCTCTTGAGCCGTCCTTCCCTCACCTGAGCTACACCTACCAGGTGAGACGTCGTCTTTTCTTTTCTGACAGATTAAAATAATCCAGAAGCTTCTTCGGTTCTGATCTTTCTGTCTGATCTCAAACAGAACCAGACCTCAACCCACCTGGACCTCCAGAACCAGACCCAGTTTGGAGATGATCTGCAGAGTCTGTCCTACGTCCACACACTCTTTGACAGAGGGGTGGACAGACAGGTGGACACACCTGGTCCAGCTCAGGATGCCTGGCAGCCTCTGGAGTCACCTCTCCCCCAGTTTCAGTGCTCCTCGCTGGGCCCCGTGTCCAGAGAAGTCCCCCTGGGAGGGTGGAGCTCCGAGGACTTCAGCTCATCACCTTCTGGAAACTTTAACCAGTTTTTCCAAGAGGGTTACTATGACAACAGTGCCCCCCAGCCCTTCTGTAGTCCAAACACACCTGGTCCAAGTCCTCATTACCCACAAACCCCAACTATCTCAAGCCCTGGTCCTCAGATGATCTCCAGAGAGGAGAGAGTGGACTTTAGCACGCACACATCCAGGAGCCTGAGCGGAGACACAACCATCAACTGCTTTACACACACCTGTGACAGCTTACCTGTGACCTCTGACCCCCATCAGACCCAGCAGCATCTCCGACAGAGCCACACCAAGCTGATCCAAGACCAGACCGCCCCCCTGGACACCACCAGGACCAAAAAGAGCAGTTTATCTCTGCTGAAGAAAGGCCAGGGAGGGAGGAGTACTGCCCGGTCTCCAGGTGTCACTGCCGGGCCGAACTGGAGAGATGAGACAGGAGGAGGAGAGAGAGGAGGAGGAGGAGGAGGAGGAGGAGGTCAAACCAGCTGGACGACGGTCTGTTCAACTTTTTAAAAAGTACTCTGAGTTATTATTTCTGATCGGACGGATGTCGAGGATGAGATTAGAGAGTTTGTTGATGAGTAAAACAGGAAAGAAGGCACTGATAACAAAAAGAAGAGCACAAATAATCAAGTGTTTCAGTCAGGACAGAGAGGTGAACAAACATTCTTCTGTTTTATTTCTAAAAATGATTAAAATATTTTGATGATCTATTTTCAGAATAAACAGCATCAGAATCGCACAAAGGCTCCAGACCCCAGGTAATCTGAAAATCACTGCATTCCTATAGGAGAATAAGGAAAATAACCTTTACAGATTATTTAACCTTTTATATCATATTATAGATTCAAACTTTATTTAATCAAAAAGAGGAAACATCAGATTGTGGGGGTCTTATTTCCCACAGTGCTGCTTCATCTCGTCCAGTTTCTGTTGTCTTATAGTCTGGATGGCAGCAGATGTTTCTCCTAAACTTGTAGATGTTCTTCAGCGTTAATGAAGCCTTCACAGATGTGAACTAGAGAAGCACTCGGAGAGCGCAGACCTCCGCCAAGCAGCTCATGTTCCCCCTGAAACAAGAAATGCCCTGACCGGGATACAAACCTAGAACCTTCTGGTTGTGAAGTGACAGTGCTAACCACTACACCACTGTGCCGCCCATTGGTTATCTTTCAGCATTGAAAATTCCAACGACACCCTTATTTTTGTGTGTTCTGGATCACAGTATCCAGAATTTTGTCTGGATCACCACCAAAATGTAATTGGATCCTCCTGGGGCTGAGACGCACCTCTGGTGAAAATTTCAGGTCAATCCGTCTGTAACTTTCTCTGTAAATTTGCTAACAGACAAACAAACCAACGCTACCAAAAACATAACCTCCTTGGCGGAGGTAAAGATACCCATGACATGGACTCTGATGATCCCCAGACCATCAGGGATGTTGAGAACAAGCCTTATATCCCCTCTCTTCTTTAGCGGACGATGGTACGTCCATGATTTCCAAAAAGAGCGTCTGATTTTAGTCTGTGAGACTTCAGGACAGTTTTCACTTCCTTTTCGTCGATCTTAAAATGATTGAGTTCATGAGAAGCTGTTAGTGTCTCTGGATCAGGTTCATATCTGGTTTCTTCTTTGTGTGGTTTAGTTTTAACTTGCAACTGCAGATGCATCAACAAACTGTGTGAAAAACAAATTTTGATTTTATCAACATGATCTGTCGTTGTTCAATGGTTTCGTAAATTTGTTTTTCTCTGTTTTTTCTATGATGCTACTTGTGTGTGTGTGTGTGTGTGTGTGTGTGTGTGTCACAGGCTGCTCTGTACGGTGTGTAAACGTGATTTCAGGAGTCTGCCGGCACTGAACGGACACATGCGCTCTCACAGCGGCTCCAGATCGGCTGCAGGATTAACCAAGGTCTCCATACTCAGTCTGAACATCCTGAACTGTTTCAAACTCGTTAGTTAATGAGCGCAGTGTAGGAAAGGCTGCCCCCTAGAGGTAACAGTAGAAATTGACCCGATGAACGTTTCCTATTTGATGCAATTTTTCGTCCAGGTCAATGACTCCACGCTGCGAGGAGACCCCTCTGTTTCCATGGTGATGCCTGTCTCAGTGCCCATCCAATCCAAAAGCGTGCTCGAGGCGTGTAGAGGTGGTCAGAAGACATGTGGTCGCCTCTCGCCCGCCACAGGGGGCGCTGCACAGTACCGCAGCCTGTTACACCGACAGGAAGAGAAAGCAGATGCTGATGGTGATGCAGTGGTTGCCGGGGGCGATGATACAGGTGTCACCCACTACACCCCCCCTCCCATGCTGTGTCCCCTCAGGGCGGGGCCAGGGTTGTTCTGTTCCCTCACCACAAGGGGGCAGCAGCTGCACAGTGAGTAAAAACATCGTCAGATTAAATTACGGGGCCACCTAGAGGCCACAGTAATCTTAAATCTGATTGGCAGGTGGATTTAGTGATGCTGTTGCCATGGAGACGTCGGCTCTCCCTCCAGGAACCATGAAGCCGTATGTCACTTTGACCTTTTAATACTTTTGTTTGATCATGTCTCTGATCACCTGTTCACACTGAGCTGTCAATCACAGGCGGATCAATTTGGGGCAGGACAACCAGGCTGAAATCCCGCCTCTGCAGGTCCAGAATGATGCTCATGCTGACTCCCATAATGCATTGCTGGTGTGGAGGCCTTTGGAGGAGCTGGAGCGGCCTGTCGATCAACAGTCAGGTAGGATACAAACGCTCGTTTTTCACACTGATATCATCAAAGATGTGATTGGCTGATTAACTTGATTGACACACGTTTTGTTCAGTTGAAGCGCTGATGTTGATGGCGTGCTCCAGTGTGATGCCAGGGGGCGGGGCCAGCCCGGAGACGGCCCTCCAGGTCCTATCAGAGTGCAGAGGAGACTTCCTGGTAAAATCTGATCTGCAGTTTGGCAGGAGCTTGAATGAGACTGATTTTGTCGATGTAAATTTGTGTGTCTGGATTTTGCTTTTTTCTCGTTTTGAGATATTTTGTTGTTTTTCGTCCTCCAGCTGACGGTGGAAAAGCTGCTGTCCAACAACAACAACCACACAGCCCAACAAAGCCCAAGTATCCACTCTTATATTCTATATTTAGAGAGACATGCTGTTATTTTACTTTAGTATTTAAGTCGTTTAGCATCTTCTGCTCTCCTCTTATCTGTAGGTGTGTGCTGGAGCGCCGCAGAGAGGCGTCTGCTGCTGAAATCTCTGCAGCTTCATCGTAAAGACTTCAGAAACATCCAGAAAACTGTGAGTCTCACTGTCTGTGCGAGCATCTGTGTGTGTAACTCTGTGTGGGATTGTGCCGATGGTGTGTGTTGTGTTGTTTTCAGGTTCAGACAAAGTCGCTCTCTCAGTGTGTGGAGTTTTATTACCTGTGGAAGAAGAAGCTGAGTCTGAGGGCGAAGACCCCGGCCGGGCTGACCATCACTCTGCCTGACACAAACGTAAGAGAGACAAATATTATGAAGAAGAATAAAGTACTCATGAACTAAACCGAAGTTTGGATGAGAGAGATCACAGTTGGATTAAGCTCATCAGCTGATCTCAGCTCAGCTCAGCTGTGTCTGACTTTGCTGATGCTCTCCCTGCCTCGGCTTTTAAAGGGACATTCCGGTGTAAAATTAATTTAGGGTCAAACACACCGTAACACTGAGTTAGACACCCCCTCCAGATACGAATGTTGCCGACCGCTTACTTCTCTAGTTATACCAACTTTAGTAACGGCTGCAGGATAGCGGCTGCTGGAAGAGAGTAGGTGAGTTGTGTTTAGTCTCTTTGCTAAAGAAATGAGTCAAAGTTAAAAAGATGTTTGGTGTCTAGTACTATGGCTGGGACCCTATATGTCCTTTTGATGAAGTTAGGTGCCTTTCTGAGCATTATTTGTGGCTATAGAGTGGCGTATTTGGTTGGGGTTTGTTTATGACTACTCAGACCGCTGTGTATTGCTATCCTGCGGTCGTTACTAAAGTTGGTATAACTAGAGAAGCAAGCGGTCAACAACATTCATCTCTGGAGGGGGTGTCTAACTCGGTGTTACAGTGTTCTCACCAATTTTCCGCCAGAATGTCCCTTTAATGTATAAAACAGATGGGAGATGTCCTCTCACTATTTCAGGCTTCATCTCAGGACAGAGCGGCATTCCTGCCGTGTTTAAATAACCAGTTATTTTGAATGAAAGTGACCCTGATCAAAACACCGTTTCTGCACGATCAGCGTTGAAGCTGCAGAAACATCAGATCGATCCTTTAGGTCTCCTCTCATAAAGCCTCTCTGTGCGTTTTCATGAAAGTCTGAACTTCGTCGAGTCTGAGATTCAGTTCAACTCAGTTTGAGGTCAGTTGGATGTAAAAGCGTAGCTACAGTCAGTCGAGCGGGTTGGTTTCAGTTTTTCAGGTCAGTAACTCCCTCAGAGTGACGACAAATGAAACTCGAGACTTAATGAACAAAAACCACTGAAACCAAACTGCTGTTATCACACACACAACACGCACAAAACACACACACAGAAACACACACACACATCCTGTCAGAGCTGAAAGGTTTCTGAACAAACTCTGACTTTGAAACCGACGTGTGTGTGTCTGTGTCTGTGTGTGTGTGTGTGTGTGTGGTCAAATGTCAGTGAGTCATCTTGAATTTTCCATCATCCTCCTCGCTGTCGTCGTTTAGATCCGTTCAGTAGATTCGACTGTTTATCTGTGTTTGTGCATCCGTGCCTCGCTTTTTCTGACCACCTGTGTCTCTGCAGGGTCAAAGGCCGTCAAAATCCCATGATGCACCATGAAGCACTGGACATTAAAGAGCTGGAGCTACACACTACTGCTATGAAGTTGTTGAACTGGAATCATTTGAAGACGGCTGCACATTAAATAAGCTTCTCTGTCTCTGTCTCGTCTGACACGTAGATGTTTTTAAGACAATAAAACTCGTTTATTTTCACTCTGGTGGTGTTTTAACAAAGAAAAGTGTCCTGATGTGTTTTCTGTCTTCATGGAGCAGCTCAGCTCAGGTATGTTCAAATATTGCTCTCCTGCCTTAATCCTCTCTGTCTCTGCCTGCGGCTCTCAGCGCTTCACTTACTACAGAAACACTGAGAAAAAGAGGAACCATGAGGCTTTCTGTCCGTCTGCAGCTCTTCACGTTAAAAACAGTCATTCAGGCGGGGAAACGGTCGCTCTGTTTTAAGCTCTGTGGCTGAGATTAGATTGATGATACAGAGCTGAAGACGTTTTTATCACTTCTGGTTAGCTAATGTTCAATTCAATTCAACTTTATTTATACGGTACTTTTCATACAAAAGGAGACGCAATTCAAAGTAAAAACAACAATAAAGACAAAAACCCAACCCTTCCACCCACACACACACCCATGGACCCACACACACACAGAGACACACACCCACCCTCACTCACCCACACATACACACACACACACACACACACACACACAACCGTACACAGTGTGAGAATTTAAGATAAAATTTTAAAGAGACATGGCCTGACACCGAGACATTACATGAGGAACCACTGGAGATAAAAATAGAGATAAAAATGGTGAAAAGAGTAAAAACCTGATGGACTAAAATAAGAAAATAATTATATTAAATGAAAAAATAAATAAAGAAGTAAAAACCTGTGACGGGAAATTAAAAAAGGCTACGAACAGAGATAATGAATAGAATGACATAAAATAAACATTAAGAACTTTGATTAAAATAAACATTTGCAATAAGAGAAATCTAAAATGGCAATTAGTAAAAAGCCTGGTCAAAAAAGTGAGTCTTGAGCCTTCACTTTTGTTAGCATGCTAACACAGAGAACTGAGTTAACACAAACTAAAGTGTTTTTTAAAAAGAGGGACGACATCACAGCTCCACAAAAGTGAAGAGGAAACATCAACAGCGCCCCCTGGTGACTTGCTGTAATGCTGGTAATAACAGTGTGTTTGAGTTACCTCAGAAGTCAGAAGTCGGAGCTGAAAATGACGTCACACCCGAGTTCCCAGCGTTTCAGTTACCAAGTCGCAAAAAAGCAAAATCAGAGGCGGAAACAAGATGGCTACTTCTACGAAAGTTATTGTAATGCTGGGAACTTGAGTGTGACATCATTTTCAGCTCGGACTCCTGACTTCTGAGGTAACTTAACTCAGCATAAGCCCCGCCTCCTGTGGGCTGGACCCACCTGAGGGGTCTCTGTCACTTTATCGGCTGCTTAAACATGGGTTTGGTTAAAGAAAGAGGCGGGACGTTAGAACTGCAGCTAAAACCAGTCGACCTCAAACACGTCGGCGCCTGCTGTGGGGGTATTTTGGCTTCATTTTTGCCCAGCAGGTGGAGGTGGCTGCATTTGAACCACTTAGACCACCCGTCTAAGTGTTTACTCTAAACTAACCTGACCACATCCTGCCTCCATCAGACATAAACGTGAGATCTATGTCAGAGTGAACCTTTAAGTCTAAAAAAACCCTCTATTTTCCAAAAGGTCTGACTCCTCTATGATTCTATGATCCTCTATGTTTGTAAAACTTTCAAAATAAGACACATTAAAGTCAAAAGTTTCAGTTGTTGACAGTTAAAAAAAGACTTCCAACAGTCTTTCTGTGTAAGTGAGGTGTTTTTCTAGTTTTTGTCTGTTGACTCAGCCTGTCAGTGTTTCAGTTTTGTTGTTTGTTCTGTAAAACAAACAGCAGAAAGTAAAATACGGGGGAAAAGCACCAACTGCTGCTCAAACTTCTGCTGCTCAGGTGAGTTAAAGCTCAAAAAGTGGAGCTGTGAAACTCTCCACATTCCTCCTCTAATCCGGTTATTTCTGCGTTTAATGTCAGAGCTCACAGAGTTTCCTGAGTCTCAAACTTGCTGCAGGCCACTCATAAAGTTTGACTCCTCCTCAATCCAAAGGTCCTCCTGCCTGAACTCGAGGAGGTCAGCGGAGAGACAGAAGAAAGGAGTCGGACAGAGGAATGGGAGCGCCGCAGAAGGAGGAGGACGCCGCTCCTTCGGTCAACAGGAAACATCAGAAAACCTCCAAAGAAGTTTATTTCGCCATCCTGCCGGATCGATATGAGCCTCTGATCGAAGAGGAGGAGGAGGAGGAGGAGATACAGGAGACGCAGGAGGAGAGGAGGAGGAGGAAGGAGGAGAAGAAGAGGAAGAAGAAGAAGAAGTACAAGAAGTACAGGAAGGTAGGGGGAAGTGATGACCTTTGACCTGTAGAAGTGTGAGAGACATTTTACAATCCTTTAGAGGTTTGATCGATTATTGGTCGGGTCAATTATTGATGCTCAATTTATTGTTTTGTCAGATTATCTGTCAGCGCTGATAAAAAAACGATCTCTGATTAAATAATCAAATCAAACGTTCTGCTTTAGCTCGGATGCATGTCTGTCAGGGTCTGTTGTCACTCTGTCTCACTTGATGTCCCACCCACAACACCTCCTGATTGGCTGGACGTCACCCAGGTGAAATCAACATGCACAGAGATAAACAGTTACGATACTGAAATATAAATATAAAACTATAAAACTATAAAATGAACAAACACGTGTCTGAGATATACAGACAAAAACACAAACCTGTGACAGTCCTCAAGTTACTCACAGGTCTGTTTCTAACTCTACCTGACTGTCAACAGAATGAAAATCTGTATCTGGACTTTAAGCGAAGCCACGGTGGAAAACATTGACTCAGCAGAGTGACTTTGACCTTTGACCCCCGACACTCTGCTTAATCAGTCTGATATGATAAAGACGGACACGGAGAGGAGCAAAGTAGAGGATCTTCACTGCAGATGACGGCGTGGTTTAAGAAGTCGATGATACAACAATCCATAAAACGCAGATATCGTAGGATGTTCAGTTTAGTTCTCTATCAGGATGAGTTTATGACCACCATGAGGAGGAACGCTACTTTTCTTCCAGCTCCAGATACATGTGCGTGTGCAGATTTACTCATTTGTTCACGCACACAGGCAGGTCGCTGCAGATAACCCGGTTTAACACCAATTCACAGAGAAGCAAGCTGTATCTTGTTTGTTTAGTCTGTGAGCAAACAGCATCCTAACAGCTGTGTGTTTGTGAAGATCTGATGGTCGGCAGGAGGGATGTTGACTATTTGAACCTGCAAACAGAAGCTCATAAATCTTGACCACAAACCAAAACACTCGACCCATAAAAACGCTGAAGATTGACAGTCAGTGTTGATGAATACCTGCGGGTTTTATTCCCTGTGTTGTGTCTGTTATTTACCTGTGGGTTTTTGCTCCCTGTGTTTCGTCTTGCAGAACGTGGGGAAGGCGCTGCGGTTCAGCTGGCGATGCCTGATGGCCGGTCTGCAGAGCATGGCCTCCACTTACTCCACGCCCATCTCAGCCATGTCCACAGTGGTGACGGAGGTTCATCGATCGACCAGTAGCAAAGCCTGATGGGATATGGACAGAGAGTTTTGTCTTACCAGTGCACAGATTAATATCGCCCACAGAGACCCTAAACCTGTTTGATCCATCTACGATGTGGACTAAAACCAGGGGCACAGAGACGCTTCCTTTTTTTAGACGAATGTTTTTAGATCGTAACGACAGAAATGGTCTTTGCTTTTGTGACTGATGTAAACGGATAAAGACTAAAAAGGATTTTGTGAATGATAAAAAAAAACACGAAACGAAGGAGAAATCCTTAACATCTGTTAAAAGCCAAGTTTTTTTAATCATGTTCTTTTCTTTTGCAGTAAAACAAACCGATATGTCCTTGCTCAGACTTTTTAGTATGTAATCATAATATCTGTAATGAATGTCTGCCGTCGTTTTTCATCTGTATAGCCTTTTTTACGTTAAGTAACTCATGTAAAATGTAAAAACTAAGTTGACTCTTGAATAGTATTAAGTTATACATAACCTGGATTTATTAAACATGTTTACTCCAAAACTGTTTGTGTTAATGTTATGATGGTCTCTACTTTCCTACTTCCTCAAAGAAATATTCCGGCGTAAATTTAACACACCGTAACACCGAGTTAGACACCCCCACGCACTCAACCAAAACGCCACTCTATAGCTCTATTGCCTAATTTCTTTAGCAAAGAGACTAAACACAACTCACCTACTCTCTTCCAGCAGCCGCTTGTTTGTACAGAGACCTCAGGCCAGTCCATTACGGACTACAGCGGGGTGTCGCAGCTCAAGGAAGAACAATTATGATCATTACTTTATCATTTCCTCGAAGTAATAATCATCATATTAATCATTTTACACTGCAGACACGGTAGTTCTTCTGCCTTAGCGTCTCGGTCTGATTGTATTTCCATGAAGAAATGATCATAAATGTTCTTCCTTGAGCTGCGTCACCCCGCTGTAGTCCATAATGGACTGGCCTGAGGTCTCTGTACAAACAAGCGGCTGCTGGAAGAGAGGAGGTGAGTTGTGTTTAGTCTCTTTGCTAAAGAAATGAGTCAAAGTTAAAAAGATGTTTGGAGTCTAGTACTATGGCTGTGACCCTATATGTCCTGTTGATGAAGTTAGGTGCTGTTCTGAGCATTATTTGTGGATATAGAGTGGTGTTTTGGTTGAGTGTGTGGCTCTCTGTATTGTTATCGAGCGGTCGTTACTAAAGTTGGTATAACTAACAACATTCATCTCTGGAGGGGGTGTCTAACTCGGTGTTATGGTGTGTTTGACCCTAAATTAATTTTACGCCGGAATATCCCTTTAAATTCCTTAAATTCTTAATAATTCTGAGACTAGATAAAAATTCTTTACAAAAAAAGTTCTTCACCAATCTATAGTTTGAGTTTTGTGAGAATGTAGCACGGTTCAACACTGTCAAAGACAAATCTACTGATTAAACACCTCTATGTTTAAAAATACAACAAAAACTATTTAATCACACTAACATGAGTGTCTAAACTTTCCTCTTCTGTAAAAGAACCTCTCCCCCCTGACAGAAACATGAAGCGCTCCTGTTGTTTAATGAGTGAACATGTTTCAGATGTTTTTATAGCAGAAAGTATCTACAACCTCAAAAATAAACTCCTTGACCTCCTTACTAATTATAACCTTCGTGGAAGGAAAAAGGAGGTTAATGTTTGCCCTCTTTGCATTCCCTAATGTAGGTGCGTTACTCCACATAACCACAAGATGCCGCTTTACCGCTGCACTGCGTGACCTCCCCTGTTTCCTGTCCATATAAGGTAAAAGGGGCGGGGTTAACTCTCTGGACGAAAGTTCACCTTAAAGTGAACCCTTCTTTGCTGCCGTCCATCCGTTTGGCAGGTCAACAACATTCCTGGTGACAGCAGCAGCTGTTCAGCACACACACACACAAACACACACAGACATACACACAGACCTGAGCGGACTTGGACCTCTGACAAAGACGTAAACAAAATGGGGAGCTCCTGAAAATCCTCCTTTCAAACCCGGGACGAACTTTTGTTGGAGTTGTGGAGGACCATGAGGGTCGTGTCTCACCTCAGAGGGCTCCTGTCTCCGCTGCAGCTCTCCGTCTTCTGCCGCCTCTCCTTGGTTTTCATCCTTTCCCCTTTTCTCTTCTTTCTCGACATTTTCACGACCGCCATCACCGCCGCTACCTGTCACTATGGCAACGGCACCGGCGTGGACTCCTGGCCGAACGCTGAGACCAACCAATCACAGGCCGGGGAAGCTTCAGCCGGCGACGCTGATTGGTGGACAGACAGCGGTAACAGAAACGTGAGTCAGGAGAACTTTTGAATCTACTTTTAATATTCGACCAACTTTTCATCGGTTTATTGAGTAAAAAGTAAAATAAATCTCATGTTTTTAAAGTTATAATTCAAACATTTGTGTTTTTCTACGTTTGGAGGAAAATTATAAAATGAAGACATGTTGCACAACAGACACAGATGACCGTTTCATGTTAATATGTGAACATGAGGCTGTTAATGCTCACCGCTTCTGTCAAATGTTAGAGGAAAATAACTGTTTAGGAGAGAGTCTTTGTTCGCTCACTAACCTTGAGTTAGATATCTGCTCACGGGGCACCTCCAGGGATTCAGGGCCCCTGAAAAGAAACAGAAATCACACAGGGGCCCACCGCCTCTTCACCATAACTGCCCCTAATATGGTGCCTCAGTGTGACTCTTCATCATCATCTCTTCACATGAGCTGGGTTATTATCATCTTAAATGAATTTAAAATCACGCCGTTCAGATTTTAAATGACTTTTTCGATCCCAAAGTGTGTAGTTCAATAATCAGGAATATAGACAGTTTTCATCAGCACTGTTGAAATACTCTCAGTGTTTCCTCTGCACTCAGTGGTCATTGCTCCACAAATAGCCGTAATGCTTATAGCCTCAGTGTTAGTTTACATTTCTCAGAGATATGATCCATATGGAGGTTTGAAAGCTGCACCATGCCTGACTCAGTCGGAGTTATTTCATTTCAATGTGACATGTGGAATATTTTAAAGAAACATCAAATGTCACAAAAACACAGTTCATGTTAAAATATGAGATAAAAACGTCCAAACTCAGAGAGTGTTTGTTCGTTGGTTGTTGCAGCTGTGTGAAGAGAGGTCAGTGAGGTCTGTTTTTGCCCTCAGGTCTACAGTACATATGCATTCTGCAGGTTATCAGCTAATGTACATTATGTGTGCGTCTGTGTGTGCGTCTGTGTGTGTCAGTCAGTGTGTGGCTGGGCAGACTGGTTGTCCTTTGGTCAGACTCTCTTCATGATCGGTCTGCTGCTGGGATCTCTGGTGGGAGGAGCCATATCTGACAGGTAACACACAAACTCACACATGTTGTGATTGAAGCTCCTCCACAGAGCTCTTACTTTACTGTGACGTGTTTCTGCAGGTATGGGAAGCGTCCCGTACTGCTGGTGTGTGTGTGCGTGCACGCTATCTGCGGCCTGGTGCCCGCCGTCCTCCCTCAGCCCATCCTTTTCCTCGTTATTCGCTGTCTAACGGGCGTCTGCTGCTGCTGCATCCACATCTGCTCCTTCAGTCTGGGTAAAAACATCGACACAAACACACACTTCTTTTTTTCCTTCCTTTGTGCCAAACTGACCGAGCTGAGTCTGATCGGACCGCAGTAGGATACATGTCCGATAAAGCTTATGCCTCAGATGGAGTCCTGCTGATCAGACTGAGCGCTAATGAAGGAAGACGGCTTCCTGCAGCTCTGTGACCTCTGACCCCTCCTGAGTTTTGTTTTGAGGAGAACCCAGCGAAGATTATCCGAGGAACAGCAGGTTTATAAGAGCCTGCAAAGTTACAAATGTTGAAAACTATGAAAACTATGTTGCAGCTCAGACTGAAGAAATCTACTGAAGCTGAACTAGACTGAATAAGACGCAGGTTTAAAGGTGGATTAACCCTTTAAAGACACTCTTATTATCTCACAGCGGTGGAGTGGACCCCCCCTGCTGCTCGGCTCTGGCCCCCCGCCTTCCTGCCGTTCTGTTTCAGCCTGGGAACGATGGCCGGGGCCCCCCTGGCCTGGCTCAGCCCCACCTGGAGACAGCTGCACCTGTCTCTGGCTCTGCCTCAGCTCGTCTGTCTGCCTCTCTACCTGTAAGTCCACACTGTCTCTCACCTGTCCGTCCTCCTACCTGTCCGAGTGTTTGACCATAACCGGCTTCTCTCCGGGTTTCTGAAGAGCGATCCCAGAGTCTCCTCGCTGGTTGCTGCTGAAGAGGAGGATGGAAGTCCTGGAGCGTTACCGCGCCAACAGCCCTGAAGATCAGCAGTGTCTGGACCTGGTAAAACACACACACACACACACACACCACCCTGCTGCAACATCACACGAGGAGAAATCTGCAGTCTGTGCATGTGTGCATCTAAATGTGTGTGTCTGTGTGTGTGTTTGTGTTTGTAGCTGTTAGACTCAGCCTTGTCTGACCTCCAGAAAGCCTCCGAAGCTCAGAAGGAGCCGCCGCCTTCAGGCCCCGCCTCCAGTGACATCTCACACCTGAGGCACCCAACCATCCTGCTGCGGCTGTTCATCATGAGCTACCTGAGGTAACACACACACACACACACACAAATACACAGATACACACACTGCTTTGAATAAAAAAAAAAGTAAAGCAGAGATGTCTGTCTTCCCATGATGCAGTGCAGTCACGGCGCTGACCTACTTCGGCATCTGTATGAACGTGGGTTCTTTCGGCGTCAGCGTTTACTCCGCCCAGTTCTTCTCCGGCCTATCAGAGGCCCCCTGCCTGCTCGTCCCGTTGATTCACCTGGGCCGTCGGCCAATCAGCATGCTGGCTTTGTTCCTGAGTGGGTCGGCCTGCTTCCTGTCGCTGCTGCTGTCAAGATACAACTGTGAGCGAAGGAAACACAGACGTGATCAACACTTACACCCACGTCTCCGAGGGTTTTTGAAACGGCGGTGTCCGCCCCCTCTGTTCACTCCTCATGTCTGTCTTCTGTGCAGGTGAGCCGGTGCTGGTGATGAGTCTGGCCCTGCTGGGAAAACTCTGCATCCTGGCTGCGAACTTCATCTCAGTGCTGTACAGCATCGAGCTGTTTCCCACAGTGGTCAGGTACTAACATACAGAGTAGATTTGTTGTGCGTTTTGTGCTTCAGGGCCACCGTACTGTCACACACACACTCAGAAGGTGTCCAGGTGAGACACAAATTCACTCTTTGTCATTCTGGTCCAGACAGCGGTGTGTGTCCCTTGTCAACTTGTGCTTCCGGATCGGCTGCCTCGTGAACTCCCTCGTCCCCCCCACCGCTAACGGAGCGATCTCATTGGCTGCCATGGTGGCGTACAGCAGCGGACCAATCGTAGGATGCGGGTTGTGCTTACTTCTGCCAGAAACTAGCGGCATTTCACTCCCTGATTCGGTGGAGGACTGTGACAAGCAACCGAAGCCCCACCTGCCAAACTTTGGGGCCCTCTGGAGGAGAGGGTAAGAAACAGCTTCATATCAGAACTCGGTGAACTTCATGTTGGACTCAGTGATTATAGGAGAAGACCACAGGCATGTCCTGGATCAGTTTACTGTCTCCTGACCAGACTTTTCTTCAGTTTGGCTGCTAAAAATGTTCAAAACTCTGTATGCAGAGCTCCACATCCAGCCGTTTAACTGAGTCACGCTGCAGCTTCAGAGAAAACCTTCTTCACACACATTAACAGCTGCAGAGTCAATCATTGTGATGATTTATGTGTGTGTGTGTTTCAGGAAGCTGGCGAGCAGCCAAAGCAGCAGGACAGAGACCCTCCCTGCAGAGAGGGACGCCGCTCACACGGGACTGATATGAAAAGTCGTTTTGTTTTTAACTTAAATGAACTTTTTTATTTTACTTTTGTTCTAATTTTTAATAAAGACCAAAGAAACTTACAGCTGCACATATGTGAGGGGAAGTGGAAGAGGAAGCGTTACATGATTGGCTGCTTGACTTAGTGGAGTGTTTTTGTCACTTCTGTTTTCATCACTGTGAAATAAACTTTTTATTATCCTCTTTATCATCAATGAATTATTTAAACACCTCCTTTAAGGTCGTTTTGGCTTTTCTACGCCTGCTACCTTTAACATACATTTTCAGCACGGACGATACCGTCTTTTAAAAGTTGTTTTTGTTCCTGACAGACTCAGATTGTTGTTTAAGCGTCTCTGTCAAAGAGGGAGATGATTTTTAACCAGAATCAGCTGTTACATCACACAGACAGAAACAGGTGAGAGTTCTCAGGAGTTTCTGACCTTTAGAGTTTGTGCAACTATGCAGCTTTACTGTTTTTACTGTTAGATTATGATCTAAGTAACAGACAAGGAGAAAAAAACACTTGAAATGCTTGTTTTTTTTAATCATTTTGGTCTGAACACACTTTAAGATGAACCCTAAGCAGCATGTAGAGATGATGTTTGCTTCCTGACTCTGTGACTTTCTCCTGAGGGAACCAAAAACACACCTGTAACCTTCAACTGCTGTCCAGTTTCTGTTCGCCTCCTCTTCAGGTAAAGCTTCAGCACCTCCACAAAAACAGTGTCTAACTTTGCTTTTAAAATCCACCTGCTACAAAAGTCACATTTCTTTCTACGTCGAGTATAAGCTTTAAAAATATTATTACAGTGTAAAATGATTTATTAAAATAGTTCCTGAAATGTTAGAGAGATGACTCAAAGCTGCTCTACTCATGATGATGCTTTTAAATATAAATAGTATAAATATCAGGTTGGGAATCAGTACTAACGTGTAGGACAGGTAACAGCATAATGCTTCAGGTAACAATGACTACAACACAATAACAAACTGTACATGTAGTGCAGACTGGTCTCCATGGAAACCAGTTTGAATGTGGTTTTAGGACACCTGATTTAACCTCCACGGGGTCAGAGGTTGAAATGTTGACAGACACGATCAGTCCATGAGACGTGAAAATGATCTGGATACAGACGTCAAAGTGTCCTGCATCCTCATGAGGGGGCGGGGCTTCTAGAGACAGAGTGAGAATAGTTTGATGACGGCGTCCCTGAAAGACAGAGAGGAGGAGGAGGAGAGGGAAAGATTTTATTCTCTCAACTCTTTGGTTTAAAATGTTGATGACTTTGCTTCAGGGCACAGGAGAGAGAGGGAAGTGTTACCTGGCGAAGGGGATGTAGGAGAGGCCGTACCTGAGAGGAACAAACAGACATGTGAAACAGACAGACAGTCTCATATCTACGGCATACCTTTAATATAAGTTTATGATTTTTTACCAGGTGAAAGCCAGAAACTGCATCACACAGAAGAGCAGAGCCAGTCCGTTATTCTTCCACTGCAGAGAGAGAGATTCAGAGAAATTCAAAAACTCAAAGTTTAGTGAAAATAAAACTCACCAGATGTTAACTGTCATTTCTTACCCAGAAAGCAGCACACAGAGTCAACACCAGACACACCTGCAGAGACACACCAGGAGATTAATCACAGGTCACTAGAATATTTTATTTATTCATTTAACCACCTGAGTGCCTGAGTGAGTGTGCGTTTTTACCAGCATGACGATGGTGGCGATGGCTCTCTCTTTAGCACACATGTTCTTCACCTGCCTTAATGGACCGACCAGGAACATGGTGCTGAAATCACAGAGACACATGCGAGTGTTTGGAGTGTTATAACAATATTTAAAGATGTCAGGGTTACCGTTTTAACAACAACAACAACACAAAATCACAGACTACAGGGTCTGACTGGAAGCATAAGCCATAAACTGCTGCCACTGGAGAGCAATGTTCACATTCATAAATCAGACCTTCACACAGGGCCTGAAGGATGATGGGTAATGTAGTTTGTCATCAGAATGATCACAAAAACACTACACTGACTCTGCTGGCCATGTCTGACCCTGATGGACCTGGCTTTGTGTGGGTTTCGAACAGGTGGGTTACCTGCCCAGAGCGCAGAGATTTCCAAAACTGTAGAGGACGGCAAACACAGCCAGACCAAAACCCGGGACCCACAGCAAACAGGTCCCCTGAATGCAGAGAGACAAACAGGTGGTTTAACCATGAAGACAGACAGGGAGACGACACAATTTGTAACCATGGAAACCGAAGTAAAAAGAAGGATAAAGAGTAACCTTGGAGACAGAGAGACTGTACCAGGCTGAGCGAGAGGCTGTTGCCAAGGAAACAAAGGAGAGGAAAGACACTGGCCAGCAGTTACCATAGATACAGGCTGAGAGGACAGGTTAACAGGCTGTTGCCGTGGAAACAGAAGAAAGGTAGCAGGAAAAGAGGATAAGTGGATATAACTCAGTTTACAAGCATACAGTGAAGTTGGAAAAAACAGACTTGACAGAGAGACGACAGATTGACTGTTTCCATAGAAACAGAAGGTGTTGTTACACACTGACTTACCAGGATGGAGCAGAAAACACCCAAAACGAAGCAGATGATGAAGCCTCGCACCCTCGCCCCCCATGAAAGAGTGGAGGCCTGATTGGCTCTCTGCAGAAATTACATCATAGTAATGTGAATAATCCATACATCAACCTGAGATTAGTTTATAATATTATTAATAATAATAATACTCAGTAATAATAACTGTATCTATATATAATGATTTAAGTACATTCAGTTTGTAACGACAAAAACATACATAATTAATCAGAGACTATTTTAATAATCATAATAATGATAACTGTATACACACAAATATATATAAATTTAAGTATATTCAGTTTGTAACGACCATAACTGTAATAAATAGGTAAAATGCAGTGACAGGGGTAAATTCATATTTCATTCTATTTTTTATTTGACTGACTTTACAAACTTTTAAGAGATGTTTTAACAGGATAATGTTACTCCAAGTTAAATCCAGAGACAAATCATTTTAAACTTGGACTTGTTGTACTTGTATATCTTCTGACAGGTCTCGTATTACAGTATTTGATAAGTAAAGTGGAGTTAAAGTCACCGCAGAGAGCTCTAATAGTTAATTTACCCGCTAAAGAGCAGCTGGCTGAAGCTAACATGCTAACAACAACAATAACAGGCAGATGCTAGCAGCCGTTACCACCAATATTCCGGGTGTGTCCGAGTTTCCGTCATCCTCTCCGCTCAGCACCTTCTTTAACTTATCCATTAAGTCCTAAATTTCCGCCTTACAACAGATAATAGTTCCTCTGCGACTCTCCAGAAGCTTCCCAGGTGTTTCTGGTGTCGAGTGTAGCAGGTTACGAAGAGGTGAAGTCACACAGAAAAGAGGAGGCAACACATCAACAGGTGCAGCGTTTCCGCCTGCAGTACCAACTCTGGCCACACAGGGCTAAAAGGGGGGCGCTGTTTCCTCTACTTGAGTGCTACACTTGTTTTCATGGTGAAGCAAAAATGTTGGACTCAAACAGACGCAGCAGAAGTTTAAAGCATATAAACAGAGCCGATTCTAGAGTTAGACATTATCTGAAACCAACAAAAGCGGTCGGAAACAAAAACTCTTAAAAACAATCATTATTATTATTACATAACTTGAAAATGTTGCTCTAATATAGCTACAGCTCTGGTATGTTTTTACCATAATAGCCAGCACCTTATTTTTTGAGAAAGTGGTGACTTGGATAGATCAAGGGAATCATTTTGAAATAAACATGAGAATTAGAAGAATCTTACTTCTACTTTAATTGACACACATCATTAAACAGGGATGATATGGGGCCCTTTTACAGGCGGATCTAAAATGTCATCATAATTTGACCACTAATTGTTTAATAGGGTTGCAATATTTCAGGACATTTTTGTGGAGTAAAGTTCGTCAGCCATCGGGGGCCCCCTAGTGGCCTGGGGCCCCAGTCAACTCCCTGCCTGGCCTCTTGACGAGCTCCGGCTCTGCGTTTGAGCTTTAAAATTACATTACAGCACATTTCCTTAATTAATATGGATAAAGACCTATTGTATTTGGCTTTTATCTTAAAATGTTAATATTTTTGTAAGGCTTTAACCATTTTCTTGTTTATAGATATACAGAATACTGAATGCAATGTTTCCCACAGAAGTTACATAATATTCACACCAGACCAGATCGATGTAGTTTTGAAGTCCCTGAATGATAGAGAATAGAGGGAGAAACTTTAAGCATTTCATTAACCAGTCAAAGTGTTTATTATTTTAATTTTTCAAAAGCTTCAGCAGTGTTTGTTACTGATGGGAGGGGATGTAAAAGAGGCTTTAGAGCAAGTACAATGCTCATCCACTGCAGAGAGAAATAGATTCAGAAATGATCAATAACGATTCAACACAAATATATAGGTTAAAAGAAAGAAAGAATGTATTAGTCTGTTTTTCTTTACCCAGAATGTAGAACTAGGAATAATCAGGCATGAAAGAAAGATAACCAGCCTGCGATTGCACTGTTTGGTCAGTAGATGGCAGCTGTAGACTGTATATGTTGTGTTTTTAGATTTATGTCGGTATCATTCCAGAATTTAACTCCAGTAAAAGAAGACACGTCTCCTTTTCAGACCTTTTTTGGCTTTTGTAGAGTTAATTTGTAAGCACCTCTGAGATTATACAGACTGTCCTGAATTGAAAAGAACCTCTGTATTGAGTCAGGGAGCATTTTAGATTTTGCTCTAAACATTATTTGCATTGTTTTATAATAAAAAAGATTATAAAATTTCATAACATGAGAATTTAGAAAAAGTGGCTCAGTGTGATCATAGTTATCAGTCTTATTGATGATACGTAGAGCTCGTTTTTGCAGTTTTATTATTGAATTTATAATGTTTTTAAAGGTGGATCTCCACAGTTCCACACAGTAAGATATATAGGGACTAATCCATGAGTAGTACATCAAATTCAAAGCCTAAAATCTACAACACTACAATACAACCAAACACATTTCCTTTATTTTTTAGAGGATTGTTTTTTATTTTATTTTTTATTTATAGCTTGTACAATTATTTACAGCCTTTGACCTCTTTGCAAAAACAAATACTTTTTTTCTTGCTTTCTGAATCAAACTTTATTGTCCGTCGTTACAACACTGTTTAATTTGTACAAATAGATTTGTGAAGTATTTGTTGTAACCTCTCAGGCTCACACACACTCAAACACACACAAATGAGGTAACTGTGGTTGCACAGACTTGGCCGTTCATGTTTGTTCTTAAATGTTCACAGTATGAAAGTGTTTGGAGTTTACATTCAGTAAATCAGCTGCATTTATGAAAAAAAAATACCAGACTATATATCAGTTATATGTATATATATGAAGGTCCCTTAGTTCTGAACAGAAGAATGAGGGACCACTGGCAATCTCACAGCCCGATTTCTTACTTTGGAGGTAAGTTCGATGCTGTAGCGCTCTCTGTCTGGTGGTTTTTAGGGGACTTTGACTCTGGTGGAGTTCCAGTAGACGGGCTGTGGTATGGACACCTGAACATGACAGGTGGGACAGGACTGTTTCCTCCAGAACCACTCCTCTATACACTGCAGAGAGACGGTGAGAGTCATCATCACATATGGATGATGACTTTTTAAAGCTGACACTTGTGTAATGTGTGTGTGTGTAGTGTTACCTCTTTGTGGAAGGTGTGTGTGCACTGCAGCTCTCTGGTGCCTCCGTTTCCTTTATTCAGGTCGTTGTGACAGATCAGACACACACTATACGCATCGCTCTGCAACACAAAGATTTTAATACGATTCAAAACACATCAGACCTTAAAGCTCCTGTAAGGAACGTTGTTTGAGTGACTTTGGCTTATCTTGTCCCTCACATGCCTAAGTAGGGACCTAAAGAGATCCTTTAATGACCAAAACCTTTTTGCACCATTTGATGTGATGATTCCCTGATTACCTAAGATGATCATTTTACCCACCAAAGACATGACGTTGCGCCTCCTAAACGTGCTTCGTCTCTCGGGCGCTATGACCTCAGGGATTGTGGGTGGGATGAGGGAGGGTCTCCTCTCTGGGATGGAGGGTGCAGTGGACTCCTGTGGCGAGGGGACGAGGCGTCTGGAGGAGGTGCGGCGGAGTAGGACTCTGGCGGTGACGGGGGCCTGAGTGGACGAGTGGAGGCGAGACAGCTGCATGGCGCAGAGAGTATTCTGGACGGACAAAGAGAAGAACAGTAAACTGTTGAAACTGGTCTAGTTTCGGTCTGAAATCAATGTCTGGGTTTCAAAGGTTCCCTGAACTCATCCTGTAAACTCCTGCTCTTGTAATTGATCAGTGAAGAGTTTAATGACTGATCAATCAAAGACTGATTCACCGAGCAAACCTGCCCGTCAACACGGGCAAAAATAAACAAGACTACATGTTGAAATCCTTATTAGCGAACATGCCTCTCTTTAACACCCAACTGGACAAAAGGGCTCTGACCTGACTGAGCCGCCTTCTCAGGGCTCTAAGCCTGCAGCTAAAAATGGATCCTGAAGGCCTGGAGTGAGGCCCAAAGCTGAGGAGACTTTTCCTCCATGCAGAAGATGAACTCTCTCCAGCATCTGAGTGTCTCTGATCAGGAACTCTGGATCCCTCAAAGATATGGGTTGTTGGTTATAAAGTGGAGTATCAAACTGGAGTGAACTGGTCAGACTGGGTTTAGTGAACTGAGATAGTTGGCAGTAAATGAGCTGCAGGATCAGCACTGCTGAGTCAGGCCACGTGAGCCAACTGGGGCAGAAAAGCAAACAAACATGGCCGCTTTCAGGGGCTCCAATCCTTCACAGAGTTTGTTATCTGAGGGTTTATACTGAGCATGCTCCAAGGTTGATCAGCTGTGTTTTTGGTTTCTCTTACCGGACATGGTAATGATGCTCGGCGGTCCATCCTCTTCCGGGCTGTGGGCTCCAGGCTGTTCCTGCTCTCACTCCTCCCCCCTTCTAGCTCTCCGTCCACTTCTCCCTCTTCTTCTTCTTCTTCTTCTTCTCCTATTTTCTCCTGCTGGGACCCTCCTCTGTATCTCTGCATCCAGGCGTTAAAGATCTTGGCATCTTGCTCCTCTCCTCCGCTGTCTTCCTCCCCGCTCTCCTCTCCCTCACTCTCTTCCTCCTCTCCTTTCGCAGAGCTCGGCTCTTCATTGTCCAGAAACACATCCTCAACGCCGGGGTCCATCGCAGGAGACGAATGTTTGTGTTTATGGAGCTTTAGTTAGTGGCTCCGATGAAGTCAAATATGCTCAAATGAAACTCTGATGTTGTTATAATAAAGCTTTAGATGTTAGCAAACACCAACCTCAGTATATGACAAATGTCCATGCTGACTATTTAAAACTGATCTCACCTATTTATAAGTCATCTAAATTAAGACAGGACAACTTCCAACTGGGCTCAGTCACGGCTAAACTCGTTGCCCTGTGACAGTCAGGCTCGGCTAAATTATAGCTGATGGGATTAAAATCGGGTTCAATCACAATAAGGCTGAACTCCAACAAATCAAACTCAGAGGTTCAATGAAATGAAGGAGACGTAGCAGCCGTCAGAGAGAGGAAACCAGAGTCAAGAACGCTCAGCACTGAGCTCAGATCACGGCGAGGTGATGAACGAGTTGAACAGGTGAGCAGCAGCAGGTTCATGTCAGCTCCAGCAGCAGCAGTTCAGTTGGTATTTAGTTTGAAGGGAGGATTGTGAGGACACAGGGTTGAGCAGGAGGATGGGTAAATGAAGAAAAGATGGATTGGTTATTGAACCTGCAGAGCCTTAAATCCGGTCTTGATTGAGAGTCTCATTTCAGTCCTTTCAGATCCATGCAGGTAGAAAACCCCAGCCTGTCCTCCAGTCCACGTTTACACTCCTATTCCTCCTCCTTGTTGTCGTTTTTCTCTTCTGCTTCTTGCCTTCGGCGCAGCTTTCACCTGAACCCTGTTAATCCATTTACAGGAGCACAAGAGGAGGAGGGGGGGGGATTATATCTGGCTTAATGTATCTGTGTGGAGACCAGGTGAGAGGTGAGAGGGAATCTGCTGTCACGTTGGTCCTGTACGGTCGCTAACAGGTAGATTAATTGATTACCTGCCTGATTGATCTTATAAATTTGGGACTGTGTGACCCAGAGTGTTGTGGTGGTGACAGCTGCCTTTCACTTTTTTGTTATTTTAAGAGACGCTGTAAAGATTTCAGCATCACAATGTGGAACATGAACAGGACCATGAAGATTTCAGGATATCCATTTCTGACTCCAGACACCAGACCAACGCTCTATTCATCTTCTTTATCGGCATTTATTTTTTTAACCAATCAGAGCCTGTTGCTGGGCAGAGTGGGCTGACCGCTGGTTTGTGCTGTAATGACTGTAATTTCAAGAAAGAGATGCAGGAGTTTGGGGTCGACTTACAGAACAAGGATGGATGCTGGACAGAGAGCAACAAGATGGTAAACGAACAGGATAAACCGGATCATGAGCCGGTCCGGGGTCACTGCAGAACAGGAAACAGTTAAGGCCACAGACATCGATTTAGAGAAAGGATTGACGAAACATTTCCCTGTTTGTAAAAACATTCAGCTTTAAGACTCGAGTTTACAGCGTCTGGTTAAGCTGGTTCCTGTGGAGAGAATCAGACTAAAATCAAACATGAGACAGAAAACATAAAGATGCAGCTTCCTTTGCTCACCACCAGAGGGCGCTCTGACTCTGCAGACAGATTTGTCAGGGTTTACAGATGTACAAACTGTCAGTGAACAAAAACAAAAGCCTCAATCAACAGGAAGAGGCTCTTTCAGAATAAAAGAGAGGAGAGTCAGGATCATGTTATTAGTTTAGAGAGGCTGATAATCCTGTGTGTGTGTGTGTGTGTCGATGAAATACATCAACACACACACACACCTCGCCTCTTGTCTATGCCAAGGAGCTGCTAATTAGCCTGTGTGTAATTTTCATTGTTGCCAATTATAGCTGGAGGGGCTAAGGTGTGTGAGTGTGTGTGTGTGTGTACTCGATGCTAACGAGCCAGCCTGCCCTGCCAAGCGGTTGACCCACTTCCCAAAGGAAGTCCCAGAGGACCCTCCCACACACACACACACACACACACACACACACACACACACACACACACACACACACACACACACACACACACACACACACACACACTCTGGAGAAGACATTTGTCAGTTTAATAATCCCCACATTTGCACAAATTTTACCTTCATTTAAATTCAAAGTAAATCCCTAAAACTGCTGATCTCTTTTTTTAAACCAGGAGGATTTTTTTCTAACAAATATCCAGAAACAGACGTAAAAACCTGCTGCTGTTGTTTGTAAGAGTATCTGACACGTGTTTGTTTTTGTTATATCTGAATCAGATCCTCAGTCTCTGATTTGAAGCTTGTGTCCTGACCGATCCGACAGAAACACCCTGACCAAAAACATGGAGTCCAGCGTGAACACTGTTTTTATTTAATGACCTGAAAGATCATTGAAACTGATCGTGAGCTGTTAAAGTGAATATTTGTCGATGCTACTGAAAAGATTGTGAACTAATAATTCAGAGCTCCCCCTGCTGGACAAACTACATTTAAGAACTGCGTTTAAGTGTCTGTGAAAACCAGGAAACAGTGACAGAGAGACGCTTGAACTGTTTGATGAAATTAAAGAGATTTTCTGATTATTTCAAACCTCCTGTATAAAATCACACTTGTGTTTTCTTGTGTTTCTTGATCTTGTTTTGTGTGTGTGTGTGTGTTTCGGTCCAGGTGGGCTCACTGAGCAGAAATAAACTCTTTCACCTTTTTCTGCTCTTCGCTGTTAATCAAATTATTCTCAAAGTGTTCGCGCCACCGCCTCCATCCAAGAAGGAAGAAGACCTCCTCCACCCTGAGGACGAAGATGTTCACCGCAGCGACTCTCCCAAGGGAGGACCCCCCACTCCCCCACAAACACACACACACACACACACACACACACACACACACACACACATATCTAAATGAAGTGATAATATGTAGTCGAGGTCGCTCTTCAGTGTTCAGCCCTGCAGCGTCTCTGTGCTCTTGTATATGTATCCTGCTCATACATAGATTGTTTTAGTGTATATTTGATGTATTTATGTCATATTCATGTAAACAACAATGAACCCTGAGGTAGAACACACACACACACACACACACACGCGCGCTGGTAGAGATTCATGTTTTTTTTTTTTTTTTCTGGATCAGTGAAGTTGAAACTTTCTAAACTTCAGACGATTATCAGAAAGACAGAACCACTGTGTCCACGTTGGACCCCCTCAGTCTCAGTCTCAGTCTCAGTCTCAGGTTCAGTCTCAGTCTCAGGCTCTGCGCTCCTCTTCCTCCTCAGGGAGTGTTTTTTTTCTCCCACTCAGAGGTTAAACGATGAGTCTTCGGATCTCTCTGCATTAATATTTGGATTATAAATTCACTCTGTCCTCCTGCCTGACTCCTCTCTCCGTGATCGGCCTCTGAGCTCCTGTTTTACTCTCATTATCTCTGCGGCCTGTGGGGGTTTACTGTGTTTATGCTGCTGCCCTCAGCTTTGTCTGACAGGCTCATTTACAGATCTGGGTTCCTCAGGTCCACCGGGGGTTCAGGAGCGACATTAAAAGTCCTCGGAGGAGTCTCCCCCTCTCTGCGGCTCTGTGATTAAATATTCGCTCTCTGCGCTGCAGCTCTGAGGAGGATCCTGCAGTAAATCTGCTCTTTGTGTGTCAGGTTTCTCCTCCTGCGCTGTAACCGGAGCAGAGGCTGATAGATGGACGGGGAGTGGAGGAGCCGTGACACACAGCGGCCTTCGGTTCAGGGACGTTTCTCCTCCCGCTGCATCTCAAACAGTCTGGAGGAGATCCGGCAGGCAGCAGGAGGAGATCAGAGCCGCAGTCCTCGGTCTCCTCAGAGCTGTCAGTGAGGAGGTTCAGAGGAACCAATGAGGAGATGATGAAGATCTCAGATCACCAGAACCCGGTCTGCACATCATGTTCTGTTTTTAATGTAAAACATCAGAGAGTAACGTTCAGTCAAACTTCAGGTTAGTTCACAGTGTGTGTGTGTGTGTGTGTGTGTGCGTACGTGTGTGTGTGCTGGTTAAACTGGTCTGTTCAGTGAGTAATGACCCCTCCTTCTGGTTTGAGACCCTCCCCTGCTCTCCAGTCTGTGATTAACCCCTCGCTGCCCCGCTGGAACCCTGACCCTCAGCGACCCTGAGCCAATCAGAGCGTCTCAGAGCGCCGTGAGGACGGGACAACAGCTGATTTTTAACAACACTGTCACCTGTTTCTGCAGGACTCCACACAAGGAGGAGGAGAGGTGGTTTTGAAGACGGACTGACGGCTCACCCAGTTCTTCCTCGGACAGAAACATACTTTATCCTCCTTTTACTGTTAAAATTAAAACTCAATTCATCTCCAACTCTCAGAACATGAAGACAAGTTTTGCTTTTAAAGCCGTTTGGAGCTTTTCTCACATCTTTACAGTGAGATTAGTTAAACCAGTTATACCAACTTTAGTAACGGCTGCAGGATAGTAATACAGAGAGCCACACGCTCAACCAAAACACCACTCTATAGCCACAAATAATGCTCAGAACAGCACCTAACTTCATCAACAGGACATATAGGGTCCCAGCCATAGCACTAGACACCAAAGATCACCTACTCTCTTCCAGCAGCCACTAGTTTGGATCGAAACCTCAGGCCAGTCCAGTCCGGACTACAGTGGGGTGCCGCAGCTCAAGAAAGAACATTTATGATCATTTCTTTATTATTTCCTTTAAGTAATAATCATCATATTAATCATTTTACAGACGCGGTAGTTCTTCTGTCTTAGCGTCTTGGTCTGACTGTATTTCCATGAAGAAATGATCATAAATGTTCTTCCTTGAGCAGCGGCACCCCGCTGTAGTCCGGACTGGACTGGCCTGCGGTCTCGCTACAAACAAGCGGCTGCTGGAAGAGAGTAGGTGAGTTGTGTTTAGTCTCTTTGCTAAAGAAATGAGTCAAAGTTAAAAAGATGTTTGGTGTCTAGTACTATGGCTGGGACCCTATAAGTCCTGTTGATGAAGTTAGGTGCTGTTCTGAGCATTATTTGTGGCTATAGAGTGGCGTTTTGGTTGAGCGCGTGGCTCTCTGTATTGCTATCCTGCAGTCGTTACTAAAGTCGACAACATTCATCTCTTGAGGGGGGTCTAACTCTGAGTTACGGTGTGTTTGACCATAACTTAATTGTACGTTGGAATATCCCTTTAAAGCAGGGATTAAGAGGACGGTCATCACCTGTCATACGAAGCTTCAGGGGTCTGATCTGAATTTCATCATGGACCCCGGGGCCACAGAGAGCCGCTAAGTTAACGTTCACAGACACTAAACTCTGCTGACTATAATCAGGGTTCAGAGTTTTCATTAAGGAGCTCAAATAAAGACCTGAAGCTCAACATGAAACCTGTTCTCATCTCCTCAGACGGGTTTATTCAGACCGACTGAAATCTGAAGATTCACCCACATGTGGTCCAGATGTTGGAGCTCAGAGGAGTTTGTTAAATTTCTGAATCGGTGGATTAATCCCTCATCAAAAACCCTCCTCACAGTAATTATCTGATGATTAGCAGACGACGTGGAATTACTGAAAATCTGACTTATTAGCATAACATGAAGCTTTGTTTCAGGAAGGCCAGCTGGCTAATCGTCCTCTGCTCCCCCACACACTCGTTCACACAGACTGGAGGTGTGTGTGTGTGTGTAAATTGACTTCCGCACCTTCACCTGCTCTCTTTTTAGCTACTGCTCTACATTTTTACCGCCGTGGCTGAGCCTGAGGAGGAAACACGGGTCTGAACGCCGCCGATCAAACTTCAGTCCAAACACTGACGACACGCCGCCAGAACATCAAACCGCCTCATGTCACCGCCTGTCATCAGCTCTGGCCTTGACCCCGCCCACCATCAACACATTCTGATCATACGACCAATCACCTCCCTGACCTCGCTGACCGCAGCTGTTACACGACCCCGCCCACCTGTCACTCATCACACGCAGGTGATACTCATGAGCAGATCAAACACACACACACACACACACACACTCTGTCATTCCTAACAGCCAGTATGAGGGTGTCATGGCTTTGACCTTTGACCTCTGGACATGTTAAAATGATCACATGATGAGGTCGCCGCTCTCAGCTTCACTTATTTCACATTTTTCCCCTAAGGCTCCGTCACAAACACGCCCGTCCGTCGTCGCCTCACTTCCTGATTGTGGCACACGCTCAAAGCTGATTGGTTCCTGCTGAAGAACAAAAATGTTGAAAAAGGCGGAAATATTTTCTGATTCTGACAGGAAGGAAAAAAGAGAGTTTGGGGACTATTTTCTGAATCAATCAATGAAGATGATCAGGTGAATCAATCTGATTAACGGAGATAATCAATCCCAGAAGTCTGTGAGGTTTCTGAACCACATGATGTCCAAACGAGCAGCTTCCTCTAACGTGACGATGACACGCATGTCTCGTCTTGGTCTCCTGCTCGCTCTGATTTTCGCTCAGGTTTTAAGTCTCTCTCCTGGAGACGGACCCCGGGGGCCGGATCGCTCCATCCATCCTGCTTTGATGGATCCTGCAGACGAGCGGCGGCCCAGAGGAGGCCGGAGTCTGAGCGCTGAATGATGAAGACGATTATGTTTGGAGGGTTTCACACGGCGAGCTGGAATTCATGTCCAGCCTTAATAGCACTCGTTTTCTGCCTTGTTCACTCCATTAGCGGCGAGCGGGGGGCCCGAGTGGCGGGCTCGCCGCTAATTACGGCATGAGGGATGATGGGCGAGGGCTCATTAGCGGCGGTGCGGGGCCGAAACATACTGTCTCTCTCCTGGATAATGATGTTGGATCCACGGCGAGGGGAGAGCGCCGCTCGCTGCTTCATCAAACACTTGAGTGTGTGAGGTTAACGCGGCTGTTGACTTCCTGTCTCTGAAACGTTTTCTCTCTGAATCAAACCGCCACGGCCTCATTAACATCCAGTCAGAGCAGGTTTGTACCAACATGTGATCAATACGAGTCCCAGTTCCTCTTCTGTTCAACACCAGAGTCACGAGTGAGTCCGGTCCTCGCAAACAAACAAACAAACAAACAAACAAACAAACAAAAAAACAAGAGGACTGAGACGGGATTCAAACTTCAGGACAACAAAAAAACAAACCTCTAAGAAGCTCAAACAGGAAGATTATGGACTGAAGTCTGTCTGACCTTCATCAGAAACACTTTCTCCTGTTTCTCCTCTTCACGTCCTCTTTGAGATATTTCATGAGACTCGGCCTAAACCTGACGTCAGGCTCTGCCGCCCTATTGGGACAATCCTGAAGGACACGCCCACTCAGCAGCTCCAGGGCTCCACAGTGCGACTGTTTCACTCACTTTTGCGACTTAAAATAGACGTGTGCGAATTGTAAAATGTATTCAGGCACAAGTGCGCAGGCAAAAAAAATCAGCCGAGGTAACAAATGTTTTTTCCTGTAAATACGGCGGTGAAGTTAGTTTTAGGTTGGATATATTTTCCTGTAAATACCGCTGTGAAGTTGTTTCCAGGTTGGATGTTCGACGGACGTTCACTGAGGATCTACCGGTGTCTTCTCACTCTCCATAACCGGGAATAACAACAGCAGGGCGGTTAAATCTACTCGACACCCTCGCTGTCAACGTCGGTGTTGAATTAGGGACCATCAATAAATTACCTGTTGATGTTCTCAGAAAAGGCTGTTTTCCTTTAATAGCTTCCATGTCACGTGACCAAAAGACCTAAAATTGATTTCAAATAAGAGTACATAAATCGACCGATAAGACAAACATCATTTGATCAATTTTCATTGTTCCTCTAAAGTTCTTTGTGTGCTTTTTACTTTTTTCAACGTATTAGCAAATGTGAAAAAAAGTTCGTGTCAAGCCTTGAGCTCTGTCAAGGATACGCCCACCTGGAAACTGGGAAGTCCTTTTTCCTGTGATTCATAGTTTGTTGATTTAGCAGAGCCGTCGATCTCTTACACGTCACACTCAGCTTCTCTTCAGGTGTCAGAATAAAAGTGAGCATCAATAAAACAGGTGTTTAGGATGACTGAAAGAGAAGATCTGTCCCTTCTCTCTCTCTCTGTTGAAGCTCCTCTCTACCACTCTCGTTACAGCCTCTTACCTGAAACAATGAAGCAGAACTAACTGCAGCCTGATGCTCGGCCAGAGATCTGTCACAACTCTTTCAGCACAACGCTGCAGACAAACCAGAGAGGAGAAAGAGAGAGAGAAAGAAGAGAGAGGATGTACCAGGGAAAGAAGACAGTGTTGAGCTGTTTCCATTTGTGTTTTCATGTTTGTTGACAAAAACAGCCTCATGGAGCTTTAATCTGTGTCTGAGCTCTGCGGTTTAAGATCAGCTCCACAGAGACCAACAATGAGCGCGGCACCGTAATAAGAAAAAAATGGATTCACATAAGCAGAGCAATTATTTGTTTTTTTTATGTTCAAAAATCTTTTTTTTTTTTTAAATTAAATTTAAGAATAAATCTTAAAAACTGACTTACTTGTGATGTGTATGTTTTGGGGGAAAATGGTTCCTGGTATAGTCAGTAGACGATCATATCAATCAACTAGAAAATCACTCTGAGAGCGCAGACCTCCGCCAAGCAGCTCATGTCCCCCTTATATTGTGATTCACACCAAAACTTTTACTGTTACGTGTCTTTAATTAACTTTTATTTGTGTTTAAACTGGTATGTTCACTGTTCATAATGTTCCTAAAACAAGAAATGCCCTGACCCGGATTCAAACCCAGCACCTTTTGGTTGTGAGGCTACAGTGCTAACCACTACACCACTGTGCCGCCCACTGGTTATCTTTCAGCATTGAAAATTCCAACGACACCCTTATTTTTGTGTGTTCTGGATCACAGTATCCAGAATTTTGTCTGGATCACCACCAAAATTTAATGGGATCCTCCTGGGGCTGAGACGCACCTCTGGTGAAAATTTTAAGTCAATCTGTCTTTAACTTTCTCCATAAAGTTGCTAACAGACAAACAAACAAACAAACAAACAAACAAACCAACGCTACTGAAAGCATAACCTCCTTGGCGGAGGTAATCATACATTACATTACAATACAATCAATCATCATTCAACTGTTTCACTGGGGTTAAAAATGCAGACTAAAAATCAAGAAAATCAAATATCGTAGAATCGATATTTAAATCAAATCAACATCAACAAAGTCGTAGAGGTTCAAATCGGGACAAAAGCATGTCGCCCCAGCCTGGATTAGAAGAGACTGACTTGATTCCCACAGTGGTCATTTCAAAGCTGAATTTCTGGCTCCCTGATTTATGATCAGATTCTCTCTAAAGTAATCACTTTTTTATGAACGGAGAGAAGTCATCATGGTTGTCGCACGCCAAAGCTGAACATTAAAGTGAACACGAGCCTCTGATTCCATCTACCGCCTGTAATTCAACCAAATATACAAATTCAAACCTTTGATCAGCTGAACATTTATGTTCCACAGAAATAAAAGAAGAGACTGGAAACTCTCTTTATCACTGGAGCAGTAAACCCTGAGTACAGTCTGATAGGCTCTGTCTCCTTGCTCTAACCACAACATTCAATTTGGGTGTCTCGACATCAGTGAGCAGACGTGTGAGATCTTTCCACAGATGCAGGAAACACGAATGATGAGTGGAACAAAGTTGATTTGTCTCTTTACTTTTGTCGGAAGTTTCTTGTGAGAAAATCTTCCTCAAGTTTTTAGACAAACCCTTCATTCATGAGACTCCTCGCTCGCTCCTCTTCTTCCGTCCTCACTGCCTGAATGTTGTTAGCAGGCGGCGACACAGAGGAAACCAGCGGGACGAGGCGGCTCTAACCTAATAATAGCTGCCGTCTCCTCACGTCCTCGCCGTACCAGCAGCTCTAAATAATTTCATTACGCTGAAGACGAGTCTGAAGACGAGCTGAACATCCGTCTGATCTCTTTCTCTGTTGGAGATTTCTTTTCTTTCAGAGCAGGGACTGTGTGTTTACCTGCGTGTTTTTATGAGCAGAGGTCAAAGGTCAGAGGTCTACAGAGGAGGGGGGTGGTTTGTGAGTGTAACAGCAGTGATTAGCGGCCGCGGGAACACCTGCTCGCTGCTGTTTGGCGGTCTGAAGGTGAAACGAGGTGATGGATGTCAAACTTTTATACGACACGTTTCTGTTTTCAGACCTCAAAACTCCCACCAGCAGCTGTCGGCTCTGCTCCTCGGCCTTACTTTCTGTTTGCAAAGCATGCTGGGAAGACCACGGGAAAGTTTTTCTTCAGGGTTTGGAGGCCATGCGGTGATTTCCACTACAGAGTCATACCTGAGAGCTTGAAGATCACGGCTATCTCGTTTTCTTCAGTTCAATAAAGACGTCACAGCGGTGGAAAAACATCAGTGAGCACTAAAATCAAGTTTGGATGACCTGGCGTGGGCTCAGATGGGCGGATCTTCACCTTGTTTGAGGCTCTTTTTCCTCTGAAAGATTTCATTTCCTGTTTGCTCCTCAAACTGCACAGTGGTTTTAATTAGATTTAAATGAGGCTTTGTGTTCCTGCCTGAGGACCAACGTCTCGCTGCCTGCTGATCAGAATATCACACCACACCCACTTCTCCACGTCTTTTCTTGGAGCGCTTCGAAAGGTTGGATTTTTCCACTTTAAACTGTTTCTGACGATAAGTCGGTTTCTTCTCAGACCTCTGACCTCTCAGCAGATGTGACCATGTCTGACTCTCAGTCCTCCTGAAACACTCTGAGTCGAGGAGTCCATCAGCTCGGTGAAATCCGGACCTGAGACTCTAAAATTGTTTCTTTATTGACTCTGTCTGAGTTTTCGGGTCCACGTCACACCGTCAGAGCGTCTCCTTCCTCTCAGCACTCACCTCTGTAGATGTTCCTCCACCGTCCTCTGCAGCGCTCTGAGCGGCCTACAGGGGGTGCTGTGGGTTAATGTGATTCTCTTTATTTTGGTGCAAACTGAGCATTTGTGTGTGATCGTTTCCACTTGAATGAGGAGGTTCTGTAAAATCTCACTCATGAAACGAGTCCCTCTTTTAAAGTGATGATAAAATCAGGAGTCACGCTGTTGGTTTGCAGGATTTTCAGCTTCAGTTAAATTGAAACCCTCTCCCTCTGCCTATTTTCAGAGTTTTATCCTGTTGGATTTACAGTTGTGTTGAGCTGCAGTGACTTTAACGAGTGTGTAACTCTGATGCTCTGAAACGCTGAATCATAAAACTGAAATGAGAAATCTCTGTTTCTGATTTCTCTTCTGGTCAAAGTCATCACCGGTAACCGAAGTGAAGGAGCGACCTGATCTAGAAACATGGAGAGATTCAGGTGTGTGGGGGCAGAAGAAAAGGAGGTCAAAATAAACGTGTTAAAGACAGAGACAAAGAAGAAGAATCGTCTGCAAACCATCGAGGAACAGAAACAATTATCTCTCTGTCTGTGTTCATCCTCACAGTGAGGACACGACAAACACGGTCAAACCTCCACGGTTCTCATCGATCCAACTGAGGACTGATGATCCAGGTAACACTGGAAAACAAGGCCGCTCAAACCAGCTGCTGCAGAGTCCAGCGGTCCTTTAAATATGAACCGAGCACCATCTCAAACACACGCGTCTACAGCTGCATCAGGATCAAACCCACTGATTACAAAGAGGAGAGACACGCCAAGACAACCGCTGACAGCAGATCTCATCAGTTTCACCAAAGATGAAAAAAACCCTGTAATCCAGGGCAGTCGGAGTCTGTGCAGCTCAAACCGGAATCATACACGCTGAAAAATGTCGGATTTATAAGTTTATAAGTGTCTCTACTGCAGAGTCAGAGATAAGACACTTCAGGGAAAACACCACGACTCAAACTCCGACAAAAAAATGAGCAAAAATGTGGTTTTGAATCGACAGTTTTCTGACTCCATAACTTCTATCAAACTAGGTTCAGTTAATTGACTCTAATGTTGACGGACAGACACTGTGAGACTCAAACATCAGGCGTGCGACCCCGTGAGTCTCCCCCGAGTCCCACCCGGTCTCAGTAAACTCTGATGTGACGGTTCGATACAAAGATTAAACGACTTGTTTGGACGGAGCTTTTCTGCAGTGTAACAATCGATGCTGACCCTCTCTCTGCCAGGAGATACTTAAGAAACTCAATCCCCATCAGCCTCCTCCCTCATTGGATCAGCCTCCGTCAGGGAAGTGGTGACCTCAGCAGCCAATCAATCGAGTCCCTTTCAGCTCTGATGATCAAAAATCCAATCAGAGCTCTAAATGTTAATTGATCGGAGCTCGGGGACAAACGCGCAGCCGCTCAGCTGAGTGTTTGGAGCCGTTTTAAGTCCTTTGAGATCTTTAATGGTGTTTTTACAGCTCAGATGTTCGGGGGTTAAACCTGATCAGCCAGCAGGGGGCGCCCTCTTCTAAAGGGGGTGAAGGAATTAAGTTAAAACTCACCCAAAGTCATCATCCTGAGGTCTCCGAGTGTCTCCTCCTCACGCTGAAAGAAAAAAGAAAATGTTTTAAATCCTGAAATCAGCGACAGAAAATTCAGTTAGTCGTTTTTTTACCCTGAAGAAAGTCAGCGACTATCAGAGAGATGTTCTTACAGAGAGATGGAAATCAATTTCAAAATCAAAAGAGAGCAGGAGGAAGAGGAGGGTGGAGAAGAGGACACACAAACAGGAAAAACACAAATAAAGAGAGTTTGAAGGACGAGGAAGAAAAATGTGAAGAAGACAACCGAGTCAAAGTGAAAGACAACGATGAAGACGGCGAAGGAGAAGACCAAGAGGACGACAAACCAGATGAAGACGAAGAGGATCAGGAGGTCAACGTTAGAGACCTCAAAAGACGACAGGAGAGAAAACAGAAAACTAAAATCTGCAGAAATCACCCTAGGAATGAAAACAACAACTCCCATGATCCCACACTGCTCATGATGTCATCCGAGAGGTCATCGATGATCGTTGTGATGGAGTGACCCCTCAGAGCGGCGATTACACACCGACTGCAGTTCATTTCAAGAGTTTTTTTTGTTTGAATGGCAGCTGTGTGTGTGTGTGTACAAGTGTGTGTGTGTGTGTGTTCATATGTGTGTGTGTGTGTGTTGTGTATATATTTGGCCTGGCATTTAGAGTCTGATGGAAAGGTTGATACCGCCACGCTCCTCGCTCTGACTGAATCGTGTCGCGCGGCGTTGATGCTCGAGGCGACGTCCCCTCCACCCCCCTCCCCCCCATGTGTTGGTACCCCTCTCACCCCTCTCTCCCCCCCTTCAGCTGCAGCGTTTCATAATTACTTCCCCTCCACTTTACCACAGGAGACGATAACATCAGCAAACTCTCAGATTGTGCCATTTAGCTTTAGATTTAAACACAGGAGGGGGAGGAATGGGTGAGGGAGGGGTGAGGGGGGGTAGCTGGTGGCGTCCTGGTTTATTTCGGTAAACGCTCTGCAGCCATTCGGAGGCCTATTATCACCGCTTGTTGATGATCTTTGCAGGTAAGCAGCTCCTATTAGAGGAAGCTTCATTTAGAGCTCTCCGACTCCCCCCCCACACCTTCACCCTCTCCCCCTCCACTCCTCCTCACCCTCCTCACCCCCTCATAATGGATGATGGCAGCGCTGGGCCTGCATGCAGGAAAGGTTTAATTAAATCATAGTCCAATCATAATCCATGTTGTTAATTAAACTGGATAATTTATAAGCACAAAAGAGGATATTTATTAGCCGCTGTGAGCTGGTGGCAGAGCCGGAGCGTGCATGAGGAGCGTGCACGGACACTTACACTCACACCCCCCGCTCCCCCCTCCCCTGCCTCACAACCTTTTACTATTGATGCCCCCCTGTGATTGATAATGAGACAGAGAGCGCTGTACTATTTGTCTAATGGCCGTGCAATTAAATTCCTTGTAAATGACCCATGCCTCATTTCATCCTAATCTATGGAATTTTGATTGAATTTGTCAGCGCTAATTGAAAAATACTGCTATTTAATGTCTGCATTGCAGTTGCAGATCAGGCTCCTTTAATGAGATCGTGTCCCAGTGACCCTGAGGAGGAGGAGGGGGGGTCCGTGCGTGCCCTTGACTGAGCCTCAGAGGTGGGAGGAGGGTCCACAGGGAGATCACAGAGGTCAGAGGTCGGCCGTGTCCTCCCTGCTCCTCTGATGATGTGTTGGTTTGTATGAATTGATGAGGAAGTCATTACAGGATTCATTAAAAGGAATCTGATGCCGGAGCAGGAGCAAATATTGTGATTTAAAGCTCGGCGCCGCGCTTTTAGAGGAAGATGGATTGCGGGGTAATCGCGCCGCGGACGCAGGCGACTCCATCGTGACTCACAAAAACACGAGACGCAGGAGGAGGGCTGGATCTGAGAGAGACGGTGATTCATGTGTTCATCATGAAGGAGAGCAGCAGAGGGGTCTGTTTCTGACCCCGTCAAGGACTGATATCTGAGGAAGGAACTCTTCAGGGTGACGAGGATGAAGTTTGACACTCAGGAGAATCAAAGTGTGGAAAACAAAGTCGTTTCATGAGAGTAAAGTTGAACTAGTATGAGGAATAAAGTGATAAAAGGTTGAGTTTGTAATCTTTGAATCAGGTGAGGCGATACCTGAGGACAAACAGACCGTACCTGTGAGTCCACTCATCTTCCAATCTGACTAGTTTCTAAAACAGTAAAGACACAGTTGGTTTTTTAACATTTATATTTAAGTCAAACTTTAAAAGTCTGGATTTTCTCTCCTAAGTTCACCCCTTTACTTTACAATTCTAATATTCATGTTTCATGTTTTCTGGAGGATTTTAAACCTTCGAAGGGAAGAGGCCAACGTTTGTCAAGAGAAGAAAAATGAAAAGATGACTCTTCAGAAAATAAGAAGACTGGATCTGTTCATAGGAGGAATAAGAAGATCCAGTCAAGAGACATTTACTGTGGTCAAGGAGGAGCTCAAGGAGGAGCTCAAGTCTAAACTCCGATCATGTCCTCCGACAGTGAGCAGCTCTTAGTTTTGTCCCTCACAGGCTCAGGGATTTTTTACTCCTCACAGACAAACAGCTGTTGGACCGTCCTCTACAAACACAGTCTGAGCAGATCTGAGTGTTTCTGACCTCAAGTGAAAGAAAAGACTGAAATCGTCCACTGACACACACACACACACACACACACACACACACACACACACACACACACACACACACACACACACACACACACACACACACACACACACAGACAGTGATTATTTACTGAATATATACAGCTTATTATTTACGATGATGTGTTTTCACTTTCTTAAATGGCCTGTGGTTCCAATTTGTGTAATTGGCATTCATCCAGAGGACCAAAGGCGAACCGTCACATTATCTCCGCCGACCAATCAGAGGCCAGAGCCAGGGGAGGGGGCGGAGCTCTCCAGGAGAAGCCAGCGCAATTAAACAGAGGGGAGCGCAATTTAAATCCCAAACATCTGTGGAGGCTCGAGCCGCAGGAAACACACACCTCCACGCACACACACACACAAACACAGTGGACACACACACACACTCACTCACAGCCTCTCTGAGTGTCAGCGGGAGAGAGAAGGACGAGTGTCCGCTGCTGAGCTCTGTGTCTGCGGTCAGGCTGGAGAGGAGCCTCCTCAGAGCGGAGCGCACAGACTCGGTCAGTTTGGAGCTTCTGTTGGAAAAACTCGAGAAGAAGAAAAAGAAGTTTTTTTTTCTTTTTTTAATCTCTTTTCTCTCCGTGACTCTTTTCTCTCTGCTGCTCGGATGGAATGGTCTAATTTAATCGGATTATCTCTCCTGTAATCTCGCTCCTCCGGGGCTCCTCTCTGCCGCCCGCCCACAGCGCGCCTCCTCCGGTCTCCTCCTGGTGCAGCGGCCGTTCCTATGAGCGCAGCGTTCAGTCCTTCGTCCTTCATGGTGATGCAGCGGCCACTCGGAAGCTCCACCGCCTTCAGCATTGACTCTCTGATCGGGGGGCCCCCGCAGCCCAGCCCGGGACACTTCGTCTACACCGGCTACCCCATGTTCATGCCGTACCGGTCCGTGGTGCTGCAGCCTCCACCCCCTCCGCCCCCGGCCCTGCAGCAGGCTCTCCCCGCCGGACACCACGCGCACCCGCAGATCCCGAGCCTGCAGAGCGGCTTCTGCTCCAGCCTGGCGCAGGGCCTGACGCAGGGGATGGCGCTCACCTCCACGCTCATGGCGTCGCTGCCCGGCGGCTTCTCCCCGTCCCAGCAGCACCAGGAGGCGGCCCGGAAGTTCGGCTCTCAGGCTCTGCACGCGGTCTTTGACAAAACTCAGGACCTGAGGCTGGAGGAGGACGGCAAGAGCTACCTGCAGGGGAAGGAGTCCGCGGGGCTGCAGGCTTTCCACGACACGGACACGTCGGTGCAAACGTCCACAGGTAGGAGGGGGTCACCAAGGCTGTTCAACCCCGAACACGGCTCCGGGTCCGGGCTGTGCGCGCGGAGCGTTTAGACCGGATAAAATCAGATCAACCGGATAAACCAGAAAACCGAAACCCTCAGAAAAAAAAAACAAACAAAAAAAAAAAAAAACAGAAAATAAATAAAATAAAGTGGAGTTTAGATTGGTTTGAATTGTCTGACATGTTTCATCTTCTGATTTTATTTGATAATCTCTTAAGTAAATGAAGAAGAAGAGGCCTCCGAGGACTCTCTTAAGGTCTTTACTCTGTCTGAGAATCCAGGAGTTTGATTTTTATTGAGTTAATTAACAAATAATTAATCAAAAATAAATATAAAAGAACTTTAAACAGGAGAATTTGGTTCTTAGCGTTTGTAAAGTTTCGTTCAGAGTTTAAAGTTGAAGTATTTTTATGACACTGAGTCTTCAAGTCTTCTTCTGACTCTATAATTCTGATGAATTTAAACGAACCGAAATATAAAGATTAATTCATTCTGATCAGAAATCTTCGCTTTAATCGTCTTTCCCTGAATCTCAGGTCCAGGTTTTTCTTCAGAGGATCAGGAACATGTCTGAGGCCTCTCTTTCAGTTTGGAGAGGATTTGAAGTCTCTGACCTCCACAATTCTTCTGAACCTTAAATCTGATTTATTCTGATTTATTTTGAGTCAATTTCACTTTTACATTTTTGGTTTTATGAAAATCACATTTGTTTTGTCAGTTTGGAGAGCTGTGCGCATCTCTTCATCATCTTTCTCTCTCTTTCTGTCGTTTTTATTGACTCCTCTTATCAAACTCAAATTTCTTTCCTCCATTATTTCTTATTTCTAAATGATTCCGACGTGTTTCCGGCCGTTTCTCACGCGGACAGGCTGGATCTGAGCGGCCCGCGCGGAGACGCTCCGTGCGTAATTACGCGTGACAAACAAAAATCCCTGCACCGCGCGCGCTCTCCACGCTGATCCGAACACAGATCCGATGATGGATATTGACACGGGACAGGACCACGACCCCCCCAAACACCCCTCACCTCCTCCTCCTCCTCACCCCTCTGAATGTCAGAACTCCAGATCACCAACATCTGTCAGTCAAAGTCCCTCCACTCAGATTCAGCTTCAAACCCGGATTTCAAAATCTGTTTTTAACTCTAAATTTATTTATTCCTGAAAAAAATAATATTTTTTTAATATTTAGAGGGAACACTCTCTCTTTTTGTCCAGCGGGAAAATTTGGAAATGAATCCGGTTTCACAGAGAAATTAGAGTTCATGAGTTTGGTCTTATCAGATGATTTTAAATTAAAGGGAATTCAGATTTTGGACAGAAATTATCAGATGATTTCACGCAGAATTATTCATGAATTCAGGGTCAAATTTAAACATTTCTTTGAGTTCAAGTATTTAAATGGATTGTTGTTGTTTTTTGTTTCTGTTATTAGATTTCTGAAAATGTGTTTGACTTTCCTAAACTAATAAAGTTTAAAGTGATGAAGGATCTGACCTCCTCCTCCTCTTCCTCACAGGCAGAGCTCACAGTAAAGACGACCAGAAGGAGGACGACTGTGTCCGGAAAGATGAGAGCTTCTCCATGGACAGTGACCTGGACTACAGCTCGGATGAGAACCTCACCTCCATGTGCCACAAGGAGGACGGGGACGGCGGAGGGCTGGAGGACGGCCCGCACGTGCACGGCTCCGGCAGCGGGGGTTCCGGGGCGGGAGGAGGCGGAGGGGGAGGCGGGAAGAACCGGCGGCGGAGGACGGCGTTCACCAGCGAGCAGCTGCTGGAGCTGGAGAAGGAGTTCCACTGCAAGAAGTACCTGTCGTTAACCGAGCGCTCCCAGATCGCGCATGCGCTGAAGCTGAGCGAGGTGCAGGTGAAGATCTGGTTCCAGAACCGGCGCGCCAAGTGGAAACGGGTCAAGGCCGGAAACGTCAACAACAAATCCGGGGAGCCGTCCCGGAACCCCAAAATTGTGGTTCCGATCCCGGTGCACGTGAGCCGCTTCGCGATCAGGAGTCAGCACCAGCAGATGGAGCAGGCCAGACCGTAGAAGAAGAAGAGGAAGAGAGCCCGAACCGGAAGCAGGAGGGTCTGAGGCTCGTGCTGATGGTTTTATTTGTGACAGACTTCAGCTCCTGTTTTTAAACTCCATTATTTTATATTTTTAATGATTTTATTCTCACAAACTGAGCAGGTGAAAGAAAAAATAATCAGATTAAATATTAAAACAGATTTTTTATTTAATTTGAAGAGCTCAGAAATGTGCTCCAGCATGACTTTGATTTTAAGGATTCATTTTAAATTCTTACGGAGTAAACAGTCCATAAATCTTCTCAGGCCTTTTCATCAAATGTTGAAATCTGAGAGGAAAAATCAGAGGCACAGAAAGGTTAAAAACAAACTATTTGATTTTTGTTTTATCATTTAAATTAACTTATTTAGTTAATTTAATTTCTTTGATCAATAATTGATCATGTCGGTGTCCCTGTCCTGTGAGGGAAAATTAAATTCAAAGTCCAGTTTGGTGCCAAGTTCATGTTTTTGATTTTTTTGATCAAAAATAAAAAGGTTAAAATTATTCAAACTGAACCTGATCCAGTCTGTCCTGAACTCACAGTAGAGATTTGTGCAGACCTGCAGGACGGAGTGAGAGGGTGAAAACCTGAATATTTGATTCATCAATCTGAAATTAACTTTACACAAATGATCGTTTTAAAAAACGGTTTTCTAAAGATTTATTTAGTCTGATCAAATCAACCTGCTGACATGATTGGAGAGTTACACTTGATTTCACATCAGATTCTGTTTTAATCGTTGTGAAAATCCTCACCGTGTCGTTTTGAGATCAGGTTTTTGTTTCAGGTCATTCTGGAGTTTTTCTTCTTCACAGGAAATATTCAAACACAAATGTTCACCGTCAGCTCGAGCCTCAGCACCTCGTTCAGCAGAACAGTTTCCCTGCAGGAGGAGCCGCAGTGTTCACGCCGAACCTCACCTAAAACTGTGAATAAAGACGCAGAGCTGAGGAGGAGGAGGAGGAGGAGGGCAGACGTGTTCTCTCCTCCTCCTTCACATGTAAATACTCACACGGGACCAAACTGAGGACGTGACGTGGACCTTTAAACTGAGCGAAGCGCGTTGTGTCAGAGTTTGTCTGGAACATTCTGAGGTTTTCGGAGCCTCCTCGTCCTCTCTGGATCAGACTGACTCTCTGAGGTTTTCTCTTTCTGACAAAAACACAAAAAAAGGACGCTGCTAATTTATTTATAGAAAATTGTGCAAAAGTAACTAACATTCCCTGACGTGTGGAGTTGAAATGATTTAAAGTGTGAATTAAAAGATGAACGTGACCAGATGTGAACAGCTGCTCTGTCTCACTCCATCTTCTCCTTCATCACGCCTCACTTTCTCCTCTTTTCCTCCAGAGACACTTTCAGGTTTTATGTAGAGCGAACAAGACTTCAATCTTTCAATTATAAATATGATTAAACACAAACATACAGGCTTGAGGACAGTCACTCGATTTTTCTAACGATAATCCTTCAGATTTCAGTAAAAATTAAATTCTAATGATTTTATTTTGAAGGCCTTTTGCTGTTAAGGCCACAAACACAGCTGGAAAACATTTAAATAAAACCAAATCCAAAATCCATTTACAATCTTTTTAATTTATCACCCAAATAATCGACTAAATCAGTTTTAATTTGTGTGAAATATGAACAGAGACACGTCTAAACCCAAAGACATTTTCAGCCTTACATCAGAGAGAGTTTCTGATTTATTTTCTAGTTTGTTGGTGTCAAAACGATCACAGTCCAGAGGTTAAAGGTCACTCCATACCAGCCTGTTATTGGAGATTATTCATGAATAATAATGTTAATGTCTCTGGCGGGTTTGGCAATAAAGTTCAGGGTCAAACATTGAAAACATGTAAATTAATCGCAGTGATGTGGAGTTAAATTGTGGATTAAAGGCTTTTTAGGCTGAATAGAAGTTAATAATCTGAGGTTAAACTCTTCATTAAAATCTTAAACATTAAAAAACAATAAAGACATGAACACCTGTTTTTTCTGCTCTAAAAAAAAAATAAAAATAAAAATGAATAAATAAATAAAAACCAGGTGTAATAACAGTGTTTTAAAAATAAAAAAGTCTACCTGCTGCTGGTCTCTCCTCACCTGTGGGACTTCAGCCACTCAGCACATCTGTCAACACTCCAGGTTTAGAGATGATTTTAATCTGACAAAAAAACAAACAAAGACACGAAGTTTCAAAGATTAAAAAGGATTAACTAAATTCAGAAATGTTTCTAACTGTCAGGTTTTACCCACAGACTGTATATAATACATAATATAGACTCTATATACAGTTTATGGTTTTACCTGAACCGGTACGTTAATGGCGGCCACACACTCCGAGCTGCTTCGGTTAAAAGTCGAATTCAGCATTTTAAAAACGTAAAGTTCTGCTAACAACGAACATTTCCCCTCATAAAAGAAATAAATCAACGTCTTACCGGTTTAAAGGTGGGGAATTTTCACTCAGAGGAGGAGAAAATTCAGAAAATAATCCAAGCTAACAGAGGCTGCTCGAAATGTTTGTTAGCCAAACCAGCTCCGTTAGCGGGGTGACCGTTGACGCAACTTTACGCGATGACGCATGTACGTACGCAGCACGCAGTGTTGGAGACGAACTCGGTGAAACTCTAATTTTTACTTTTCTCCTCTCTTCTTATTTACTAAAATAAATCGGTAAAAAAGCGAAATATAAAGGCCCAGTGAGGAGCTGTTTAACTGGAAAAAGTGTGATCAGAAAAATTAATCATTGGTTATTTTTAATTATTATTTTTTTCAGCAAATACAATTATTTTCTGTATTTTGTCTAACGATAAACGATCAATAATGTGGATTATTTTTAATTTTAGTTATTTAATTGAAAAGAAAGAAAAAGAACAGCATCTTTAAGCGAGTTCCAGCGTTATAATTTAACATTTTGAAGGACAGAAAATTAAAGGATCAGTCCATCAATTTTACACCATTAAAAATGATTTTATTGTGGGTTTTTCACTGATATCTAAAGCTGTTTTTACTCTCTGCAGCATCAGGAATGAACTCTTACAGCTCTACAGGTCTAATGTGATTTTTTAGCCAATTAAAATCAGTTTTAGTCACACATGGAGGGACAGAAATCTACATTTATGGACTCACACCTGCAGTGCAGACAGAAGTATATGTGTTTGTGTGTGTGTGAGAGACTAATGAATATTTTTGCAAATTGTAATCAACCCGGGCCGTTGTGGTGGGCTGATAAATGAGACCCAGGGGGATCAGGCTCGGTGCTGGCTCCTCACTGCAGCTTTCAGCCTCCCTCCCCTTCCTCCTCCCCTCCTCCCTAAATTAACAGCAACCTGCTCGGGCCTCAGATGAACTCCTGCTGATTAATCCTGACGGAGCCACCGGCATGCTGCTGCAGCAGAGGAGCGACTCCTTCTTTTCCTCCTGTGGTGGTCATTTCTGCTGTGAGAAGAGAGGACGCACGCATGAAAGTAAAACCCCTAAAATTTGATCTCTGATGGACGACACTTTTACTTTTATTACAGGTGTGAAGATGAAGCTGAAATGTTTGAATCATCTGTGTTGACTGACGCAGCTCCATCTGAGTATCTTCCTGTTAAACACAGGACAGAGAGGGATCAGCCGGGTATTATTCAATTACAGGACAAAAGCAAACACCACTCTGACACACACACTTCCCTTTACCTGATGTTTGTTACTCCACAGAAAGGAAAACTAAAAATAATCTGGATTAAAAAGAGAATAAGAGGATGAGCGTCCGACGTTATATTAAGAAGCATTATTCTCGTCTTTATTGAAAAGAGACACATTACAGTAGAAGACTCTGTATTAAGTAAAATTTTCAACAACGGTACTGTACAGCCAACAAAAAGTCAATAACAATAATAATAATAATAATAATTAGAATAACAATGACAACGAAAACAATAATGCATCTGGATGAAATCAGAACAATAATAAAATATGGACTGGAGGGAAAAATATACAAAAAGGTAAGTAAAGGGGGCGGAGTCTTCCTCACAGGGTGCTTTTATAAATAACATGGAGGACAGCCCTGGTGGGCGGGGCTTAAGGGGAAAGGCTACAAGAGGTAACACAAGCATACAGACCAGACGTTGACCATACAGAGGTGTTTTTATGTTTCCTAGTTTATGTACAGGTGAGGTGGCGCTGGCGATGACGAGTGTTGACTAGAAATAATAGCGTTGACTCGGTTCATTTTTCACGAGGTTTATTTACGAACAGGCGGCTTCCCCGACATATTAAAATTACACTGCTGTGTAATGTCATGTAGCTTCACAGGATTTTTTTCTCGTCTCTAAACGACTACAGGTTTGAATTTTAGCATAATTTTTAGAAGGAAACAGAGTCAAACAACCTGCAGAGGAAAGCAGTGGAGTTTGTTTACAATTTAAGGTAACCATGGTAACGCCCTGCATGTTCAGCAGCTGCAGAAACTCAGAAACTGTATTCAGAAAATTACCAAATAAAATATAAGATCTGCAGAAAAAGGAATGGGCGGGCCGACAACTGAAAAAAAAAAAACATCCGTAAAGAAATTCTCAGAAACAAGAACTTCGCCGATTGTAGCTAGCTAGTTGCTAGAACGGGATTAATAGGATGTTATGGTGCGTTTGAGTTACCTTGGAGGTCAGAAGTCCGAGTTACCAGTGTTTCAGTTACTGAGTCCAAGAAAAAAAGCAAAATCGGAGGAGGAAACAAGATGGCTACATCCACAAAAGTTATTTTAGCACTTGCTAAACTAGCTTTTCCGACTCAGTAGCTAAAATGCTCGTAACTTAGCTTGGACATCTGACTTCCGAGGTAACTCAGGCGCAGCGTAAAATACTTTCTGGCAGTCAATGTATTTTCATGTTCAGTTACGTTTCGGAGGGAAAATCGGGTTGGATGTGAAACAGCTGTCTTGCATCTTAAAAACAATGCTGCCATGCTAGTTTTTTTATTCCTGCTAGCTGCAGATGACTCAGCAGATTCCGTCATGACAAACACGATAAAAAAGCTGGTTTTCTCAGACTCACATTACAATTAAGTTTCTTTATTGATCGTGTATTTTTAGCAACTTGATCATTGGTTAGCTTGAGTATTAGAGGTCAAGTTTTGCCGATTTGCTTCCTAGCGGAAACAATGCTGCCATGCTAAAGTGCTTACGGCTAGCTGCAGTTGCGTTTATGATTCATACACGCGTCTATGTTTTTGTTTGACCACAGAGGATTCTGGATCTTTCTCATGATTTAAATACTGTAGATAAAGATCAGGAATAATACAGATGAACTGCCGGGAGCCAAAAACGCTTGAGTAAAAAATAAAACGCTAAAGTAGAAACTTAAGGGTAAGACAGACCAAATCGGATTTAGTGCATTTTGTCATAAATAAAAGGACGTCTTTGACCCGCCCTGCTGTCCTGTTTCATAACAGGTGCTGGATCGGGCAGATTATGTTTAAAAAAAAAAAAAAAATTCTCAACACATTAAAAACACAAGTTATGGTCAAACCCTTTAGTTCACTATCTACGAGGAGGCCATCTTTAAGATGGCGGGCGAGGAAACAAGGGCGTGGCACATTCGGGTTGGACGAAATGAGGACTTGAAGGCAAAAAAAAGGCTTGAGGAGTTTACATCTTTGAGCTCGTTTTCTAAAAACTGAGGGTGTTTGTGGTTTGATGGGGATATTGCAGCTTCATCAGCGTACGACTTTATGATGTGACTGAGAGTGATGTGGTGATGAATATTGCTTGGATACACAGTCGGGTCGAGAGCTGCTTCTCAACCACTGCAGCAACTTTTTTAATCTGAGGACAAACAGCAAAGACAGAGAGAGACACAGAGAGACGAGCAGGTGACGCTCAGCAGTGTTCACGGTAAAAATCCTCACGCTAAAGTCGAGGTGAATAAACTTATTTCCCAAAGATCAGAGAGAGTTCAGTCCATATTTCACATCTGCCTACTACAGAAGTCAGTCTAATCTTCCTCCCAGTTGCTGCAGTGAGGCAGGTGTGTTTTTATGTGTGACCACACCTGGATTATATCTAGAAAACTCAGGATTCACTCGAAGCAGCTCTTTAGGTCAGTGATCCTCCATCAACCAGAGACTTTACGTCAGACTTCCTGTAAAACTTTCGAGTCACACAACAGATCTGGATTTGGTTCAGAACAGTCAGAGATCGAAGCTAAAGTCAAATCCTGGTTAGTCCTGGTCTCAAGTCAAGGAAGAGTCTGAAAGTGGTCGTCTTAACGTTGATTTGTTCCTGACAAGAACTTGGACTTAAACATCAGAACATTTTTACGCCTTTAAAGTTCCCTCTGACTTCACCATCTGTCCTCAACCTCGTCTTGGACTTGTTTGACGAGATCTTGCAGCTTTAGTCTATAAACCTTCCTCTGACCCTTCAGACCTAATCCGAAGACTTCCTGGACGGGACAATCTACCAGCTGAAGTCTGATCAGAGTCACACTGAGCTGAAACATTCAGTCGATGCTGTTTTTTTTGTTTTCCATTAATTCACCTCCACTCTGTTACGCACGGATCAGCGTTTAGAACGAACTTCCTGTGTTTTCTAGTTTACATGACGCCATAGATGAGAGACAGAAAGTGACAGAGAGAGAGAGAGAGAGAGAGAGAAATATTTACAACAAGGAGGTTTCCACACCAGAGAAGAAGAAGAAGAAGAAGAAGAAGAAGCCCTTCTTTATGATTCGCTGAGCTGATCAGGGAGACTGTCTGATTGGACGGGACAGACAAACAAGACATTCACAAAACATGATCGACAGATTTTTACAGACAGGTTATTTTGTGACCTTTACACTCGTATGTTCCTTCTATTATCACTTAAACGACTGGTTTTCTTCTAAAAAAGTGTCTTTAACAGCAGAGTGAGTGAGTTTGTGATCTGGCGGCTGAAATAAAACTTTCTATCGTAACTCGTCTCCTGTGATTTGTCTGAGCCGACAGCAGACATGATCAAAAAAACACCTGAAGAAGAAGCAGATAAATTCCCTTTGAGCTCAGTTTGTTTCTCAGCTGCTTCCTTGTCTTTTCCATTTTCTTTAACAACATTAATAAAAAAAATCACTTTAGGGACAGTTTGAATTGTTGGACCAGGATGGGAATCAGGCTGGGGTTTAAGATGACTCACTCTGAGCAGATTTCAGATGATTCCTCCACATGATGTCTGAGTTTGAGCGTGAAGATCAAACTCTCTTTTACTTCTTCTTTAAAGTTTGGATGAATAAACAGTTTTGAATTCAATAAACTCACAAATTAGACAAAATCTTTAAGGCTTGAATCAAAGTGCTTTTCTCCTCCTCAACTCCGTTTCTGATGCCAAGCTTACACATGTTGGATTTATCAAAGATTCGGGGGATGTTTTGGGCTTAAAAGTGATGGTTGTGTCAGGTTAAAGTCCTTGAGCAGGAGAGGAATCATGTGAAAAGTCCTCCTGATCATGGTGGTTGTCGTTCTGCACAGAGTGAGGGGTGTTAAACCGGCCCCTGGAGTACGGACTGAAGGACAGGACGACGGGTGTTTGATGGA